TGGAATGCCATGATCGGCTGGCCGCGCGATTGGCGGGGTGGGAGAGAAATCCACGTGGCAGCACCTACCAAAAATGGCGCGTGGGAGCAGCGTGGGTGAAAACAGGCGGGGAATACTTAGACGCTATCCGCGTCGGAGCTCTTGAATCCCCGCTCGCCGCACGAGTCCAAGCTTGCGACCGCTCAAGGAGCCGCGGAGCGGCATGCCGCGCATCGGTAAGCTGATGTGAAAGGGAAGAATCGGGTGCTCGATGAACAGACTGGCTGGAACTGGATCGCGTCCAATGGCAAGAGACGCCAGCTTGGCAGATATCTTCGCTCCGGGCTGTCTTGAAGCCATACTTACCGCTGGGGGACATGCTACAGTCAAACCCCTCGTAGTGCATACCTGTGATAGTGCATACCCCCACATAGTGCATACCTTTGGCCTCTTCCCGAGTTGGTATAGGGGCATAACGCATACCCCCCCGCATACCGCATACTGCATACCTCGGCCGGGGGGTCCATAACGCACTGTACCTATGTATATAATCAGTATTAGCGCCCCACATGTATGCCTTGCATGCCGCCCAAATGCGGGATAACTTTCCCATGTGTCCTCCGTGCCCGACTGCCAGCAGCCTGGAATAGCCACACAAACCGTCAGGACTGGCCGGGGCTCACGCGCGACTTGATCACACCCCCGGCCACCTCTCCCTGCCTCCGCACTATATATATCCCTCTCGCCTTCCTCTAATCCGGCCTTGCTGTCCTCGAGAAGCAGGTGAAAGAGCGCCGAACGCCCTTCAAGCTTCTCTTCAGGCTGGGAAAATCATCTCGTAGTCATTGATTACTTTACTCGTATGTAGGCTATGTAGGGGGAGGAATGTGCGCGCGAGGAATGCGCGCGTGAGGATTGATACGCGCGCCAGAGGCCAAAAGGGCGCCCTGCAGAAGGCGTCAATGGGTCTCCCACGATAAGCGCTTCTCTCATACTGCATACCCCCACATAACGCATACCTCGGGGGCCTTCCCGAGGGGTATGCACTATGAGGGGTTTGACTGTATTTGTGTACTCATGGAAAAACAGTCGTACGTATGATTGTGTAGCCTTCTCTGATTACCCAAGGACGCTCAATGCAGATATTGAGGGTAATCATTCTGCATCGCCCGCCTGCCCTTCTCTCCGTCCGCCCAACAACCCAGGTCCCCTCGAATCCGTTCCTCGTGGTAAAGGTGCAACATGTCCACGGACTCCGCCTGTCCGCTCCCCGAGTACATCCAGGAGATGGGGGCGAAGACGTATACCGGCAGGCTCGCCGACGCCAGCGACATCCACATCAACCGCAGTTCGAACACGCCTTCTTTGTCATACTCGAAGTCGTCTATGAAGCTCACGAACGACGGCTGTATCACGAACTGCCGCAGTCCGCGCCACTGGGGCAACAGGGGCACCTTCGCTGCAAACAAGAAGGACATCGCTCAACGTCAGCCGATAGGTACCGTAAGCAGGAATGGACCAAATGCACGCACGTGGATCCAGTGTGCTCTCGATCGTGAAGTCAGGAAGCCCATACCAACCCTTTGGATGCGTTCGGTGGTCCCAGGGCTCCACGCTGTCTTCGACGCGCTCCAGCATGTCTTCGTCCGCGCAAGCGTCGAACACGCCCGGCATGCTGTCGCCCATGTAGCCGGTGATGCGGAAGTGCGTCAGAGCGGGGAGCCGCTCCGCGACCGCGGGGATGTCGTCCAGCGTGCCCCCTGGGCCCCGGCGGTCGTACCAATGAAGGCGTCGGAGCGCCGGGAACCGAGGTGGTTGGTGCGGCGGGCGGGGCTCCGCGAGGTCGAGCAGCCACGATGGCGGGGCGCCAGATACGGTGAGCTCGCGGAGGGTGGGAAGAGTGGATGGAAGTCGTATGTATTGGGTCAAGTCGCGCTCGAGGAAGATGATGGCGAGCGTCTCCAACCCTGAAGCGGCAGCGTGGAGGAGGTCGTTAATAAACTTGGCGTACCGGAAGGCACTCGTATGAGCGTGAAGGCTGCCGGAATCTATCGTAGAGTCGTTTGCGCCGTTCAGCGGGGCGTAACCCTCAGGGAGGTATACGGGACCTTCGTGCCTAGAGAAGGAACGCTTGCTCTTTTCCACGAGCTGGAGATATTGGGATTGCGTGCAGCTCAGGAATAGGTGGCGGAGCCGACCCCGAGATGTTGCGTTGCGTTCCTTTTCTGCTTCTAACCGTCGTGTCAGTGCCATCATGTATTTTGGTCGACCCATGAGCGCCACGTTATCGAGCCGGTGGTATTGAGATACGCTGTGGATGTGCTTGGAGACAAGGGCGAGGGAGCAGGATGTAGCGCCGCCGTCAATGGTGGCGAAGAAGAAGATTCGTTGCAAAAGCTCCAATGGAAGCGTTTCCATGACGGACTGAGCGGGAGTCTGTATGAGCGTCTCTGAGAAGGAGAGCGGATGTGGATGAAGGAGGACGGGATATACAGGTTTGCCCCTGACTTGTGCGATTTATATGAATTCAAGTGCGACGACTCATAACGCCACCACGGGGCCGAACAGCGCCACCACAGGCTGCTCCACTTTGCGAATGATTAAGAGACATATGAACTCGTCACGAGGTCGAAATCTTGACGATAGAGCGGTGTAAGCTCAAAAACGAGGAGGGTGGGATGAAATCAAGAAAAGAGAGTGAATTGGATGCGTGAGAACGTGAACAAGAGAGACCCCTGTTATGCGCGCAGTGTCTTTGTCACGTGCAAGGAAGAGGAAAAGGTATGACCTAGTTAAACGAGTCAATCGCAACCATGAGATTTGAACCATCTGACCTGAGTCCTGACGGGTTACTTTCTTTCAACTCTTGCGAGAGCGGAAGTCGATCAAGGGTACAAACTGCAAGCCCTTGGATAGTGTGGTTGGACGGCGTCGATTGACTCCTTTCCTTCACATAGGGAATGGAGGATTTCAAGTCTGAATCATTGCAACGTTGTGGTTGAGGATCGAAACTTGCTGCTGCGCTCGCCTGCCGCGTTTCTACAGATCCATCATTGATTTGTCATCCCCTGAACCAAAACCTCAGGACAGGGTTAGGGCTTCGCGAATCACTTCACGCCTCTCCCACCACCATGGCTTGCACACTTCCTCGTCCCCGGGTTGTCTGACCTGACAAACACTTCGTATCGGCCATAGCAACACCTCGCATTGGAGAACGACTAGGGATTCAAGCGCGGAGTGGGCCGGAGGGGATGAGACGCAGCAGCAACGGTACACTTCCCTTCTTCAACACAGCCGTCATGTCAGGACCTTCCTTGCATGCATCTGACGGTTATGACCCAGATTGAATGCGCTTTATGTCGAACCGGTGCTCACACATAGCGCGTACCTATATCTGCTCCATCGAAGGGCCCATCCCAGACACGTACGTCTTCTCGTATCGTTCCGTCCCTTCGCTGGGTGCCTCTTGCTCCATGTTATCGTTCGTTTTCCTACGTGCATCACCTTCTGCCCTGCGTCACTCGGCTGGAGGTCGATCGAACTCTCGTTTGTGTCCTACCTACCATAGCGGCTCAGATAAAGAGTACGACTGCCTCTCGCACAGATCTCTGTTGACGAGGTAGTCGGGGACGTCCCCCCTCTGCTTCGCGCGTTTCCAGCCCTCACGGACCTCCCAGCACCCGATCCCTCCATCGCCCCCGCGAATCCGCGCGAGCCGCTCCCGCGCGAGCCGCTGGACGTCGCGCCCGGCGTGGTCGAGCGCGTCGTCCTGCCGCTGCGCGGGAATCATGCACACGGGCAGACTCGAATGCTCGAGCGCGCGCCAGATGTCTTCGATGCCCTCGATGTGCGCCGTCTGGATCCAGGTCGCGTCGCGCAGCATGAACGGGCTCATCTGGAGCAGCGGAAACCTGACGTTGCGCAACGAGGGCGGGATCGGCACCTTGGCTGTGGTTTGCCGTGAGTCGTGAATGCCATCCCGAGGACAGAAGGGGTGGGGAGAGGCTTACAGAGTGGCGAGGCACCGTCGGGGCGGTTGAAGGCGCCGGGGGAGCTGGCGAGGCCCTCGAAATTCGACAGGCGGACGTGCGTGAGCTGTGGCGCGTGCTCCCCGAACCGTGCGATGTCGAGCGAGGCCAGGTAGACCCAGTCTTCCGGTGCGCCGAACCAGTACAGGCGGCGGAGGGCGGGGAGGCGCGGCGGGCGCGGCGGCGGCGCACTCCTGCGTCCTAGCACGAACGTTTGAGACGCGTTGACCACCGTGAGCTCGCGAAGATGTGGGAGCCGCGTGGGCAGGGCGGTGTTCCAGCTCAGATTGCGCTCCATGAACACGATGCTTAGGGTCTCAAGGCTAGGGCCGGCTTGAGCAAAGAGGGAGGAGAGGTGCGCGGCGTAGTGCGCGGTGTCTGTTCCTGGCTCCGCTGGAGTCTCGTCCGCGTCCGGGCCGTTGTGTCTACCGTCGACGATCATGTAGTCTCGGTATCTGCTGTCTTTGATCCTCCTGATATCCTTTCCGGCACTGGTGACTTCGGTGCAGAGCAGAAACAAGTCCAGAATTTGTGGGGGAGAATCCGGGAAGCGCACTCTGGAGGCTGCAAGGTGGGCAAGGAGGGATTCCAGACGGCCGACCGTGGCGACGAGGAGGATAACCGAGTGGAAGCGATAGGGCTGTGATGCGTCGGAGACCCGTTTGGAGGTGAGCGCGAGAGAGCGGGCTGTGGCTGTGGCGAAGAAACAGATGTGCTGGAATACTTCGACTGAGAGCTTGTCCATCGTCGTTCTCTTTGAAAGAGCTATTATCGATCCTGGCCTTGCTTGCAATGCTTGGCATCCTTCCTACGGAGCGGCTGGTGCACGTGTCAGCCACATGGTAGTGCAGGCTGCGACTCCTCTTTGGTAGAAGGGATGCCTAGGGGAGACTAGCGACTCCTGTCTTCAACCTGCTCACGACTAACTCATCCTCGCCAGCCACCAACTGGAACCCACAGAGCATCCCGTCTACAAATGTGCCGGATGTTTGCAATCCTCAACCTTTAACAGCCGGCCCCGGTGCTCGCCCACTTCTCTTGGCAACTCTGTCATCCATGGCCAGGAGCATTCAATATGCTGGTGGAGGCGGCTGGGTCGGAAGGATGGTCGCTACTCATTGTGGCGCCGAAGTGCCCCAGTGCCGCTGTGCTTTCATGGCCAGACTTCAACCATCCTCCGCGACGCCATGGGATTGTTACAAGATTCTTACTGTCTCTTTCCAATAGCTCAATAAAATATGTACTATATGTGATCATTTCACCAACTACTGTGAACACAGTCCAGACGGAACCAGATATTAGCCCGTCGTCCACTGCAGCGTCCTCCCACCACAACGAAACACTCCGCCATGCAACTAAACGGGCCACGGCATCTTCTGCCCCATCTCAATGAGGAACTCTATCGGCGCCTCGCGGTACGTGTCGTTCGTCAGCGAGAGCGTCGTGTTTCCGGAGAACTCCAAGAGCACCGGGTTGCTCGCGTTGTACATCGGCCAGTCCTGCGTGACGTTCGCGGCGCCGTTCGGGTCGAGCGTGTTCGCAAAGTGGATGAAGATGTCCTGCAGGTTTCCGCCCCCGTACATGTCCGGGACCTCCGACGCGTGCGTCTGTACGGGGAAGATGAGCGGGGAGCGGGGAGCTCCAGGGCAACGCGGGGACGTACCGATCCCAAGCCGGGAACGTATTCCCGCCTGTAGTCTGGAAAGAAACATCAGCATCGTTCCGGGCGGAGAGAAGGGCGATCGGAGGACGCACAGTACGCCCAAACGTTGCTGTGTGCGCTCATCTGCTGCGTGAAGAGGCGGCGGACGGCGTCGACGCCCGTGTCCCCCTCGAACGACGCGACGCGCTTGTGCATCTGCGTGTACTGGAAGTCGTCTCCGGTGCCATACGGCGCACCCTGCGCCGGGTCGTTCGGATACATTTGCACCAGCGTCTCGGCGTCGGCGGAGCTGATGTTTGGAAAGTACACGGCTCTGGCGTACCCAACGAACTCCGTATCGGTCCTGCCGAGGAAGGTTGGTGAACAGCAAGCAATGCAAGACGTATACACGCACGTGATGTTGGGTAGGTTGAGAGCGAAGAGCGTCCCTTCATCCTCGGCGTTCCCTGTAAAGTCGAATGATCATTGGCAGCTGGTCAATGGGGACGACGGATTGGAAACGTACCAGCGACGATGGGAATCTTCGCAACATGCCCTCCCATGAGTAGCGTCTGTGGAAGGTCCGAGATGACGCTCCCGTCCGCGTGCGGGCTCCACACGGAGGCGACGGCGCTGACGTTGGTCACCGCATCCGCGGGTGCCTGCCTGAGACATGTCAGGGTATCGTTCGCGTCCGAACACCCCACCGACGCCACGTAGGTGTCGTATGCCGCTTGCGGACGCGGGCCATCGAGCCAACCGACGGGTTGGATGGCGCCCGATTCGGCCCACAGAGCATGGAAGAGCCCTTCGGTGTTCCCGTCGTTGTACACGATATGCAACGCCGCCGAAACGCCGCCGGAGCTGAGGCCCAGCCTGTACAGAACAGTCCACTGGGCGATCAGTGCACGACTTCCATCCCAGTTCGAAGTACACACAAGGTGACCTTCGTGGGATCGCCGCCAAACTGGGTGATGTAACGCTGGATCCAGCGAAGGGCCTCACGCTCTGTGAACCGTGCCACCAAGTCAGCAATCTCGTGAAGCGAAATCAACTGACACGTCGGCTTACGATCCTGAAGGCCGAGATTTCCGACATTCGCGTCCTTGACATCAGGAAAAACCCAAATCCCTATTGAGAGGTAATATATTGGTAAGCCGATATACGCCAAAATACTGCAGCTGTTTCAACTCACCGCAGTTTACAGACGCTTTGTCAAACTATCGCCTTCCTTCCGATCGCTTATGGGGTGGATGATGTATAATTTGACGTGCTTGAGTAGCTGTATTGGATATCTGTATATGCAGTTAGCCAATAACGATACACTCGACTGGATCCTGACAGCTAGTAGCGATGGTGTATGAGTTCCCTCGCTGTTCACACATCAGCGCTCAGCAAGCATAGATGGAATTTACAGAAAACTGTCATTGCTTTATGATCTAAGTACTAAGACAGTGTACAGATACCCGAACCTACGATACTGGTTTTTCGGCAGAGGCTCTACAATATGCAAAGAGAACGTACCTGGATGTGCACCCAATCCCGGCATCCCGTCGCCTAACTCTCCACGCACATGCTGCTTGCCTTTTGCGACGAACACGATTGCGGGCGGGGCGCGGTGGCCCGTGGGTAATGAGGCGGGGAAGTTGCAGCCCGACGAGTAGACCTGCTGATGCGGGTTCGGGGCGTAGCTCAGCGAGTCGAGCCGTGCAGTGATCGCGGCGTTGCTCGCGGAGTGCGTGTGGGGCGCGTGTGCGTAGCCCAAGTTGAAGACGACGTGGACATTGGACTATGATGCGTTCGAGCGTGTCGACGTGTTACCCTTCGGCGCGGGCTGGGAGGAGGGCGAAGAGGGCGGCAAACCAAGGTGGCAGGTGCGCGGCGGACTTGATGAGGAAGGTGATCATGAGCGGGCCCGCGACAAACGCTCCGGGACTTTGTGTCGTCAGGGATAACCGCGCCTGGGGTGAGCTGGGTGTAAGGTGTTGACCGTGGTGCCATGGCTGACGATTGGGTCGAGACAGAAGCACCCGTCGCGCTCGCCACACATGAGTTGATGACCACATCGCGCCTGATCTTCATGCCCAGCATCCGGTATTAGATAACCTCGAGGAACGTGGACGTCGTAACCAAACGGCGTCGATGGAGCATGCAGGCCACGTGCTAGACGCGGGGGATGTGGACTCCGACAGACGATGGTGTGAGCTGGCAAAGAGGAGCTCGGGCTGTACGGCGGCGCACCCGCGTGCCTAGGAACGGGACGAGGAATGGGCTTCGGCGGCGAAGTAGCTCCGTTTTGTCAGTGGATGTGGATGTTGGCGCGGACGCGGTGTTGTAGGGGGTGACATGAATTATGGCACGGATAATGGGAGGACGTACGAAGAGACGACAGCCATGGGGAGGCGGAAGGAACGAAGCTAGGAGAGTGATGGCAGTCACAGTCGAAGTGCGGAATATTTAGCGCACGGACTACACGCGCGCTTCTCGTTCTCGAATGTATCAGGCACACAGACTCAGTTGAGTCAGTAGCGCCCATGGCAACGCGCGCGGCGCGACGCGCGTCCCCACATGTGCCAGCCTCCTCCACCACCTCCACCTTGTCAAACTCCCCATCTCCTAGCGGCGTTGTTGTTCTCCGCCGCGCACTTCTCAGACCTCCATCCTGCCACCCCACCGGCCATGCCCCAGATCACGTATTTCTTCGCCGCCGCGCGCTGCCGTGGATTCGTCTGGGTTGCGTACGACGTCGACCACGACCACGACAACCTATGAGACGTCAACGACGATGAGACTCGACCGGCTCCTCCCTCAGCTTTTACGGTCCCAATACGTGGACGTCCCTTTGCAACTCAACCCCACCGTCGAGGGCCCATGGTCACTCCTCGTCTCTCCGCGGTGACACCGCACGTGAGTCCAGCACATTTGACATCCGGGTTCCGGGTGCACGATCTCACGAACAGGTCGACAACACACATCTACACGGAGCCCAAGATCCCCGATGCTGTCAGCCTGTGCAACTTTGGCATCCAGGTGGTGAGTGTCTCACTCTTATGATCGCATGGACTCGCGGTGCGGGCGAGAGGAGTGACACCAACAACTGGTCGTACTCCTTGAGCCACTTCTCTGCCAGATCGGTCTCGCTTGCGCTATCGTCGACGCCTACCTCCTCGCTTGAGGTTAACACGTCTTGAGCGCGGCGGTTCACCACCTCCCATCCTCCACGTCGGAATCCGCGAGTGCCCCCGCCGCGATTTCCCGCCCGTGCCCCTGCTCACCCGCTGCTCTTCTAGGAACTACATTGTCTCTGTCGGCGAGTGCGCACTTGTACCACCGCGGCGTTTGGAGGGCGCAGCCAGCAGCGCGTGTCCACTTTCGTCTGGCGGCCATTTCGTGCCCACACGGGCAAGACTTGCTCTGGATCGAAGAGCGCAAGGGACGGATCAAGGTGCGACGGTTACGGTGCATCCTTTTGTCGGCTTCCGTCATGATCGAGGATGACGAAGAACACGAGCCGGACGATGCGCACTCGTGTGCGGCGAGCCCGACGATCCTGGACATGGACATCTGTCGCCGGTGAGGTAGTGTACTTTCCTCCTTCCGTTCTCCTTTACTGACCCGTTTTTCCCCGGGCGTGCTCTGAGCCCTCCCTCATCCTTTCCTCCTCCTTCGCTGCCTCGCCTCGGCTTTTCTCTCATCTTCTTTCCTCGCCCGTCGTCCCCCCGCGCTCATGCGCACACAATCAGACCCCCGCGCGATACACGTGGGACTGGCGCGCGTACACGCTCCCTGGCCGTGTCCGCCCCGGAACAGCCTCCTGGTCGTCGTCCAGGTCCCTCCAGCTTGCGGCTGCAGCATGAGTGCCAGCGTCTCGCGCGTACGTCGTCGGCGGGTGCACGGTCGTTGGTACCTGGCGGCATGCGACCGTGAGCAGGCCCAAGGTCCCGCTAGTCGAGGGCATCTTCGTCGTCTCTCGCGGCGATGGCGGGCGTGAGTGCTCGTCTGTGGCTCCCGGCGCAAGCCGCGTGCATATCGCATTCGCGCGCGCGTCCAACTGGTAATCCCTCGCGACGGAGCTCTCAGCAACTGCTGTGCGCTTTTTCGCAGGTCTAGCAGGCCCCGATACCGTTTACATTGCGTCGTCATTGCTCGTTGATAGGTACATCTATGTCGCTGTTGCTAAATACTGGTCTCGTCTGCATCTCAGATATCCAATCAATGTTCATTTTTGCCCCATATGTTATGTGTGATGAGTGCTACTGCTCGATATCCAGTGCTTGAAGCTGTGATTTACGGGCATGAATGAGACTAAGTGCATCTGGTGAGGGCCTGCTCTCGCAACTAAATTTTCCTTCTCCGTGTAATGGTTTCTCATTAGCAGAGGGGTAAGCGAAAAACAATACTTGTGCATAACACCATAATCGAGCTCATTATCCCTCACAAGCCTCAGTAACATCTCATTATGGATTTGGGTTTTTCCTGATGGACCTCCTTTCCTCCGAGCCAGCCGAGTGCTGTAAGCAAATTAAATTGAGACTCGGGGCCCTGGAGTCGTAATCTCGTAAGGCAACTCACGTCCAAGCCTGTATACCATCGTGAGTGTCGATAATTCTTCTATGAAACGAAAGGACTGACCGATAGCTCATCGATACGAAGATGACGGGCTCGCCCAACTCTGCAGATCGTTTCACCATGTTCCGCCCATCAACACTGTGTCACATTGTCAGGAAGGAACGTCCTGCAAATGCTCAGCGATTTTCACTCACTCGAAGGCTCCACCGAAGCCAAATGCACCAAAGAAGATGTACTGGTGATAACACATCACTACTCTGTTCGCACCACATTGAAGAGTACACTGCTCACAGCGACGACAGGGAGCTTGGACCCAGGTTTGACAGACGTAGGGGTAATCACATTGATGTTCAAACCTGGACACTGGGTCAGAACCTAGCAAAGACGTGACGACCGTGCAGTACTTACAATCCTCTGAGTATGGAGCCGGAGCTGGCGTGTGGAAGATACTTAGGTACTCCATCTGGTCGTGGGTGATCCACGTCGGGAGGGGAGGCTGCGTAGAAATGAAGTTGTGGCAGATGTTCCCGAACGCCGTGGCATTGATTTTCCCATTGTAAGGTTTATTTGCAACTGGGGTGCTGAACCTCAGCTCACCAACGCTGCGCAGAATAAAAAAGTCAGCGAAACACATCCGGTGGAGGAGCAACACATACTTACGGAGCTTGGGCGTACGGGATGCCAAGGTACGAGTCAGTGTAGCCATCGGATGTGCCCTCAACCGAGGCGCGGTCCAGATGGACCGTTGGAGCTATCGTCTCTGAACGTGGAACGGGTTCCCATCCACCAGGAGGGGGAAGGTCTGGTTTGAAGCCAGGCGAGAACGGCGGAGATGCAGCCGCGAGGAGAGAGCCCAGGGTGAACGCGGCGAGGACGGCGAAGCGCATCTTGCAGGCTGTCGACGGTGTGCTGGAGAGACACCCTTCGCCGTTTGGATCTTATATTGCAAGAGACTGATGCCTAGTGAGAAGGCGTTCATCCATTTCTAGTTTCGATCGTGCCTACCGCCCCACGGATGCTGTTTATGTCGCTCGACTGCTTCTTGAACAGGCGACGCATCCGTTGAGAAGCCCGACGATCTCAAAAGTGCCATTATAATTTCCCGTTCCGTTCCTGTAAGGCTATAACGGCGGCGAAGATGCTTGGATGCATATAGCTGCCATCGCCCGTCCGAAGGACGCGCATCCCGCACCATGCCCCCCATTCCGCCCCGGCTTAGAGGACGAATAATGCGGGGCCACGTATCTTGAGCGTGGACAATCGTTCCATCACCACGCCCTTCCGTCAGCTGGGGCTCTTGTGGTGGCATACGACCTTGAATCGAGGCAGACAGCGCGAGATAGTGACCGTCTTACCTCGGTTCAAGGTCACCCAGGAAGGAGCCGAGATGATGGACGATCGTCTGCAATACGGTATATTCGCAAGCGAAGTATGTCGTCCCTCCACCATCTATCTGGAAACACCGCCGGCCGTCGACGGCGCTCGAAAGATTCGGAGAGGAAAGATACCGTGAGGCCTGCCTCAGAACGCCAGTGCCTGTGCGGTTCAGAGGGGCCCTGTCGTTTCGACTTTGCAAATCTAAGGACGGGACGAGTCGGGAAATAGGGCGCGTACGATGGGACCCGTTCACAGGGACGAAAGAGCAAGCTCACCATTCCCAGCCGGAGTCCGTCCACATGTACCCGCATGCTGCATGAGTCGATGTATGGCACGATGCGTCGTCGTCCTGCGCCCTGACGTAACTGAGACACTAAGAGAAACTTTTGGGGGTTGCGTACCTCCTGTTCCTCTTAGTGTCACCAATACTGCGATGATGGTGCAGCGAAGAGAAGAAGCAAGAAATTGCGATACATGTCAAGGGGCGAAGAGAGTAACAAAGGAGAGTATGAAACGTACGATAAGTGATAGTCACATGTCGCGTTCGCTACGGCTGAGTACGGTCCACGTCGAGAACCGAGATGCTGGGCTGTTTATGGATTCGCGGGTCCCCAGCATCCTGCCTAGCCTCGATCGAAGGCCACGCCCGCTCCTTCGCAGCATAGAACAGAGGTTCTCGCAAGTTTCTCAGATCACGTTTTGCTTCGCGATATCTTTCACAAATTCGTTGTCCCAGCTTGGGGGGTAGGTAGAGGGGAAGATGCATGAGGGGAGGAAGTAGAAGAGAACATGAGGGACGCGTCGCAGGCTTTCTCGTTCAAGCGCCTGTGCAGATTCAGCGGGCCGGCTTGGCCGGATGACGTCAACAAGAGGAACGACGCTGGTCGGCTTCCATGGCCAGTTCTGGGCCCCCCAGCTACGTGACCACATCGCGAGTCTCCCACCCCTTCGCCATCTACCGCCTGCGCCCGCGCCGATCACGTTCCCCGACGACGAACTGGCGGGTGGAACCCATCGTCGGCTCTACGTGCGTCGAGGGGAAGAAGTGGGCGTTCGAAGGGTTCGAGGAATGGTGCTGGGAGCAGATCGCGACGCCGGAGCTGCGCAGGATGTGGTTCCGTACCGACTTGAGGGTGGAGGCTGCTTGCTCACTACCATATAGTAGGCCGCCAGCCCCGCTGGATGGGCTATCTCAAGAGCGAATATTATGTGCTCAGGTATTCTTAGCCCTGTCTACATTTGTTACATCCAGTCGAGGAGCATGGGCGCTCTCGGCGCCATGCGCGATACCATCCGCCTCGTCGTTGTCGGAAGCCGGTCGTGGGGCACTGCACCACGCACCCCCTGGGACGCGCAATCCAGACACAACCCAATGACTCGGATTCTGGGCGGTCGACTCGTCGGCGATCCGCTCATACGCTTTGCATGTTCCTCCTCAGCGTGTCAACAACGACGCCGCGCGGGGGACGATGAGGTACCTGTCGCCTGCGCTACGCATGGTGGGAGGGCGAGTGAGACGGGGCGCCCCGGCCGGCGGTGTGAGCCAGCGCGGAGTAGGTTGGTCTGTGAAAGCGACAGTGAAGCGAGGAGGGCGGGCTCGGCGAGGAGTGGCAAGGACTTCTTCGTCTTCGGAGTAGGTAGATTGGACGAGGGTCGTGCAGACCACGGCACCGCTGGAGGCTGCTTTCCGCAGGGATGGGCCATGTAGATGTGGACGACGGAGACATACCCATACTTGCCGACGTGGTGTCGAGACCTCACTAGATGTGCGCACGGAGCGCGGAATCCTCGTTTAAGGAAGCATGACACAGTCGAGTTGATGGGATACAAATACATCACCAAGAACGACGAGCGTACTAGGCACTAACGAGGAGCGAACCAGTATGGTACTTAATCGAAACATCTTAACGGCGGAGGTACGAGAAAGAAACAAAACAGTGCGCAAGACTCAGCAAGACATATCATCCATCCATCAGTCACCCGCCCATCGGGCACCGTGTATACAGCCAGGGTCACAGCGTCACATACCTGAACCTTCCTAGCCACTTGTGGGTGCGTGCCGGTATTTTATTCACCCCACGAGCGGCGCGCGCTCCTCGTCGAGCGAGATCCCGCGGCCGCCGTTGCGGATCTTGAGCCCAACGCCAATCGCGGCCTTGACGACCCACACGAGCGAGAGGACGGCGAACGCGAGCGCGCTCCAGTGGATGAACGCCGGGCGGTGCTGGTGCGCGAAGATGGCCCAGAGCGACCAGGAGATGGCGATGCTCGCGGGGAGGTCGCCCTCAGATGAGGAGAACGCGTAGGTAGCGGCGGTCGCCTCGAGGAAGAACCTGAAGGCTCTCAATGTTAGTAGGCTAAGCCATGAGGCATAGGGGCAGACGTACAGAGCAAGGAAGACGAAGACGTCGGTCCAAACGCCGGCGGGCTGGACGGCAGCGTTGAGCCCGGCAGCCTCGAAGAGGGTGAGGACGACGAGGACGGTGGTCCAGCCGTGGTAGAGCGAGAAGGGGAGGTGGATGAAGAGCTCGTCCGCGGTGCTCTGCGGCTCGTGGAACTTCTTGACTATGTAGTAGATGTGCTGAGGGTGCGGATCAACATAGGTCCGATGAACTGCAATCGCGCTAAAGGGGGTCTGGTGACTTACGGTGACACACGAGCTGACAAAGAGCGCGAAGATGAACGCTAAGGGAAAACGCCGTTTAGGTTAAGACTCCGGCGAAGAATGCGCGCTGCGGCGGGGCTGAGGGCTCGACGTACCAACGATGTAATAGTGCCGAGCCCAGACGTTAACGTAGATGGCGTTAAGGACAGCGAGGAGCGCGAAACGCCAGCTAATGCCGTCAATGATGACATGCTTTCCGCCCTCGAAGAACTGGTAGATGACTGTGCCGAGGAGCAGGAGGTGGATGAGGGACCTGAGGGGGTCTGAGAGGGGGTACGGCGCAGGTATGGAGGGAAGGACGTACCAGATGAGGAACGCCCATGGCGCAGGGGTCATATACGTCTCCTTTCCGGTGTAGTAGATGTCGGCAGGGCCAGCGACGGTGTAGATGTTGGAGCCCAGGAAGAGGAAATAAACGATGACGTTTACGATCTGTGAGCAGAACAAAGATGTCAACGTTTCGTTGTCGTTGCCACTCACCACCGACGCGTCGAACACACCTTGAGCGGGAGCCCATCTGTCCAGGAATTGTGGGAGGGCATGGCGAGGGGAGCGTCGTTGGGGGGGGAAAGCAGAAAGGGCAGGAGGGGGTTGGGTGCGGCGAGGCTTTAAGTACGGAGTCCGGACGCACCGAGGTCCGACGACGCCATGGCGCAGCCTTCCTGACGTCACCCCCACCGTGACCGCGTCTTGCGGAGCCCACGTGTGCGCAGAGGCTCTGTCACAGCGTGTCCTGGTGTCACGGAGCACGACGCGAGCGCCGGGCGCGGTATCTCGAGCCGTCGAGCACGCGCGTGCCGTCTACTCCTCCGACGGCGGACTGGGGCTGCGAACCGCGAGCCCGACTTCGCTCTCGCCGTCATGTCGACCTACGCGCCCCGACACTCGCCCTCGTCCTTCTCCACCCCCGCCTCCACCACGCTCTTCCGCCGGCTCACCTGGGAGGGCACCGTCCCGCTCGAGATCCGCGTCGACTCCAAGGAGCTCCCCGCCAACTCGGACCGCGGCCTCGAGTGCTACTACATCCAGGCGCCCCGCGTCAGCTACCTCCCGCTGCTCGTGCCGGAGATCAAGCGCTTCCTCATGGACGTCGTCTTCGACGAGGCCGCCGCGCGCACGATGAAGGAGGAGGACTGGTGGTTCGAGAGCGAGGAGGGCGCGACGCTCAAGTGGTCCGTGCTCCCCTTTCCGCCGCTCCTGTGTCCGCAGAGCTGATCCGTGCTCGGCGAGCGCAGGCACTGGCCCATCGGCCTGATCTACGACAACCACACGATCTCGCAGACCGTGCGCTCGTCCGCACACCCGCACGTCTTCACCCCGCTCCGGATGGTGCTCCACCTCGCGTCGCCGCCGACGGAGAAGCTGCTGCTCGCCCCGAGCCCCGATGCGTGCAAGCAGGCGTTCATGGGGCAGCTGAAGGAGGCCGACTTCATCCGCTGGGGAACACGAAGCGTATGACGGGCCTCCGGAAGGCGGAGCAGGACGGGCTCTGGGAGGGCATCAAAGAACGTAAGTCGCGCTTCCGCTGCCCCCGCCCCCAGGCTCGCGCGCATCTCAACGCCCTGCCTCTCTGCCAGACAACTTCGACGAGTACTGGCGCGTCGCGTCGAAGATCACACCCACCACGGCCCCGACGCGCTCCCACTCCCCTCCACCACCGCAGTCATCGACCTCCCTCCACGTCCGGCCTCCCTCCGCAGACCCTGGGTCAAATGGCGCTCCCGACCGGGACGGCGCATCCAACGTGCGCAACATCCCCGTGCGGATATACCTGCCCGATGGTCCCGTGCTGCAAGACCTTGTGCCCCCTATGCTCGAGAATGGTGTGTAGTCCCTTCTTGCGTCTTACCCTCTTCTCCCATTGGCTTGCGTTCGGTAGTTGACCGGTCTTGCGTTCGCAGGCCGTATGCATACCCTCGCCGTGTTCCTCAGCACCCGGTTACCCCTCATCTTCTCGGAAGCCGGTTCGCCACAACCTAATCTTGGATACCCGCTCGTCCAGGGTGTGCCTGCCCCGCCAGATACGGAGATGGCGTGGCTGGGCGCGTGCATGGCGGGGGCTGATGGATGGGTGAACGTATGTATAGGGATGTTGCGGGAAGGCATGCGGTATCCGTAGGGTGAGGTGCGGTTGTTTCGTTGTGTATACTAACTCGCACGGGGCACACGATGTAACACGCGGACGACTGTGCAGCCAAGCCCGTCACCGTCCGTCCTCTTCAACTTGTGCCACTTCCGCCCGCTCATCCCCGCGCGCGGGTATCGGTTTCTCGGGTGTATGCCACTGCGCGCACTCTAGAGATATCTCAGTATTTGATGGCAGAAGCCTCACGTCATGGGCATCGCCTCTGGTGAGCCAACATTCGCGCTATCCTGAGTGCGGTCATGCGTCTCGCCGCGTTTTTTCCAGAGGCCAGGCCTCTTGGCACCGCTGCGCCGACGACTTGACATACTTACTCTCTGCTATCTCTACGCTCAGTGCTCTACTATGCTCCCCCCAGAAGCGACGGATGAAAGAATTGACCCAGAAGCGACGGTCGGCCTCTCCCCCGCCTGCCCCTCGCACTTCTATGTTACAAACTGTATGAGACATATATCTAGAGGTTCCTACGAGCTCACTGGCGAAAAACCGGCGAGATTCTGGGTAATAGAGCTCTCGCAATTTGAGTAACGAAGTCGTGACTTTGTCACAATTGACATTAACGGCTTCGCTCGACATGGGATCTCGGGCGCTTCTCTCGCGGAAGCCATAGTATCTTTATGTGGTGCCACTAGGTTCTAGCACATATTTTTCCGAGGCGTCGGAGGGAGAGAGAAGCATGCCGCGGAGGAATGAGCTTCGAGCGTGACATCAGCCACACGGAGTCTGAACGCATCATCACGTGATGCTGGCCCGCGATGCGGTTTCGTGCGTTCAGCCATAGCGGAGTTTGATTCGGCTATGGTCGGCATCGTGACCCGAGGGGTGACCAAATCCGGCGCCAAACCGTCGTTTCTGGGGGTGCGCCAGTATTTCCTCGCGCATTTTATCCCTAGTGATACTTTCTTCGTGAAACTTGGTATATGGGAGGGCATGTGGATTCGGCACCCATGTGCAAAGTATGAAGGAACGACGGGGAGAGAGAGGAGAGATATTCGCGGAATGGCGGCACCCCCGTCGCTTCTGGGGGGGCATAGTACCAATACGCGGACTCGCTGCCCAGAAGCCGGATGTCCCGAGGCCACAAGGGCGGCATCCGGAGAACTGGGGCGCGACGTGCGACAACAGATGCGGCTCTCGGCGTTCTGACGCGCGACAGGGCATGCGGAGAGATAGGACACGCCGGGGGTGATATGTATGTGGGAGCGATGGACGAGATCGCAGCTAGTCTCCGCTAGATGGAAGTGATATGTGGATGAGAACTTTCCCCAACGGAGCCGAGGGTATGGATAAGAGTGATGGTTGGCGGAGCGGTGGAGGCTCTCTGGATAAGCCCACAACTATGGTGGTTACTCGGCGTGTCGAGTGTACACACGCTTGGCTCATGATCGTTGTCCTGGAGCCCGAGGAGGTCGAGCATCCGTCGACATTAGCGGTTCGGGGCGACCGACTGATCCGGATCGGCACTTCCCGGCCCGCCTGTGCCGGGGCTTGGATGCTCCCCTCGCGAAAAGCGGACGGTCTTTCTCCGTCGATACGTGCATGAGACCCAACCTCGCCGTCATATCAGACAGGACCACCGCGCTCCCTGGACCTGGCCCAGCCGGAGTCTGAGCAGTGGATTCGATGGACCTTCTTCTCACCATCTTCACGAGCCAACACTCCTTGATGTCCCTCGCAAACTCTTCCCTCGCCCTCGCCCACCCTCCTTCCCCCGCCCGCCATCCTGGTTCCCGCACTTTCGCGCTCCCACCCCCACCCAGGTCCGCTCGCACAGCTGCCATTCATATAAATGACGCCCCCTCCTCCCCGCGCGCAGGTCCCCCCAGGCCTCGCCAGCCCCCAGACGACGCTGTCCCCTCCCCTCCCGCCAGCCCAAGCCTAGGCACCCCTGGGCAGCCTTTCCATGCCCGAGCCAAGCCTCACTAGTCACTCAAGACAGAAGGCACCCCTTCCGCCAGACCCGAGGTATGTACGTCTCACCCGCACATCACAGTTCTCTCTGCGTCCTTCTGTTCCGCCTCTCCACGCCTGTCCTTAGCACATCTTTCGCCTTGCTTTTTCCTCATGGGCGTTCTCCCGTCCCATACCGGCGGGCGATCAAGCGACCCACTATCCTTGATTCTGGTGACCCCGCCCTCCGCCACTAAAGGCGCTAGTCCGACCACTGATGCTCGCGCTCAAACCGCGGCATCTGCTGCGGACATGGCTTGCATGTCTTGCCTCCTCCCGCCACGAGCCTGCCGTTCGCCCGCGCTCTTTTCTGCTTTTCTTGTTCTCTTTCGCGCTTGCGCGGCGCGTTCTCTACTTCTCCTTCTCGCCCTCTTCTTCCGGCGACTGTTTTTGACGACCCAGACTAATCACTGCATACTCTGCCCGGCGACAGGTCGTCCTAATCCCCTCACGTTCCTTTTTGACCATCTTCTGGCGCCATGGTTGACAACATCCCCGCCGCATCTCTTGATGCCTTGCACGACCTCTCGGTGGTCCGCTACATGAGCGGTAAGTATCCTCCATCGACTTCCTGCGTACCCTCCCCCTCCCCCATCCTCTGCCATAGAAATGTGGTAAATTAGATGCTAAGTGCACGCGCTCTAGCCGCGGGCCTCGTCGTCCTTCTCTACGACCATATCCTCACCTTCGCCGACGAAGTCGAGCTGATCTGGCCCGCACCCGCGACATACGCCAAGTACATGTTCCTCCTCAATCGGTACGGCGTACTAGGCACTCTCCTTGCTACCGCCTATGGTAGGTCCCTGCATCTTGCGTGCGCATTCCATCTCCTGAAGTGCATATATGCGTGTAGCGATGTGCGGTTTCGTCCACACGACGTTCACCGACCAGGTAGGCGCCATCTCCGAGCGCGATGATCGTTTCACTACCGTTGACTGACGCGCGACGCGGTGTCCTCAATTCGCAGGGGTGAGTGCCGTTCCTTCGCGTGCTACCCCGCAAACGACTGTAACTGACCCGAAATCGCGCGCGCCGCAGATGCAAGGAGTTCATCTTCACATGCTCGATGGTGTCCATCATCTCCATCGGTATCGCGAACCTGCTCATCCTCCAGCGCGTCGTCATTCTCTGGGAGCACCGTCCGGTACGTCTCGGCCTGGGCTGGTGCGGACGCGTCGTATTCACGCGCGTGTGCTCTGCAGATCGTGCTCAAAATTATGACCGCGGGCTTCTTCCTGAGCTTCACCGCGCAAGTGGTCTGCATGATCGTCACGCTCCTTGATCTTCTCCGTACGCTTCTCCGATCGCGCCGGAGTGAGGACCAATTACTCACGTTTCGCATGTCCAGCGGTCATCTCGTGGTCGGACGTCGCGGGGATGTGTATTGCGACACGCTCGTCGCATATATTTGTGGTCGTTTGGGCCGCACCGGTGCGCACTCTTGATGTCCTGCGGCGCCGGGGTTGGTTGGCTGACACAGTGCCTTTGACGCAGCTCGTCTTCGAGGCGTTCGTGCTGGGCTCGACTGCGCTGAACGCGCTCGACCGCCCAACGACAACAGACAGGCCTATCATCAAGGCCCTGCACTCCGACGGTCTCAGTTTCTTTCTCGTACGTCCCCTATCCCTCGAGAGAGTCTCTGACTGACCCGCATGTGATGATCTCAGGCCATCACATCGCTCCGCGTCACGAACCTCGTACTCGCCTCCCTTTCCCGCCCGTCCTTCACCTTCCTCGGCGTATTGTACGTGTCCCCCCACGCTCGCGCTCAATCCACCCACTCACCGCGCCTCCCGCACGCACAGCTTCATCTGGGCCGCGACGACCACCGTGCTCGCCCGCCTCCTCCTCCGCCTCCGCCGCACCGAAGTCTCTCCACCCCCCTACCTCGCGCCCTCGTCCGACCCCAACACCTCTGAGGACCCAGACTCCGCCGCCTCGCCCGACTCCCCGACGTGGTCCTGGGACCCGCGCCGGCGCTCGCGCGCGCTCTCGCCCTTCGGCCTCGCCCCGCTCCTCCGCCCGCTCTCGTCCGGCTCGTCGCACTCCTCTTCCGCGCCCGCGCCCTCCTCCCCGCTCGACGGCGGCGCGAAGCACCAGCGCGCGCACTCGGACGGCGCGTGGCGGCTGGAGTGGGCGCCGCCCCAGCTCGCGCTCGCGCCGGTGGTGGAGGAGGGCCCGGAGGCGCCCGCGCCCGCGTACGTGTACCACTATCGGAGGCGGCAGCACGACCCGAGTGAGTCCTCCTTCGCCACCCCGTGCGCCACGAGCACCGCGCTGATGGTGCGCCCGGCTCTCTGCAGCGGTGCACCCTTGGGACGTGTGAGGGGTGCGTGTACGCATTTGTCTGTACGGACCGCGGGATCGACGATGTACGACCGACTTGTTGGGGGAGGTTTGGGGTTGGTGGTGCCTCGCGCGCACCCGGTGTAGTTTTCCGCGCGGGTATCAGGGTTCGAAAAGCTGGTCCCCGCTCGTTCTCTTGGGCTTGTGGGCGGACGACTGAGTACGCGCCTACGATGGTCGATTCTTCGGGACACATGTTTCCCTGCGATCCAGGAAACGGTCACGCGCAAGGTGACCCGTCGAGATTTAGCAAGTTATGCCTACTTGTGGACAGTGGAACGGTCAGTCGTTTTCGCGGGTGCAGTATGGTGAAACCACGGAGGCGCTACCCTCTGTCGATGCGCGAGTGGTTGGGGCGCATCCACAATGCATACGAGTACTATTGGTGCCAGGATGACGATATATGATGTTCTGGTTGGCGATGCCAGTGACACGATTTACTGACGAGAATGCTGCCAATCCCGGGGAGAGCTAGCGAGATCTGCTCTATCGAGCGCCCGTATTTCACGGTGGGCGTCTGGGAGAGTCGAGAAGCCCGCCCTCAGAGTACCCGCGACCAATCCAATGTCCCTCCCCTTTCGCCTCCCCTTTCCTCGTCGCCCAGTGCTCACTTCAGTCTCTTACGCATAGCACCATGTTGGTATGGATTCAGCACACAATAATACGCCAAGTCGTCAACCATTCTGCACTGTCCTCGTGTCATCTCCTTCGTCCTTGGAGCTCGCGGAAGCTGGCTGGCCTCGTGGGATGGTCTGGGGAAGGGCGTATGCATGAGTTGAAGGCCGGAACGTACGATGCACGCGTAACTCACAAGTCGCAAGCCGAGCCTCGCTTCGATGAAGCTTTTTGCATGGGATATGTATGAGTGGTCCTGGGGAGGAGATCAGTCGCGGAATGGTCGCTTCAGTACGCAAAAAAACGCACCAATGCTGCTCGTCCACGACGTTCCTCACAAGCTCCACCCGGACACACGGCGACACACGGCGGTGGACCAGTGGGCTGCGACAACGCGTCAGGACATGGGAACTCACCTCGATGCGTACGCAACTCACCCTTTCCTCGTTCCGCGTTTGCGCCACTCCTCCACAAGTTACGACCCAGACGACACATCCCTCCCTCTCCGCACCTCCGCGCTGCCTCCCCCCTGCATCCTGCACGACCCACCCCTCGTCCAAACTCCGCGCTCTGAAGCCGAAGAAGCCCTGCTCGCTCTCCCCGCCAGACGCGTCCCCCTCGACCACCCCATCAACGCCGTCGCTCTGCACGGCTGACCAGCCCTGCGTTGCCCCACGCGCCCCCGGGAACGCCCCGTCCTCCCCGCCCTCCCTCGATACGATTGTCGCGTCCGTCGACACCCCCTGCACGCACAACGCCGCGCTCCAGACGGCCGTCGGAGACGCCGTTCCAGGCGGCCGCGTCGGTGCGTCGTGCAGCGCTTGGGCAGCCCCTCGCCGCCGCTCCGCCCAGTGCGTGATCATGCTCGGCGGATAGGTGACGACGGGTGTGATGCGTTGACGTTGCTGGTGTGCTATGCACGCACTACATGAGCGGGATGTACGCAGGGCACAAAGCGTACGACGACAGTGCGTCCCACTCTCTGCACTGCAATGTCGCACACCGAGCTGGCGCCAGGCGGTCGTCCCGTGGACGTTGGCGTTCTGAGCAAAGTTGAAGCACACGGCGTCGAGCGCAGACCGGCGGCTTTGCGTCGGTCCGCATCTCGACACGGCTTGCGGGAGTTTCACACATACGCCGCGCGGTCGACGGGTCACCGTCGCGCACACGGCGGCGTTGTTGGAACAGAGGGAGAACCTCTTGATATATTGCTCGTATCGTAGGAGATCCTCTTTGGGTCGACCACCGAGCACGAAACCGTGCTCGGCGGAGCGACTCCGAGGGGAGTCCCGAGTGCTGCACGGCGCGTCGCCGCGGTCGTCGGGGACGAGGTCTCCGGCGGCCGTCTGGCGCGCGGCGTCGTGCGCGCAGGGGGTGCCAACGGGCGGGGCACTCGTAGCGAGTGGGGGCGGGGACGGCGGAGCGTCCCCGGGAGCGCGCGGCGCAGCGCAAGCTGGCCGGCCGCGGACGGCGACGGCGCTGGTGGGGTCTCGAGGGGACCGCGCCTGGCGGCGACAGCGACCAGGGGTCCCTCGGCCTCGGAGCGCGGAGGCTCGACGAGGGGATCGCGCAAGATGCAGCGGAGGAGCAGCACGGAGTGCTTTGGATACGGGCCTTGCTCGAAGGCGAGGACCACACGATGTGTGGCAGGGAAAAGAGAGGGCGCAACCGAGATTGCGTTCTTATGGCCGTGATTTGTCGGAGGCTGAATTTCGTGACCTGGTCATCACACCATCACTTGGTGTCACATGCTAACGCATTCAGGCCTGTGATCGGACACCGGGCCGATAGGGATTTTCTCTTTCTTTTCGACCACGACTACGGACAGCATCTACTTCCCCTAGAATCCACACTCCGCGATACTAGGGACACACGCTCCCATTGAGGATGACCAGGCCAACAGGTACGAAGGCAATGTCGACTAAGCCATGATATCCGGGAGTTCGCTGAGTTCGGGAAACCCTCGCGGCGTAGTGAACTGTGAGATGAGTCTTGCAGATTGGGAAGGGGTTGAGAATGCGAATACGAAACGGTGCGCGTCGAGCTCACCCTGTTCGTGTGCTCTGGCCTCACCATATTCACGTGCGCCTCGTTGCCAGATATCGGCACCCCGTCGGGACGGTGTTGCCGCACAGGACAGGACGTCCTTCCGTTCGGCGCGCCGCTGCACTCGTGCCAGCACGGCCGCGCGCGCTCCCAGACTGGAACGGTGGAAGCGACGAGAGGGCCCCGAATCGCCCATCTCCTGTCGTTGCTAAACAGGTGTCAGATGTCAGAATCGAGCTCATGCGCCCGACAAGTTGACGACGGCTGAGTACGGGGCCTTGAGGCTTGAGCACCCTTATCGGGATGGTTGAGGCCTGGTCCAGGGAGATGTTCGTTGGGACCTGAGCGCCAGGATGTGTCAGACCGAAAGCGGGGATCATGAGGGGACGGTGCGCACCTTGGCTGCGAACGCGGCTTTGACGATCGTGTACTGTTGGAAGGTGGTCTGGTTCGGAGCGTGAAGTCGCTGAAAACGAAATCATGAGCATTTCTGAGAAGATGGAGTCGCGAAAGAGCACGTACAGTACACTCTGTCGCCCTTGGACAGGGTGGTGACACCGGAGCCGACGGCCTCGACGACACCCACTCCGCCCGTAACGAGGGGGAGGGGGAGGACACCCATCACATGGATGAGCTCAGGGGAAGTGATCTTCCAATCGGCAGGGTTGAGTGCGGCGGCCTCGACGCGGACGAGGACCTCGCCGTCACCCGGGGTGGGCACCGGCCTTTCGGCGATGGCGAATTTGCCCTGGGGAGGGGCCTCTGTGAAGTGGAAAGTCTTCTGTGTGGTGGGTGTAGACATGGTTAGGCAGGGGTGTGGTGTCGGAAGGAAGAGGCAGAGGATGGCGCATTTATACGCTGTCTGCCTCCGCTGACCAAGGCGCGATGTGGACTCTGGGCTCCGCCATCGGGAGGGATTCGAGAGGCAAAGACGACGCGTGTGCGGTCTGGAACGTGTGAATGAGCGTCGTCGGCGGTGGTGGTTCGGAGATGGGGCGTTGTGCGAGCGGATCGGCGAACGGCACGGGCGGTTGTCGCCCGTGGGAGCGCGCCGTGATTGGCCAGGAGAAAGCCCGACGCCAGGGTCGGACACCCGGCGCCTCGACGACTCGGACTCGGATTGATCCACCCAAGCTACTACGTTGAACCGCTGACTAGTGGTTACTACTGCCATGATCCGCACGATCCTACGCTCTCTGCAAGCCACTCAACAATCCCCGTTCAGAACCACGACCTTCCTTCTCTCAAACACACACAGAAACGATTACGTAATAGGTCAAGTGTATGCAAGTCCGAAAAGAGCGCAGGATTGGTTCTCGCTACCGACGACGCGAGATAGCAAGACGACGTCTAGTCCAGCCAAATCATCGGGGGTGCGATCTACACCATCATCGCCTCAAAGGCTTGACCGGCCGACGCCGCGGTGCGCAGCAGCAGCTTTCCAGGGTGGCACCAGTTGAGCGTGTACAGCGCAATCGCAACCAGAGACGCGTCGAAGATCACTGTGTGCCCACGCGCTCGTCAGCGCCCGAGACCAGACGGGACCCGCTAGGACGACGCACCGAAGGTAACCTGGTTGTGCGCGAGCGCGCCCGAGAAGCCCTCGATGAACTCGGCCATACGGTAGACGGACCGCACGTAGACGAGCGCGGTGGAGACGAGGATGCCGCCGATGAGCCGCTTGACGTTGCTGTCGAGGATGTGCTGCGCGGCCTTCTCCTGCGCGGTCGCCCTCCGGAACGGCCGGTCGTTGGTGTACCGGTACGCGTACTCGCCCATGAGCGCGCAGAAGACGGACATGGCGAGGATCTGGAAGATCAGACCTCCGAGGGTGATGTTGCTTCCCTGGAAAACGGGCGTTGGTAGTTCGCTCCACAAGGACGCGCGATACGGGGGGTACGGCAGGAAAGACCAGCTTACAAGTCTGATCCTATCTAGGTCCTCGGTATTCGAGGCGCAGATTCCACCTCCAAGTCCTTGCACGACGAGCGAGAGAATATCCTGCCGTTCAAAGAGCCATGAGGACTTGTGTGCAGATTCAACGAGAGTGAGGGCCACTAACGCATGAAAGGAATATCCTCGAGTATAACTTGGGGCTTAGCCGACTGTACTGCACACCGAGGCCACCGACGATCCTGCCGAATCCCATGAAGAGAGCGGCGACGAAAGGCGTGGGGGCCAGGACGAGAAGAAGGGTCCTGAAGGCGAAAAGGGTTGATTATCAGCGCTTGAATAGCACCATACAGTACTCACTGGACGATGAAGGGACCCTTCAGTGTGGGGTTGGATGCAGATTGAAGTCGTGCCGCCCAGCCCACGGTCTCGCCGATGGCGGCAACGACGATAGATGGAAGCAACCACCAGGCGCGATGGCGCACCGACTGGAACAAATGCACGACTAATGACCCAGTCAGTTCACCCGCGCTGAGCTGGAACATAAGACAAAACTCACGGGCAGTCAGGGCAAATAAACCGGTATAGCAGTACCCGAGGGTTTTCGAGGGGACATAGCCGTACAGTGCCGTATCAGGGGGCTGGATCGTCGTGACATTCGCTAGAGTAAATTCCGTGTGTTAGCTGAGTATGACCATCGGAGGCCAACGGCGAACTCACCCATGTATTATACCGCTGGTGGAGAGCACAATATGCGGATGAGTGGTAGAGGCGGGGGAAGAATGGAGAAGAGTTAACGAGGGACCTTCCCACTGGTAAGGGCGGCCTTTATACATGGGCGTTGGGAACACGATACCTGCACTGCCAATCAGTACTTTTTCTTCATTATGGGATTGATCGTGTAGCCGTCAACGTACCCAACATGGTCGGTCCCGCTGCGAGGAGAGTAAATGGACCCTTGTACGACTGTCTGACCTGGTCACAATCGGTAAGCGTTTCTTGGTCGATGGCCCGGAGTTTCCGGTGCCCGAGAACGCACGCCGCAAGTGGGAGAAGCCGCAGTCTATCAACTAGGCATTGTGCGCGTATATGAGTCAACGAGCTTACTCATCATTTGTGACAAAGTCCTAGTCGCATGCCCAACACCCTAAGGCTGCTGTTAGCTGAACGTTCACGAATCTGGCATACCCTCGCGTACAACTTCACCGCGAATCTGCCTGCACAAGGCGTCGTTCAAGATGAGTTCAGTGACTAACGCCAGCAGGAATAGCAGCGCACCTTAAGGAGATTCGACCCATGCGTTCGCCTTGCTACCACACGGCCCGAACTCGCCGCGCGCAGTCAGGTTAAGTCCGAGTGCTACGCAACAGTCACAGCAAATGTCTATTTGGTGAGGCCGCAGGCCGTGTCCGACGCAACAGGCGCACAATCGCGGCGTTCGGCCCCGAGAGTCGGGCCGCTTCACCGTTCGTTGTATCGGGCGTGGAGGCACGGAGGAAGGTTCCACATGTCATATATTCCTGTGGTAGGGCGTTAACTACCGCAGACCGTCCATACCTCTTTCCCTCAACATCGAGAGCCACCACGACAGAATACGGCAGAGATCTACGCGCCGACCAGCTTGACCTTCAGCCGCAGCTCGGGCTTCAGGCTGTCCCCCATGGCGGGATGAACGACGACGGAGTTCAACCACGACACCGACTCGCCCGTGAGCTCGAACGCAAATGAGCTGAGAAGCACCCCCAGAACGATCTCTACGCGCGCGACGACAGTGTCAGCACCTGGAAACACACGTATCACACAGTCGAGCACTCACTCATCTCGACCTGGGAGAACTTGAAGCCGCTGGAACGCAGACCAACGGCGTCAGCACACCGACATACCAAGGATCAGAGACCGACGACGCACATGCACGACCGCGAACCGCCGGAGAACGTCATCAGGTGCGCGTACACGCCCGGAATCCGGGCCTCCTCGAGCGCCGTGGGCAGCGGCGCCAGCCAGCGCTCCGGCTTCCACTCGCGCGCGTCAGGGCCCCACAGGTCCGAGTCGACGTTGCACGCCTGGAAGTTTACGAACGCGAACGTGCCTTTGGAGATCGCGAGCTCGGAGATCTCCTTGCCGTCACGGGTGCGCACGGGCTTAGACAGCGGAAGTATCGTGTCTTCGAGCGCACTGCAGGTCACAGAGGTCAGGGAGTTAGATGCGGGTGGAGCCGAGAATATGGACGTACAATCTGTTGAGGAAGGGCACCGGAGCGTACAGACGGAGCGTCTCGCGGCAGACGGCGTCGAGGAAGGGGAGCTTCAGGAGGTCGTCGTATGTGATGTCGGAGCCGTCCCCGCCCTGCGCCTCCACAATCTCCGCCCGCAGCCTGTCCTGCGCGTCTGGGTGCGTGGCGAGAAGATGGAGGGTGCGAGAGAGGGCGTTGGAGGTGGTGTCCATGCCGGCCAGAATGAAGGTTGACACCTGCGCGATGAGCTCCTCGTCCGTCAACCTCTCGTTCTCGGCGGCCGTCATGTTGGCCTTCACTGGATGGTGAAGTGCATTAGTACAGCGATTAGTGGAGCACAGGTGAATCGGACGCACGACATATGCTCATCAGATCCTTGCCTTCTCCGATCCGGTGTTTCATTTCAACGTCGCCCTTCTCCAGCGCGACCCTCTTCTCTCTGATGATATCCGTCGAACGTGCTGCCATAAAGTCGCTGATCCGCTGAATCTCTCGCACCGATCCGAGCGGGAACAAGCGAAAGACCCTCCGCACGTTCGGCACGGAGAAGTAGTCAGTAAGGAAATTGAAAGGGAAGCCACCCCCCGGAACGGCCGCGAGTGACGGACTGTGGGTTCATTTCAGGATGAAGATGACGGGCCAAAAATGCGCAATATACGCACAAAAAGCTCTTGACTGCATCTGCAAACGCGTCCATCGAGTTGTCTGTGAAGTCGTCGAACGAGTACCCGAGGCCAGCCTGGCCCAGCATCTCGAGCGTCGTTCGTCCCATCCAGTCGTTGATGTCGAACTCGCGCGTAGCCCCGGTGGAAGGCAGACGCGACTTGATCGCATCACGGAGCTAGAAGTCCAAGATAAGGTTCATTTGAATAATAGAGGACTCGGGGCGCCGGGGGTCACCTTGTGAGAAACTCCGTAAAAGATACCAGTCATGTCGCGGACGTGGGCAGCAGAGAAGACCGGGTTGAGGAGTTTCTTCTGGCGCCTGTGCCTCTCCCCGTTATCGATACTGAGTACTCCGGGACCGAGAAAGACGTCGAATAAACTGGATTGTAAAGTGCGATAAATTACTCGGTGGCCGGTCACTGAGGGGACAATGCCCACTTACGTCGTCGGTGTGTCGCTCTTCTGCCAGATATGGGTGTCCTTAATCATCATCGTCTGTAATGCCTTCGCGTCATGCACGGCAAGTACTCGTTGCTGATAGTTCAAAGCTGAGGGTTGAGCATACAAGGAAAAAGAGACGACTTACGCCCAATATGAACCTGAAAACTATCGCTCGCCCGTAAGTTTCGGCATACTGTGTCCACGACTCCAGTCCTCGCTTGTTAAACAATGAGAAGGTGCTTCCTGGGAAGAATCACCTGTGAGATAAGACGCATTGAAGGAGAGATCAGACACATTACCTGTGAGCCAAGAATCTGGCGGGGGACCAGGCAGAATGTCGAGCGAAGATCGCTTGACATAGTTTCCGAAAAACTTGAAGAGGAGATAGAGCCCAGCTGCGCAGGCGGTTGCTGCGGGGAGCATAGAGGACATATCAAGCCGAGGCGATGTGGATGAGGGAGATGTTGGGGGCGAGGTCGTGAAAGGGTGGCCTATATGCGAAGACCCTCATCCTCGACGAAGTGCCGATAGGGATACGTGCCCATCAGTGCCGCGCCCACGTACGGCTCGTCGGTGTCAGCTCATCAGCATGTGGAAGGACGCCGATCGGCGATTGGAGTGCACTGCGGATAGTACAACTTGGCGAGACGCACCGACAAGACTGCGAAATTTCTGGCGTATGGGCGAGGTCCGGGCTTGAAGCTCGCACGCATCGCCACGCTGTCACCACGTACGCATGTCAATGAGCGAGCGACGGGCTTATGAATGTTGAGAACGACAGAGGGTAGAGACAGCGATGGTGACGAAACATGGATGTGCAAGTCGAGCGCGTGTGGGACGCACGTGCAGATTACGCGATTAGCGACCGGGGTCCAGGGGGATCTCCGTCCACCGGACTCAGGAAGCTGTTGCCACCTCCGAGAGGGCTTTGCTCATCTGGTGCCGACCTCGGGTGAAGACACGGAGAATTGGGTGTGCGCGAGGCGCAGGGCACGCTCTCCAAACCAGCGGAATCCCTAGTGCGGCACCGCCTTTGGGAAGCTTGACCCCCCAACTGCTAGCTCCAGGGATGCGGTGCAGGTGGCGGCTGAGGTGAGGCTAGCCTGAGGGGGCTTGGCCAGCTGGCGCAGGATCCGAGGTCGCTGGTAGCAAGTCTAACTGCTTGTTCGAGGCGTGGTCTGCACAGAGGAATAGGTCCGAGACAGCTCAGACGACAGACTCGAGCCGGGATGATGGTCGCACCACCGGCATAAGTACAGGCTGACCGGTTCAGACGGCCGACCGGCCCGGTTGACCGCGCGAGAGGTGCGTGCACGGAAGTATCTGTCGCCCCCAATATTGTTAAGGGCTCAAAGCAACGGTGAGCCTTACGCACAGATGGAATGGCATCGCTACACAGTCTTGACAACGCTACCCAGTGCACGGTGCTCATCAATATTCAATGCCGGGTCTCTCTTGCATGCGCACTGCGCAACTGGGAGACGGTGATTTTCACCGTTATGAAAGGTCAGTTGTCCGGATCACTATCAAACATAGTGAGAAGTTGGTTATTGGTGGTTCTTATGGTGATTTCCCCCTCACCATTGTTGTCTAGCAAATTCACTACCTCTGAATCGACCGAGTCCACACGTTGCTTATCTCCCAACAACCCTGCTTCACCCCCATCGCCGTCACCCTCATTCTCGCCTTCGACCTCCCCAGCGGTTACCAACGCCGAACGACTACGCCAACACCCGCGAGCGTGGCGCAGACCCACCCGTGCCGCTGGGACGGGTTCCGCGCGGGGGAGGAGCGACAAGGGAGCACGCGGAGCACGGCCGCCTCCGCGAAGGGCGCGATGCAAAGGCGAGTGTGGGTCGCCCGAGGAGTCGGTGTTGTGTCGCCTCGCGCTTGCGGTGCTCTACGCAAGTATGAGCATGATAGAGTCTAGAGCGCCGCGCCGCGTTGCGAAACACTCCCTTGGCATTCCGCGCCCTCCCGACGCACGTCCTGCAAACCACTCAGTCCCTCGTACGCGTGTGCCTGCTTCGCCGCCGTGTTCCCGGCGTCTGTCCTCAGCGCACGCACGACGCCCCGCACCTTGTGCACGTCCACGCGCCGCAGCTCGCCACCTCCACGGCGCCTCAGAACCGTCCACAGTCCTCGCCCCGCGAACGAGGCCAACCTCGAGCACTAGCTCATGTACTGGTCCGTACTCCGTTGCATTGTCGCTGTAAATATGTCGACGAGTGGCTCGTCTCATGGTGTCTCCTCACTGACTAGGGTTCGCCGCGCTCTCCTCGTTCCCACACCCACACAGGCTACCTCTGAAAACGCTCTTCCTCCTCTTCCTTACTCTCCCACACACATCAGGCTTTGTCTGGCTCTGCACGACCCACCTCTGCCCGTTCTTCGCCGCGCACGAGCACAAGATCAACACCGCGCTCACCCAGCCCAAGGCCTACCTCTATTCCTACGCCCAGCGGCCCCTCCGCCGCGGCTGGAACTCGCTCTCCGCCGCGGTCACCCACAAACGGCACCTTCTGCCCCATCCCCGCTCGAAGAAGAGGGCGGTGGCAAGGCAACGACCGGGCCCGCGCAACCCGTCGTACTATGGCCCTGCGATCCTCGCCGGGACGCGGTGGTTTTCATGAAGGCGCAGGCGGACGCGGGCAGGCGGACGGAGCCTGCGGTGGCGCTCGAGCGCGAAGGTCAATATCGTGCCGGTGGACGTCGCGGTGCCTCACCCAGCTGCGCACCCCATGGCTGCACTCCCCGCGAGACTGGAGCGCGGTCGCGCACGGGCTGAGGGGGCTCGTCAGGCCCGACTAACAGTGGAACGTGCTGCCGATTGCGAGTCGCGCGCCGAGCATCAAGATTGGCGGCGAGGTCTAGTTCAGTATCTCGCTCCATCGGACCACAAGGACCTACACGTACGGCCACGTCGTTCCTCCTCTCCAGCCTCTTGACTCATCGCTCCCATCCCCCCCACAGCGCTCGCGTGCCCGTCAGCTGGTCGACACACCCCGCGCAGGGTCGACCTTGACGGGCTCGTGCGCGTACGCGCTCGCGAGCCCATCCGGTCTTCAGCGCGGACGGAAACCTACTTTTTTGAGCTCCGGCAGTACCGCGCCGGCGGGCGGCAGCTCGCGCTGCGCATCGCCTAGGCGAGTTTGGGTGAGGCACAGTAGTAGTATTGTGTATAAGTACGGTACAAACTCAAATAAACGAGTCCTTTTATCACCATTCTTGTGAATGTCCCCAATGCATTCATCATTGACCATGTCCGTGAATATGGCCAACGCAGTGGGTGATTCAATGATGGCGGTCCGACGGCTCAGTAACTTTCACAATCCACTGGCGACTTGGTAGTGAAAGTCGAATCGTTGATCTCGCACGTCGCGAACAACCCCCAGCCCCTCATTGTGCGCGGTGCAGCTTCCTAGAGAGACTGCCAGGACACGGCTTTACCAAGCTCGCCGCAGCAACGGACATTAATCTGCGCGGGCTATAGTAGTACATCATCGGACACGTCGACAAACCGTCGTTCCGCCGTCTCGAGGACTCTCACCCACCTCCAGATCGTCTGTTGTGGAGACAAGCGAATACATGGTAAACATCTACGCACCGACCAGCTTGACCTTAAGCCGCAGCTCGGGCTTCAGGCCGTCCCCCATCACGGGATGAATGACGACAGAGTTCAACCACGACACCGGCTCGTCCGTGAGCTCGAACCCAAAGGAACCGAGAACCACACCCAGAACGATCTCTACGCGCACGACGACAGCATCAGCACCTGGCAACACACGCACCAAACAGTCGAGCACTCACTCATCTCGACCTGGGAGAACTTGAAGCCGCTGGAACGAAGAACAACGTGACGTGAGCGCACCGATCTACAAAGAACCAGAGGCCGGATACGCACATGCACGACCGCGCCCCTCCGGAGAACGTCATCAGGTGCGCGTACACGCCCGGGATCCGGGCCTCCTCGAGCGCCGCAGGCAGCGGCGCCAGCCAGCGCTCTGGCTTCCACTCGCGCGCGTCAGGGCCCCACAGCTCGGGGTCCATGTTGCACGCCTGGAAGTTTACGAACGCGAGCGTGCCTTTGGAGACCGCGATCTCGGAGATCTCCTTGCCGTCGCGGGTGCGCACGGGCTTAGACAGCGGTACTACGGTGTCTTCCATCGCACTGCAGGTCCCAGAGAAATTAGATAGGTCAACAAGGGAGTTAGATGCGGATAACGGACGTACAATCTGTTGAGGAAAGGCACCGGGGCGTACAGACGGAGTGTCTCGCGGCAGACGGCGTCGAGGAAGGGGAGCTTCAGGAGGTCGTCGTATGCGATGTCGGAGCCGTCCCCGCCCTGCGCCTCCACAATCTCCGCACGCAGCTTGTCCTGTACGTCCGGGTGCATAGCAAGAAGTTGGAGGGTCCGAGAGAGCGCATTCGAGGTGGTGTCCATCCCGGCCAGAATGAAGGTTGTCACCTGCGCGATGAGCTCCTCGTCCGTCAACCTTTCGTTCTCGGAGGCCGTCATGTTGGCCTTTACTGCTAGTGCATTAGCGCAGTGATCAGCGGAGCGCAGATGAAGACGTACGACAGATGCTCATCAGATCTTTACCCTCCCCGATCCGGTGCTTCATCTCGGCGTCACCCTTCTCGAGCGCGGCCTTCTTCTCCCTGATGATCTCCGTAGAACGCGCTGCCATAAAGTCGCTGATGCGCTGAAGCTCTCGCATCGATCGAAGCGGGAACCAGCGGAAGAGCCTCCGTACGTTCGGTACGGAGAAGTAGTCAGTGAGGAAGTTGAAAGGGAAGCCACCTCCCGGAACGGCCGCGAGTGACGGGCTGTGGGTTCATTTCAGGAAGGACTCAATGACGGGCCAAAAATGCGCAATATACGCACAAATAGCTCTTGACTGCATCTCCGAACGCGTCCATCGAGTTGTCTGTGAAGTCGTCGAACGAGTACCCGAGGCCAGCTTGACCAAGCATCTCGAGTGTCGTCCGTCCCATCCAGTCGTTGATGTCGAATTCGCGCGTGCCCAGTGGAAGGCAGACGCGACTTGAGTGCATCACGGAGCTAGAAATCCAGGAGAAGGTTCATTTCTTTGGATAACAGAGGACAAGGGACTCGGAGTCACCTTGTGCGAAACTCCGTAAAAGATACCAGTCATGTCGCGGACGTGGGCAGCAGAGAACACCGGGTTGAGAAGTTTCTTCTGACGCCTGTGCCTTCCCCGTTATCGATACTGAGTACTCCGGGACCGAGAAGACGTCGAATAAACTGGATTATAAGTACGATAAATACTCCGTGGCAGGCAGAGGAGACATATTCACTTACGTCGTCGGTGTGTTGCTCTTCTGCCAGATATGGGTGTCCTTGATCATCATCGTCTGTAATGCCTTCGCGTCATACAGGACAAGCACTCGTTGCTGATCATTCAAAGCTGAGAGTTGAACATGGACGGAAAAAGAGACGACTTACGCCCAATATGAACTTAAAAAGTATCGCTCGCCCGTACGTTTCGGCATACTCTTCCCACAGCCTCAGTCCTCGCTTTTCAAATAATGACAAGGCGCTTCCTGAGAAGAATCACCTGTGAGATAATACGCATTGAAGGAGAGATCAGACAGAACCTGTGAGCCAAGAATCTGGCGGGGGACCGGGTAGAATGTCGAGTGAAGATCGCTTGACATAGTTTCCGAACACCTTGAAGAGGAGATATAGCCCAGCTGCGCAGGCGGCTGCTGCGGAGAGCATAGAGGACATATCAATCCGAGGCGATGTGGATTCCAAGGGAGTTGTGGAGGGCGGAGTCGTGAAAGGATGGCCTATATGCGAGGACTCTGATTGGAGACGTAGTTCCAGGGCCGGTAGGGATAGGCTAAGGTAAGAATGCGTACCTGCCATTGTCAGCGCATCAGCACGTGGAAGCACGGGGCTGATCGCGATGACAGCGTACCGTGCAACGCGGAGGCACCGACAAGCTGAGTGCACTTCTGGCGTGGGGCGAGGGCCGGGAAGCTCGCACACATCGCCATGTCGTCAACACGTATGCTGTGAATGAGCGGGTCATGAATATCTGAATGTTCAGAGAACAACACGGGCAGAGACAGCCGCGACACAGGTGCGCACGTCTATGTCCTGTTTCATATCCGTCTCACCTGTGGTCGGAATGCACTAGATTACGAGATTAGCACCGAGTGATCTCCGTCCACCGGACTCACGAAGCAGTTGTCAAGGGCTTTGCTCATCCAGTGCTGACCTCGGATGAAGACGCCTGAGATGGGAGGATCGGTGTGCGCGAGGCGCAGGACACGCTCTCCGACGAGTTGAGTCGCATCAGCGATGGTGATGAAGTCGGTGTGTCGAAGGGCCGTGAGCGAGCGCCGGAGCGAGCGCTGGAGCACTGCGTGGCCACGTGGGAAGCTCGACGCTCAAATTGCCAACGCTCGAGGAATGCGGTGCAGGTGATGACAACGACGATGATCATCCATCCATGCCAGAACTAAGTTCCTAAGTATCTTCGTAATGCTAAGTAAGGGATGCGGTGCAGGTGCGGCCGAGGTAGGCCGTGTGCGAGCTTGGGGCGGCTGGAGGCCGTCTAGTAGCTGGCCACTTGTTTTCAGGGACACTGCATCTTCCTTGAGTCCATGATGTTCGAGGTGCGGTCTGCACAGAGGAACACAAGACGAACAGGTCGGAGGCAGCTCAGACGGTACGCAGTAAACCGTCACTCGGCGGGGCGCTGGACGCTGGTGTCGTCAAGGGACGCATGCATTTCCGAGCACTCCCGAAGTGTTCTGGGATGAGTCGAAGTGCAGGGGAGGCGAGGGTGGATGGCAGGAGGGCCGGGGACGTGGAGCGTAGACGAAACGCGCTTTGATGAGACAAACGACTACATGAGATTATAGAGAGAGCTTATAACAATCGCACGTGGGCGAAGGAGCAAACATCTACGCGCCAATCGCCTTGACCCTCAGTCGCAGCTCTGGCTTGAGGCTATCCCCCATCGCGGGGTAAATCACAGCAGAGTTCAACCACGACACGCGCTCGCCACTGACCTCGAAACCAAAGGAGCTGAGAAGCACCCCAGAACGACCTCTACGCGCGCGACGACAGTGTCAGCACCTGGCAACACACGCATCAAGCAGTTGAGCACTCACTCATCTCGACCTGGGAGAACTTGAAGCCGCTGGAACGAAGAGCAACGTGACGTGAGCACATCGATATACAAAGAACCTGAAATCCAAAACGCACATGCACGACCGCGCGCCGCCGGAGAACGTCATCAGGTGCGCGTACACACCCGGATCCTGGCCTCCTCGAGCGCCGCAGGCAGCGGCGCCAGCCAACGCTCCGGCTTCCACTCGCGCGCGTCAGGGCCCCACAGGTCCGGGTCCACGTTGCACGCCCGGTAGTGCACGAACGCAGCGTGCCTTTGGGGACCGCGATCTCAGAGACCGCCTTGCCGTCACGGGTCCACACGGGCTTGGAGAGCGGCACTATCGTGTCTTCGACAGCACTGCCAGCATGCAGAAACGTCAACAAGATGCCGCGCAGCGGATGACGCGGGCGATGAGCACGTACACTCTCCGATAAAAGGAACTGGGGTGTACAGCCGAAGGGTTTCGCGGCAGACGGCGTCGAGGAAGGGGAGCTTCAGGAGGTCGTCGTATGCGATGTCGGAGCCGTCCCGCCCTGCGCCTCCACGATCTCCGCCCAAGCTTGTCTTGTACGTCCGGGTGCATGCAAGAAGGTGGAGGGTCCGAGAGAGCGCATTCGAGGTGGTGTCCATCCGGCCAAAATAAAGGTTGTCACCTGCGCGATGAGCTCCTCGTCCGTCAATCTCTCGTCCTCGGCGGCCTTCATGTTGGCCTTTACTGCATGGTGTAGTGTATGAGTATAGTGATCAGTGGAGTGCGGATAAAGACATACGACAGATGCTCATCAAATCCTTGCCCTCTCCGATCCGGTGCTTCATCTCAACGTCGCCCTTCTCCAGCGCGGCCTTCTTCTCCCTGATGATCTCCGTCGAACGCGCGGTCATGAAGTCGCTGAGGCGCTGAGCCTCTCGGATGATCTCAGTGGGAACCAGCGGAGGAACCTCCGGAAGTTCGGCAAGGAGAAGTACCCAGTGAGGAAGGTGAGAGGGAAGGTACCCCCCGGAGTGGCCGCGAGTGCCGGGCTGCGCGTTAATTTCAGGATGGCGACGAGCGGCCGAAAGAGCGCAAGATACGCACAAAAAGCCCTTGACTGCATCCCGAACGCGTCCATCGCGCTGTCCGTGAAGTCGTCGAACGAGTACCCGAAGCCAGCTTGGCCCAGCATCTCGAGCGTTGTTCGTCCCATCCAGTCGTTGATGTCGAACTCGCGCGCATCCCCGGTGGAAGGCAGGCGCGACTTGAGCGCATCACGGAGCTAGGAATCGATCGATCACGAGGCGCGTCATGAACTGGATTATAGAGATTTCAAAGCGCGGGGAGGATACCTTATGGGAAATTCCGTAGAAGATGCCCATCATGTCACGGACGTGTGCGGCAGAGAAGACCGGGTTGAGGAGTTTCTTTTGGCGCCTGTGCCTCGCACCGTTGTTGATGCTCAATACACCAGGACCGAGAAAGACGTCGAAGACACTGAGGTGCACACGATGTGTTATCCTATGGGTTTCGGAGGCAAACACATTCACTCACGTTATCGCTGCCTCGCTCCTCTGCCAGATGTGGGTATCCTTGATCATCATCGTCTGTATTGCCTTGGGGTCCCGCACAACAAGGATGCGTCGCTGCGCCCCATCATCCAGCTGAGAAATGTGAATGCACAGAGAATACATGTGACTTACCCCGAGCAGGAATTTGCACACAAACGCCCTCCCGTAAGCGTCAGCATACTCCGCCCAAGCCTTGAGTCCTCGTGGGGCAAAAAGCGATGGCATACTTCCTGGTTTGCATGCGTCAGATCGCGCGCATTGAGGCGGAGGTTCGACACGGTACCTGCAGCCACGAATCCGGTGCAGGGCCAGGGAGGATGTCGAGGGAAGACCGTTGGACGTAGGGTCCGAAAACCTTGAAGAGTAGATACAGCACAACCGCGACGGCTGCTGCTGGGGGCAAGACAGACATCATGCCGAAGCGGCCGACTGCGGTTGCGAGGGTTTAGGAGATGTGAAGAAGGGAGCTGTTGGGACGCTGTGCGGTAACAGTCGACTTATATGTGAGCACCTCCATCCCGTGGGACCCCAGGCTTGGCGACGGCAGTTGTGGTATTTCACCAGAGGCGGACATGCGAACAGCTTCCGTGGGGGTCGAGTCTGCCCGTTCCCGATATCTCGGAAGTACGGCGATCCCGCGATACAAAGGGCTCTCGAAGCACCAGATGACGAGATCAATGATCGAGTGAATGAAGGCGAGCCTCCGTCCGCCACGGAAATCGGGGGCAATAGTGATGCAAAGACTCGAATTTGCTCGCCGACAGTTCGTGTCTAGAAGGATGACTTCTGGGATGCGGTGCCCCATCGCACGGGCTCATCTGTTCCATTGCTGCGAAGGGGCCGCCTCGGACCAAGCGAGCTTGCACGTGGTAAGGATAATGGTTGGGACTCAACGACATGGTATCCGGCGTACAAGTCTCTCTCGACTAGCCCAGTGAACGTACGCATATCATATGACCTTGATCTGCATTACAGCAATTAGTAACGTAGTATACGCCGACCAACTCACAACACGACTGCATCACCATGCCTGAGCGGCCTCCCTCGTCCGACCATAACTTGGCCTCTCCGACGGATCACGCAGCGGCCGCGTCCGGTAGCCCCGCTCCAACTCCCACTCACTCTCGTCTACTCCGCTTCGTGAAGGCCCGCCATGCACTTCGTCCTCCAACGCATGCTTTTTCCAGGGCTGCGCCGCTGCCTCCGCTGCTCTCATCCTCGCAGTCCGCACCGATCCACCTCTCTCTGCCCCCTTGCCTTGGTCCCGCTCTTCTCTCCCCTCCCTTCCCTTCTGCTTCTTTTGCCGCGTGTCCAAATGCACCAGCCTCTCGATCTTCGCCAGCACCGCCATCGCGTCCGTCAGGTCCCCGTCCATCCACGGCGCGCGCTCCCCGACCTCGCGCCGGATCCCCTCCACGAGCACATGCGTGCGCGAGTCCGTCGGGATCCCGTTCACGCGCATCTGCTCGAGCGTGGCGAGCACGCCGCGGAGGTCGCGGAACGCGCTCCAGCGCGTCTCGATCAGCTCATTGTACACGGGCGTCGTGCAGCCGAAGACGAAGGAGTGGAGGGAGAGCGTGCGGGCGTGTTCGAAGAGCGCGAGCGCGAGGTGCGGGTTCGCGTACTTGCCCCGGAAGGTCGCCATCAGCCGCGCGAGCAGGTGCGGGTACGACTGCGGGGAGAGGTGTGACGGGAGGCCGACCATCGCCATCGATTGCTTCGCGGGGGTGTTCGCATGCTTGGGCGTGCTGGGGGAGGGCTCAGACGTGTCGTCGGGGGAGCGGGGCATGGGGGCGTTGGCGACCTCGACCGCTTGGCGGAGCGTTTCGGTCATGGGCGAGTCCTGGCCGAAGACGTCGCGCAGTGCCCAGGCGAACAGTTGTGAGTCTGTCTCACAGAGCTCCATATCTTCCTTCTTCCTATCCAGGTCCTCGTCCACCGTGTTTGCAAACCGCTGGCGCGCGGAGCGAAGTCGGCTGTAGAGCGCATGGGACGGGGCCTTCGTCCCACCGACGGGTGTTGATGTGGTGGCCTTAGTCTGGTCTTGGAGCCCTTGCTGCTGGAAGAGGGAGTCGACTATGTCGCGCAGGGTGGCAATTTCGCCCTGGGACAGAGAGACCTTGCGAGGTCCTTCCTGGGTCTTTGCAGATGCGCGCGGAGAGCGCGTGATGGAGCCCTTTGCCTCCAAGGGGGTTTTCATCATTTCAGGGAGGATGTGGTCCCATGGAGAGACGTCGCCAGAGAATATGGACTTGGAAGAGCTGCACCGTGGTCAGAAGCAGCGCAAGCGAAACAGCGACAGAACATACTCGGGCGTAGGGAGCGGAGTGATCTCTTGAAGTAGATGGCGCGTCGTAGACAGTGAGGCTGCCAGAGGTGTTCATAGGTGTGGGACGGAAACAGCGACGCACGTACCTGTCAGACATCGCCCCCCTACACACGGGCACACTTTTGCCACCGCCTGACGTGCAAGCATCCTCACTGCCAAGAAGCAAGATACAGGCGCGACAAGAGGGCGAGAGACCAACCAGTATTCAGTAGGGGAAGAGGAGGGTTGTGGTGGGAGAGGGAGAGTGGACGGCACGCCAAGGCGCCGACTGTCCACGCGAAGTCGCTTGTGCGTGTGTTAGTCAATGTATAACATTATAAAAGTGAACTCATGTCACTTTGCCGGAGTGGTTAACGGGATCGCCTGCTACTATAGCTGCCAGCGGTTGTGCTTTGCACGCGAGTGTTCGAATCGCTCAGGTGACGCTTTTTGTGCAGAAATGAACCGATGCGCGCCTGTAGCGTGCACCGTGCGTGGCCCCGGTTACTCCTCCGCGGACTGTCTCCACATATCCACCACCACTCCCCTCTGTCTGGCGCAATATGAGTGGCGCAAAGTACGCGAATCTACCGGACATCGTATGTCGTCCACATGATTGGTGAAAGCAGCTCTTCAAGGCTGATATCGTCCACAGGACACCGCGCCTGATGTGTACGAGACCGAAGACGTCTTTCCCTCCGCCCACGACAGTGTCAGTCTCCGAGCCTCGGTGGACCCTTCCGTCCCTCCTGACGCATGCATGCTAGAAAGGTGACTCAAGCGACGACGAGGCCGCCCCGACGCGCGGCCACGCACGGGGCAAGGCAAGCGAGACCAGCGGGCGGGAGGAGCTCGACCTGAGCAGCGTCCACCCGGACGACGCGTCCAAGCGGTTCCGCAAAGCCGAGCGCAGTGCGTCTCTCCTCCTCCGTCCCCTCCCCACCCCTCCCCCCTCCTCGTCCCCTCGCGGTGCTCATCGCCGCACGCAGGACACCCCCGCCCCAAGGTCCAGTACGTCTACCCCCCGTCCCCCACGAGCGCGGACCCGTCCGGGCCCCCGTCGCCCAGCGGCGGCCCCGTCCCGCTCTCGCAGCGGCTGCGCCTCCTCCAGGCGGAGGTCGCCGCGCTCGAGGGCGAGCTCGCGGACCCGACGAACCCGCTGCTGCAGAAGGAGCGGGGCGGGGGGCGCGCGGACCCGGGGGAGCTCATCCGGGGGATGGTGGACGTGAAGCGGCGGATTGAGAAGATCAGCAAGGCGCGCGAGGGCCGGGGCAAGCTCGTGAGCGTCATGCTGGGCGATTCGGACGCAGAGGACGCGTCGCGCAGGGATGCGGCGAAGGAGGCGGGCGAGCAGAACGGCGAGGAGGGTGCGGAGGGCAAGACCGAGCCGCCGACGATCAGGGTGCCGGAGGCCCGCGACATCGCGGAGATGGACAGGCGGGTGGGCGAGCTCGAGAAGCTGGTTGGGTCGTCGACCGTGACGTTGGACGAGGTGCGTCGCCCGCCGCTGCTGCAGGTCCGCGCGCGACACTCACCCTTTCTCTTCCCACTCGCAGCTGTCGCCGCTCCCGCCTCCCCTGCTCCCCCTCCTCACGCGCCTCAACGCGCAGCTCAACCTGCTCACCCAGCCCCGCCATATCGACTCCATCTCCCGCCGCATCAAGCTCCTCAACTCCGAGTTCGACCGCTCCTCCGGCCCCTCCGCCCAGTCCACGCCAAAGACCGGCGTGCCGCGTCCCAGTCCGGCGCGCAGCCCGCGCGCCCGCCTCCTCGCCTCCTCCGCCGCGCTGCAAGAACAGCTCGCGCCGGTGCTCACCAAGCTTGCTCCTTTGCTGCCGCACATCCCCACGTTCTCGCCGCCTCCGTACTCTCTCCGCGTTGCACACGTCCGCCGCAGGCTTTGAGAAGACTCTGCAAGAGCTCGAGGAGGAGCAACGGCGAGGGCGGGCGGCGCTCGAAGAGCTCACTCGCGCGGTGGAGGGTGTGGAGAAGAGCCTCGCGGACAACGAGGCTCTAGTGAAAGGGAATGTACGCGAAATAGAAGATCGCATTGAGGGTCTGGGAGCAGGCTAGAGGGGATGAAAGTGAGATCTAGATGAAGCAGAGCTGACGCCACCGTGTTCCTAGATGTGTTACAGATGCATGAGCACTGAGGTAGCCAGCTTTCGTCGACGGATCACTTGTACACTCGCTTTTGGGATGTCTTTCATCTTGTGGACGACAGTCCCTGTCCTCTCTTGGGCCAAGAGTGTCCCACCAGAAATCGATCAAATGGATACCGCGCCTCCAATGTATGTATAGACAAAGTGGGAAACACAACGATAGGACATCAGGGCCCCTGAAGCACGACGCTCATCTCCAACAGGTCTCGTAGGCCCTTCTCATCGACCTCGATCACTTCGTCGGAGTCGTCATAAATGATGATGTACTCGACCCCGCGACGCTTCTGGGAAATCGAATCCAGCATCCACTCCCCAGCCCAGCCTTCGTCCTCACTCAGACACATGAACGTCATCAGGAGGATCTGGCCGGTATCTTGGAGCAGAGAGTCGACTCGTTCCGTGGACAGTGGCGTCTGGTTTGGTGGCATGGCAGCATCCTCGTGGTCCCACGGTGTCCACAGAAGACCGGCGAGTGGGAGGGAAGTAGGTCCGAGGGAGTAGTAGAACGCTGAGACGACGAAGATGGATGGCCCTGGGGATGAGCCTGGCAAAACTCTTTGAACATAGCTCTGCCCTACACACAGCAACACTTTTCTCAGAACGCAGCTCCAAAGTATGTAAGGATGCGTGAGGACTCACGATTTTATACCGCGACTAGAGATGCCGTTCAATCCGCCAGCACCTAGGTGATCGAACTTGCTCTCGATGGGTACGACCTTGTTCTCGACGAAAATCATGTGCGCAGAGAACAAGAAATGCACGCGTAACACCCGGCTTTACACAGCACGGCATGAGCACAGTGGGAGTGGGTGGAGAGGCGAAGACGCGACGTACTCGGCGACGGTGAAGCTGTCCCCAAGCTGCTGCTCCTTTTCGTCGAGCTCCAGGATCGCCCCGTCCACCTTGCGGAGGTACTCGTCAAAGTCGCCACCCTCCGCATCTACGGGTGCTCGTGAGCCGAATGGGACGGTGTGTTGGGTCCCGTAGAGGTCCGCGATGGCTCTGTCGCGTTCGGCGGCTTGGCCGTGCAGAATGAATGTCTCAACTTGGAAGCGATACATGTAGTTGGCATAGCGCTGCGAGAGCTCGTCCCACTCTTTGCGTTGTGCAGGAGTAGGACTGCCCTTCGGTACACGCATGGTCGTCATGTCGGATAACGGGTGTGGAGAGAGAACGCAAGCCATTAATGGCGATGGATTCAGGGGAGGATGAGCCGGACGCCTCCAGACACGGATGACGTCACCAAATCCAGACACGTGACTAGCGTGCAGCAGTTGGAATTGTCCTCCATTATTGACTGAACGTGCGACAATCGACAGAGCATGTAAGACGACATGTAGGACAACATAGCAGAAACAGCTTTAACACAACATGTGCGTGCAGGAAACGATAGCGGCCAAAGGACGGCGACGAAACAACACTACAGAGAAACACTCTCCTTCATGAGCCAGCGCATGGACTCCCTGTCCATCGGGATCGGTCCATCGCAGTCGTCGTAGACGATAACAAATTCGACTCCACGGCGGCTGTGTACAATCGACTTCACCGACCACCGGCCAGCCTCGTCTTCGTCCTTGCTCAGACACAAGAACGTCATCTTGAGCAGGTCAGCCGGTTTTTCCAGGAGGTATTCGATAGCCTCTGAGGAAAGTCTAGTCTGCACGGGTGCCGAGTCGACGTCGGGGTCTGTGTCCACCTCCACATTCGAGTCTGACTCCGCCTCCGTATCCATGTCCGTGCTCGCAGGACCGCCGGGAACTCGGGGAGGATACGTGCGGGGAGAAGTCGACATGCTGGGGTTATGACCGGGAGCAGAGCGATCAGGGTATGAAGGACGACCGACTCGAGAATGCTCTTTGAGCATCTCGCGGCTCCTGCACACCGCAACGCCCTATTCAGGATGGTCCCCGAAGAAGCAGACTGAGAACTTACAGCTTCAAACCCCGGGTGCTGATGCTCTCCATCCCGCCAGCACCCAGGTGAGCGAACTCGCCCTGGATGGGAAGGCATTTGTATTGACGGCAGATCAGGGCGGCCGAGAACAAACAGTGCCAACGCAGCACACGGCTGCACACGGTGCAGTGTAAGAACAGCGCGGCAAGAGGACTGAGAACCACGTACTCGGCCACAGTGAAAGAATCGCCACGTTTCTCCTCCTTCTCGTCGAGCTCGCGGATTGTCTCGTCCACCTTGTCAAGGTATTGATCTGCATTCCCATCCTCCGCGTCGACTGAAGCCTTGGGGTTGAGCGACACGATAGGCTGTGTCCTATTGAGCTCCTCAAGGGCTCTCTTATGCTCGAGGGGGGTGGTTTGGAGGATGCCACTGTCAACTTGAGAGCGGTAGAGGTAGTTGGCAAAGCGCTGCGACAGTTCATCCCATTCTCAGTGGCGTTGGGCGGCGGTGGCGCCTTTCCACAGCTCGGATACCGCAGGCATGGTGGACGGCGGGAAGACAAAGGCGCGAGCGCGCTCTGCTGTCATTGTCGAGAACGTGTTCCTCACACTTACGTCAATGAGTGAACCAGCAGCTGCATCCCTCCCAGAGGCCACAAACTCTGATTGTCCTCACGTTCATGCGTTCCCATTGTTGAGGCTTCGGGTTGTCGTTTTCAACACTTCATTTACTCGGATCATGGGTCTCGACGCCATCCAGAGTCCGGACGAAGCGGAGTGGGCGAGCCTGATACATACATATGATCACAACGACGCGGGGACCCGAAGCACAGAATTATATTGCTCGCTAGACTCGTAATGATACTCGATGGCCTCTGCATGATGGCCGCCACAGTAGGATTTATATGCTTACTGCACAGGACAAACGTCCACTAGGGGCCTGCGGATTCGCTTTCGGTCCAGTGGGCGACGCGTCTCGTACGTGCACGATGACCTTGCCCCACGTCTTGCGTTGCTCCAGTGCCGATAGCCCGTCGGCAAGCCGGTCCAGAGGATAAGTCTCGGAGTACACAACTGGCTTTGCGCGCCCAGAAGCGACCAGCCAATGGAACAGTGAGAAACACGAACATAGTACACGTGGGAGGCGTACTCAAACAACCCCTTCCATACCACCGGCGCTCGTGAAGGCTCGATCTCTGTAGAGTAGTGAGCATCAACGAGAGTCACGATGTAAGGTCCGCCTGGATACCCCCTCGTATACACGCCCCAGTGAATGCTAGCGATAGAGATGTTCTTGAGAAGGACAAGATTCAGGGCAAGCTACGGACGACGGGCACTCAGTACTAGCCATCTCACTGGCCGCATCCCTTTCCGGCTCACCTTGTCGACCTGACCCGCGGCGAAGCCCACGACAATCGCATGCCCATTCAAAGCAATGTACTTGGGCGAGTCTACCGGCCAAACCTCAGCACCCCACTTCCACCGATGGGTGAAACGACGCAGAACGCACCACGAATGAGCCCGATCGGGTCGTAGGTCACATCGACGCCCTGCCCACCCGTAAGCTTCAGGACCTCCTCCCGCCACCCCTCTTTGCTATAGTTCACGCTGTGGTCCGTGCCGCCGTACTTGACCGAGATGTCGAGCTTCTCCTGCGATCCCGCCGCTGCAACGACCTTCGCCCCGAGCGCTGCCCCGACCGTCCGTCAGCACGACCAAAAACCCCAAAGGACGAGGATCGCACCTTCGCGAGCTGCACTCAGGCCGCGATGCTCACGCCCCCGGCGGACGCCTTCGTAGCTCGTTGTCCAGGTAGCGAACAGACCTGCACGCCGCGCCACGCCGCGCTCTCAGCCATGCCATCCACATATCAGATCTAGAGCCGCGAAACACGCACCGGTGCCGCGGTCGCACGACATGTTCGACGCGCAGTGCGCACCGCGAACGCGCCCTGTGCCGCGCTGAACGGGCAGCCGTCGGGGATGGGCGAGCTCTCGGCGATGCGTCCCGTGAGCTCGCTGCCGGGCACGAACGGCTGTGTGGGCTGATGCTGGTACTTTCCCTGGGCCTGGAAGATCTGCGGGCACGGAAAAAGGATATGAGTCCTGCGAGGGGAAGAAGGAAATGAGACGCACGTCGAAGTAGCTTAGGCCTGCGCTATACACGTCGACGAGCACTCGACGATTCCTCTGGCACCTCTACTTGTGTACCCAGTCCCAGGCGCGGCGCGTCCCAGTCCAGTACGCAGCCCGCCGCCTCCGCCTCCTCCGCCGCGCTGCAAGAACGGCTCGCGCCGATGCTCACCAAACTTGTTCCTTTGCTGCTACACATCCTCCACGTTCTCACTCACCTCCGTTCTCTCTCCGCGTTGCAAACTTCCGCCGCAGGCTTTGAGAAGACTCTCCAAGAGCTTGAGGAGGAGCAACAGCGAGGACGGGCGGCTCTCGAGGACCGTGGAGGGTGTAGAGGAAAGACTCGCTGCTAACGAGGCTCTGGTCGAAGAGAATGTGGAAGAACTGGAGGATCACATCGAGGGCTTGAGTAGGAGGGGTGAAGCAGAGTTGGTATAGTCCTAGATGTGTTGGTGCTGAGCGCTGAGGGATCTGCGTTGGTCCTTTTGCTGACCACACATTCCACGTGCGAATCATGCTTGGGACATTTAAAATACTCAAACCGACAGTGCACGTCGAGGGAAGAAAAATTGTATTTAACACTCCAAACGACACCAGCAGGATTCGAACCTGCGCCTCCTTTGCAAAGGAGAACAGATTTCTAATCTGTCGCCGTAACCACTTGGCTATAGCGCCGTAATATAAATATTATAAGTATTTATTATAATATCCAAAACACGGTTTACGGACCCCACGAACACGCAGAAGATCCTTAGAAGATCCGACATTCAAAACCGAGATAATATCATTATGCGTAAGAAAACACGAGAGAGCTGTGACATGACATGCGTGGGTAGCAAGCAATGAACAAGAAAACTTGCGACAAACGTCACAGTACGACACTCTCCTTCATGAGGTCCCGCATTAGGGATCGACTACATACCCTGTTGTTACTTACAAAACTTATTATGTACGTTACTTACACTGTAAGTAACGCGTTAGTTACATGGGGCTCGAAGGGGTGGTGTAACATATGTAACAAGTGGATAAGCGCCTGTTCTTGAAAGGGCTGTCGGGACGCGGATATCATGTGAGACTTCCGAGTCAACACGAGGCTTCCCACTGCCCAGGGCTTCCGGTCACCAGAACATCATGTCGATGACCCAGATTGACCCTCCGGTGGCGTGCCACGGGTAACATCCACCTCATCCTCTTGCAGTCTCAATGATCTTCATATACGCGGTTACTGGTGCCTCTCGCGGCATCGGCCTCAAATTTGTTGTGCAACTTGTACGTTGATAGTCCTGTCGTATATAAATTCCCTAGCATTAACATATCGTGTCTCCAGGCATCCATACCCGCAAACTCCGTGTTCGCCGTCCGCAACCTCGGTGCACCTCCAGGACACGATGAAGCAGCACGGCTTCAGTAACGTCCACATTTTTGAAGGCAATATTGGCGACTTCGCTGACACGTCCTTGTCCAGCGTGCCAGGAAAGAAGTCGCCGAGAAGACCGGCGGAGGCCTTGACTGCCTCATCCACAACGCCATGCGCCGCTCTCCTCCTGTCATCTTCACCGACTTCCTCAACATCCCCGACATGGCCGAGTTCGATGCCAGCCTCGCCCACGCCGTACGCCTCCGTGCCCCTCCCCTCCAGTCTCGCACTGACCGCCCCCCATGGCAGTTCCAAATCATGGCCTCGGCACGATCCACTCCATCCACGCCTTCCTCCCCCTCCTACGCGCGTCCCCCACTGGCGCGAGGAAGATCATGGTGATCAACACCGAGGGTGGCAAGTACAACTCGATCCACGACATGCAGATCGCCGCCATGCCGTCCTACCACCTCTCCGAGTGCGTGCAGGCAGCAGGTCATTGCCGCCATCAAGTTCTCCGTCCTCCTCGCGCCCGAGGCCTTCACCGTCGCTGTGCTCACCACGGGGCTCGTCGACACCCCCGGCACCAAAGACGGGCTCGATGCGAAGGGCGCAGCGCTCGCGAGGGCTCGCCACGCGCGCGTCGAGGCGGCTGTCGCGGGGTTCGAAGCCCAGGGGCTCACGATGACGCTGCGGACGCCGACACGCACACGCTATCGCCGTACGGTGAAGACGTACGAGCACAACACCTTCGACCGCGCTCGGCCCTTGTCCTCGCGCACTTCGCCCATTCCGTCTCTCGAACCTCTCGCGGTCAGTCCGCAAGCACTCCAAGATCACGATTGCACCCCGGAGCCGTCCTCATATGCCGGTCAACTGAACAAGTTGGTTCACAGCCTGATTTGCATGGAAAACGAGGCGAAACGGGATCGGGTAGTTGTCCATAGCTGATGGATGCTCATACCCACTCGTTGGGAACTACCTTATGTTTCCGCGCTTGTCCACCTGTCGCCGCTTTGCCCTTTCACACCCCGAGTTGTACGTGAATGCTGGCGGACTCCGGAGCGTCTGGGGCACGATCCTTATCCTTGGCGAGTCAGCTGCAGGTAAGCTCTGTACGTGGTGATACGCACGTGCCACCGCTGTACGGTGCACCGCGACTACGCTAGCGCCTGCGCGCCGCCGCCCACCTTGTCCTCGCTCGTCCTCACACATCTCGACCATTCCGCTGCGCACACCCGTCGCGATCCGCGAGGACCCCATGATTAACGCCCCAGCACCACAGTCCCGACGCGACACTCGCGGACGCACCGCGGCGCGGCCCACGCCCGCTCGTAGTCATCACCTGCCCGCACTCGATCCCCATCCTCCATAGCCTGACGACACGTTCTTGTCTCGTGATGGTAACCCACTCCTCATATCGTATGTTTCTTCTTCTCTCCTGCTTTATTTTTGCTCTATTTCGTATCCTCGTATCCACTTCGCGAGCCCCCCATTTCGGCTCATGCTGCCTCGGTCTATCTGCGCTCACATCCCCACTCCATCTACGCGTGCAGTGTGCTCATCTAGTCTCGCCTTCGACTTCGACTTCGCGCACGCGCACGTTCACGTCCACGCTTTCGCCCACGCCCCCGTATTCCCCCTCGCCTTCGCCAGCGCCCGTATGCGTGACCTCGTCCATCTCCCGCGTCTATCCCCGCGGTGTCCTCCTTGCGCTCGCGCGATCCTCCAATCCATCCTCCCTTCGCGCTCGCTCTCCCCGCGGCGCGTCGTATCTGCTTCTATACGACTTCCCGCGACTCACGCTTACGCTCACTCGCTCACTCGCCCTCATCCTTGTTGATTCCTGAGCCCGGAGTTGACTGCACATCAGTGGCTCAGATATTTGTGCTTTCACTGAAAATCACACGTTTCTTCAAAGGGCCCTGTGCAAGCTCCCGCTATCCTGAAGAGTGTTTGTCGCAATTGTGGTCTCCCCATCTCCTTGGAATACCCTCAGAGGGGTCGCCTGGTGTCGTCTGCGTGCTATGATGCGTCTCTACTGTGGGTGCTGCACGAATCTGGCTGTCTACGTCCGATGATGAGGATTCCGACAGCGATTTGACTAAGGATGGGGACTGGTAGGGCTATTCTCCGCAGCACTAGACCTTCATTACATTTCGAATTAGTTACATGTTACTTACACGTGTTACAAATGGCGTCTGAGGGTCGGTTTGTTAGTAACATATGTTACAGACGGCCTGGAATATGTAGTCGAACCCTATCCCGCATGGACTCCTTGTCCATCGGGATAGGTCCATCGGCATCGTCGTAGACGATCACATATTCGATGCCACGACGGGTGTGCACAGTCGACTCCACCGACCACTGGCCAGCTTCGTCTTCGTCCTCGCTCAACCACAAAAACCTCTGCTTGACGAGCTCGGCGGGATCCTCTAGCAGCGCTGTGATCGCCTCATTGGAGAGGTCGGTCGGAGAACGTTCCAAATCAACGCCTGGTGCCACCTCAGTAGGGTTGGGGGCATAGAAGGAGACGTGCGGGAGGGGAAGGCGACGTGACAGGGGCTCCGCGTGTGGTGGACGATAAAGAACGTCTTGGGGAGGACTCGTTGAACATCTCTTGGCTCCTGCAAATAAGAAGGTGTTCAAAGCGGATCTCAAAACAGCTAGATTGAGAACTCACATGCGGAGGGCACGGAGGCTGACGTTCCCCATGCCATTGGCATCAAAGTCAAGTTGGGCGGTAGGGCATTTGTACTGGCTACAGAACAGGGCCGCAGAGAACAAGCAATACAAACGGAGCACGCGGCTACACACGAGGCAGTCGTATGAGGACAGTGGGAGGATAGAAGGAGTGAACGCGACGCACTCGGCAATGGTGAAAGCATCGCCATTATTCTTCTCCTTGTCATCCAGCTCACTGATCGCCTCGTCCACTTTTGCAAGATACTGATCAACGTTTAAACCACCCTCCGCGTCAACAGAGGCCTGCGGGTTGAACGGGGCAGTTTGGTGAGTGTTGTTGAGCTCTGCGATGGCTTTGTCGCGCTCGACAGGGGTGTCTTGCAGGAGTGATCCATCAACTCTAGAACGATACATATAGTTGGCCAGACGGCGCGAAAGCCCCTCCCAGTCTTCCGACGTAGAAGCAGTGGCCATGGTGGTTGGAGAAGGAGAGACGAAAGGAAATATGTAAGCGCCTATTGCCACGCTCAAGTGTCTCGCGGTCATGCATTCATGAGTTGGCGGGTTAAACGCGACAGCAATTTCATGTATTCGGGTTATAGAAACGAGGACATAGTCGACACGATTGAAACCTTTTTGGTGATGTTCTATGCGCCAAACGTGTTGCCTCGCAATAAGCTGGCCCCCACCGTGAAAGGCACGCTCATGACACGGTCCGGGAGAGGGAATGTTCTGTACTTGTCTATTCCGAACAGACATTAATACCTACTGGCGGATTTACGCCTATATCGTCCACATCTTAGTGCGAGTTTCAAGGTGTCAAGGCCAGCGCGTCCTGCACAGTTGCGTCCAGCGTGCCCCCCGACCGTGTGCCATTCCTTCATAGAACCGCTAGATGATTGTTTGCATGATAGATGAATTCATCGCCATCGACGTCGACCGAGGGTTGAATCTTGCGCCTCTACAGCTAAGTTTCTGGCAATCCAGAAGTGGCACTCGGAGTACTACTTCTCTCTACGAGAGGCGAATGCCAAAGGGGAGAGAGAGCTTACTTAAGTAGGGGTGAGGAACCTGGCTCCACGACCAAGGAGCGACCCGCATTTCACGTGGTTGCTTGCTGAGGTACAGACGGGCTAGGGACGAGACTAGGGAGCTACTGGTACAGCAATGCACGCCATACATGTTCGCTAATCTAGAGTTTAGCTTTTGGTCCGGACGACGCGTCTCGCACGTGCACAATGACCTTTCCCCACGTCTTGCGCTGCTCCAGGGCGGCGAGCCCGTCGGCAAGCCGCTCCAGAGGATACGTCTCGGAGTAGACAACCGGTTTTGCGCGCCCAGAAGCGAATAAACTGTGGAATACCATGAGAAACGCAGAGCAAGATGCAAATGCCAGACTTACTCGAGTAGTTCCTTCCAAACCACCGGAACGCGTGAAGGTTCGATCTCTGGAGTTTCAAGGATTAGAGGGCAGATAGCGACCGACAGCATTCGGCAGGAAACACACTTGTGTACGCGCCCCAGTGAATCCCAACGATGGAGATGTTCTTGAGAAGGACGAGGTTAAGGGCAAGCTACGAACGGCCGAAGCAGTCAGCACATGTCTTTGCACAAGACCTGGCCAGCTTACCTTCTCAATCTGACCCGCGGCGAAGCCCACGACAATCGCACGCCCCTTCCACGCAATACACTTGAGCGAGTCTACCAGCCACACCTCAAGATCCTACTTCCACAGACGAATGACAGAACACAAAACGCACCACGGATGAGCCCGACCGGGTCGTAAATCACGTCAACGCCCTTCCCACCCGTAAGCTTCAGGACCTCCTTCTGCCACCCTTCCGTGCTATAATTCACGCCGTGGTCCGCGCCGCCGTACTTGACCGAGATGTCGAGCTTCTCCTGAGACCCTGCCGCCGCGATGACCTTCGCTCCGAGCGCTGCCCCAGATTTCAGAACGCAGGCAAACCAGAGCGTCGACGCTCAAACCGCACGCACCTTTCGCGAGCTGCACGGCCGCAATGCCCACGCCCCCCGCGGACGCTGTGACGAGCACCCACTCGCCCGGCTTCACCTCCGCGCGGCCGACCAGTGCCTCGTAGCTCGTCGGCCAGGTGACGAACAGACCTGCACCCCGCGCCGCACGCGCCGTCAGCCGTTCCGTCCACAGACGAGACATGGAGCCGCGAAACACGCACCGGCGCCCTGGTCGTACGACATGTTCTCCGGGAGCGGGAGGAGCGCGTCCCAGTTGACCGCGACGCGCTCCGCGAACGTGCCCTGCGCCGCGCCGAACACGCGGTCCCCCGCGCGGAACGGGCAGCCGTCGGGGATGGGCGAGCCCTCGGCGATGCGCCCCGCGAGCTCGCTGCCGAGCACGAACGGCTGTGGGGGCTGGTGCTGGTACTTGCCCTGAGCCTGGAGGATCTGCGGGCACGGAAGGAATGTGAGTCCTGTGAGGAGGAGAGGAGGGAGTAATACGCACATCGAAGTAGTTCAGACCCGCGCTGTACACGTCGACGAGCACTTGGCCTTTGCCGACCTTGGGGCGGGCGCATTCTGCGTGAGGGGGATCTTGGAGGGGTGGGCGTAGTCGGAGACGACAAATGCGCGCATGGTGCTGAAATGTTGGATGATTTGGACAAGAGACCCGATGTAGACTTCCCACTGGCCTGACTAGGGCGAGACGAAGGGAAGGGAGAGAGGGAGAGGGAGAGGTCTGAGGACGAGACGAAGGGTGAACATTGCAGCGAATGGTCAGCAGACAAGCAGCCCAGGTGGCTGCGTAGCCACCGGTCTCTTCCAGCTCCCGACCCCGGAACCCCCACGTCGCGTGCCTACCCCACTCTGGGCTGATAGATAGAGCAATTCGAAGAAAGATGTATATGCGGGTGTAGTAGATGTACATTGCGGGTGGGTGTTCTACAGGAATCGATTCGTAGCCTCTGCGCGTTATTACTACCATTATCCTATGCCTATGCCTATGCTCATGCGAATCCAAAGCCTTCGCCACCCTCATTGATGGCGAGCAGCACCTGCTGACGGAGCATTTCGTACGAGGAGTACTGCGGAAGATCAATCTGGTTGAAGCCTGCATGCGGAGATCAGTAGGTAAACCCTGTTCACGCTTGACGCAGCAGACTCACAAGTGTGCGCCGAAGGAAGTCTGTCCGTATCGCCATACGCCTTGTGTATCGAGAAGCGCTGTGTGCCCTGAACACCCTGTAGCTCGACGAAGCCTCCAAGCGGGACGCGAGACGTGCCGGTCGCGAAGCTTAGAACCTTGGCTCGCTCTTCGCGGTTGAACGACTTCAGTGCTCGCCAGAACCAGACGATGACCGGGTCCGAACTCGTGTAGCCGTTATACTCCGTCGCAGAGCGCCATTCGTCCACGTCGATGTCAGGCGTGCCCGAGATGAGCAGCTCCAGCTCTTGATCATTGAACTAGACATAAAGTGTTAGAATGACAAACCCCGTCCTCATGAGCGAGAGGGCTCACGATCGCGATGAGATCCTTCGGGATGATGTCGTAGAACCCTTGAAGCAGCGCCTCAATCTGGTCCTTGATGGACGAGTACAGCCTGTGAGTAGCGGAGAGTTGCACAAACTCTTTCTTGTTCTCGTTCGTCACGGGGATCGTGGCGCCACCTTCTTTGAGCTCTAGCAACTTTGTGACACCAAACTGTGGAAGTATTGTGTTAGCGCTACTAGTCGAGTAGACACAACCAAACTCTGGTTCCTCACCTCATCGGACTCGACACTGAAGGTGAGATCAAGAGGACTGGGGTCGTTCTCCAGGATCCAGCAGAGCGAGTTGTAGTACTCAGGGTCCACCCACTCGACGTCCTTGTAGTCGACCTGCTTCCCGAGGAGAAGCCTGTACAGATGACGCGCGAAGTATGCATCGAGCAAGCGACCGTCGTAGATCGCCTTGCCGATGACGCGGCCAACGAACTTGAAGAACGACAAGTGCTCGGGGTTGACCCACGATGCACGGTTGGGCTGGTACGTGAGACGGTCGGCCGCACATGGCTGGAACAGGGCGTAGTTCGGGTCGAACATCTGGCGGGCGAGGATCTGGAACCACTCGCGGGTGACACCGCCGGCATCGACACCCTCCTCCTCGTAGAAGCGCACACTGAGCTTGCCGTACTTGATCTGGTCACCAGTCTTGCGCTGCAGGTACTGGTAGCTGTCCTCGAACACGCGTGACCGACGCACGCTGAGTTGGAGTGTGCCGTGGTGCTCGCGTGTCGTCGGCCTGCGATGGAGCTGCTGGTTGAAGTAGTTCCGTTTATTGTCAAAGTCGAGGACGCGCGGGTTGTGGACGAGCAAGGAGAAGGAGCCGCTCATGAGGGACGGGTTGTTGCGGACCATGAGGTTCAACACCTTGCGGTGAGCATCCGTGAAGGTGACGAAGAGATCTTCCATAGACTCGCGAGCATTGGTGGGAGAGCGAGGGGAAGTAGACGCGCGGACAGCGCGGGCAACTGCACCTCCCGTCGTTTTGGGGCCGACGTACTTGCAAACGACCATCAGAGCTTCGATGAGGGGGAGAAGGACAGTGACGATGTGCTCCATCTCAGGCTTCTCCTCAATGATCGAGAGGCAGTCGCCGAGACGCTGCCACAGAGGAGAGAACCTGAACGTCTCGTACATGCTCTGGACCTTCTCGACGTCCTCGTCGGCTGTGGTCGCTGATGTCTTCGGGGAGTACATGTAATCGATGGTCTTCAGAACACGGAGTAGCTTCGCTTGGTCTGACGAAGATGGGGAGAACTTCGCGGCGATTGTTGTTGCCAATGTGTCGGGGTTGGCTTCAGCGTCACGGAGCGCGCTAGCAAGCTCGTCCAGGGCTGTGAAGAGGCTCTGGCCAAACTCTTGGGCCCTGCTGCGCAATTCGGAAGCGATGACCTCGCGTGTGTCGGGGATGTAGGAGAGATGTTGGATGAGGGCGAGACTGTGCATGAACGTCCGTCCCGAGCACTCGCCGGAGGTGAGGACATTCACGATGAGCCGGAGGACATGATGAGGGATGTGGGGAGGGTTGGCGAGGAGGATCTCTTCTTCGACGGTTGTCGGCTTCGCTTTCGGCTCTGGCTGCGTAGCAGGAGTTGTTGCGGGAGCCGCTTCGTCCACTGCATGCATGTGTCAGTTATAAAATGCATACAAGATAGTACACACGCACCACTGGCAGGGTTCGCGGGAGGTGCAGCTGCCGCTTCACCACCTGTTGAGGGTCGCTCGGTTGACGCAGGTGCAGTTGGAGGTGCAGGCACAGAACCAGAAGTAGAAGCCGGCGGGGCTGTCAAGCTACTAACTTCCGCAGTCTCCGTCTTCTTCTTGTCCTTGTCCTTGAGTCCTGCTAGAGGACGCGTGACCGTTGCCAAGAGGCCCACGGCAGACTCGACGATGGCTGGAGTACGAAGAATTGAGGCGCGGTCGAGAAGGCTCAAGAGGAGGACGATGGGGTAGTGAGTTTGCGGCGCTTGCTTCTCCTTTCCTTTACCACGCTTCGATGCACTGCGACGAAGGCCGATGGGAAGTTCGTGCTCTGTCAGGAAGAACAGGGAGGCGAGCTCGTTGCTAGTGACGATGTGCGTGAGACCTTCGAGGCAGCGCTGGATGACGAGCTCAGGGACGACGTCGTTCTGAGGGAGTGCGAGGGATCCGAAGTAGTCCGAAGAGACACGCTGCTTGCCGATCGCCTTGGGGGTCTGTGGGGGCGCAGGTTTGGAATGCCGTACGGACATTTGAGCGAAGCTCTTGTCGATCGTTGCAAGATCGCCAGTCCCATCTTGAAGGATGCTCAGCAAGAGGTTGAAGAGGTCGGTACGGGACTTCGTATTCTCGCAGAGGCTGCCGAGGACTCGGAACAGCAGATTCTTCCGAATGACGTTCGGGTAGAACACAAGCCGCACCAAAGCTGCCAATGCCGACCTGTCCAGGAGCTGAATTGAATCGCGAGGCAGAGCAACCTTGGAGGCCTGAGATGCCTGGTTTTGTGCGCCTCGTGCACCCTGCGCGGCGGGAATTATGTGTCGAGTTCGTGCTGGTCGACCCGGCTCGCGGTGAATGTTCGCCTCCGCGATCATATGGGAGGGCAGGCTCTGAATGAAGCCTTCGTCGGACTCCATGAGGACCATCTGACGGAGCTGAGGATCGAGGCTGGCGACGAAGCTCGCGGGGTCAATCTCGACGGGGCCACCTTGCTGGGCGCCTGCTCCGCCCGTGTTCTTTGAGCGCGCTCCGAAGCTTCTTGCTGGATGATCTCGGCGCGGATGTCGGGCGGGAGTGCGTCGAGGAATTCTGCGCTGATCTGAGAGTCTGCGGGGCGCTCAACCTGTGCGGCTCGTTGATCACGGACGTGTTGGTTGAGGACCTCTTCGCGCATGTCATCCGGAAGAGCCTCCAAGAACGTCGGGTCGATGCCAGTGTCAGTGATGTCAACAGGATTGCCGTTAATCATGACGGTGACACGTTGAATTTGAGCTTCAGGACGGTTTGAACCTTCGGCGGTCTCAGGCCCATTGTCTTCGGCAGTAGGTTCAGCACCTGGGGTTTCTTCGGCGTCGGCCATCTCCACGTCGCCATCGCCGGCTGGAGCAGGGGCGAGCTCATCAGGGACCGGGGCGGGGGCGGGGACGGGAGCGGCCGCAGCTTCTGCTTCGCGCTTCGCCTTCTCAGCGATCTCAGCGTCTTCACCTCTTTCTTCGCCACCTCCGCAGCTAGGGCCTGTTCTTCGCGAAGACGCTCCTGCTCCTTGACCTCGGCTTCTTTAGCCTTCTTGTAGGCTTCGACAGCGGCAGGGAAGAGCACAAGATTGAGGTGGTTCTGGAACTTGACGAGGCGTTCGTGCTGGAATTTGCCATGAAGAATCAACGCCTCTTCGCTGTACCTCTGCGGCGTTGTGCGCGGCTGGCCATCTTCGCCTTGGCGGGGAACGTGCTCCACACGGATCGAAGCTGTGATAGCGGTACGGCCACGATGGAAGCCACCGAGTAGGTCAGACGGGACGTTGATTTGAAGCGAGCCACCACCAATACCGCGGGTCTGAGCAAGGACTTGGCTGAAGAAATGGCTAGCGTTGAGCCCAAGCGCCTCGTCCAATCTTGTGAGTTGGTCTGCCGCGAGGAGGCTGCGGTGACTGCGACGGGTAGATCTCGACTGTGCGGTACGAGACAGGTTTGACGTGGGATCCATGAGGAGAGGATGGGTAACGTCGTTGGCAGCGTCACCGCCGCCGTCGGGCGCGCGACGAGCTGGATGACGACCGCCACGATGCCACACAATAGGCTCGCCGTCCACGGGGGCCATACCCGCGCCAAGGGCAGCGAAGGGACCACCAGCGATGACGTCGGCAAAGGCGCCTTCCAAAAGGTTTGCAGCAGCTGTGTCGAGGTGCGGGTCTTCCATGATGCCGAGTTCGTCCGTATACCTGCGATAGCGATGGTTAGGAAGTAAACACGCCCGGCCTAAGACTACGTACTCCTCGCCATCTGAGACGGCATCCTCTTCGTCGTCCATGTCCATAGTAGCAACAGGCATATCTGCATCACAGTGTTATGATGCAGGGTCGCGAGCAGTAGGGAGACCCACATACCACCAACGTCTTCCTCATCGCCCTCGTCGACACCTTCATGGACGTTTCCTTCTCCAACGGCGATGTCCTAACAAGATTGAGACGCATATGGCAACCCGATGCGAGACAACTCACCTGCCACATCACTTCCTCGCCTTCGTCAGCATCATCCTCATCCGTCTCATCCTCCGCCTCTGCGCCCTCATTCTGGACAAGGTCCTCCTCCTCCTCTTCCTCTTCGTCCTGCCATTGCTCTTCGTCCGTCTCGCCTGCATCTCCCCCGATGTTTTCGACCACGTGCTCCTCGCCGGCAGACGTAACCTCACTGTCCACGTCGCTCTCGTAGTCCATGTCGACGTCGTCGTCTTCATCATCGTCTTCGTCTTCGTCGTCCTCACCGGCCATGTCGTCGTCGTAAGAGTCATCTACCTCCTGTGGGGGTCGTCAGCCTGGATAGATGTCATGGTAAACGACGGGTACTAACCCCACTCAAGCTGCAATACGAGATCGGTGAAGAAGAATTTGTGAGCAAAGTTCCTATGCGCGAAAAATAGAGTGGGTGCTCACATGCCCAGAGAAGAGTTGTGGTACAGGTTGCTCGCAGCTTCAGCCTCCGGGTTCTCGTGATCGTCTTCTTCCTCCTCTTCCTCTTCGGACGTCTCCGTGTCGGGAGCCTCGACTTCCTCGTCGAAACCTTGAGCCTTCTCCGACGGGCGCGTCATCTTCATCGCAGTCTTCGCGCTATGGTCGCCGTTAGTCAGAAACACCATGCAGAAAAAAAGGCAATCGTACAGCTGGTCCAGGGTGCGCAGGATGGAAATGACGACGTTGCGGACATTCGGGTAGTTCAAGTCCACTTCCGCGAGGAAGCCCGTCAGCGTCGCGACGAAAACCTTCTCCAGCATGACCTTTGCAATCGGCAGTGCCCTCTCCTCGACGACCTTCTTGGGGTGGACGTTGGAGCCGAACGTCAGCAGGCGGAGACAGAAGTCACTGAGCGCGAGGAGGCGGCTATAACGAGACTCGGTGTCGCTGGACGCGGGGAGGTCCTTGAGGGAACGGCTGATCGTCTCGAGAACGAACTTGCGGACAGAGGCCAATTCAGGAGAGACGACCTTGGGGTCCTTGGAGACGCTGTTCTCATGGCAAAGGGCAATCATGACGTTCATTGCGGAGTTGCACAGCGCGAACTGTTTCTTGGCCTCAGCAGGCGGGTGAGCATTGAGCGTGCCAAACGTCAGTAGATCGCTGAGGATGAATTGCAGGGACGCGGTGCGATGCTTGTGGCCGTCCTTGGCGGGCGTCTGATTGCGCTTCTTTGGCGTGTAGGACAAGAAGGCGACCTTGCAGGAGTCATACGAGAGAAGAAGCTCCGTGAGAATGTGCATGATGAAGTGGGGGTAAGAGCGGTCGGTGGAGTCTTGAGGCTTCGGCTCCGTGGCGAGAGGTGCGGAAGGCTGGACGGCCACGGCGGAAGTGCTTGCGCCAGCGGTCACGGCAATCGCGGGTACATCCGCGGGCTTGCTGAGCTCCACGCCCGGCGTCGATATCGGAACCGTCGTCTCCTGCTCGTTCTCAGCCTTGACTGTCCTCATGAGCTCGCCGATGAGGTAGTGCACGAGAGCTTCGGTGGACTCCGATGCGGTAGGCGCGACTTGGGGGTTCTCGTCGACTTGCATATCATTCGTCTTTTCTGGCGAGGAACCTTCTCCCTTCGCATCTGCCGATGGAGTGGGCTTGAGGACGATCTGCCTCGACAGCGAGTACGGCTGCGAGAGCTGGCAGAGGTCCGCGGCCGCCTTGATGAACACTTCTGGGTCCCGCAGGACAGTGGTGCCGTGCTCGTTGACGAGCGTGCCAACGTCGGAAGGGCCCTGGTTGAAGAAAGCCTTGATTTCCTTCCGCATAATGTGTTGCAGAACCGACTCGCTCTCGACAATGTGGCGGAGGATGATGACGATGTAGGAGTGAAGACCGAAGGCGCTATGGCTGCCTGATGAGACCTGCATGTACTGGAGCAAGAGCCCGACGCCGTTGCGCTTGAAGAACGTGTCGGCAAGGCTGTGGTCGCGTGTCAAGAAGACGAGCAGGGATAGGACCGACATGAGCTCGTCCTTGGGGAGAGTTGGTACCGCTAGAAGGCGCAAAGAGAAGTCGAAGAGTGACGTGCGAGCCTCAGCGAAGCGGGGGCCTTGGTAGAGCTCTTGTGGAACAATCGGCTCGTTCTCCTTGGGAACTTCGATCGAGCGGGGCGATTCCCCGAGGACGAGAAGCGACTTGACGACGAGGAGCTGAGCGGAAAGCCACTTGGGGATCGTGGGATGTTCACCATCACCTGGGTTGGTCAGCAGCAACGAGAGCAACACGTTCATGAGGTTCTCGATCTCGCCCTTGGTCATCTGGGCGACCGGGGAAGTGGGCTCGCCCAGGACGAGAGCGAACAAGTGGCACCGCACAGAGAGCGGCTGTTCGTGGACGTCGTACGCCGAAGGGGAGAGGTTCTGAATATCATCCATGAGCGCCTTGACGGCCTCCGTGCGGTAGTCGCTGGCAGGCCCGACGAAGACCTTCCGAACGTCGTAGACCAAAGTGGGGTGCTCATCGGCCAGAGCCAGAAGCCGTCGGCCCATGCCTTCCTTCAGGGGCTCGCGAAGAGCGTTCAGTTCCTTCAGCAACTCCTCGGAGCTCTTTCCCGGTGGTGCAGGGGGTTCCTCGACGATAGGTGCGGCAGAGTCAGTCGCCGAGGCAGTGGTCGACTCTTCACCACCGGGTGTGCCTTCGTCCTCGTTGGCTTGATCTTGCTCAGGAGTAGCCTCTGCTGCTGGGACCCCTTCGACTTGCTCTTCCTCAACTCCGGCGGGAGCTTCATCCATGGGAACTGCTTCGCCCTCAGTAGTCTCAGCGACGGGTGTCTCCGCTTCGTCCGCGGCAGGGACGTCGTCGGCTGGGGCAGCCTCAGCAGCTTCTCCCACGACCGGGGCTTCGGGGACGGGCTCGGGGGGATCAGGAGGGAAGGGATGAGGTTGCGAGAGCAGTATCTCCGTTGCGGCGTTGATGTTGTTGCGTGCACGACTAAGAGCGCGTTCGGCCGCAGACCGCGGGAAACCCATGTCCATGAGCTGCCGCACGCGGGTCTCGTCGGGGCCACCAAGGTATGCGATGCGAGGCATGGTACCCGCGGCCAGGATCGACGCGGGCTGCACGTCCTTGGCTTCTTCATTCTCAGCACTGCAGAGCTCGAAGACGATGTTGACGATAGACTTGCAGACGCCTGTTTGTGCCGAAGGGAGCCACGACGCCTCCCAGATCAACTGGATGAGCGGAATTGCCGCGAGGCGCATGCGAACGAGGAAGTTGCTAGCCTCGAAGTACTCGGGGTCGGTATCCTTCTTGTCAGGAGTGGCCGCGATCGTGTTCTGCGCCGCGTCGATGATAGAGCGCGAAGAGACGAGAGAATGTATGAGGGCGAGAGCAACCCTGATGCCATTGAACGCGTGGGTGAGCTCTTGCTTCGTGACCTCGTTTCGCTCATCGGCAGAGACTTGGGTGATCATATCGATGGCCGTGATGAACTCCCGACAGAGGCCGAACAACGCATCGAGACCCCCTGCGCGAGTGAAAGAAACGAGCAGAACGGTGTTCACGGTCTTCTGGGCCTGACGCTCTGTACCAAGAGTCAGCAGGGCTCATATCCTGAGACAACCCGCATATACATACCATCCACAAGGAGAACCGTCGCGGTGTTCAACATCGACGTGTAAAAAGAGAAAAGGGAGAGCTTGTCCGCTGATAGAAGTTATAAGTACGCATCACACCAGCGCGATGAGACGAAGGCTTACTGAACGGTCTCTGCTCCAAGTGCTTGACGAGGACGTCTGCCAGGATCCCCGCGGCCTCCTTGACCTTCTGCCTTTGGGTGCCGTCGCTGCTTCTCCGAGTCTGGAACAGACGGACCGTCGCTATTCATGCACGACCCGTGAGTTCTAGTCATCGCTGACAGAGGAAGCCCCACTCACATTGGAAGAAGGGCGTCAGAGACGAAGGGAGCTGCTGGATGAGGTGCTTGAGGGCCTTCGCGTTTTTGTCCTTGGGCCTGTCCTCCTTCTTCGGTAGGGGCGAATTCGACGCTAGCGACTCCCCAGTCGAAGCCCCGTTCGTCCCGTTGTTCGCCGAGGGCACCACTCCGTCCCCAAGGGGCGTGGAAGAGGATGCCTCCCGCTCCAAAGGGGTGGGCACAGTTGTCGACCCAGAGCCGAGGAGAGAGGACCAGAGGTCGTGGGCGTGAGAGGCGGCCGGCATGTCGACGCCTTGGGAAGAGAGGACGGCCTTGAGTGTGATGTTCTCCCAGACGCAGGCACGCTGCAGAGCGCCGAGTTCGGATAGGGGCGAGTTGTCGCGGGTGAGGAGGGACTGCAGGAGCGTCTGCATTGCGCGACCATGCGCGTAACCTGCGGTCGCGTAGATGTCGGCGAGCAGGGATGCCCTCGTGTACAGCGTGACGATCTTGCGGAACCGGTCGTTGGCCTTGTCTTCATCTTCCGCTGAAGAGATATTAGCACAGTACAAACTCGTCTCCGCAGCTAGCTCACCAGCAAACTCCACCAGAGGCAAAAGCTTTGGTTGCTCTTCCATCGTCTCCCAAAAGTCCTTGCAATCCGCGAGCGATTCAGAGACAAGCTTGATCAGGAACGTGAGCGTCTCGGTCGTCGCCGCCTCGGCCATGGTGCGGATGACCTGCACCAGAGAGTCTGATGCAACGCTGTTCGCAAAGTCGAAGGGGAGGCACGGCAGGGTGGTGAGCCTCGCGAGGCGTTCAAGTCCGTCAGAATCGGCGACGAAGTCTCTGCAGTGAGGGATGTGCTGGAAGAATCCCTCAAGGAACTGGACGCCACAATCAGTAGACATTCAACCAGGTCACACGACGCGACACGTACCTTGCCAACGACATCGATGTACGAGATGACGACGTTGTCGTGAGACCTGCCAAAGAGCTCGTTCGAAGGAGCAGCGGGTGCCTCCGGAGCAGGTTGCGCCGGCTCGGTGGATGCTGCCTCACCAGTGCTCGTCTGGTCGACCTCCATGGCGACGACCGTGTCTGTGCTCTCGGAGGCGGACGGGGCAGAGGCAGTGGGCAGCAGCCTGTACCAGTGCTTGATCTCATTCGGGACGACGAACGAGTTTCCCAGCTCCTCAATCTTCTCCATCGTCGCCTTGATCGCGACGAAGACCTTGTCCTTCAGCGAAGGTGGTGACGGATGAGCTCTTCGATCGACGTTCCAATGAGCACAGCGTTCTCCTTCTCTTGCAGGACGCGCTGGTGGTCCTCAGAAGTGAAAATCGAAAAGAGGCTTGGGATCGTGCTTGGACGGGCAGTGAGCTGGTCTTGACCCGCCTGGTTCAGGCACAGTGCACCAAGGGCATTGGGAATGGATTGAATGACCTCGATTACGGGCTCGAGGCCCTTCTCGATGACACTGTAAAACACTTCCGGTAAGCCGTTCTCTTGGATGACCGGTAGGCAGGTAGGCTCGTTGTGGACAAAGATGGCCATGATGTTGATGGCTGCCATCAGGTCAGTGAATTGACGAGGCGACAAATGTTCGGGCGCTTACAGAGGGCGAGGGCACTCGGCCCGAATACGGCGCGGTGTTGCATGATCTTCTTGACAGACTTGAGGAGGGAAGAGTCGAGCAAGCCTCGAAGGCCTTCTGAGGATCCCGACGACTGCATCATACGGTGGACGGAACGGAGTGTGTGCTTGAGGATCGCAGTGCGGGCGACGGAGAGCTTGCCTGAGCAACAAGTGAGCAATCTACCCAAAGCCCGATAACTTCGGACATACCATAGGGCACAACGACGTCATTCGGCGTCCCGTCGTTTCCGAATTCCTCGATATCGAAATCAACCTCAAACTGCATCGCATATATAAGCGCAGGCACAAGTTATGAACCAGACGAACCTGACCTCGATGCGCTCAACCAGAGTATCGACCCCGCGAGCATTGCAAAAGAGGCCGAACGCGTTGATGTAGCCGTAGAGTACATTGTCGAGGAGCTGCATCGTCTTCGACACGAGATACAGCCGGTTCGGTAGCCTGTTCTCGATGGCTTGGATGAGGACGGGGACGAGGCCCGCGCCCACAATCATATTACCGCCCGCCGCATGTGTGGCAAGGTAGGTGATGAAGGAGAAGAGCGACTCGACAAAGGACTGAGGGAGCGTCGAAGTGGGCTGAGCGACCTCCGACACCGTCCTGCGAAGGAGCGCCATGAGGATCCCGTGGTTCACCCCAGCGTTGACGGCGGTCAGGACCTCCTGGATCTTCGTCCTATACCTCGACAGCGCGTCGAGGGCGGCGACTCCCGCGGTCTGCACTTGGACGTCCACCCCTCGGTCGAGGTGGAGAAGCTCCGCGACGTGGGTGATGAGCTCGGCTCGTGGTTGAGCAGCGCGGGGAGCGCCTGGTTGTCGGTCTGCGTGTGGCCATAGATCGCGGTCGCGAGCAGGCGGACGACGACGAGTTTCTCGCAGTCCGCGGCGTGCGCGGCCGTGACCGCCTGTGCGCCGCGGATGCGCATGAGCAGCTCGAACTTTTCCGCGTCGGGGACCGCGTACTCCTCGATCGCGTCCGCGAGGATGTCCATCGCGCCCTTCGCCTCGATCGTCTTGCTGTCGATGTGGATCGTGACCGCACCTGTGGATGTTGACGGCGCCGCGGCAGCGGCCGAGGTCGACGCCTTCCTCGGGGACGGCGCGCCCGCGTCGAACACGTCCCCCTCTGGCGCCTTCTCCTTCTCCTTGTTGTCGGCTGCCGCAGCTGCCGGCGCTGTTCTGTAAAACACAAAGTTGACCTCCCGTGCCTCCGTGGGGAGCGCCTCGACCTGGGCGCGGCCCTTCTCGGTGGCCAGATCAACCAGGTTGATATCGTAGTCGCGAAGGTTCGGCCATCGCTTGGCGAGCGACATGAGTCGCGGGGCCGAAATGCTGAGCACGCTTGAGACCGACGGCTGACAGGAGTACTGCTGCGCGGGGCGGAGGAGTAGGTTGAGGGCGAGCACGAGCACGTCGAGGTCCGACGAGAACATCAGGCTGTTGACGCGCTGCATGTATGCGGGAGGAGGGGAGAGAGAGATTAAGAACGAGGCTGGGGGAGATGGAATCGGGCAGACGCACGTCGTAGGAGCTGAACGTCTTTCTGTTCGTCGAGTTCTCCAGAAGCAGCCTCTCGAAGCGCAGGATCTCGCAGACCGTCTTCTTGGTGAGGGGGGTGAACACGTTCACCTGCAGGTTGTCGATGTCGTACTCGCGGATGGCCTCCTCGAGGATCGCGTCGAATTTGTTTAGAACTTGATCCAAGCGTTGAGATCGGACCTGGGCCATTTCCAGGACTCTATCTCGGAGAGGACTTCGTGGAGGTCATCGTTTGGCGTGTTTGCTAGTTTGTCAATGAGCTCCACCACCTGGGGCAGCTGCAGGACAGAGTATGTTAGCTCTCCTCGTCGCGCGTCTCGTGGGCAGCAAGAAGGCGTACTGGAGCGACGGCTCTCTTAGATTTGTGAAGGATCCTCATCTAGGCCGATGAGGAGCTCTAGATGTCAGATTTGAAAATTCTCCCTGCGTCCAGCAGCGCCGCAGGGGTAGGAAGGGGTGGTGGAAGAGGATGGGGTTGCAGAAAGCGCGGGAGGATCGCAAAGGCTTACGCGGAGGTTGTCGAGCGCCGGCCCAAGTATGACGACTTTCGCACGGCTACCACGGAATTCTTCCCACAACTAGAACATGGCCCCTGAGATTGGGCGCTCCCTGGAAACACGCTCTGCTCGACGCGTCGCGTCGCGTCCGCACTCAGCCACTTCCACGCGTTTCGTCCTCTTGAATCCCACTATGACCAAGCGCAAGGAACTGCCAGAGTCATCGAGCGACGACGAGGGTTACGTGGCGCCACGCGGCCCATCCAGCTCTCCTGACAAGCCTCTCGGAAGGTCCAGCGGAAAAAAGGCCGCAAGACGTGCGGAGGTACATATACCATTCTAGTTCTCCACTCATCACCACAACTTCCCGTCTTGCAGCCTGAGGAAGACAGTGAGAGCGAAGAGGAGCCCATAAGGGCGAAGGCACAACAAGGAATTAAAAAACCAAAGAAGAAGCTCCCGCCACCGTCTGAGGTATGTGTCCCATGTACAAGTGATCGCGTGCACACAGACAATGACGGTTGTTGGCCAAGACTAAAGGGCCCAAGAAGCCCAAGCGTACCGCCCCCGCGAAATCAGCCATAGAGGATGATATGGACACCGGCGACGTCAAAACAGGCGTGACTGCGACCGGAGAACGCTATATCGAACTGAGCAAGAAACGGAGGGCGACGGTCACAACCTTCAAAGGTACGCCCGTTTGCCCGTTTTCACGCGCTATCTATCCCACATTGCACTTCTATCCTAGGCGGAAAGTTCCTAGACATTCGGGAGTACTATGGGGACGAAGATGACTTGAAACCCGGCAAGAAAGGCATCTCTATAAACCGAGAGCAGGTGCGCGTGCCCTACCGCAGCACACCTTCCTTAACCTTGACCACATCGCGTGTTTCTAGTGGGAGACCCTCAAGAAGGGAGCGGCCGCTATCGATGCGTTCTTTGCCAAGCTCAACAAATGAACGTGGATGTTTAACTGGTCTATATTGACTCATGTATCTATGGACCGTGCATGTACAATAGAAGATAGTCTAATATGACTGCTGCGATATATTATGCGAGTCCAGCAGCAGCCTGGTGCGCACCTTGCAAGCCCCCAACCGTGAACAGACCGCGCATCCAGGCTTTCGCGGTAACAAGCCGCGCCCCCGTGTCTATCATCCACTCTGCGAACTCGATAGAACGATACATCCTCTCGTACCGCCTACATGAAGCAACACGAATTAGTACGGAGATGAGCGTATGAGAGAACGAAACGCACCACCACACCCAGAAATAATCCCATAACAAGCCGAGGGACATCGCCGACAGACCCTTGTGCTTGATCTCTGAGACTAGTCGCTGGCTCTCATCTACCCACACGGCAAACGTGCAGTACTTCGCCGTGATGAGGAATATCCGAATCTGCGCCCAATTATCAGCCTCTGCCCATCTCTCTGACCCTTGACGTGTCCACATACATTGGAATGCGTCGTCGCCAATGCTCGGTCCAAGCTCCTCGTCAAGTCGTTCAGCTTCAGCACCATCAGCACCCTCCGTGGTACCCTCCTCAGCACGTCGAACACCGACATCAGCAGCCCCTCGCGCTGCACGACCGCGTTCCGGATCGCCTCCATCTCCTCTTCCGTCTGCGCCGAGAGGTCGACTATGCTCCCTCCACGCCTGAACGACCCTTCGCTGTCGTCGTCGTCGCCAAATGCGCCCTCCAGCGCTGCACGACCGGTGATCGCGGCCTCGAACACGGCGTAGAGCTCTTCGTCGATGTTGCCCACCAGCATCGCGTACTTGCGCCGATCCGCGAGGGTTTCGGGCGACGCGGACGCGATGAGTGCAAGCCACCACTTGCTGTAGTTGATGCGCAGCGCGGGGTCGAGGTCAAAGTAAAGGCCGTGGTCGAGGAGGACGATCTCGAAGTTGTATGGGGACCCGGACCCCGGCGGTGCAGGCCGGATGAGAAGATTCCCTGAGAGACGGTCGTCAGCGACTACGTAGGGAGGACATCGGCCGCGCTACATGCGCTAGAGCATATGTACCTGGGTGCGGGTCCTGATGGAAAGTTGGTCAGTCTTGGCGAAGGGCAGAAACAAGGTTGGGGACTCACGGCATGGAACCACCCGTTGATGTGCACCATTTGGGAGAAGATGCGCGCGAGCTCAAGAGCGACCTTGTTCCGGTCGATGTTGTTCTCCGACAGGTAAACGAGGTCATCGACTCGCCCGCCCTGGATGTACTCCATCACGAGAATACGTTTCTGCGCCTCTATGACCTTAGCTGAGGCGAAGCGTAAGCTGTGTGCTGTATTGCACGAACGGGGTAAAACCACTCACGAATGTGCATGGAAGTGCGGACGTTCTCAAAGTCCGCGACCGCGCGCTCCGCGTTCAGCTTCTCGTGCACAAAGTCCATCTCCTTCGGCAGGTTCTCGCGCATCTCCTCGCCCAGCCACGTGAACTCAAAGTCCGGGAATATGTGCTTGATCCACCCTGCGACCGAATTCTGCCCTCGGCGCGCGACGCAGGAGTCATAGACGACATACCTAGCGACACCTCAACCATCTCCATGTCGATCTCGCAGAATTCTTCGAGGTGCGGGTGCTGCATCTTGACCGCGACGCGCTCCCCAGAGCCACGTAGTCGTCCGACATGCACTTGTGCCAGGCTCGCGACTCCAATTGGCCGTTCGTCGAACTCCGCAAAGTATTCGTGGATGGGCACGCCGATGTCATGTGTGAACATCTCGTCCAGTGCAGCATAGGGCGTCGGTTCGCACTGGTCTTGGAGAGGCCGCATGGTCGAGGTCCATTCACGGGGAAGGACTGCTCTTTGGCCAAGAACAGAGTCTGTCAAAAAAGGGCGAAGCTGAAAGGACACCAAGAAGAAACTCACATGGATGCCATATGCTGTCCGAGCTTGATGAATATGCCTGCGCTCGTTCATGAAGACATTGACCCGGGGAACAAGGTGGGTATATGCGCACCTCCATTCGCTAGCAGCGCCCTCAAGACCCTCTGCGCACTCCGCGTATGACATTCCGACACCGCGACCGCGCGGCCTTCTTCTGACGGATACGTCTTCACGAACGTCATTTTGTAGTCGACCGCACCAAGCACGGCGGCCTCTGCGCCAGAAAGACCATCATCCTCCGCCTGACGCGCTCCCCAAATGAGAGCGAAGGCGCACCTGCAATCCTCGAACATCGCACCACCGCGAGCGCTGTGTGCCGAAACGGCTGGTTGTAGTTGTACGCGAGCACGCCCGCGCCGCCGAGGATGAGCATCGACGTAGGCACCACTACCAGCCATGGGTTCTTCAGCTTCCGGAGTTGCGGTATAGATGGTGTGGGGGTTGATGAAGACGCCTCCGAGGAGTAATTACGGTACTTTTCATGATGGCCGGCTCTTGGTGAATGTGGGACGTGTCGAGACGGGGTGCGCGGGATGCGAGTGTGTTGGCGGAGACGAAGTGCGCTGCACCAGCGTGATGAGAACATGTAAGAGTTGGCTTAGGTGCGTGTGAAGCGAGTCATAGGGCCAGAGCCGACGAGCGGGCTGGCGGGAGTGGATGTAGTAGGAAGAGAGAAGGAGGCGAGAGGTGCGTCAGTCCCGTCGGCGGGGCCGGAGGGAGCCGGCCCGTTCGTACTCAACGCCCGGCGCTTGTGCATGTATTCCTGGCACCCGTACTAGTGTGAAGTGTAGAACCGGAGGTAGTTCACACGGTTTATAACCTGTTTATAACATGTATTATACCGACCTGTTAAGAAGGGGTCCAAGGGGGTCCTGTGTAGAACCTCGGCACCCTGTTAAGAACCGATTGGGTGAGTTATTTCAGCAGGTATCATGTGTGTGCAATCCCACAGACCATTTCTGCGCCTTCCAACGATTCTCGGCCGAAGGAGATCCCGGTAAGCCGGGAGGCCTGTCTGGCGGACGGACAGACGGACGGGGTCCCCTACGGAACATTTGCATCGCGTTGCCATCCAAATACCTCATATCTATCATTTTAGGGATGCATCGCATGTGATAGGCTTGGTCTATTCAACCTGCACGTCTGCGAGACAGCAATCTTCAAATTGCGGATGGATCTTGGAAACTAATAACAATACATATGAAAGCAAGTATGCATATACAACGTACACAATGCAGAACACACGGCATTATACCCGCACATCCACATTCGGCGCGAACTTGATCTCCCCACCCTTCCTGAGGTCCAACGCCGAGTCGTCCGTGCCCGGATATGATGAGAAACCAGACGTGGTGTTGCCCCCACTGAGCGCGGGCATAGACGAGATCGTCGTGTCCTGGCCTCCCCCTCGAAACGCATCGCGGAGAGGCTGTGGTCATGCCGCCGCGAGAACGTCGGCTCGGTAGGCGAGAGTCGAAATCAGAGGAGGTGATACCGAGCGTGGAGAGCACGATGATGATCGTGGGGACGATGCCCTGAAAGCGCGTATGTCAGCGTTACATCATGACGATGCCTAGGGAGTACTCACAGTCAGCTGGCGATGGGATCATACACAATGTAGAACGCGTTGCTGCCGATGAAGTAAGCGTGATCTCAACTACTAGCGCTGCGGAGTACACCATCGCGGACTCGATGATGAGCAGCAGCACACGGGTGTACCGGAATCGGCCCGTCATCGGGTTGTCCCCCGTCTCGCGGGTCATGAACCAGACCCGGGCAGCAACGAGGGTCGTAACCGTGACGTTCGTCGCCAGCGAGAGCCCGAACACTGAGCCATTCCAGCGCTGAAGGATCTGCAGGCGCGGCGGGCCAGTGAGAACGCTGATGGATGCAAGGCAAAGGGCTTACGTTTGCGAAGGCACTATGTATGCTCTTCGCTTCCGCGAAGATGATCGCTTGAGCGAATCCACAGACTAGGGCGCGCGCGTCAGCAGGCACGTTGACGAAATGATCACGAGAGCCAGCAACACCGACCTGCAGAGGCCACAATCATGAGCGCGGGCACGACACACACCTTCCAGTTGCCGCCCCATACGTGCCAGCACCTCCACACCTGGTGAATGCACTGTCAGAGAGAGATCCGCCATGGACCGGCACAGAGGGACTTACGACAATGCTATCGCCGAGAATAGAGTTGATGGAGTGGATTGTGACCTTGGCAACGTTTGGAGGGGTGGAGACGTCGGCGAAGTACGCCCCAGGGCCCCCCACTTCGTCTCTTAGGTCGATGAAACCGCGGATGAGGCGGTAGAAACCGAGCGAGACGTGGGTGGTCGAGAAGCAGAACATCAGCACGGCGACCCAGAAGATGATGGGTGAGATTTTGCGTGTGTGACGGAAGCGGAGAATGTAGATATATGCACTGAACAGACATATGTTGATCCCTGTGGGGAGAGAAGCGGGAACGTCAGCACTTCAAAACCCCGGATGGAGTGAACACGCGCACCGTAGAAGAGGGTCTCGAGCCAGATGGCGGTGAGGTACGCTTTGTCGAGGGGAATGAATCCTACGCTGGCCATGGCTTGGACTCGGAGGTGAGATGCAGGGGAGAGTTCGGGCCCGTCGAGGGTCGGCGATGGGCACGAGGCGGTTTATATACTTGGCGGAAAAACTAGCGCAAACGGGGAGAGTGCGGGTACCGAGAGCCCCAGCCGTGGAGCCAACCACAGCTGTGCATTGCGCCGTTCGCCTGCATGCACGGACAGTGCCTGTCCACCAGCATCAGCTTCTGGAGGAGCCAGAAGAGCTACCCACATGCGCGCTACAGCTGACAATGGAGTTGCTGTGGATTCGATGATGCGGCATCGTGATTGGCCTTGGGGTGGTCCGAGTGAGAACGGCACGGCATTGACAGCATCGGGGAAAGGTGCACTGCTGGCGCTTATCTCTTCCGACACAACTCGGAATCTTATCTACACAACTGATCGACTTTCGCGGCTTTCGCGCCCGGGGTCCGCAAGTACTGCTGAAGGTCGGGCCAGGATGACCTCGTCTTGACCACAGAGTGCAGAGCAAAGCGTCCTCCGTCTACCGACCCACGTGTCATACAACCACCATGTGTGTGCGCCGACAGCGAAGCTGATTGCATTCACTGCACACCGCGCCCAAGATGATCTGCACGCCCACTGAGTACTGAGTATTGAACGGCGTGTATGCGCGCTCTCCACATTGGGGCCCATCGTGATCCCCTCCATCTGTATCCCTCTGTTCTCCCACAGGTGTCGATCTTTCTACGTCCAGGAAAGAGATGTCGCCGGAGAGAAGACATACCGGTGCGCATGCGGACCTCGGTACTTATACGGCACACTTGCCATCACATTTGAGCGTTGAGCGTTGGAGCCAAGTCCTGTGCACCAGTGTGCAAGTGCTGTGCACTACTTCGACGGTGGGGCGATGGTGAAATGAGGAGCCGGCCTACGTCACGGGTTCCAGGTTCCACGAGGAGGGACAAGTGACTGTGGATCTGAAGGACGAACGGCTTGTGTAGTGCAGCGCTCTGTGCTGGAAGATCTGCACTCTTCCTGTTCAAGTGGGCATACCACCAAATGAAACCAAGCAAAAAACATCCAGAGTTGCATTGAGCCGTAGATACACACTGTACACCCCATCCAAATAGAACCAATAACAATAGAGCAGCGCCTTCATATATCGAACCGACGCACCTGCACCCCGCCCGCCCCCGCGCTCACGATCCGTCGATCATCAAACAGCACCGCGCCCCGCGTCCCCTGCAGCAACCGCGCGCGCACGCCCTCCCACACCGCCGCCCTCGCCCCGTCCTCCTCGTCCGGCCCGACATCCGCGATCCCCGCGCCGACCTCGGTCCCCGTCCCGCCCTCGAGGTCCCACACCCACACACTGCCGTTCACCCCGAGGCTCACGCACCGGCCGTCAGCGAGCGCGAGCCCGCACACGGGCCCCGTCTGTCCATGCAGCGTGCGCACGAACGTGATCTTGGGCGCCGCGGACGTCGAGCCCGAAGCCGGGAGGTGGAGGCGGTACAGCTGCAGGCCCGACGCCGAGTGCAAGGTCACCGCAGACGCACTAGAGTCCTCCTGCCCCGTCGCGCCATTCGACAGCACGAGAGGCGTGGCCTCCACCCCGGGGAGATGCTGCCCCGGGGCGAGGACGACCCACTTGCCGTCGGTCTGCAGGTCCGCGACGCGCGCGACCTTGCGGCCCCACTGCTCGCGCATGGTGCGCAGGCGGTGCTCGTCGAGCCAGCCCTGTGGGACGTCGACGGCGCGCGTCGTGCGCGTGCTCGTGACCCGCATCCTGTCTGGGCCGGAAGAGGGGAAGATGAGCTCTGTTGCGCCGACAGACCAGTGCGCCGGGTAGACGGGCACGGCGTAGGCGAGGACGACCTTGTAAGTGTTCGGGGTGGGGACGGAGAGCACGAGGGAGCTTGGTGGGTAGGAGGTGTATGAGGAGAGTGTCTGCTGGTGGGTGACGCTGTTCATCGACAGCTCATAGATGGAAAGGTGGAAGGAGCGGGAAAGGGTGACGAGGAAGGGGTGGTGGTAGACCGCCTGTATGATCGAGGTTGTGCGCGGGCCCGGGTTCGAGGGGATGTATGTAAAGACGCGGCGGGACTGCGACGGACTCTGGTGGTCGAAGCTGAAGAGTGCGAACTCGCCCGACGATAAGAAGGCGATGAATCGGCCCGTGTGCCCTTCTGGTGGTGACTGGTCCAGAACAAGGGATGTGATGCGCACTGGACCGTTCGGCCGCTGGGATGGACACGGGAGGGTGTGATGAATGTGTACAGGGGAAGAAAGGACGATCCTCGGAGTCTCGCTGAGAGTGGAAGCAGCGGCGATAGTGACATTTCCGGTCAAAAGCAAACTGGTCTCATTGAGGTCGCTCGTATGGGTCGGGATGCCTTCATCTTCATCCACGTCGAGATGCTCAACAGAGCAGCGGCCTGGGTTACGTCTGAGCCGCATGAAACGAGTGAAGAGGGGAAGAGAGACACCTGTCCGCCAATTTGAGCTGATCCTGAACATCCACTTCCAATCCTTTAAACTCTCCGAATCGGCCTTGGCTCTCCCCGGAAGAGGCCTCATCTCTCGGCCGTCTTCCCTTCCAATAAATCCTCTCACTCCACGAAGGCGCATTCGGCCATACTCGCGGATGTACAGGGACTTCCACAGCTGGACGGTCGAGGAAGCTCAATGTTCGCTGCCCACAGAGACCATCAAGGATTTCCGAGATGTACCTGGTTGTCGAGAGAAAGGCGCGACCAGTTTCTGTTCGTCCGTTGGATAGCGCAGAGGTCCGAGGACGAGAGGTAGGAGAAGATGACGAGGATGATCTCGTCGAAGAGGAGAGTGTCAAAAGTCGAATGCGGCCGATGGTCACTGAGCGGATGTCGTTGGGCTGTGAGGTCGTGCGATCGCTTCGCAGGAGGCAGCGGCGCCGGAGACAGCGCACGCTTTGACATGGTGAGTGGGTGGTGGAGAGGGAGAGATATATATAAGCCGCCTGCGTAGAATTCAATGCTACAGTTCCGGCGATGATGCAACAAACGCCCGCGGCTGGAGTGGCGGCAAAGCGCTCAGTCGAAGTGCCACGGCGCCCGCGCTAGGTTCAGGTTTACTTCTTGGCATGCATTCGAAGTCTCCCTTTTATGACTGCCCTGTCCGCCATGTATGCGCAAGATGCACACAAGAAGATTTGGCAGCAGTAAGTGACGCGCAGCTGAGTTCATCGTATTATCCCAATTTACTCATTGAGGATGCTACGCCTCTTTCGTCTTCCCGTTAACAGCAGTACTGTTGTCGTCTTGTCCATCTCAATCCACATAGCGGCGGAAGAAACGCGTCAAATATCGACTTCACCCTTCGCGCGTGAACGGGGGCAATTCCGACACAGAACTCGATCGCCACGTCGTGTTGCGTCACTAGCTACTTTTCCTTGCTAAAGTTCCCCTCCAGGCGCCCACCGTCGGTCTCGTTCACGTCGATCGACTTCAGCCTGGGCTCGACTTCTCAAGTACAATCATGCGCATGTGAAGTCGTTAGGGGGCGGCCACTGGACCGTTGAATCGGGTCCCACGCGTTGGGATCGCCGAGTCCGGAGCGGCTCGGCAACGACAGGAGCGTTTGGTAGGCTCAAGTACCAGACATCAACGCTTTCAACGAACACAATTATTGCGACGCAAATTTAGTCTCGCATTGGAGATTGTAGCCTGACCGCGTCTTACTCGGGGGCGGTTGGGGCACCCCTGGAGAAGCACACGAGCGACAGGAGGCGGGAACCGGTTGGCTAAAACTTTGCGAGCCGGCGGCGCCGGCGACCTAGTCTCCCCTAGCCCATAGCGGCGAACCATCGCGGTCCCTATTCTTCGACTCGATCCAGATTTTGGGGCGCAGCCTCAGTGGCACAGCACTCTTCGTTTTCTAGCTGGACGTATGGCGCAGGAGTACGTCGGGGACGATCTTTTCGTCGCCTGCAGCAAGGGTGCGTTTTCTCTGTCTAAAGCTCCGGATCGCGCCTGGAGCTATTTCCATGTAGGATTATCATGTATGGCAGCACGATCTGACCGAAGGCTCGGACTGACGCAAACAGGGGCAACGTGGCCGAGAGTCTGGGCAACCAAATCCGAGCCCCGATGCAGCGAGGTGCGTCACGGGCTCTCAAAAACAACCTATCTGCCACGATAGATGGGTCATGGCTTGCTAGCTGATCGTTTCTACGGCGCGACGTACAAATACAGTGCTATTTTCGATTCGATGTGGAGTCCCAGCACCCGCCGTCCCATCCCCCGCTTTGTCTGCTCATCTCTGGCTTTCTCCTTTAAACAAACGTGGACGCGATGTACACCCCATCGCGTGCCTCCCTCACCGGCACGCACGAAGCCCTGCTTCTCCCGCGCGGCCCCCAGGTTGGCGATGAACGTGCTCGTCACGCAAGTGTCGTATCGTTCCTCGCTGGTATCCTGATTGCAGGAGTGTAAGTTTTCCACGCGCTCTATGTTGATGAACTTGCTGATCGCTTCCATTTAACCAGGCTTTATGGTCTCGTGATCTCCTCCGTGAGAGCGTATTACTTGCGCAATTCTTCGGGCGATCGATGGTTGAAGGGACTGGTAATAGCATTTCGACACGTTCACGAATTACACTCTCATTTCGTGCACCACCAGGTTGGCCTATGTACCTTGCTACTTTTCTTCAACTTGCCCATTATGATTCATGAGATCTATTTCCTCATCCAAGTCAACTTCAACACACTCGGCCTCGCGGTTCCTTGGTACGTCGTTTCCTCCGGCTGCAATGCTTGAGTACGTCTAATACCCGTCCTTCAGGGATATCGACGTAAGCACCAGGATCGTTCGAGACTCTCAGCTACTTGGCCAACATTGCAGACGTCTAGTTCGCACCCATATTTAACACGATTGTTGTGTTCCTCGTGCGACTGTAAATACAATCTCTTCGCTTTCCATTAACAACCTCATACTCATTTCGTCCCCAGAGTCTTCATACGGAGGCTTTGGAAATGTGCGCCTTCGAGATTTTTATTATCCCTCCCTCCGTGACACTCACCCACGACGACTCGACAGTCTCTATGAATGTAGGAAGGGGCTATGCACGCTGGCTTTCTTTCACTGGATTGGCCATCACGGTGAGCGTTCTGTGGCGAGTATCGATGATATTCGGATCGGCCTCAATCCCTATGTAGTTCATCGTCACTATCTCCGCCTTATGTGAGTGACTGCCCTGCGTCGGGTCTCTGATTCAAGGCTCACATACTTTTTGCACCGTATAGGGACCAACGTCAGTGAGTAGAAGATTCCATGTGATACATTTTATCCTAGTCAACAGGGCTCTTCTAGCCATGATGATCCTTTCCCAGTAAGCTCCCGTCCTGGGTATTTCAACAATCCTGCATGTTAAGACGACACCAGCCTCGTTTCGGGCTCCAAGACCGGCTCCACCAACGTCACCTCGACTATCGCTGTATGTTCATCTGTCCATTGGAGTACATAATCACACTTGAAGTGCTGACTGTCTCGCTAATACACAGTCGCTCAGCATCGCGTCGTTCTCGTGCGGCTTCATCTCGGATTTCTTCTTCACCGCCATGTTGTGCGCGTGGCTTCATAGGTCGCGCACGGGCATCACCAGGTGCAGACTTTGAAGGTCTAGGCAGTAGAACTTGGCTGAACGCACCAATCGTAGCACGGACTCCACCATCACTATTTTAATTTCCTACACCATCGAGGCCGGTATGTCCCTTCTCAGCCCCTCATAGATGTTCGTAAGCTTATCACACTTGCGCGTCAGCTATGATACCTGCGTGCGTCCAGCAACAACCTTCCTGGACCAATACTAACCTCTCTTCCAGCATGTGCGACACTATTGGAATCATTATGGTGCGTACAACTACTTGGCGTCCCACCATCACGCCCTAATACACCGGTCTCAGTTTATATGCCGACCCGGAATGAATATCTACATCCCCTTCTTCATGCAAATGGGCCCTCGTGCGTCCCCCACTTCGCGGTCCAATGGCGCTACGCACTGACCTCCGCTACAGTGTACTTCCTCTCTCTTCTCGCCTCGTGCGCACCAGCGGGCCTCTTTCTGCTGCCGCTGCCTCCACTGATTTGCGTCCTTGTCTTAGGCTCAACTCCCGCCGGGACCTCTCGAGGCGGATCAACGAACCAGGCTCCGACGTGCTTACCGACGACACCCTCTCTCACCCGACTTGCAACATCCACTTCGCGTCCCCGACGACGTACGAGCTCGCCTCGGTCAAGCACGCGGGCAGCGCCTCGGAGGGCGACACCCCCGAGTTCGCCCTCGTCGGCCCTGGCGCCCGCTGCAAGGTGAGTGCGCCCGGCGCGCGCGCCTGGGTGCTTTGGGCGGCGTTCGCTGACCGTTCTGCATTCCTTTCATTTCTGCCCCTTTTCCCCTCCCCCCTCTCCCTTGCGCGGTGCAGGACGTGGCCGTCGGGGCGTCCGTGAGCGACCCTGACTGTAATCGAGACGCGTGGACGATCGGCGACGCGTCTCGTGGTCGCCACGTCGAGGCCGTGCATGAGCGGAGGACTCTGGCTTCGGACGGGTCCCGTACGGAGATCGGTTCACAGTGAACGGGGCGTCGCGCCCGGTTTCTTTCTGTTGTCCCTCATGCGACGGGATCGTAGATACGGGGGGCTTCGAGGACTAACACGGAATCCAGAAATGGGAGCTCAGGACCCTGAAAACGGTGCTTCCAAGAAGGATGTACCGATTATACCTGTATGTGTGCTGACCATGTACAGCGGGATGTATCCGGAATGCCAGTCAAACCACAGTCTTGACCGATATTTGTAGTAGTGCATCGTCGTATTCAGCTCTTCCGCTGATTAATGGTTGTGAGGTTGAACGGGCACGCAATAATTCCACCGCGAGGGCTGATACTCCCCAGAGGCTTTAGAGAGGCTTTCAGAGAGCGTAGGACTGTGCGGATCATGCCCGCCTGGTAGTAAATAGTCAGCGGTTCGGCGGTAGCAGTCGTCGAGGCGCCGGGCGTCCCCCGGCGTCGGGCTTTGCCTTGGCCAATCACCGCGCGCTCCCACGGGCGACAGCCGCCCGTTTGTTCGCCGATCTTGTCGCGAAACGCTCTGTATAGATGGCTTATAAATCTCTCTCACTCAAACCACCTCCTCCGCCTACGCTTTCCAGACGGTAGACGCCCCTTTTTTGCTTCTCCAGAGTATCCCGATGGCGGAGAGATGACCAGCTCAGAGTCCACACTCCGCCTTCGTCAGCGGAGGCCGACGGTGTATAAATGCGCCATCCTCCCAGCTCTGCCATTACAACCCGACAGTACACCCCCTACTACCTAACCATGTCTACACCCACCACCCAGAAGGCTTTCCACTTCACTGAGGTTCCTCCTCAGGGCAAGTTCGCCATCGCCGAAAGGCCGGTGCCTACACCGGGTGACGGCGAGGTCCTCGTCCGCGTCGAGGCCGCCGCACTCAACCCCATCGATTGGAAGCTCACGAGCTCCCCTGAATTCGCCAAAATGATGGGCATCTTCCCCCTCCCCCTCGGCACGGACGGAGCGGGCGTCGTCGAGGCTGTCGGCTCCGGCGTCACCACCCTATCCAAAGGCGACAAGATGTACGTGCTCTTCCGCGACTCCAGCTTCTCAGAAATGCTTATAGTCTCGCTACCAGCGTCTTCCAAGGTTGGTTCGCTCCGGACAAGGCTACCTTCCAGCAGTACGCGATTGTCAACCCCGCCTTCGCAGCCAAGGTGCGTACCGCCTCCTCATGATCCCCGTTCTTGGTCTGACAGATGAGTCCTGGCGCTCAGATTCCAGCGAACATCTCCCTGGACCAAGCCGCGTCCCTCCCGCTCGGCCTCATGACCGTCCTTCTTGGCCTGTACTCTCCTGCGTCCACGAACTCGCTCAACCTCCCCCCCTTCTGGGCGACGGGCCCCTCCGCCTCCGCCGGCACCCCCGCGCTCATCCTCGGCGGCGCGTCCTCGGTCGGCCAGTACGCCATCCAAGCCGCCAAGCTCGCAGGCCACAGCCCGATCATCACGACCGCGTCCCCGCGCAACACCTCGCTGCTCACCTCGCTCGGGGCGACGCACGTCCTCGACCGCTCGCTCTCCGTCGACGCCCTCGTCGCCGCGATCAAGGGCGCGCTCGGCGGGAAGCCGCTCTTGTTCGCGTACGACGCGATCACGTACGCGGACACGCAGGCGGTCGCCGTCCGCGCGCTCGCGCCCGAGGGCAAGCTCGTGATCGTGAACGCGGTGCCGATGAGCGAGGAGGACACGAAGGCCGCCGAGGGGAAGACGGTCGTGATGACGCAGGGGAACGTGAACGTGCCGTTCCACAACGCCGTCGGCGCGGAGATCTTTGCGCAGCTGAGTGGCTGGCTCGAGAAGGGCGATATCAAGGTGGGTTGTTCATTCCACGCCCACTGCGCGTTCACGGAGAGCTGACGTGTGTGACTGCTGCAGCCTAACAGCGTAGAAGTGCTTCCTAAGGGTCTGGCGGGCATCCAGGACGGATTGAAGCGCATGGAGGAGAACAAGGTCAGCGCCGTGAAGCTCATCGCGCACCCGCAAGAAATGCCGTGAAGACACAGGGCTTAGATAACACACGGCTCCCTTTGTACGACTATATGCTGTAGAATTAAATTGAAAGACTGTCTTCCTCCGGTGAAGTCACAAGCGAGACATGAACATTATCTTCTCTTTCCCACCTCTTCCCTTCAAGCTTTCCCTTCCTCGTCCTCTCGTCAACTGAGGCCGATATGCCAGGTCTTTCGCACCCCTGCGGAATCGAAGTGAAACCCATTGTCCGTCCACTGTAGAGGTTATGACAACGAGGAACGTGGCTCATTACCCGACTCCATTTGTCACCTGTGGATAGTACATGTGATTCTGTTGGTACACTTCAGAGAGTTCAGGATCGCTCGCCGAAAGCTAGAACAGCCCAGCCAGCTCCTCCAGCGAGTGGATAACTAGGTCCACTTCTCCACCTTCATCCTTACTCTTGATATTGTCCTTGTCTTCCTCAAGGTCGTCGGTCGCGCGGGGGATGTAGACAGTCTTCATGCCCTCCTTCGCGGCCACGCGGGGGTCCCACAAGTGCGCGGCAACCATGACGCACTTCTCTGCGGGCACTTCGAGGTGATAGATTGCGCCTTGATATACCTTCGGGTCCCTGCGTGGACAGCGGGATGTCAGTCGGTGCTCTACATACAAAGAAGGGACAGCTCACGGCTTGCAGGTCCCGAAGAGGTTGACGGAAAAGATGGCGTCCCATGCGAGGTCGGCGTTCTTCGCCTGTGCGTGTCGCTTCGTAGGCACCAACACGCAGACGGGAGTGTATGATACCTACCAGCTCGATGAGAAACCGCATGTTCCCGTTGGACAGCGCCACCGCCATCGCATGCTCTTTGAGAGCACAGATCCCGGCAGACGAATCCGGCCAACCTAAGCAGAACGCAGGTCAGAGAGTGTGCGGCATTCAGCGTCAGCGTCACTGACTGACCTTTGGCTTGGTGCCAAGACATAACCAGGCGGTGTCGCTGCTCTTGATTCCAGGAGTCGCTGAGGTGTTTGAAGCGAGGGGCTTCTAGCAGGGCGGCCAGTGTCTGAGGCAAGCACTGATATGAGGAAGGTGCGCAAGGTATTCGGGATGGGAGCACGCACCTGCGCGTGGATCACGTCCATGCTGGAATTGCCCTCTCCTCCATCTGCGATGCGGCGACTGCAGGAGGCGTTCAGAGGAGACCCCGTGCGCGCGGTGAGCGCACCGAAGCTCACGCTTGAGCGAAGTAAGCGTTGCGCCACTCATGGGCGAACGCGCTCCAGTCTGCCGTGGACAGTTAAGACGCACACATATATGCGGTTTAGGACGGTGGATATGTACCCTCCGTACTTCCGCCAGGAGCCGCTGACTTGAGGGCTTCCACGATGTTGCTGTGCCAGTCGATCACGGTGCCAAAGACATCGAAGACGAACGCCTCAGCACCGTCGAGAGGACCGCCTACTACGGGCATAGTGAGCGCAACAGCAGACCTGCGGAGGCGTTGGATAGTCCATGAGAGGGCTGAGTAAGGGAGGGATGCGCTGGGAAAGAGAATTCCGGAGCTGCAAGCGCGGTGGCAACTTGCCTCAGATCCACCATGGCCCCCTCTCGCGGTCCCCCAACCACACCCCGCATCCTTCACAAAACGCTCTCCAGTCACAAAGGGCCCGTTAACGTCGCACGGTACGCTAAAGGGAGCGCCAAGTACGTGCTTTCTGGCGGGCAAGATCGCACCGTCCGGCTGTGGAACCCAGACGCGGGCACGGAGATCAAGTCGTATTCTGCCCACGGCTACGAGATCCTCTCTATCACGGTGTGCGTACTTGACTATCTCGCTGCGTGCTACACCACTTACGGCGCTCCCAGTGCACATGATAACAGCCGTTTCGCGTCGTCTGGGGGGGACAGGCAGGTGTTCCTCTGGGACGTCATGACGGGGCAGACGATACGAAGGATACCGGGTCATATGGGCAAGATATATGCAGTCGAATTCAATGAGGACGCGAGCGTGCTGGCTAGCGGTGAGTCCTGCTTGCTTCCTGCGCATGCGGGAAAGGCCTGAAATGCTCAGGCACTTGAAGGCTCGTACGACTCAACCGTCAAGCTATGGGACCTCAAGTGCGTGTCTGCGCTGGATTTGTGCGCCTCGAGGTGACTGTGGCTCATCGCTCCGTGCTAGGTCTCAAAACCGACAGGCCATCCAAACGCTCGAAGATGCGCGCGACACCGTCCAGACCCTACACGTCGGGCATCACTACATCCTGACCGGCTCTGTGGACGGGCACGTTCGCGCGTACGACCTGCGAATGGGAGAGCTACGGACCGACTTCATAGGCCGTGCGTACAGATAATTTTCTACCCTGTATCCGCATCTCATACGCGACGTCAGAGCCCGTCACGTCCGTGGTTCCCTCACAAGACAGCCAAACGTATCTAGTGACGACCATCGACGGCCATGTCCGTCTGATGGACATGTCTACGGGCAAGATGTTGAACGACTTCAAGGGCCATGCGAGCGAGTCATACCGCATCCGGTCCTGCTTTGGGCATGGGGAGGCGACGGTGATCTGTGGAGACGAAGGGGGCGCTGTGTGGGCATGGGACTTGGTGGACGTGCGTCTTCCTCCGTATATGCTCCTGTGACGGCGGCTCAAATTCATCCCCCGCAGGCTTCACCACTGCAGCCCAACCCTCCTCCTCAGGTACACAAGAAGGTGATAACGTGGGTCGAGCATCATCCAGTCGAGGTGGGAGAACTCGTCACGGCAAGCGCGGACGGGACGGTTAAGGTGTGGCGAAGTGCGTCATAGCTACCGGGTGTAAAGCCGTCCTGTGCCGTGTTATCCGTATCTCTCTCCACATATACGTTATGTGATATCCCGACGCCGGACCAAGGGTGCTCAAGTACGACCTGGACGTGACTAGTGACTTCTGAGAGGGCAGAGTGCCACGCGTAAGCGCACCATTCGCAGTTAGCACGCCTCCCTAATCGTTCGCTGCATACAAGCTGATCTTTGTAAATTCCTGTAATGTGTTCGTATGGGTGATCTCTTCACGCGCTTCCAGTCACTGTCCGTTCTGTGACCACAGTTCTCGTACCATGAGTGCCTGTCTTCATATCGGGTACGGTCAAGGATGCGGACGGGTTCCTGTGGTTACAACTATCAGTGAGCTCATGCTTCCAGTTCAGTGCGGTATTCCTGTCGCACGATTGTGGGTGTTTCGTCATGACCTCCCTAGCATCTGCATTGAGATAGGAACATTAGATCCCCCCCTGTCTACTAAAAGATCCTCTCGTGATTAGAACCGCCCAACACGAGGGAGCAGGGCGACCGCGAATACGATGCGTCAGTACCGCAACGTGGCCTGCAGATATCACGATCAACGTAGTAGTCAACTTCAATTGGGCTGATGCGGACAAGACGTCAACATCGGTTTCTTCCTCTTCCTCCTCCTCTTCCGCATCGTCTCCCTCCACTTCGAAGATGTCTGGCTCCTCTGCTTCCATCTCGGCTCCTCCCCATGTCCCATCGCTCAGAGTTTGGCGTCATCTGCAACCTCCCCGCGATATGGACGAACACGATGAACTTTCCCGAACAAGTACAACAATGTATACTATTAGCACTCAAGCCTCTTCCAGCATCTCCAGCATGTCCTCGACTTCCCCTCTCGCCACTATTGTTGGAGCGAACACGTCCTCCGGCGGGGATCCAGCGCTTTGTGCTATTCATCCGTCAACGACTAGTCCCCGAAGGCAGCGCGGGTCTGTGCGAGACCGCGAGCGGCACATGCAGCTCGGAAAATTATCTCGCGGAAGCAGATAACAGTACCAATTCAACGAGTTCATCGTTCAAGCGTCATGCAGTATCAATTCGAAGAAGATGGAGGTGTTTGACTGGCGGGTGGGCTGTGCGACGGGTTGTGATGCCGCCGCCATGCTTCTAGATCTATAGGACATTTCGCCATGGACTGTTCCGGCGTCTTCGCCGTCACTATTTTGGCCCACCGCCACCTCTTTCCTGCGCACAGCACCCATCCATGATCCTTCCCGCATATACCCGCTCCCTCATGGGCGCTGTTGAGATGAGCCTAGCCGACTGCTTTCACTTGCCTTGCCCTCAGGCCCCCATCAATGTTCGACCACAAGAAGGCATCATCGCTTTGCCCACAAGGCTAGCCCAAACTGAGACTCTTATGTATCTGCCGCTCCAACAGCGCTGATTCGGACACAAACTCGTACGTATGTATCCCATTCTGTGCATCTCTTCCCGCGCGCCTGTCATTGATGTTGTCTGTGATCCAGCTTTGCCAGTCTGTCCATCGGCGGGAACGTCTGCCTCACTGCTCTCCCTATCGTCTATCCTGTCCGCGCGCACTTGGGTGCCGCTCGAAGCCGCGTTCTCCCTTGACCCCCACGCTCTTTTCTATGCCGTCGCTCCTTTCATGTTCTTTTTCTCACGCGAGGTCAGTAGCTTCGTGTTTTCCCGGGGGGCAGGTGGGGGTCTAACGTATCTTTCACGTAGTTCCCGCGAACCCTCCGCTCCTCATCGATGCGATGCAGCACCAGCTCAGAGCACGGGGGACCTCAGCTTCATTCGTCAAGACCGTGCCCCCTCCAGCGACACGCCATCTTTTGGAGTGGGAGACGAGAGTCCACAGGACGGGTCACTTTCGTTGTCAATAGTGGATCGCGATAGTATTCATGGTTGCAACACCCCCCAAGCTCGCGAAGGAATTGCTTCTGGGTGCTTTCAACGACAAGGTGAGACCACTGCAGTGGTATACGTTGTCGCAGACAGTGACCTGCACAAGCTTCCCCTTCTCCGTCCTATCACTATGCACGTCGAGACCCACGGCTTCACTCGCGTAGAGTCGTTGTTACGACTGTGGTTGTCTCCGAGACCGTGCCCGTGCTCTGGGACGGCACTCAGTATGAGACTCCCACCAACGGCGCAACGCCAACCTCTGACCAGGCAAGAGTGACTACACTTACTCATGTTCATTTGAACCCAACGAGCGCCAAGTCATCCACGGATCCTCCAACCACGACTATCCGGGCCGTATCTTCAATTCTCGTCACAACCGAGGGTTCGTCGTCCTCCCCGTCTCATTGGTCGACCCAGCAGCAAAGGTCAACGAGTACCTCCGACAGCGTCACCCTATCTACCAGCACACTCTCTTCCTTTTCGCAATCCGACTCTTCCTCCTCGTCTCAAGGACCCACAGCGCTTGTGAATGGTTCCCCTGGCACGTCTCTATCGACAGTAACGTTGAGCACCAATACGCTCTCCGACTCCTCCATGGCCACCCCGGGGGTCGTCCAATCCGAGGCCGGCGTCCATTCCAACACAGGCGTAATCGCAGGCGTCGCGGCCGGTGTGCTTCTGCTCGTGATCATCGCGGTCGCGCTCTTCCTCTGGCAGCGCAAACGCCCACGCGCGCGCTCGCCCGGGAGCGAAGGTGCGTTTTCTTCTTTTGCCCGCGGGGGACGTGCGGCTGATCAATGCACACGACCATCATTCTCTCTCCCGCCCCCTTCTTCCCTTTGTCTCCTTCTTGCAGAAGGATTCCGCGCCGTGCAGTCTCGGACATCAGACGGCGCTCGTGCGACCTCCCCGCCTTCCACACCTTCCAGCATTGTGGAAACCGTGGCGTGCACGGGCCTCACCTCGACCTCGGGCACGTTGCACGGCGGATCTTCTTCAGACCCTTCCGCCGCCGCGCCTCCTCTCGCGGAAGCGGAAGACATCGCGAGCCCTATCAACTTCGTCTGGTCGTCCGCGACGTCCAGCATCCCGTCAACACCCACCGCCCCGCTGTTGCCCTCGCCTCCCGCGACGCTCGCGCACCCGTCCCCGTTGTCCAGGCGCGCGGCGGCGGCGTGGGCGCACCTCGCGCTCACGCGCCAACCCTCCACGTCCCTCTCGCTCGCCTCCGCGCGCGCGACCGTCCACGAGCCGTCCTCGCCCGCGCCCGCACCCGCACACGCGCCGCCCCTCACATCTGAGAAAACGCGACACGTCCACCCAGGCGGAGACCGCCCCGCACGCCCCACCACCACCTCACGCCAGGCCCACACGCACGCCCCGAGCGCGGTGCCCCCTTCTTTCCGCGCGGGAGCGGGGGACGACCTCGGCCGCTCGCTCTCGCTGGAGACGAACGCGTCCGGGCGGACGGCATACTCCGTCGACGGGGGCGTGCGCCTCGCGGGCGGCCGCCCGGGCGAGGACGAGGACGAGGACGTGCCGGAAGTGCCGCCGTACGCGCGCGGGGCGCCGACGCGCGCGTGGGTCATGCCGCCGCCTTACAGCGACCTGCACGCCGGCGCGGGGGACCGGCGGAGCGGGAGAGGGAGCGGCGGCGAGGCGGGGACGGTTTCTGGGGCGTTGTCGAGGCTGGGGTAGGAGTGCTAGGTGGGGGCACGGGTTGTTGCTTGTATTCTTGGCCGCCAGTGTGGCGGAGTGTATACCTGTCGCTCGTGTGCGCGTTCTGTATTCTATCACGACTTCTTTCCTACCACGTTTGTGACACCCGTCTCGAAAGCGGAGGGCAACTTGACAGACCTGCCACTGCCAAATTTGCTGCAAACGAAGCGGGAATCTTCGACGGCGGACGCCCAGAAGTGTTCAGTCCAGAGGACCGAGGTGGTGTGGGCGAACCCGCGCGCAATCCGGTCACCGGGGGCATTGCCAGATGAAACACGCAGCTTCATGCTTTGTTCATATAGATTGTCCCATTGATGTACCGCACAAACTCATCTTGAGGGACATCCTTGTATCATTGATTGCTAGCCAATCAGAGCTCGAGCTTCCCATGATACGAGGAGAGACATTCAAAATGAGTCCAGATGGCGCATCCGCGAGGCATTCTATATGAGACATCAAGGAAACGGCTTGTCTCATCGGGAAATGCCCCCGGTGGGTGTCCTGGAGAGCCAAGTCCTGCAGTAGGCGGCGCCGGGCCGGCCGAGTCGCATGATGCGTGACGACAACGCGAGCAGTCACGGTCATGTGAGCAATCATCACACCTCATAGCGCGTCCTCCCAATCGCTGCGGCAGACGGCTTTTCTCCCTCTCTTCCCCCACTCTCCCAGATCGATTGGCTCTCAGCATTGAAGATGCCCCGCGCTAGCCACTCTGTAAGTATCTTGCGCTTCTTCACCACGCCGCGCGTTGATTGAGGATCATCCGTTGCACCAGGCCAAAGAGGCGGCAACCACGGTCGCGGCCGTCGCACAAGAAGAAGAGATCCTCGTCTGCTTTGGAGACCTTACCATGGATGACGAGGATGGTGGGATCAACGCTGAGGACAAGAAGGTGAAGAACCCGTCGAAGGACATCCGGGTACGTCACCGTTGATGCGGTCTCTCGACAACCGCAAGCTCGGGACGCCGACTCCGCATATGTTTAGGGCGACCTCCAGAACATCATCGAAAACGAGCTTGACTTCTCAGGCTCGTTCTCCTTCCATAAATCGTGGGCAGAGCGGGAGTTTCCCAACCCACTCCTATCCATAAACGGTTTCGGGAGCGTCGGGCTACCCCTCGGCGTACGGGACGCCCTCGCAATCAAGGAGCATGCTGCGCAAGCCCCGTTCGGCAAGGCCGACAAGACCATTGTGGACAAGACGGTGCGGGACACATGGGAGATAGACGGGTCCAAGGTACGTCTGTCCATTATAACGAACATTCGGCGTCTGAACTGTGTTCCGATGCAACAGATCCACTTTCGCAGTGCAGCCTGGAAGCCGTTCATGGACACACTAGTTCGTAACATATGTGAGACCCTGGGAGTCAACTTTCATGCGAGTAGACCTCGATGCGAACTGTACAAGCTGTTGTTGTACGAAAAGGGCTCTCAGTGAGTGGCATGCAAACTCTCGCGATATTAGGACTGATGCACTCTCCTCTCACAGCTTCCTTCCGCATGTCGTTTCAAAGCGGAGGACGTGGGCCGTGTAGTCAAGACCGTGGCTCTAAGCGGCAAACCAGAAATCCTTTACAGCTCGTAGGTCTGCTTCCCGTGCATTTTGGACTCGCGCTAATGTCCCACCAGCGTTCTCCCAGGGCTGGAAGGACTCGAGTTGGCTCCATCGCAACTGGAAGGGTTCCTATTGCAACTGGGTCCTCGCAAGGTGGATCGTGACGGTTTGACCGCGGACGCCTTTGGAGAATTGCAACAGCGCCTGCTCAAGAAGTGGTCCAGCACCTAGAGCTCGTGTCAACAGAGCACCCTCACTACTCGTCCTACCTTTCGACACAGTCGACCAAAGCCTTCCTCGTCGCCCTCGAATTCTGCCTCACACACACTTACCCCGACGCCGGAGCCCACATAATCCAGCGCCTCACCCAACCCACACCGACGACGAAACTTACCGAAAACTACGTCGAACGCACTCTGGCGCCGTTGATTCCCGAAGTTCACGAGCTTCTCTGCAAATACAAGCTGTCGCCCTCCGCACCCCCGTACGCCGCGCTCTTCCGCGCCTCCGCGCTCCATTATGCACAAACCGTGCTCGGCCCTCGTCCACGCGACCCTGCACCACAGATTGCCGCGCTCGCGCGCTGGACGTGTACATGTGCGCACTGTAGCACCGTGCGACGTTTCCTTGCGTCGCAGAACGCAAACCAAAGCTCAATGCGGTTGGAGCGCATCGGCGCACCGAACTGTAAGCACGTTGGCGGATATGTTTCAATGTACGCGCGGGAGCTGGCAGTTGGGGTGGGTGTCCGTTCGAAACCGCAAAGTTTCCAAGTACGTCCCATCCCACGTGCTTTTTTTGCTTCGTTTTCTGACACAGCATCTTTTGGACAGGTGAGCAAAGGGCCGCTGTTGGTTCAGCACGAGGAGTGGAAGGCGAAGCAACAGCAAGGCACGAGGATCCTGGCCCAGATCAGCGCCGAATCGACGCAATTGAAAGCTACTCTCGGAGAGGACTACCTCAGGATCACCACCCTCATGCGGGGCGACCCTGCTCCTGCAAGCACGCCCACGTCTGGGCCGTCGAAGTCTATGGACTCGAACACGAATACCACTAGGACACCGGCCCTCGGTGTGCAGAAGCCAGTGCCGACCAACGGACCACGAGCGCAGCCTGCGGCAGCCTCCGCGGCAAGCAGTAAGGCATCTTTAGTTCGGAAGGCGCCGCCGACCGGTGATACCGCTCCTCCCGCGAAGCGAAGCAAGGCGTCTCACTGTGCGCCCGCAGGAGGGTGATTTTCACCGTTATGAATGGTCAGTTTTCTGGATCACTATCAAACATGGTGAGGAGTTAGTGATTGGTGATTCTGGTGGTGATTTTCCCTTCACCGTTGTTGTCTAGCAAATTCACCATCTTCTGAATGATGGACTCGTTGCTCGACGACCGAGTGAAAGCGCCCAGGTGGGGAAGTGCTTACATCAGCATGGCAACACGGTGTCGCGGCGTCGCCGTGCTCGGACTCGTCTCCAGAGTTCGAAGTCTGCCTCCTCCACTACACCACTTGCAACCTGCAACCCCGCCAATCCCATCACCGGCGTCCTTATCCTCGCTTTCGACCTCCACAGCAGTTACCGCCGTACCTGCTCCACCCAATCCCCATCCCAGGCAAGGCCTTCCTGTCAAAATTAGGCGACGGGTGCTGAGCCGGCCCCCGGGTCCTCGAAGGCAACGGATTTTGGAGTACACGCTACAATTTACGTCCGAGGTATTGGAAAGGCAGTAGGAGGAGTGGCTCCGTTCGGGGGTTTCCCCTATGGCTGCGTACAACATCGGGTGAGTTATGCTTATATATCAATGCTGGACCTAAGATTGTAGAAGCTGACGTGAACACCACCGAGGTTTCCGGGAGCCAGCGCGGCATATAAGATTAACGAAGACCTTCGTGGCGACTCAAGCGTTGACGTTGAGTGTCCATAGTGTCCTAGGTAAGTTTCCGTTTTACTCCAGCACGTCCTCACCTCAGTAATGGTGAACATGCCTTCCGCGAATGTGGACCATGCATGCCAAACACCTGCTGCTGCGAATGGGCCGGCTGTAATGTCACGCCCAACAACCTTTCGCATACGGGCTGGCACTTCCTCACTCACCATGCGGCTGTACGCCAACACCCGCGACTCGCTCCCGTGGCGCAGGGCGCGCAAGGCGCGTGCCGCGCGGAGGAAGAGCGACAACGGACTACGTGAAGCACGGCTGTCTCAGCGAAGAGCGCGATGTGAAAGCAGGTGTAGGTCGGCCGAGGAGTCGGCAGCAGGGGGTGTGCGCCTCCTTCCGCGTCGCGTTCCCGGCCAGCATGTACACGACGCCACGCACCTTGTCCATGTCCACGCGCCGCAATTCGTGCCACACCACCCCCGCGGCGATTCAGAATCGTCCAGTGCGCGCACCAGCCCCCGCCCTGGCGAAAGTCCTCTACGACCTGCCGGGCCACGCACCCGACAAACCGCTTCGTGGGGACCCGCGAACAAGGCCGACCTCAAGCACTGGCTCATGTACTTGTACGTACTCCGTTGCATCGTCGCTGTAAAATATGTCGATGAGTGGCTCGTCTCATGATGTGTCCTCACTGACTCGCGCTCGCCGCGCTCTCATCGCTCTCACACCCACACAGGCTACCGCTGTACTACCCCTGAAGGCGCTCTTCCTCCTCTACCTTACCCTCCCACAAACATCAGGCTTCGTCTGGCTGTACGTGACCCACCTCTTCCCGTTTTTTGAGGCTCACGAGTACGAGGTCGACGCCCTCACGCTCTCCCAGCTCAAGACCTAGTACCTCTATTCCTACGTCCAGCAGCTCCTTCTCCACGGCTGGAACTAGCTGTCCGGCACGGTCACTCACGCACAAATTGGCGGTGCCTTCTGCCCCATCCCCGCTCGAAAAGAAGGGTGGTTGCGAGGCGAAGACCGGGCCTGTACAGTCCGCCGCAGGACCCCGGCCGCCATACGCTCCGCGACCCCCGCCGGGTGCGAAGGAAGGCGCAGGCGCCCGCAGCCAAGCTGCAACGGGCGCGCAGGCGCCCACCGCCGCCGCCGGGCGTTCTCCGAAGTCGAACAAGGATGCGGACAGGCGGACGGAGCTTGTGGCGGCGCTCGAGCGCGAACGAGGGTACCGTGTTGGTGGACGTTGCGGTGCCTCACCCAGCTGCCCGCCCCATGGCTGCACTACCAGCAAGAGTGGAGCGTGGCCACACACAGTCTGAGGGGGCTCGTCCGGCACGACTAGCAGCGGGACGCGCCGCCGATCGCGAGTCGCGCTCCTCGGCAACACCATCGGGCTCGACACCCTCGGCTCGCACGACCCCGTTTGCACCCCCACCACGTACGTGTTCATGCTCAATATCGTCCCAGTGCCCATTTGCTGAGCTCGAGCGATCTGCGACGCCCGCGGACCCAGCCAAGCTCCTCGCCGGGGCGGTCTCACCTCGACAGGCCTGTGCGCGAACTGCATGCGTTCAAGGGCGCGTGGCAGCACCGATTCCCGCTTGCGGATGTGGGCGCGTGCGCGCTTGCAAGCCCCGTCTTCAATGCGGACAGGGAACGCAGCTCGCGCGCATCGGCTGGGCAAATTTAGGCGAGGCACACAGTAGTATTATGTACTGGCAGTACTGTACAAATTCGAATAAATGAGCACTTTTATCACCATCTTCGTGAACGGTCCCCAACGTGAATATCCCCAGTAAAGTGGGTGATCGAATGATGGTGGTCCGACGGCTCAGTGATTTTCACTGAGCCAAAAATGGTGATTACCCGCCTCTTGAACGTTGAATCGAGCAAAATCTGGCTCACTTTCACTGTCTAATCACCGATAGATGGTGAATACCCCCTCGGCGCCAACGGCACATATCTGGTAATTCCCCCCATCAAAGATATGAACTATCACCCAAAAGTAGATGGTGATCAAGTGGGTGAAAATCACCCTCTTCCGGGCACGCAGTGTCTTATAATCCGTCAGATGTGATAGATCTGACGAGCGACTAACTGTTCGACTAAACTTATGTCTAAGTATCATGTACATCATATGTTCTTTGTGTCGGGTCATTTTCTTCTCTGACACATACTTCCCTCATTTTCTCTATATCGTAGTGGCGTTTATTGAATAAAATCAGACCAGTCAAGAAGTAAGCTAAGTCTCGCTCGGGGACGCACTGGAGACGGACCCCTCGTTGACCTGGTCAAGCTTCTCATATAAACTTAGCGATATTGTTGGCCTGCTCGGATACAGCACGCTGCACAAGCTCGGAAGTGAGGCAAATACTCTACTTATAACGCGTGCGGTCACGGTCATGTGAGCTCGGGCCATCACGCATGACGCGTCACTGCGGAGGAGTCGCGCACCAGTGAATTTGCTATCGGTCGTTAACTTCTTCTCCCCGCACCCTGGCTCTTCCACATTTCTATGCCATCTGCTTCGCCTAGCTATGCGCCCACCCAGTGCCTCTGTGAGTACGCCTACTCCCAGCGGGATGCTAGAACTGAGAAGACCGTGTCGGCAGGCCCAGACGGCCACGACCGCCCCCGGTCCCTCGTCAGACGATCAGAAGATCCTGCTTTGCTTTGGAGGCTTGAAAATAGCAGAAGTGGGTGATGAAGTGGATGCTGAAGACGAAAAAGCGGAGGATCCATCACAAAATATCCTGGTAAGTCTCCAGTGACATCGCACCCTGCAGAAGCGCGACTCAGTATATGTTCAGGGCAACCTTCAGGGGATCATTAACGAAGATCTGGGCTTCTCTGGCGAGTTCTCGTTCATCAACTCATGGGCGGAGCAACAATATCCCAACCCCCTCCTCTCAATTGACGACTTCGGTACCGTCGGGCTACCCCTAAGCACGCGAGAGGCCGTCGCGATAAAGGAACACGCTGCGCAGGCTCCGTTTGGCAAGGCTGACAAGACCATCGTGGACAAGACGGTGCGCGATACTTGGGAAATTGACGGGTTCAAGGTACGTCTGTCTTCGTTGCGACAAATGCTGCGTCTGAGTAGTGTGCCTAAGGTCCGCTTCCGCAGCACAACCTGGGCACCATTCATGGACTCCCTCGTTCGCGACGTGTGTAAAACTTTGGGCGTCAACTATATTGCAAGTAAACCTCGATGCGAGCTGTACAAGTTGCTGTTGTACGAAAAAGGCTCCCAGTAAGTAGCACTGGTCGAAACGATGTAGTAATCGTGATACTTACGCACAGTACTCCTCGCCCTGAAGCTTCCTGCCGCACGTCGAGTGAGTAATGCATGTTGTCAAATCTCACTGCTGACACCTACTAGTATCTGCATAGCACGGAGAAGGTGAATGGCATGTTCGCCACGATCGTTGTCGTCTTGCCCTCCGAGTTCTCAGGTGGCGAGGTTCGAGTCTCGCATGGTGGAGAATCCAAGACGTACGAGCATTCCGCCGACAGTTTGTCAGGCCTGACAGCACTCGCCTGGTACACTGACGTGGAGCACGAAGTGAAGCCCATCACGTCTGGATACCGACTCGCCCTTTCCTTCAACCTCCTCCACACGACAACCACTCTCCGCCCTGCGCTGCCGACTTTCGCCGAAGTTAAGCCACGCCTCGAGCACGTCCTCCGCTCGTGGAAACAGGAGCAAGCGAACGGCCCTCAAAAGCTCGTCTGTCTCCTCGAACATCAATATTCTCACGCAGGCTTGAACGGCAGTGGTCTCAAGGGACCGGACGCACACCTTATTGGACTTCTCCAGGAGATTGGCGGCCCGCTTGGGTTCCGCATCGGTTTCGCAAATCTCGAAATCGAGCAACGCGGCAGTCTCACGATTCACGGTGAACCCGCCGACTCGTGGGAGTACAACAGACGACACCGAAGTTATTACGACGACGATCATAGCGACTATGGATCGGACGACGTCGACATGGGAGAGGTCTGTGAAACGGACGTGCAACTAACTCGCTTGGTGGACATCAACGGCGTACCCATCCAGAAGGAGCCGCTTCGTTTCGATCCGAAAACAGAAACCATCCCAGCGGACTTGACAAAAAGTGTGGTCGCGGGGGCCCATGACGAGCAATCATGGGAAGGGTATACAGGCAATGTGAGTTTCTCCGTCTCATCTTGCCGTTCGCAGATCAACTCACGTTGGGTCACTGGGTAACAGGATTCGGGATCGCTGGAACGCAGTTAGTGACGTCTCCTCACATCACTAATTTTCGTTTTACGCATGATATTTCTTCTAGTCTATCGCCGTACGCTGCTCGTTGTGTGGCCCTCCTGGGCCACGTGTTCAATCCTCGGAGGTGGCAATACCCAACATTACGCCTGCACGGCGCTCAGCCATTGCGAGGGCTCGAAACCTACCGCGGCGGAGCTCGAGATGGTGAAGATGCTACTGAAGGACAAGCAAACTCCAAGTTCGGTGAAGGCTCTGTCCTTTGTGGCCACGAAGTGGGGCCGTCAGTCTCTCTGGATGAGGATGGCGAGAGCTTGCGGCGAAATTCCTTTGGTGCAATTCGAGCACATCAGAAACGCCATCGAGACGTTCGGGCTGTTGCCTATGCTTCCCTGGTACGCAGTCATCATAGTGAGCCGTAATATCTATCTGACTCAGCGCTGGCCGTAACTAGTCTAGAATCGGCAGTCAGCACCACGCCCTCAGACGTGATGACATTCCAGCTTCTCGACAAGCTTGAGGCTTGGCAAGATAAACATCTACCTCACGAAAAATCGGCGAAGCAGTGGTTCAAGGCTCAGCGGTTGAAGCGTTTCTACACGCTCCACGTTCCTGGTGACGACGATCCTGCTCCGTTGATTCGGCAAGCTTTGGCATACGGAGGACTGGAACTCCTTCAAAACACGTAAGTCGGTTTGCGGAAGCTGTTCACGTCCGTGCTCAAAGGCATGCTAGTGTTCTACCACAGACCAAGCAACTGGGTGACAGCCGGTATCTGCTCAAGAACGCTGTTTGCATGTATATTGAAGTCCAGATTCCCGACGACGTTCGTATAGCCAACGCCAAGGAGTTCCTTGCGAAGGCCATCAACGACGTCGACTTTTACGCCCCGATGGCAACTACCACCCAGCCTCCGACTGACACGCAACACTATGATGCAGCCACGCCATACATCAACGCGTGCTTCGATCTCGATCGCGAAGACCTTCTACCGACTGCATTCACCAAGCTGCTCAAGTTCGACGAGTTAGCAAATGATACCCTTTTGCGCCGTGTTCAGCACGTCTTGCTTCCTCTCACTGTCTACGTTTCCGAGATCTTGAAAAGACGTCAAAACGATCGCGCAAGGCCTCCGGAAATGGAAGAGTTCTGTGAGGTGATCATTGGAAAGTACATGCTCGCCGTGGCAGGAGTGTCAGCGGGGTTCCAAGCAGAGGATGTAGGACGTCTCATGGAGGCGGTGGCAATGTGCGGGAACCCTGATGTTCTGCTCACGACGTAAGTCTACTCAGTTATTACTTCGTAAATATTCGCTCATAGTCCATTAGTGTTCTTCCAGGGCTTGAACAGCTCCGTCTGACGCCGGCACAGTTACAAGGCTTCATCCTTCAGCTCCGCCCTCACGCGACCACTGTAGATGGCTCCGTCGCAGACCCCGTCCAAGTTCTCCAAGAACGCCTGCTCAACAAGTGGTCCAGCGCAGTGGAGGTAGCTGCACCGTTGCCATCCGCCAACACCAACCCGTACCCCTGGCTGCATCAACGCTCCACCACCCCGCCAAAGCCCTTCTTGCAAGCGCTCGACTTCTGCCTCGCCCACAAACACCCGGATGCCGGCGCCCACATCGTGCAACGCCTCACTCAACCTCCGTCTTCGACGCTCACCGCCAACTACGTCGAGCAGACGCTCGTTCCGCTGATCCTCGGCGTCCACGCTCTGCTTCGCAAGTACGCGCTTCCACCCTCCGCACCTCCCTACGCCGCGTTCTTCCGCGCCGTCGCGCTGCACTACGCGCAGACCGTGCTCGGCCCCTGCCCGCGCGACCCCGCACCCCAGATCGCGGCGCTCGGGCGCTGGAAGTGCGCATGCACGCACTGCAGCACCGTGCGGCAGTTCCTCACGGCGCAGAATGCAAACGAGGGCACGACGCGGCTCTCGCGCATCGGGAACAGCAGCTGCAGGCACGTTGAAGACAGCGTCTCGGCGTACGCCCGCGACCTCGCGGTCGGCGAGATCATCCGCTCGAAGCCGCAGAGCTTCCAAGTGCGTGCCATCCTGGTTCATGTTCCTTGGGGTTCGTTTTCTGACGCCGACTGTCTTCATGCAGGTGACCAAGAAAGCGCTGCTGGCCCAGCACGAGTGGTGGAAGACGAAGCAGCAGGAGATTGTCAAGTTGCTCGCGCTGATCAACGCCGACTCATCGCAGCTGGAGGCCATCCTCGGAGACGACCACGCGAGGATCACTGCGCTCATGCGCGGTGAGCCGCCCGCCTCTGGGGCCTCCAAGACGAAATCGACCTCGAGCGCCGCCGGCTCGCAGACACCCGCTCTCGGTGCGGCTACGTCAGCATCAACCAACGGACCACCTGCGGTAGCTACCATGGTGAGCGGAAAGACGTCGTTGGTCCGGACAGCACCGCCGACGCGGGCTTCTCCGCCCGCAAAGCGGAAAAAGGCTGCCTACGACCCGGCGGATGTGATAGATCTCACGAGCGACTAGTAGCACGAACGAGGTTTTGCTAATGTGTGTCCGACGACTTTCTTTCCGTTATTGTACTCGCTTTAGCATTGTGTACCGTACACCACACCTGGCCCTGACTTATACGTTATTTGTCTACTTACAACAAACTTATAGCCATCGAGCCGACGGGCTTGTTCTCCTATTTGTATCACCATGCAGGCTTCCGGTTGTAATTGCATCCATGGAAGGTCCAACATAACATACGTCTCGGAGTTGGGTATGACTTCGCACTATCCGGTGCGACGCTCGAGCGATAGACGTCATCATGAACAACTAAGACAGGACATCAGAACGTCATCCTCGAGTGCACGCAGACTAAAACATACCTCCACGTCCTCTCAAAGGAGTCTATCAACTCCTCTTGTGCAAAGCAGTGGCGCGGAAGACCGCGGTGAACAAAGTTTACAATACACTTGAGCAAAGACGATAGGGATACATACAGGCAGGAGCCCACAGTCTCTACAGCGTCGACCCCGACCCCGAGCTCTTGCTCGCGAGGAGCAGCTCGTCGAGCAACGCGGCGACCTTCTTCTGCGCATCCGTCTTCTCTGCCTGCACGCTCCGCAGCTCAGCGTCGCGCCGCTTGGCGATCTGGGCCTCATCGGAAAGGAGGAGGAGGAGCTTCATGGAGTGGGTGGTCGACATGAGCGAGTTCGCGGCGCGAATCTGCTCTTTCACGCGTTAGAGCGTGGTTCACTCTGGTGCCGGTTCACAGTGGCATGGAGGGGAACAGAGGGGGGAGCAGCGGGGAGGAGACACGCACCATGGACTCAGCGCGACATTGCGCCTGGAAAGCTTCCTCGGCGATGCGGAACTTGTCCTTGTCGCCCATCTGCGTCGAGCAAAGCCGCCATGTCAGTGCCTCCGGGCGCAGACAAACGCAGAGCGGGAGAGTTGCGCAGGAGAATGCACCGCGGCCAGGGAGACGATGTCGACCATGCTGTCGACGAGAGTCTCGATCTCGACGTCGACGCGCTTGTTCCACTCCTCTTCTACATTGTCAAGATACTCATTCGAGTCTTGGTCGATGAGGGGCTGTGTGGGCCGTTGGAGAAGCCGTGCGGTGGGGAGTGCGGATGGACGCGAAACATCGCTCTTGGTGAGGTCCGCCATCAGGGCGGGATGTGCGAGGAAACGCGCGTCACTGAATGTTTCTGACCGTCGTGACAGTGTCCAAACTCCACGAGTATCACCTTCACTACCGCATCCTCCTCCTACCAAACCTCATGAAGCGTCCCCGCTCGACTTCCCTGGAGCCGCGTTCCGAGTCGTATTCTCAGCAAAAGCAGTCCGTCGGTCCAAAACGAACCAAACAGGACGCGCAAACGCCAAGTTCGTAAAAGCTCATATGTAGTCCGACGCTGACTTGGCAGACCGCCTTGACAGAATATCTCTCTCTTGCACACATGGGGCCCCATTGGAAGGGCACCAGTTCTCTCCAGAACATGATCATCATGTACGAATCGACACACGCTTCCACTTTGTTGTGCTAAACCTGGTTCTTCAGGGGTGACTCTTACAGCAAATACGAGGGGAAGACGTGGGTGAGTTTCGCCAATGATGCATATCCGTTTCTCGTACTGATGGATGTTATAGTCAAATTATCTTTCGGACCAACTCCTACAACATGCACCCCAGAAGCCATGTGTCCATAATTTCGCATTTCCAGGGGCCACTGCCGAGGACGATCTAACAACCCAGATAGAAAGCTTTTTTGCCATCTATCCCAAGAAGAGCACTCCCAAAGACGAACCGCCACTGGACCCTACAAAGTCAACTTACTGTTCGTTGTCCCCTCATTTTCTTCGGAGTTGATCTGACCTGTTACGTTCGTGGCAAGCTCAGTTGTATTTATTGGTATAAATGACTGTGGAAGAACAGCCGCAGATGACCTAGAAACGCCATTAGAAACCATCTTTGATGCGCTCGATGACCTTTACATCAAAGCCGGAGCCAGGAACTTCCTCCTCGTGGACGTGCCCCCAATGCACCGCTCGCCACAAGGTATGAAGGCGTTCTCCATATATGAAATTGTTTCTAAAGCCATTCCTTCTCTGATTCCTCCAGCAGCAGCGTCCGACAACGAAGGCGAATTGGCGGAGCGCGTCCAGACCTGGAACGAACGTCTTCGCGAGCGTGCGCAAGATTTCGCCTCAAGTAGCTCGCAAGCAAGTGTGTCTTTGTTTTCGTCGCATCAAGTGTTAAGCGAAGTCTTGGACGATCCGTGTGAATTTGACCTCACTGAAGACGACCCCGAGACAGAGGATGGCGGCTTCTGGTTGGACGATTTGCATATCACAGCAAGCGTACACGCGATTCTCTCGGACAAGCTACTCGACTGTATCCTACATCTGGTCTGATGCCCAATAAGTAGTATTGTCCTACGTGCATGAGAAGCTCTTGATACATCACGATAAGATTGCTTGATTGTGTTATGCTCACGGTCGCAATTTCAAATTCTTGCGCAGCCTCGATGATACGTATCGAGCCCAGCTTGACTCTTTCCCCACTCAGTATCGCAAACCTATTCGCACATTATCTCGTCTCGTACTTTGACTACTGCCCGAAACACCGCCTCGGTGGGATTAAAGTCGGTTCCTTTTCAGCTTTCTGGGAGTTGGTAGAACATTGAGGTACGTACTTATATCCAGATCCTTTGTAGTACATGCCGAAGCGACTCATTCATGACGCGTAGAGGAGGATTCTCAACATTGCACACGGCTTTCACGTCCCAGAGGATACGCCAGCGCTGTGAAGGCGAGGACACGTACTTTCGCTCCGCATACTACACCCACTCCCCGCCTAGCCTCATGCCTCCCTCTCTCAAGACCCAATGCCCTGCCATGATGTTTACCGGAATATGCTCTCAGCCTGACCTATGCGTCTTCCCACACCATTCGCTTCTGTGCGAGAGCTGCGGTATATTATCCAATGGCACGCAGAACACCCTCAAACACTCGCAGAGCTTGAGGCACCGTCAACGGCTGGACGAATTGAAGTGCGACCCAAGCCTACTCTGCCCCATTTGCGACACCCGCGTCTCGAACTGGGCGTCCTGGGAAGTTCATGTTCGCAATGCGGGACACCCGAGCTCGACTGTGCCCCGCGACGGCAATGCTCCTTCAGAGGACACGGTGTACTGTTTCCTCTGCCGAAGATTCGTCTCGGCGGACTCGTGGGACAAGCACCCGAAAGAAAAAAAGACGCATCTGAGGTTCCAGGTCATCGCACAATACAGAGCGCTGTATGAGGAGAGCCGCCGTGAGCAGGAAGCTCAGGACCATGCCGCTTCCGGAGGGTCATCAGTACGTCAGCTACCCGTGTACTCTCACTCAGTCCTGACTTCTCCGGCAACATCAGTCTCTCGAAGTGTGAACGCACAATCCGGCACTTACTTCTGATGCATCGACACGCCTTGCTTGATACGGCGACAGTGGCTCGCGCGCAGGCTCTGGCAGAGCCGCGGTCTTTCGGACAGTTGGATCGGCCTCGACGGCAATTATCCCGGTGTCGTATACATACCCTACTCGGCTTCCATGGGTTCCGTGCAGGCTGTGCATTCCAGGGGTAGAGAGCGACGTACTGTTGGGCGAGTTTTTCTGGATTGGGACGGAGCGTGTGTGTTGCCGAAGACTTGGAATCATGGCCTCTCTCTCCGCCTCCAAGCAGCATTCACGTTTAGCAGGTTTACTACTACATTATATACTCCACGGGAGCATCTTGGAAAGTGACGCCACCGAACTTGACGACAGCTCTATCGACCATTTTCTCCAGCTTAGTCTGGTCGAACAGTCCCAGCCTCGGCACATGCCGCATGCGTACTGGCCAACCGCCGGAGTCCCCGCCGGAAACCCGAGTCGGTGGGCTAGATGCCACTGCCATACCCGCCACTGCTCCATACGTGTCAGACGAAGCCCGGCGCAGTTTCTTCTGGCTGGCATGTCCACGACAGCTTTCAGGTCGTCCTGAGCCGTGATTGTCACCGTGTCAGCCCCATCCGTGGGCCTCGTACGGGACCGCCCTGGGGCGGGTAACCCATGTGCCCGTGGGGCGGCGGCGGCTGGGTCTGTCCGGGAACGGGGCCCTGTCCACCTACGGGCCTGGGGGCCGGCGCACCTGTCTGGGGCGAGCCAGAGCTCACGGAGGGGGGACGAGGGTGCAAGAACGGTGTCGCGCGTTTGTTTGGTACCAAAGCCGCTCTGCCGTCGACGGTGCCAATCAGAAACAGATCAATGAGTACATTATCACCAATCGAGGGTAGTCAAATTCGTTTCCCCGTGCTCTTGCGCTGTTACAAACATCCCATGAGATAGCCCAGATACACCCGGAAACCCTTCCATTGCAAAACCCGAAGCACAACCTGAAGTCCCTGCGCCATTGCCAACAGTCGCCGAAGCGGCCGATCACAACTAGTTGCGCTGCATGGCCGGGTTCTTTGCGCCCGCGAGAAAGGCATCCTACACAGATCGAGCCAAGGACCACGAGCACGTTAACGGGCGTCGACAGCCGAAGCACATCAACAGAGCCCGCTCACCTCCGCCCACGTGTCCCTGACACTCGGGTACGCCGTGAGGTCCTCGATGTATTTTGCCATCCGCGCGAACTTGGGCTCCTTCATCGCGTCCAGGAGCTTCTTGCCGTCCCCGAGCGGGTATTTTCCGATCTCGTGCTCGACGAGGACCAAGGTGCGCAGGACGAAGGGCGCGACGGCGATGTCCGCGAGCGAAAACTGCCCGACCGCGAACCCGGACGGAGCCAGGCGCGCCTGCAGGGCCTCGAACACGCCGAGGAACGCCTCCGTGGAGCCGGTGCCGGTGAGGAAGGACCAGAACGCGGGGAAGCCCTGCTGCTCCCAGAGCGCGATGAAGAGGCGCATGTTGGCGCGCTGCAGCGGGTCGGAGGGGACGAGGTGCGCGTCGGGGTAGAGGTCGGCGATGAACTCGGAGATCACGAGGGATTCGTGGATCTTGTGCGATTCTGGAGACGGGTCTGCGGGGTCTGTGTCGGGGCCGCCGTAGGTGATGCAAGGGATCTGGGCGAAGGCGACCCATCATTAGTACAGGCGACGAACGGTGTAGGGGACAGTACCGCTACCTTCCTGGTGATGGGGTTGACTTTCTCGGAGTACCATGTGGGCTTATGGCTGTGTGTATCGATGACATATTCCTTGTGCTCGGCACCAGCTTCTTTGAGGGCGATGGAGACGCGATGACTGAACACGGAGAACTGGACAATATTGGGTCGATCAAGATCAGCGTACAGATTGCCACACGATTGGCACAGCATACTACCTTGTTACCGTAAAGCGTGATTTGTTCAGGCATGTTGAGTGCGAGTGTTGTGCGGAACCAGAGCTGGAGAGGGAGAGAGGAAGAGTGCGTAAGGTTAAGGGGTACCCTCGTCCTCCCTTCATATAAGCAGTCGATTATATGGGTCCGGCAGGGCGAGATGACTCGGATCGGACGTCGCCTCAAAGACGCGCCAAAGGTTACGGCAACGGGCGGCTCCAATCTCACGATCGTGAAGCTTTAACATTTCAATGCTCACGAATGAATATCTCCAACCGACAAAGCCGCGGTCAACCCAACGACAACGTCGATCTCAGTGACAAAAAGCTCAAGCGCCTCGCTGATGTCTGGTAAGTTCATGTTCGTATTTACGAGCTGTAACACGTACATGTCCTGTGGGAGCCCAAGCGGGTCGCGTCGGCGAAGGAGGGTGTTGGTTCGATAGACCGACGTCGGTGACGGTGGGCGGGAATGCGAGGAAACGCCCATCTGGTCAGCGAATCCCGGCATATCGGGAAGGCGTCTGGGAAGAAGCGCTCGCATGGTCAATTATCCTGACGCAAATACTGGGGGCTCACGCGTGAGTCAAATCATCCGCCCAACATTCAACGTTCAACGTTCAGTACTTCAGTCATGAACACCCTTCTACCTATCATGCTGCGATGTTTTAATTTTCCGCTAGCATTCAATATTTGTTACAATGTGGAGCATGCTTGCGCTCTTCAGGCTTCGTACGAGTAACTGCCGCCTTTCGGGGCTCGGAACACCCTGAAGTTCGCGACGCTCACACACCCTTACATAAATTCCGGGTAACCTTTGTGCATACACTCCTCCTTCTCAACTCTGGAAAACTGACGCAAACCAAAAACGAAGCCCGAGGCTCAATACGCCCGCGCGAACCCGCCGCCACCAGCATATCCTTGCTGTTGCTGCAAATAGCCCATGCCAGGCTGCCAGTAGCGCAGCACCAGCACCCAGTGCTCCTGGGACGGTGGCGCAGAGCTCTGGGTAGCGGCCTCCACCGCGGCGCTGATGAGTCCGCCGATGAGCCCCTGGCGTCGGCGGCCTCTCCGCCTGCGTTCATGGTAGTCTTCTTGGCCGTACGCCTGGGGGGCAGGTGGAGGCCCGTCCAAGACGATCGCGGCATCGATGTTGCGGTGGTGGAAGAAGTTCTGCGAGACGCGTCAGCGTCGCATGCATTCGGTACGCGCAGAACGACGCACGGAGTTCCACTGCCCGACGACGTCGTTGACCGGATTGGTCGTGCCCCGCTTCTTGCCCTTGGGCGTCGCGAGCTCTGCGAGCTCTGCGCGTGCGCGCGCGTCAGCCACGGTCGGCGCGCCGGCCCCGAAGACAGCGCGAGCACTCACGTCCGATCAGCGACCCGCCGTCGCGCCCCCTCCCGCCCAGGGCTTCGTGCTCGGGGTACTTCGGGGCGAACGCGGCGCGGAGCCACCGCTCGTCGACGCTGCTGCCCGCGCGCGCGACGTCCGCGAGGAAGCCCGCCCAGTCTTCCTCCGCGATGTCGTGCGTCCCGAACGGGTGCGGCACCGTCGTGCTGGGGGGGAGGTACGCGGGGAAGCCGGCGGCGAGCGCGGGACCGGAGCAAAGCACGGTGAGCGGCTCAAATGGGCCACAGGGCATCGCGGGATTGCGTGGGCGGGCGAAGGAGTGTTGCGGGGGTGGTGTTGGCGGGGGAGCCGAGGAAGAGGATCTAACGTAGGTGTATGTGGGGTATGACGTGGGGCTGAGGGAGTAGGACGGGGGCGCGTCTGGAGGAGGCGGGTAGAGCACGGTTTCTCGCGGATGGGACAGGTGGCCAGAAGACTGGGCGCGCGCGTCGGGGAAGCCATTGTAGGAGAGCTTGGTGTCGGTCATGGGCTCGGAGCTGGGGAACTTGATGATCATGTAAGATTGTGGGTGTGTGAGGTGCAGTTGTAGTGCTTATATGTCTGTACGCCCATCCGACTCCTGCGACATAGGATCTATGAATAGTTGGGTGGCGGTACTGGCTGGCTGAGCAGCTGTGCTGTGAAGTTCGACGAGCGCTCGCTCCGGGTGCTTTCTGGTGCTTTTCACGAAGCCGATCGCACCAAATTCTACGGACCCGGAAGTCGGGATGACGATCACCGCAGGCTGTCACAGGTATGTCGCACTGTGCCCACTCCGACCCCGGCCGGGAGCGGCGAGGGTAGTATGTACCGCCCGTGTGCGAATATCTCTTCCGGCTTTATGATCCACCGCCTGGGACCGAGTTGGGCCTCGATTTCTGCGGCTGAGAAGTTAGAACAGACCGAGGTGACGTCCGATAGATCGTTCTTTGCGTATTATTTCAGCGAGGTGGTAGACATTTTCGAGTTGGAGGGTCGTTTGTATTGACGGCAGGAAGGCTGCTGGAGGGCCCGCGGGATCTGGGTTGGGAGCACGGCTCAAAGCTGTTGGGGATCTCAGATCTGGAGGCCGGACAGCGCCCTGTTCGAGGCCTAGGCCTCTACTGCGCGAAGACGGTCCTTGCAGTCACTGGGGAGAAGCCATGTCTAAGTTCCAGACGGCGAGGAGGGCGAGATGCTGGTGTCTTTAGCTATAGCGTTTTGGCGTCCATCCGTGAACTGTATATCACCGGTGAAATCAGGGTATTGCTCCCCTGCGGGATCAGGGGGAGCGCGACCCAGAAGAGACGCCCGGGGAGAGGCATAGTCGTGAAAAGCGGGATCTGTGCAGGGATGAAAAAGGCGAGGCAGAGAGGTGCGAGTCGCGAGTCGACGGACGGCGCGCTGGGAGGAACGCGGCTGGTACCGCAAGAGGAGAGCGATGGGCGCTTGCCTTCCGTCGCTCCTCCCGCTTCCACTCCAGGGCAAACAACTATTCAGACGAGCAAAAACCAAGAGAGTCAACGTCTCGGTTGCAGCATGTTCCTGTCCTGTCTCGATGATCATTTCCGAACCAATCTCATTGCCTGAGTATGAAATCTGAAGTTTGCGCAGCCGGCCCAGCCTCCACATCTCCTCTGCCAGTGCCATCCCCCGTTACTCTGGAGTCTGCGTGCCCGCTTCATCTTCATCTTGTCTCCTATCACCATGGAGGTGCTCAGGCTTACAGGCGGGAAGGGCGTCGATGTGATTTACGACCCGGTCGGGCTCATCCGTTGTGCGTCTTTTCATCCGTCTGCGGAAGTAGGATGTTGAGGTCTTGCCGGTAGGCTTTCTCAAGTGCATTGCGTTGAAGGGGTACGCGACTATCATGGGCTTCGCCGCGGGACAGATTGAGAAGGTAAGCCGGGAAGGGTTTGTGCAGAGACATGTGCTGACCGCTCGTTCTCCATCATCGGCATTCACTGGGGTGCATACACCGAATGTTGTCGCTACCTGCCCTCCAATGCGTAATTCCACAGAGACCGAACAAGCTTCACGCGTTCCGGTGGGTTGGAGGGAACCACTCGAGTAAGTCTGGCATTTGCAGCCTAGTGCTCTGGCGTCGGTCCTACAAAACACCCCCGCCGAACGCGACAAATCTGTCACGGAGCTCAAGAGGACTCACCGAGGCCTCCATTGATGCGAAGGGCGGAAATGTTGAACAGTATCTCCGGAAGGTGGTCAGGGCGATCGGCGAGCTTGACGATAAGGAGAAGCAGCACCGAGATGTTTTCACTGTTGCCGAGTACGTCGTTTTCAGTCCTTCAGTCCTCCCACTATCCTCATACTGCCTCGTATGGAGCCACGTGCTGCGTTGGCACTGCTTGTTCTCTGCGACCCTGATCTGCAGCCAGCACAAATGCATCTACGCTCAACCTGACTTTGATGCCAATGGTATGGGGAACGTTAGGCTCCGTGCCTTCCAATGTGAGTTCTCTCTAGCTGTTTCGAGTATTGCTTTGAACACCGTCTTGAATGGGTATTCTCCCAGCAATCTTTCATCGTCCGCGACCCATTCTGCCATGTTACCTTGCCCTCCCCGCACGTCTCCTGCGCCCTCCAGCCCTACCGAGGAGGAGGGCGTTACCATGGAACGTTCTCCGACCGAACTCTCCACAGAGGCGGTCACAGCCCTGTTGGAGGATCTCGCCAAGCTCGTCGAGCAGAGGTTTTTGTGCCTGGGCGAGGACGAAGACGAACTTGGCCCGTGGTCGGTGGAGTCGATTGCGCACACCCGTTTATCGTCTACACATATGGTATGTCAAAGCTATCTCCTGTTCTCCCACGCATATTCTCTTAGCTCTGTCGATTGTCGCATCTTATGCGTGTTGGTTGGATCAACCGTATCTGAGTATCTGTTATTGGACCTGATGGAGCCTAGTCTAGCAGGGCATCAAGTCGGGGCGATACGCAGTGGGAACGTGTGGCAGCGGGATGTCAAAGAAGGTTCCTGGCGCCACGAGATCCGAGGAAGGTCGCAATCCCCGTGCGCTCGTGGTCGAGAACCTGCACTCTCAGATCGAACGCTCTGCATGAGAGCACCAGTTCGCACGCACGCCCACACGCGGCGCGAGCCCTATCTGCTGCCAGCACATCGAATCCTCGCGCCTCGGCCAACTTGCAAGAGCGGTTTCACATCTGCTGACGCCGCTCGCTTAAACCCAACGAGGTGTCATCATGAAGCGCGAATGGAGAGCCGCGGTGCGCCAACTTTGAAAATGCCTCGCAGCGGCTCTCGCGCGTCTCGCGCGAGATACAAATACCGCCCAGGAACCGCCTGGTCTTCCTCATGGAGCACCGTCGAGCGGATAGTACATAAACGCCTCGGAGATTCTGTGTCCTGGGCACTCCCCTCCCCCCTCCCCCTCCTCCCTCCGAGCGTCGCACCACGATGTCGCAGCAGTTCATCCCTCTGTCCGACCTGGTGCCCCGCCCCGCCCCTCTGCGCTCGTGGGAACGGGTGCGAGTTTCACAGCCGGTGAACTGGGTTATCGAGCTGATCGCTGAAGCGGTACGTCCCAGCGTCTCTCGTCATACATCGTTCTTCGCTGGACTCACGCGCCCATTGTGTAGACCGGGACGTTCATTTACACCTACGCGGGGGCCGGCGCCACCGCTGCTTATGTTCTAGGCAACATCCTCAAGGTAGAGGGCCTCAGCAGTACGTGTTTCGTTCGTGATCTCCACTTATTACTTCTTATACTCACTCGCGCTCCGTTTATCAGATGTATTCCAAATTGGGTTGGCGTATGCGGTCGGCATCGCGCTCGCGCTCATCATTTGCTGGGTGCGTGCTGCTCGGAACAATGGACATGGTTTGATAGAGTTTGACGGATTGGTTGAACGCCCAGCCAACGTCTGCCGGTTACTTCAGTCCTGGGTACATCATCCACGCCATGATTTTCAAGGGATTCAACCCTTGGAAAGGACTGCGGTACGACATCCTTTCTTCTTGCAGAAGATGTCACTGACAGACGCGGGTGACACAGGTACATCATCGCGGAAATCTTCGGGGCCTACATCGCGTGCTTGTTGGTCTACGTTCAGTACAAAGTCCTCATCCACGTACGTCCACTCCGCCAGTGCTTGCCGTAGAAACTGACGGTCTCTGAAGGAAGCGGTCGACGCTCTGATCGCGGCAAACCTATACGACGCGCTGATGTTCACACCCAGCGGCCCGGGAGGAATCTTCGGCCTGTACGTTAGCCCCGGATCGGACCTCACCCAAGTCCTCCTCAACGAGTTCGTCTGCGTACGTCCAGCCCCACCTTCCACCTTGCGTCCCCGCTCACCATATTTACCTAGGACTTCGTGCTCGGCCTCGCCGTCTTCTCCCTCACCGACCTCTCAAACCCGATCACCACGCCGTCCATGATGCCCTGGGCCATCGCGCTGTCCTAGTACGCCCCCCTCCCTCCCCCTCCCTTCAACGCCCTCACCCCCGCCCGCAGCGCGGTCTTCATCTGGGGCTTCTCCCCCGTCGGGCTCGCCGCGAACGCCGCGCGCGACGTCGGCGGGCGCCTCGCGGCGCTGACGCTCTTCGGGCGCGGGGCGGCGGGCGGGTCCTACGCGGCGCTCGCGGCGCTGACGAACATCCCCGCGACGCTGCTCGCGGGCGCGTTCTACGAGCTCGTGCTCGCGGACTCGGCGCGCGTCGTGCAGCGCGACTGGCGCGAGGTGCACGACGGCGTGCGCTGGCGCATGGGCGAGAGCGAGCGGGAGAGCGTGGGGAGCGTCGAGAAGGCGAGCGTCGAGCGGGCGTAGGCCGCGCGCCGCCGGCCGCCGGTCTGTGATCTCGACCGCGTGTACTTACGATCGTGTACCGCGGGTTCCTCGCGCTGTTCTCTGGGTTTAGATGTGATATGTACAGTGGCCCGTGATGATCGAGCGCACAGACAAAGCAGCTCGCACCTCGGTGTGGTCTGCGACGAACCGTCGGTTCTTCAACGCTTCACGCCGTGCTACATGCGCTGGATTCACCACACTGGCCACAGCCTGGCCAACGCGGGGCAAGCTGGCACTGCAGCCATGTGGGGTACAGTGCCTGAGCGGACGATCTTCGAATTCGAGCCTCGGCAGTCGGGACGATCGTCCGGCGCTAGCGCACGTGCGAGGCTCCAGCCGCAAATTCGCCGGCGGCACACCGGCGCTCCGCACCCACACGGCACGCGCCCGGCGCGCCCGCGCCCGCAGTTGCCTTCGACGAATTCACGTCGTGACTTCGACAGCGCGCGGCTCGGACACCATGCGCGCGAGCGTGCGCACGTCGCGCGCACCTGTACTGCGAGTCCGACCTCCGACGACGTCCTCGCGTGACGGCGGCGACATCGCACTTCTGGTGGCGAAACTGGTGAGACTCTGGAGCCTCGGAGAACGCCCCTCCAGGACCCTCCAGGACCCGAGACTCAAGCCCATGACAACTAGGGTACATAACAAAACGATAGAGCCGCCCGCCCCTCCGAACATACGCAACCGGTTGCAGGGGAGCTCGAAAAACAACCCAGCCCGGCTCATCGCCTGAGCCTTTGGCTTATAACGTTTCATCTCATTTTCGGCGAGGCTCATAGTCGCGCACTCTGGTGTGCGGTTTGGTGTGGGCCTGCAACATCGTGTGCGGGCCCAGAGAGTCGCGGAGGGATTGCGAGTCGTGGTGTGGAGCTGGACCGAGTCTTTATTTTGACCTCCATCGCAACATGCCCGAGAGGCGGAGGGAGCGCTCGAGCGTTTTGGTACCACTGCCGGCCGGAAGGGCCACCCTCACGGTAACGTCGGGTTTCATGTACCACGTCCGAAACGGTACCTTGGTGCGCGCGAGCCAAGGGTTTGAAACGCGTCGCCCTCGATCGCTAGGTGGTTTGTGTCCAGGGCACCGAGTGTGTGAGGGCCACGTGGGCCCGGACTACCCGGACTCCTGCAATGTCACGCTGATTCCGACATAACGGATGCTCAAACATTTGTCGCGCGACATAGAACACGAGGCGCCTACGAGTGCGTCGACGCGGTCTCGTGATTATGGGTACTCGAGGGCTCGCGTACTTGGCCCGCCGCCTTATAGTGCATTCTGACCGAGATAGCGTATTTGAACACACCGGAGCGCGCCCCCGCGCCATGAGATGCCGCGAGCGTATTTAGAGAAACGCCTACATTGGAGCGACCTTACACCGATGCGCGTACCAGATCTCGGTTTCGCCGAGATAGCCTCGTGGCGTACTCATCCCACGTACGCGGATGGACAGACGGACTCCGGGTGTGGGCGATCCTACGGCGACGCCGAGGACGAGCTGCTGAAGCGCTGAAGGCCTGACGGGCGTTGCGCACACCCAACTTGTGCTTCTGGTGCCGCTCGCGCCAACAGCGTGCTGGGTGGCGTCGAGCCAACAAGAGGAGAGACGATCACTGAGCGCACAGTAGATGAGACGCTACGCACAAGCAGAAGGCGGGGCGGAGGGCGGGCCCGATCGATGGAAGGATGGCGGACCGGAGCGTCGTCCGGCCGCGAGCTCGAGCTTCGTACACTTCGTGCAGTCCGCATCCGCGCGACTCGCCCGACAATCTGCGCGCGTGCTTGTGCGACAGCCAAATTCGCAGCCGTGTCGCGTGCGCGAGGCGTCCAACGCGCGCGAACACGCTCTCTTGCGTTGGCTGGCCATGCCGCGATGGTCGCTGGAGCTTCGCTGCAGGCGTCCGCCACGGGAAGCTGACGTCAGGGCCGCTAGCTGGATCGGGCGGCCCGATCGCGCTAGCGCCGCCGCAAGGTGCAGAGGACGCGCGGGGGGGCGCTCCCGCCACCCGCACTGGACGCGCGGTGTGTTCGCGCGGGGCGTCGACGGAGGCTTTCAGGCCGCGATGGGGGCATCGATGATCGTGGCCGCGGGGAAGAGGGCGATGGAAGGGCAGGCGCGCACGGGCCACGCACGCGCGCCCCTCGAGGCCGTCTACGGTATCGCACCCCGATCGGGCCGATAAGATTAGATGCACTGACCGCTGCGACGAGGCTTGTGCACGCAGCGGCCGCTGGCGAGCAGACCGTCTCGTGCGCAGGCCGGACAACGACGGGGCCACAATGAGAGCCCACTACCGCGTTGTGTTGTGCAGACGAGGGGGCGGCCGTTGCGGCGGCGGAGGAGGGAAGTGCATGGGCCCGGCGGAGGCACAGGAAGGGTGCCGAATGAGGCAGGAGGGATATCCGGGCGCGGGGCGTGGACGGCACTCTTTGTGTCAGCCCATGCTCGCTGAGGGTGCGCGAGGGTATATAGCCCTCTCCCCTCGTCCGCCCGCCTCTTCCCTCCACCGTCTCCGCGCCCCCGCTCGTCGCGCCCCCCACCCGACCCGTCGTCCCGCGCGCCCTCCCAAACCCTCACGCCCTCGCCCCCTGGCGCCACACCCTACGTGCCGCCACATCCCCCGCCGCGACCGTGAAACGCCCCGCCCCCCTCATATACAGCCCCGCCACCCGTCCCGCACATCCCCCACCTGGCCACCATGGACGCGCACCTCACTCTCACCGCCGATCGCGACGACGGCAGGTACGCCCTCGACCTCTCCTCCCACCAGTATCCCACCTCCTGCTCCCGCGACGAAGCCTACGTCCGCCCCGACCCTTCCCGACCTCCCCCCGCCGCCTACGCCTTCTCCCAATCATCCGAGCCCTCCACCCTCTCGCGCAGCCACCTCCAATACCCCATCCGAGACATGACCGAACTCACCCCTGGCGTCCTCAAGACCGGTCAGTGGACCGTGAACCACCCCCTTGTCACCGCCTACCTCGACGCTCTCGCCTATCGCTTCTCCCACCTCCCCTCAACACCCACCGCCTTGTCGCCCGCCCCTTCCCCCACACCCGCCTCCGCATCCCTCTTTGTGCCACTCAAATCCCCCTCGCGACTACCATCCTCTACTTCCCACCTTTCGCCGGCAGGCCCGGTGGAGATCACCCGCAGGGGCGCGCAGAATGGCGGCATCGCCAACGTCAGGACGCTCTGCATCACCCTTTACGAGCATTTCATGCGCTTTCCTACCTGGACTGCCCTCGTTCTCATTCGAGAGCTGGGCACCCTGACGGAGAGGGAGATGGACGTCATCTTTACTCTCGCCGCACTCCGCGTGCTCAACCATCCCACACACCCTGCCCACTTTGCGCTCTGGGCCAAGAATGTCATGAAGCAGACGGCACAGGTTGTGGAAGCAACGCACAGTACGTACTCTTGCTTCTCTGCGCCCTCTGCCCTGCCGACCCGCGCCATTGCAACACCCCCGCTTACCTGTGCGTCCTGCAGCCCTCAAGCCGTGCCCTTTCGCTTCGAGCGTTAGCTGGATCGGCATCCAGGACAACTTGTGGTCCCTGAACGGTCTTCACGCCGTCTACGTTCCTCCCCCGCCCCAGACCGAGAAGAAGGGTGGCATGACGCTCAGGAAACGCAAAGCGGCCGAGGCCAAAGCTCAAGTCGAGGACGACGCTGAAGAGGCCTCCCCGCCCCTCAAACGTGCCCGCACGACCCGTGCGTCGCAGAAGGCCAAGGATGCGGCTGCAGCGCAAGCCGCCGAGGTTCTCCCAGAGGCAACGGAGGAAGAAGAGGCCTCCGAGTCCCTTCTCTTGTCCTTCGCTCCGCAGGCTCTCCCGGCTCCCGCGCTTGAGCTGCTCACGCGGGTCAAACGGGACCTCGATCAGGGAACGCGCGGGACCCCAATGTTGCAGGCGATTGAGCTCGCTTTCGCGCTCGACGAGACAGCTGACCGTGGTGCCGCACCCGCGGCTGCGCCTTCGGTCTCTGCAGCCGCGGCATCCCCGCCCACCCGCCGCTCGACACGCGCGCGGCGCAAGCCCGTAGCGCCGGACGCGGACGCGCTCCTCTCCGCCCCAGTCTCCACGCTGTCCTCCCCGACTTCGCCCATGCTCTCACCCCTCCCTGCGGCCGATGAGAAGACGGCGGGCGGAGCCCACTCGGTCCGTGCCGGCTCGCGCGGGAGCAGCACCGCGGTCAGCGACGAAGGCTACCCGAGCGAAGAAGGCACCGTCGTGGACGAGACCGCGACGCCCGCCGGCATGAGCGCGAGCGCGAAGGGCAAGCGCAAGATGAGCGAGATGGATGAGGATAGCCAGCTCGAGGAGCCCACGCCTGGTGCGAAGAAGCCCAAAGGCGCGGCGCGCAAGTCCCGTGCGAAGGTGCTGGCCGGATCCCCGGACGGCGCGGTTCCGGCTCTGCCGCACACAGACGACACGACCGCGCCCGTCTCTGCTGCCGTCGCCGAGGAGGTCGAGCCCGCAGGCAAGAAGAGGAAGACGGCCGCGACAGGGTCCAAGAAGCGTGCCACGCGTAAGGCGTGAGTTGCGTGCCGCTCCGAGCTTGCGCGACTGCGACTCGAGGGTGATGATGACGTCGAGCAGCATATTTATCCCTCTTTTATCCATCCGCCTCCGTCCTCACCCGCCCCCCGCCTATCCTCCCACACCTCCAGCCCGACTACCGCCGCCTCAGTTAACGTCGGGCATGCTCAATCTGCGATCTATCCGCCTGTGTGCGGCTTGCCCATCTCCCCATCCACATCGCAATCATCGTTGTCCTCGTTCTTCGTTGCTTTCGATTTCCCCGGTCCCGTCTCACGCTCTAACGGATCCCCCATATCCCTGCGCATCCCCCAATTCTTTATACCTCCTATTCTCCTAATTCTCCAGACCGCATATCGCATATCATCTGCATCACTCACGCCAACGCCCACGCCCACGCCCACGCCGACCCGTCATCCGCCGCTCACCATCCTCCCCATCGCATCACATCCACAGTACATCGTCTTCCGCATCCAGCGGGCGCGCGTCTCCATCGTCTGGCCTCACGTCTCTACTATTCTCTCGCCTCGTCTCTGTCACACCTCCTACATCATTCTTGAATGTTGTACTCGTATCCATACCCCGCACAAACGCCCTGCCACACACGATCCGCCTTTTGCATACACGCGCGCACAACGTGCCCACGCGACCCCCGCCCCGCCCCTCCCCCGTCTCCCGCCTCTCCTGGAAGCCCGCTGCGGACAGTGTTCTCCGACTCGGCACGCACCACGCATCCTACAGACCCTCGCATCCGCATCCCCCCTCTACGCCCGCTCACGTCGCGCATACGTCAGAACCCCCGACTCGTCCCCGCCGCGCACTCGAGAGCCAAGAGCCCTCACATCCCGCCGCTGTACCCGTACTCGCTATTTACCTGCCCCTGTGTCTCCCCTACCGCCGCTGTGTCCATCGATCGTGTACTCCGTCTCCCTCTCGGCCCCTCGTCCTCGTCTTTGTCTTTGTCTTTGTTTCTGTCTGTCTCGCTCTCGCGCTGTATTGTATCTCGGTCTCGGCCTCGCGAGCGCGTCCGCCCTGCTTTCTCTGGTGTCTTAATGGAATGTTCCTGTCTGTGGTCCGTTCGCTCGTGCGTGTGTCTGCTGTGCAAGAGGATAAACGCGGAAGTCGCGCGTCGTGTCACCATCACGTGCTGGGTGACTGGTGCTTCTCCACTCTGCGGTATGTACAATTTCAAATCACGAGTCGAAAGACGCTTCGGCTCTGTTTTTTGTAGAGCGCAAGTACTAGAGTTGGTGGGCGATACCGTATCATACAGCAGGCATCGTGCACCGAAGGCGATCAACGATAGCAAGCGTGGACTGCTGCATACACCAACGCCGCTGCATATGTATGCGCTTGTGCCACCGGTAGCACGCATCATCGCGACTGGAGCCGAAGCCGGACGACGGAAAGGACGAGGCACGGGAGACGACGGAGCTATGCGGCCAGAGGCCGCTGTGTACCGCAGTTAGTCAGGATCGTTGTGGAAGTCGACACCGCCCCCTGGAGCGGCCGCGCCGGGAGGTCAGGAGACGGACCGGGGTCGGAGCTTGCAGCTTACAGGATGGCCGAGGCTGGAACATGAGCGCATGAGCACTGGAGGGGAACTGCGGCTATGTACGACCGTCGACGCCAGCCCACGAGGCATGCGACCCTTCCGGAGCTTCTCGAGGCCTGGCCATCGAGGAGCACGCACAGACTGGGGAGGTGCCCCACTGGCCGGGCGCGGAGTCACGGTAGAATTTGTGGACCGTTGTGCTGAATCGCGGCGTGCCAGGATTCCGTGGAAATCAGCCGTTATCAGAACGATAGGCCTGTTGATCGAAAAATCACACACAAGAGTTTCGAACTCAAACCGAACTCCGCCATTACCGACTTTACGCGGACATCGCTTCTCGCGCGAAGAGGTCGCTCCGACTCGCTACTCACCAGTAAGCCTCGCAACTGTCAAAAATTGCGACTCCGCTCGATTTACTCTGTGTGTAAACTTTTTCAAACCGGCCTATCGTTCTGATAACAGCTGTAAGTACGATCGCGTTTTGCCTCGTTGGAAGAGATCACGAGGGCTGGCGAGCGATCCGCCGCTCGACGAAACGCCTCGAGAGGCCTTGTCACGCCCCCAGCTCAAACGCGTAGACTGTCAAGGACCCGCGGTCGTGCCTGTCCGCCTCTGTCCACCTCGGTCTCATCTAGATCGCGCTAGTGCCCGCCGCAAGCGTCCTCGTTAGCCGCGCGAGATGACTTAGCCCCCGCCTCCTCTTTAAAAATGCGCGGGGTCGATCCGACCCATCCAACGACCTGTCGTTCGCTCTCCCCTACCCTCTCCTATTCCTCCGTCCCACAACCCCCACGATGCTCTTCCGCGCGTTCGCGTTCTTTGCGCTCTCGGCCTCGCTGCTCTCCGCGTTTGCCACGCCCCCGCGCCTCGAGCAGCGCGCCGTCTCTGCGGACAACATCGTCTACGTCACCGACGCCGAATCGTACTGGTACGCCCACCCCACCGCTTTCTCTCCCGTCCCGGATCTTGAGCCCGCCCCGCGCGCAGCATGATCATGCCGCGCGACCCGCACACGAACATCGGCGACTCCGAGCACCCCGGCGGGATGAAGACCTACTGCTCCCCCAAGGGCCGGTACGACAAGCCCCTCCAGGGCCAGCTCCCGGCCGACTTCTGGAAGAACGTCGAGTTCAAGTCCGGCTACTCCTCCCACGGCGCGCGCTACGCCCAGCGTACGTCCCCCTCCCTCCTCCCTTTCCCCCACCCTCGCGGCTGACCGCACCGCGCACGCGCACGCGCAGTGACGGGCTGCATCCGCCCCGAGAAGCTCAGCCGGCTGAACCCGAGCGACGCCGGCGGACAGTACGACTCCTCCGGCGGCGTGGGCGGGCTCGGCAACCCGCAGGGCAGCGTCTGCCTCGGGTACAACCACTACGTCGAGCTCGTCGAGCCCGCGGGCCCGCGCGCGTGCATCAAGTGCTGCGACGACCCGCGCGACTGCCCGACGAACAAGGGTGAGTTGGGCTCTCCTCCGCGCCCGAGCGGGACTGACGCCTGTGGTTTCGGTTAGATACATCGGGCTGCCCGCAGGTCATCACGGGCAACTACTTCGACTGCGCTTGAGAGCTTTCTGCTGGTGGTTGGGCTTTGTGGGCGATCGCCCGAGGACCTTCGACTCGACTCGGACTATCACGTTACGTTTTCATGACTGCTCGGACCTTGCGGCCTGAGGTTAATGCTGTTACTACTGTATTTTTGTCGTCCGTTATTGTTTGTCTCGATGGCATGACGCCCCGCTACCCGTAAATGCACCTTAAAGAGAAGCTACGTGACGAGAGTGATCTCTGGCCTGATCCACAACTGAGTGGATGTAGAGCTTGATCTTGCCTCGTACCTCGAGGTTAGGTCCGCGGCATCTCGACTCTCAACCGATCGAGCCTCACGCGTCTGTCGCGATAGGCGCGTCAGCTCCTGCGACTCAGTGAAATCATACATGCTTGGGTCCCACTGCTCCCACACTGTCCCCTCCACCCTCTCCATAATCGTCCAGTTTACAGACCGGCCAGAGTGCTCTCTCTGCGCACGATCACATCCCCGTCCCTGCGTCGTCGTCCCGCGCACGACGCGCAATCCCAAGACCTCGCGCCGCTAGCTCGAGGGCCACGCAACTCACCCGTCGCTCCGAGCTCAATCGGCCGCGCCCCTGGCAGACGCGTCGTTCAAGCGGCAGAAGAGGGTATTACTGGCGATCCTTCCGTGCTCGCCTGTCGGGGAAGCCGAGCGTTGGCCGGTGTTGCAGGCAGCGTACCAACAGAGAGGCGGACCGGGGTGTGTCTGTGAGTCATCTCGCTACCCGGTGCTGCGCGGGGCGCCGAGGCGAGGTGGTGGTCAGTCCCGGGGACTACAGCTGTTTCCGAAATGATTGCCCGACCAACTCCGATGATACGCGAGCTCGCATCACACGCGAGCTGCACGAACGCACACGAGAAAATCGAAAAAAATCGAAAAAATCGTCCTCATCGTCTGCAGCGGTTTTGCGCCCTCCGCTCCATTCCTTTTGTCTCTGCTTCACATCTCATCATGCCTGGGTGCTATGTCTCGCGAGATATCAAGCTTCAAGGCTTGTGCGATCTACTTGCGGTCGGTTCAAGGCTGGTCGCGGGTCGACGTGGCTGAAGTCCTGGGAGCGTCTATACGTTCTATCCGACGATGGGAGGACGACTACAAGACATTAGAGCAGCCGGATTCTCTGTGGTCGCTGCCCTCTGCTTCCACCCGCGGTCCTAGAGGATCTGCGATATATCCTCTCCCACCCTTCGATGTACCTCGACGACGAAGTCGTCAAGTGGTGCATTGAAACCCACGGTATTCGCATCTCTCTCACCACTGCCCACCGTACCCTCGTCCATCTCGGGTTTTCGTACAAGAAAATGTGAAAGGAGGCAGCCCAACGCGACGAGATCACCCGGCATTGGTGGCACGCCCAGGACGAGTCAAACAAGGACAACCGAACTGTATGAGTGCGCTTTGAATGGGCAGCGTGCTGGCTGACCAGGGCCGACGCTTCTCCGTCCTCCCCGCCCTCACATTGGACGACATTCTCCCCGTGTGGGTGGTGCAGGATGGTGTGGAGTCCTACCGGCGATTGGGTTGTCACAGAGCTGGTATGTCGTGTCAACTCGTCTCGGTCCTCATCCCGTCTCAGCGGTCTCTTTGATAGCTGCCCAAGATGAACCCGTTCTCGAGCCCAAACAGTGTTCTCATTGTCGACAATTGCCGCACACACACGAGTGAAGCAGTTTGCGAGGCAGTGGAAGCAGCCAGTGAGTGCGGAACATGCTCTTTCGGCTGGAATTTCGCCGTATTAACGGTGCAAAGGGTGTCTGCTCATATACCTTCGTCGGCAACGGGACTACATGGGTGGAGACGACGCCTTTCCGGAGAACGAGCTCATTGAGGCCTGCTATGCTGCTGTCACCCCGGAGAAGGCTCACGGCTGGTACAGGCATAGCGGTTGCCTGTAGGTATGTAGTTGCTTCTGTGAATTCATGCTTCGGCCCCGACACGAACACCGTTAAAGCTCTCCCAGTCCCTACCCGTGCTGCTTCATACGTGCACGATGGCGTTGCATCTCGCGCTCGCGCTCTCAAGGTACCACATGGGTTTGAGCATGGTCAGTCTCACGCGGTGCATCATGGTGGTCGTTGTGTGGAATGTGCTCGGCGCGCGGGGCGACGGCGAGTGCTGTACGATCCTCGCCGTCATCGTCAACAGTGTGCTGCAGGTTGTCCTCTACGTGTCGCTTGCACTGCTGTGGATCGTGACGTGTTTCGTGGTGCTCAAGACGATGTCGCGCGTATTCCTCGAGACGTGCTTCGCCGCCCATGACCAGGCAGGAAGTTGCGACGTGCGATAAAACCGTGCGTCGCGCATCTCTCTGTTGCCTTCTGTGTCGTCCATGTGGCGGAAAGATATGTAGAGCCAGTGTTAGAGCAGGAAGGAGGTAAAAACAGAAGCGTACAAGGTGTCGCTGGCACGCTCTCGCTGTCCGACCCCAATTTCCATCATTTTCCGAATTTTCTGCGTCGCTCGCGTCGGCTCGCGTCAGGTCGTGCGCGCGCGGTGAGACTTTCCCGAATTTCTCCGAATTTTTCGGAGCATTCGTGCCTGTTGCCGCTCGCGTAGCGTCGGAGTTGGTCGGGCAATCATTTCGGCAACAGCTGTAGAAAGTCGACAGTGCTCGCGGGTGGCGGAGCCTAATGTGAGCATGTCCTTCGAAGGGATCGAGCGGGCCAATTTTGTGTGCGCATATAGCCAGCGCACCAGCTCTCCTGCGTACAGTCTCGACATCTCTGAGCGTGCTGGTGCCGCAATGGCCCAGAGGAGCCCGATGGTGCGTGGTACGTTGCACCGTCCGATTATTCCGTCATTTCTGTAAGCTAATGGGCGGTCGTGTGTTTCAGCTGCAGCGACTGCGCACGCTCCTGCGGGACCCGCTCGCGACGGAGGTCGTACGCTTGAAATTTTTGCGCTGACTTGTGGTGAGCAATCAACGTCAATGCTTGCCTGGGATAATTTGCGAGGACGGCGCCGAGGCATTACTGCCTCCGGAGAACGCGGAAGTGGGGTGCATGGTGGAGGTGGCGCGAAACCTGCAAGTATGACTACAAGGATGCCTCGCTAACTGTGTAGTGATACTGTCTCTGTGCAGCGCCCTCTCCAACATACCACGAACGGGGCCTTCGAAGCGCACTGTCTGCCGACTGCAAAAATGTGTCTTGTATAGCAGCGTAGGTCGAAAAGCGGCGCTCAAGTGTGTTTTCGAAACGTGGCTGGCACGCGACCACCGCCCAAGGCGCGGGTGCGTCATCCAGTCCACATAGGGCCACACGCTGTGCTCGGCATGTCCGGAACTCCAACCAACGCGCCCGTGTGGAAGACTCGACTCGACTCGTCGGGGACATTCGAGGACCACACGTGTCATCGCGCCGAGCGCGTCCTCCTTTCTCCGCTCCCTGCTGACACGCCACAGGTACTAGCGACGCACAAGACAGGATATATACCCAGAACCAGGGTGGGGCGCCGGATCTCTCTCTCTCTTGCCATCATGGCTGCCTACGAATACTATCGCTCCGCCGCCCCAGGATGGGGCACAAACCAATATCAACTCGGGCCTCCGCCCATGCCTACTATGCAACCCCAGCCTAATTGTGAGTCGTTTGGCCATTATTACCTCTTTTTGCTCACTATCTCCACCAGGGACGGGCATGGACTTCTACAATGCGCATGCCGTCAATCCTGATTCGTGAGCCCGCTTCTATACTGGATCATGATGGAATAAGCTCTGACATATCAACCACCCTCTAGAACCTTGTACCAGTCGATTATGGGCGGACTGCCCTCTCTCGCCGGCATGGGCGTCGACCACCGAACGGCCAGAGAACGTCATCGAATGGTCTACGGAGGTCTCGTGAGTCCAAGCCATTCTATCGTCGTGTCTAGGCATTCACACGTGCCGTCCCAAAGGTTCCTGTGCGCCAATTACTTCCTGCCGATGTCGGCGCTGCGGCTGCCTACGAGGTGTACCGCACCTGGAAGTACAACTCTTCCCTCTATGCGCCTCTCAGTGCCGATCGCATGCTGCAGCGCGAAGGTTTGATCGGGATGGCCATCGCTGAAGGTAAACCCGACTCCTCACCTCACCCCCCTCCGCAGACTGACCCGTTGGACCAGCAACGCGGCTTTGGCAGCACACTGGGCGTGCCGCGGACGTCTACGGCCAGCGCGCCGCGTGCGAGTCCGCCGCCGCGACGGCATCGCACCTCGCAGATCGGGTGCGTCGCACACGGGGCCTCTGTTCGCGTCGCGCTCCGACTCTGACTCCGTCTCCGCCCCGCAGTTCCTCAGCATGTCCGGCATGGCCGGCGGCGCCCCGCTCGTCGGATCCTACGGACACGGCGCCCCCATGGCCGTCCCCATGACCGCCGCGAGCAGCGCCTACGGCAGCCCGTACATGGGCGGCGGCCCCGCGTCCTACGGTGGCTACTCCCCGAGCGCGGCGTACCGCCACCCCTCGCGCTCGCCCGGGCGCGGGAACGCGGCCGTGCTCGCCATGCCGGGCGACACCGTGGTCGTCCACGGGGGCCACCGCGCGCATTCGCGCGGGCGCTCGCGGTCGCGGGATAGACGCGATCACCACCACCACCACTCGCACAGCGGGCACGGCGACCACCGCTCGCACTCGCACTCGCGCTCGCGCTCGAGCCGTCACCACAGTCCCCATCCCCACCACCATCCCCACCACCACCATCCGCGCCGGCACGCGAGCGTCGAAGTCATCCACAGCGGTGGAGGGTACGGCTACGGAGGCGGCGGCTATGGAGGCGGCGGGTACGGAGGAGGGTACCCTGCAGTCGGGTACTCTAGGAGGTACGGCGACCCTTACTACTCTTTCCGCGATGATTCACATTGTGTGATCGCATGATTCTTGCCTCTTGCAGTGGATACGGATACAGCCCGCAATACGCGTACGGCTATTAATTAATCGAGACGTTGGATGGACGGTCAATAATGTAACTATACCCCTTGCGCATCATCATCGAAAGGACCACGGACATGCCGAGGAACTATGGGACGTGATCAGAGGGAGACGTCAGGAGAGCCGCGTAGGACGGGGCACTTTGTTCGCGAAGAGTAAGCCCGTGGGTTGCGCGCTGACCGTACGTGTTCGTCGCACGCCCGCCAGGGCCGCGTTGCTAGTCGGGGGCATGTGAGCGCAGCGCGAGGGAGAAGAAGAGGAAGAGGGTCTTTGGCGATGGACGTCCCGAACAGCCCTTCGTGCTGTAGTATGTGGTCGACGCGGGGAGGCGCATGGAGCGAACGTACGTGACTGTGGCGTCGACGTTGGCGGGGAGCAGTTGATGGGTTGGTGGCTGCACGCCTCGACGCACACTGGGAACTGAAGTACTGATGCTTTCTGTCGCTCAATGTACATTGTCCTTGTGCCTCCACGTTGAGTCGAAGAGGCTCGGAATTGTGCTTCCCGACACGTTGAGGCTCTCCATACGCACTAGCCAAATACACACTGTCCCGGCAGTTGGGGGATATATACATATATATACGTATATGCGACCGCCTCCTTTCACCTTGAACGTGCTATTCGACAACCGCACAACGGCCCATCACACATTTCCGTTTGTCAATACCAGTGCAATGTTGCAAACGCAAGTGTCCATAAATGAGCGCCCGAGGGACATTATATGACCACCGATCAAAATCGAGCCCCCGGCGAGACTCGAACTCGCAACCTCCGGATCGCCTGAGCGCACTAAGTAGAAGTCCGACGTCATGACCATTAGACAACGAGGGCCTTTGAGCGTGGCGGTATTAAAGTTATATGGATGTATAACACGTTACTCGAAACTAGGAACAGCGCTACTCTGAGTGCATACTAGGCGCTTGCCACCCCTCCTCTCGCACCGTCATCGAGAAGAAGACCAACATGAGTAAGTGCTTTAGTGACGCTCCTCATACAGAGCGCACAGTCTCTAACTTGCCACAGGCCTGCCGGATTGCGAACGTTTGAAGAAGGCGGGATGCACCGTGTCCGGAGTCGAGTGGGGTGCTGAATCGCCGACGTCAAATTGACGAGCTGAGGAGCAGCGCTCCAAGCTGCTTTCTGCGTCCGGGGTGGCAATCGGTTTGACCGTTTGGACCCGTGAGGTTCCCAGGCTGAATAACCTCGACGATGGGACAGGACACAGGGGGCTGAATCAGCAGCAGTCGCGCACCGTTCCGCTCGCTCTGGCTCAAGCCTGTCGGGCGTAGTCGGGAAATGAGCTGCGGGCGGGGGGTGGGTGAGGGTGCTCGAAGGCCGGAGAATGGCCGGGGCCTTCAGGCGCGAACCGGGAAGGGCTGCCTGGTATGGGACGCTGGCGAATGACGTCGCAGACCGGCGAATGACGTAGCTCCCCGTCCTCCGGCCGCGCGCGATCCAAAAGGCCTCTGCGCTCGCCGCCGTTGCAGCTCTCCATCCTCGAAACACATCGCCCGCTCTCACTGCCCACTCTCCTCCCTTCACCTGCACCTGCACTGCCCCGGCCCCCTCCCCCGCACGGCCACCACCATGGCCACCATCAAGCGCGCCCTCACCCTCCTCACCCACTCGCGCTCGCCCTCCAAGAGCTCCTCCTCCACCTCCAGCGACATCCAGCCGTTTGTGAATGGCAACTCCGAGAAGAAGCGGGCCTCCTACGACGACACCAACGCAGGTCCCACTGCAGCCCAGAGGCAGCAGTGGGCAGACGGTGTGCCCGAACAAACCATCCATGCAGGCAGGCAACGCCGGCCCTCGTTCACCGAGCAGAAGCAGGAGCGCCGGCAAGAACGCGAGGCCATGGAGCATGAAGAGGCCCGCGAACGCCGCGCGCGCCTAAACAAAGCTCACGCCCAGGTGAGTTACCTACTATTCTTCCTCTCCCCGTCTCGGACCTGTGCGCGGGAACAGATCCACCCGCGCCGGGATGGCACCATCAGGCCCCGCGCCATCTCCTCGCCGTTCTCTGCGCAACCCCGGACGTGCTGACGCTACGGTTACACGCAGGACCCTTGCCGAGACAACTGGGGCGACCTTCCCTTGACCATGTCTCAAGAGAAGTCAGGTATGATCCACTCGTGCCAACGTAGCGCAGACTCTGACATCGCACTCAGAGCGTCGTCTAGATCGCATCCACGACATCGGCAAGAATGAAGGAGACTCCGTCCTGATCCGCGCCCGCGTTCATCATATTCGCCCCCTCAGTGAGCCACACATATTCCCTGAATTTGACCATACGTGACCAATCCACGCAGGTGCTCACATCGTCTTCATCATCCTCCGCCATCAGTTCACAACCATCCAGGGCGTGCTGAGTGAGGAGGAGGGCCACGTGTCTCCAGCCATGGTCCGCTGGGCGGAGGGCCTGTCTCGCGAGACGATTGTCATGGTCGAGGGTACCCTTCAGCGTCCGCCTGCCGATCAGCAAGAGGTGCACAGCACCTCGGTGCACCAGTTCGAGATCAAGATTCGCAAGGTATTTTCTGCTGAACATCCCAGTCTGCGCTTGACCGACGTCACATCCCAGCTCCATGTTTTGTCCGCACCTACGGAGCTTCTGCCTTTCCAAGTTGAAGATGTGTCCAGGCCGAAGGAGTGTTACGAGCGAGAGGACGCCAACTTCGTGCGCGTTGGCGAGCGCACGCGTCTGGACAACCGCGTGGTGGATTTGCGAGTGAGTGCAAGTGTTGATTACGCACCGACGCGAGACTAACAATTGGGTCCCCCAGTCTCCTTCTTCGTATTCAATCTTCCGCATACAATCAGGCGTCGTCGACCTTTTCCGCTCCTTCCTCACGGAGCAGAGCTTCACCGAAATCCACTCCGCCAAACTTCAAGGCTCTGCCACGGAGTCCGGGCGGCCGTATTCAAGGTCGACTACTTCAGGCGTCCCGCGTACCTCGCTCAAAGTCCGCAGCTCGCGAAGCAGATGTGCATAGCTGCTGACATGGAGCGCGTCTTCGAGATCGGTCCTGTGTTCCGGGCGGAGAACTCGAATACCCACAGACACCTCACAGAGTTCACTGGCCTCGATCTGGAGATGGCCATCGACAGTCATTATCACGAGGTCATGGACACCCTCGATAATCTGTTCAAGTTCATATTCAAGGGCCTGCAGACTCAGTTTCGGCACGAGGTACGCCGCCGCATTGATCCTCGAGTGGCATTTCCCCTTTAGCTTGACCTTGTCCCAGATCGAGACCGTCAAGAAGTTCTATCCTAGCGAAGACGTGGTGATTCTTGACGAGACCCGCGGATCACCTTTGCCGAGGGTATTCGCATGCTGAACGAGTCGGGATGGGTGGGGGAGGATGGCAGTCAGCTCCTCGAGACTGAAGACCTCAGCACACGTGCAGAGCAGCGACTTGGTCAGCTCGTCAAGGAGAAGTATGGCGCGGACTTCTACATCATCGACAAGTTCCCGCTTGAAGTTCGCCCCTTCTACACCATGCCCGACGCCCGGGACGACGTGCGTCAATGGGTTCTGGTACTTGTGATTGCGTACTGACTCAAGTCTCCTCAGCGTTGGTCGAACTCGTTCGACTTCTTCCTGCGCGGCGAGGAGATACTCTCAGGCGGTCAGCGCATCCACTCCGCGCCGTTCCTCGAACAGCGTATGAAGGAGAACGGAATTGACCCGGAGCAGATGAAGGACTACGTCGACGGTTTTCGATGGGGTTGCCCACCGGTAAGTTGGTATTCGTTCCACGATCTGACTGCACACCCGCTTATGGTCGCCTATAGCACGGTGGAGGAGGTGTTGGTCTGGAGCGTGTTGTCATGCTTTTCCTCCAGCTTGGAAACATCCGCTGGGCAAGCCTTTTCCCCCGTGATCCTCGCAGTTTCGTCATTCATGGGCAAGACCCCTCGGAGGCTGCTTTGGTTGCCGCCAACTCCCTTATTCTCCATGGTCCCGAGTCCACCACGTTCCAACCCGGAAAGCGCAAGGGAGAACTGCCGCCTTTGGAGAACGTGAGTACTCCTCTGCGCCTCTTGGAATGCGTATCTGACGAAGCATGGGGTAGCTTATTGCCAAGTACGGCGACGCTACGAACACGAGCTGGGTGGACGCAGCCTGGACCGTCTGGCGCGACAAGATTACTGGCGCTGCGGTTGGCTACATACCTCAAAACAATTTCGCGGTCACTTTTGGAAACCCCCTATGCCACACAGACCAGATTCCACGCGTCATCAAGGCATACCTCTCCCACCTCGAGGAGCTCAAGCTCAAGCCGGTGTGGTGTTGCGTGGATAGGACGACGGAGCGCTACCTCGCCGAGGAGCTTGGTTGGGGTGCGGTCACCGCCGTCGCCGAGGAGCGCCTCAACCCCACGGAGATCGACCCGGCCGAGAACGACAAGACGGTGCGGCGAAAGATTCACCGCGCCGAGCGCGAGGGCGTCAAGGTCGTCGAGGTCGGCGAGATGGACAATCACACACGCGAGATGATCGAGCGCCGCTGCGAGGACTGGGTCGCCAACCGCAAGGGCACACAGATCCACCTGACGGGCGTGCGACCGTTCGACGACATTCAACACCGCCGCTACTTTTACGCCACGGACAAGGAGGGTGTGGTAAGTCTATGCCCGATATCCTTGACATGTACGGGAGGAGTTCACGCCCATCGTCCGACAGCCCTGCGCATTGGTCGTGCTTGCGCAGCTCGCGCCCAAGCACGGCTTCCAGATCAAGTGGGCCCTCGAGTTCCCGGGTGCGCCGCTCGGTGCGATCGAGTACATCCTCGCGCACGTCATCAAGCTGCTCGGGGACGCAGGCGTGAAGAGCGCGACGTTCGGCGCGGGCGCAACGGGCAAGTTCCACGCGGTGGAGAACGTGCGCGGCCTCAGGGTCCGTGCGCTGGAGAAGGCGTACAACGGCCTGAGCTCGACCTTCCACCTCACGAACAAGGGCGACTTCAGAAGCAAGTTCGGGACGTGGCACGACCCGCTCTACATCTGCTATCCGAAGGGTGGCCTGGGCATGAAGGGCATCGAGGCGATCATGGCGATGCTCCAGAGCCCCAAGTAGATTAGCCCGTCACCTCTGGTCCCCCACCGCTCTGTGTATTTGTCATTGCTTTGTATTCTGTGATCACTACTCATTTGCTCGAGTTACCTGTACGACCCCTGCATCTACATACATCTCATTGAACGGCCATCTCCCACCTACAGTTGTTGTATCCCTCTTGGTATGTTACCGTGCTCCGCCGCCTCTTGATACCACGCACACTCGTCAGCGTTAGTTGAATCCCCCAGCTCTAGGTACATCCCATTACATACATTCATGGGCGACATGTAGACTCTGTAGACTATTCCGTAATATCCCGCATACACGCTCACATGACGTGCGAATGCGCGGGGAAAACCACGCAAGTAAAAACTCCGATGCTGAATTTCTGCGCATGAAAAGATGCATGAGACTCGAACGTTCACATGTTCAAGTTCAGCCGCCCTTTCTTTGCAGGGCCTACATGGGCCGTATCATCTCACCGTGCCTTGCGCCCCGCCAACGTTGCGAAAGCGCTCAAGTGCGATGATCCCGAGATGGCGTTCAGGCAGCAGCGTGGCGGGTGGGATGCGCCGATGCTGCGGGGGCGGCTTCCATCTGTCACCGTGCTCGGGGCGCGTGCGCGCCGACAGGCGCTTGATGCTCCGTAAGATGAGTGGCCGGATCAGGAAGTCGCACTGGTTCGCTTTCGACGTCGGCGACGGTCTGCCATTCGGTCTGTTCTCAACTGCGCCTTTCGCTGTGCGCGCACTGCCCCATGCGGTAGCAGCCTTCTGGTTAGTGCCTCGCGAGGGTGGTGTCGGCCGTAGTGCTTCTTTTGTTATACTAGTAAGTTCGAACTTTCTGCTCGTTCGCGTTCCGCTGTCCGCTCAATGAACTCTCCGCTCAAGAACCGCGTGGAAAGAACTTGCTATTGACTAGGCGGTGTTCTCGGCGCCGGGAAGCTCACGAACATCGTGGCGCGAGGGTGCCAAACCAGACTTCCACCTCCCTCCCCCTCGTCCGAGTCAATGCTGCGCGAAGACTCTACCCCGCCAGGTACGGCCCAAACGCGAAGCCATCGCCGTGATACACCGACGCTATCATTCATATCTATCTTCGCGCGCGCGATTGAAGGGGTCTCGCTCCTATCTCTGGTGCGCGTTGCCGCTTCGAGCAGCGACAGATGCCGAAGTGCTGAACTCTAGCTAGTACCTCTGACCACGGCGTGCGGCCCCACCGAGGTGCATGAGGTGTTCGAGGAAGGCGATGGGAAGCTACAACCAGGTGCGCCCCTGTATGCGGGGCATAGAAGGGCAGATTGTCTCGCTTTCGGCGAGGTATAACAAGGCGCGAGATGAGGTGCGGAACGGTGTGTCAGATTTTCAGCGAGGTTTGTCCCTCACAGGCCTCGAAGCACACTCCTTCTGTTCAGCATGTCTTCCGCCGACAACTCTACTGTCTCGTTGGTTCAAGAAATTGTGGCCGAAGTGGCTGCCTCGTTCGTACCGAGTTTTGTCACCTTGATAACGATTTGTCACTGATCCTGACATGTTCAACAGCACGGTCAGCAACTACATCGCTCTCTCCATAATGAGTTCGCTCTTCGCTCTGCGCGACGATCGCGTCCAGAACTGACTACTGATGCGGGCAGCGTTTCTCGCCTTCGAATGGCTGATCACCGTGGGCGACGAGGTCAACCTCTTCTGGACAAAGAAAAAGACCGTGGCGACCGTGCTCTTCATCCTCAACCGATACACCCCGATTCTCTACATGGCATCCAGCTTCTCTGGTGCGAACGCCTGGACTGACTCCAGCTGTAACGCGTCTGTCCTGACGTCGATCATGCTGGACGCCCTGCAGTACATCCCTTGGGCGCGTAAGTGAGGTTCTTCAAGGATGCAATCATGATACCGACCAATCCTTGCTTGCAGTATTCTCCGCATTGCGCGTGCATGCGACCACCGAAAAACGTTGGGATGTCGCCATTTTCGTGGCACTTCTTTCTTTGGCTCCCCTCGCTGAGGGCATGGTGCGCCTGTTCCTCTGTGTATCGCCGCCCCAGACTCACCGTCCTCCATAGGTACATATGACGTTCATCCACGGAGAGATCATTCCTGGCTGGGGTTGTGGTGGAATCGACACAGAGTCTCCCGCGTTGTCCGCCATGTGAGCCCAAGTTCAGTCCTGAGATCCCATTCCTTGTCCTGATTGTGCTCGGAACCCGGGCAGCTGTACGCGTCCGCGCTCTCCGAGTCTGACACGGCACTCATCTGACACCCTAACCGTCCAGTCTCCATCGTCTCTCGGACGTCCCTAATGCTCAGCGACCTCGTCGTCGTCGCCTCGGCCTGGGCAATGACGTACCGGACCGGCGGCCTCCCCGATATGAAGGCGCTGACCGTCCCGTCCTTCTGCGCTCGCTTTCTCGTAAACGGTGCGTGTCCCGGTCCTCAGCCAGGCTTCCCGTGGAGACCGCCGCTGACTCACGTCCCAGGTTCGATCTACTTCGTGTGAGCACGCCTGTCGGCCGCGGCGCGCATATTCCTCTGTGCTGACTTCAAGGCCGCAGCGTCCTGCTGGCCCTCAACGCGACGCACCTCGCTCTGAGCCTCCTCTCCGTGAGTGCTACGACCGAAAGCGTGCGGCGCACCCGGCCTGAGCTCCCAAACAGGTCGCCAGGACCGGGCAAAGCGCAGCGGGGCCGACCCCGAGCTACGTCGTCTCGTTCACCGAACCGTCAGTGCTTCGGTCTTCGCCCTCGCACCGCGTCCTCTTGTCCACACTGACGCCGGCGCTGTGCAGGATCACGGCGATGCTCGTGTCGCGGTTCATGCTCGACCTGCAGCGGGTCAAGGAGCGGTCGTGCGGCGCGCAGTACGGGGAGTCTTTCGCGACCGAGTTCGCGGGCGGGGAGAACGTCAACGTCCTCGGCTCTCTCGGGTCGACGTTGCGGACGGCGGACCTGTGGGCGGCAGACGCCGACGATGCGTAGCTGCGATGGTCGTGGATGAGGTGATAGCGTCTTCCTGGGACTCGCCGCGCGGCGGGCACCCTTCCTGTACGAGTGTTCGTTCTGAGAGTTTCCTTGTTGTACGTTTGTAAGTTATATCGAAGGTTATTAGTATTCTCAATGGTTGAATGAACGATAGCATCACGTGACTGAGTCATCGTGATGACCGATTAAGGCATTTGGACATACGCTCCGAGAATCTCGGACATGCCACTCCAGCGAGCTAGTGTGTCAGAGAAGGTGAAGCTAGTCTGTGTATTGTAAACCGGCAAGGCGCACATGAGTTGCAGGGATATAAGGCATAAGGGTACAAAACGACACGAGGATAGGGAACGGCCACCCGACGATGCCCCGACGCCGACCCAACGTTCAACGTTCATAGATACGTCAGAGAGGAAGCAAAGTCCGGCGGAGTGAGCCGGGGCGGAGACAGCGACGACCGTAGAGCTACGGTCATCACCGTTGGAGTCCCTGGTGCTGGGGAGTTTTGTGCAGGCCGCGCAGCACTTCGCTCGTCCAGCGTTCTCCTAGCCGTGTCCAAGGGCGTCGTCGAAAGCAAGTCTCCGATGTCGACGGCTCCTGGAGAGCTCTGTGATGAGGAACTTGAAGGTTGCCCTGATCGCGGCTGGTAGAGTGGAGGGGCATCTTCGCGGGTGTACCGGGGAGGGGGCAGATCCCCCAAGACGAGAGAAGGCGAGGGTCTGATCCCGGTCGAAGAGTCAAGCTGCTGTGTCAATGCTCGCTACAATGTTGGGGTACCCTGAGCGCGAGCGACGCATCGAAGAGCAAGACGACGCACCCGTAGCATCCCATTCTCCTGCAGGACCCTCGCCTGAACTTGTTGAGCGTTGTCTCGAGCGCGTGTCGCACTGTCCATAATGCGTTGCGAGGACGTCTGGCGGGAGAACGTCTGGGATTGCTTATAAGACCAGAGGAACGACGTACCACAAGTCTCCGCCTTTCGTCCAGCAGACTACGGACCTCCCTCGACAGGAAATCGACTCGGGACTTGAGCGTACCGCACTCCCTCTGAAGCCGCTCCACAAGAACTGCGGCGTCATCTCCACGGGTAGTCCTCGCGGACAACGCCCTCTCCAGCTCCGCCGTCTTGTGCTGCGAACCGTCACCTCCTGACCTCCATTCTCGGGCGACCAACCGTACTCACCACGAGGATCGACTTGTCCTGCACCAACATGCCCGTCTCCCGCGTCGCCGCCTCTGCCGCCCGCCGCGCCTTGTCGCGCTCCTCCTTGAGGGCGTTGCGCTCGCGCACCAGCGCCGCGTTCTTGTCGCTCAGCGCGCGCACCACCGCGCACACCCGCGTGTGCTCGCGCTCGCGCGTCGCGATGGACGCCCGCAGGCCCGCGAGCTGCTCGTCGAAGAGGTGGCTGCCCGCGCGGAGGTCGGTGAGGGTTTCCAGGAGCGGGGGTCGATTTGCGATGGCTGGGGCGGGAAGAGGAAGAGGTGTGGGTGCACTCGGAGCTTGGGTTGCGTTCGGAGCTGGTCTTTGCTTGGGCGCGCCTTCTGGGGTCTTGATGTGAAGGAATAAAGAAGTGGATGCGTGTGAAGCCGAAGGGGCTGTTGGGATAGCTGGCGTGGGTGTCGACCTGGGGGCGGTGGTGGTCTGTTCACTGGGAGGATGGGTGGTGTCGAGAACATGTGTTGGAGGGAGGGGCCAGCCCGCGCAGAAGAGACGGAAGAGTAGGAGTGCGCGCCATAGTGTGTCGAAGGCTCTCGAGTAAGAGACCGGAGTAGCAAAGACGCAGAACGAGACCAAAGCGACAGTGACGAGCGACTTCGGTGGGCACAAGCTGGGTTCCTCGGCGTTGGTGCCAGAGAGCTCGAAGAAGTGCGGAACCAAGAGAGGACCGCTGGAGCCTAGAGCTGCGAAGAAACCAGCCATAAAAGAGTGCCACTGAGGTCAAGATAAAGGAGCGAGGCGTTGAAAGGGCCGCTAAGTTGCAGGACGTTGAAGACAAGGAAGATGAGGCTCCCGGGCCGGCAAGACACCTGAGATAGCCCTGCTCGCCGTGAACTTTCGGGACCGCGCGCAATGCGCCAATACGCAGTCCAACGATCACAGGGCTCTGCAAAACGTGATGACTTGTTGGCCCATCTGCTTCTAAGCCTCGTGGCGCATTGACAGATAGAAAGCAGGAGCCCAGCACAACACAGGTGACAGGTGCACATCAAAGCCGCACAATGGTAAGAAATCGCAATCAAATTCACGCCAGACATAGACAAAAGGTGATACCAGCGTCGCGGTGTGTAGCACGTATTGGCAAACCAGCATGCAAGAAGGGTGCGCGGTGCGCAGAATCAAGGGCAGTGATGATGACCGTCAAAGACAAGGAGCAGGACCCAGCAAGGGGACGCTCGTCCAGACTCGACGCCGAGAGCCACCATCGGAACGCCCGCGCCCGACGCTGCTCTCTCCGCTTCCCCCTCCTCTCTTCTCTCTCTCCCGCCCTCTTCGCTCTTTTGGCAGACATCCTGTCTACCCTTCTCTGTGGTAGTCTCTGGCGTGCAGGCTTCCATGTCTGACGAGAGCACTACCATCGCTGTCGCCGTCGAAGACGGGACGAAGACGCTCGGCCGCTTGACGACGGATCCCGCTCCGCTCAAGAGCAACCCTCCCTCGCCTGAGCTGCCCACAGTCGTCGCAGAGAAACCCCCGACCTCGCTCCCCCACCCCGCCCTCGACAATGACGCAGCCGCACCCGACGCGGGATCACCGAAAGTGCTCGTCTCGGCTAACGACAGCTCTCTGACCGGTCTTGCGTCCCCGCAGCCTCCCAGCGACGCTGATGCGGAGGACGACTCGTTCGCCACTCCCGAAGCCAGGACAGATGCCCTCCCCTCCCCGTCCGAAGGCGACCTCTCCAGCATCCCGCTCTCGCCCGCCTCCCCGTCCCCCGCCCCGCCACTAGCGACGATCTCGCTCACGTCCCCCACCTCACCCGCACCCGCACCGACCCCTCCCGCCTCCACCACCGCCTTCCCCGGCACCCGTGCCACCACAAAGACGGCCACCCCGTCCCTCCCTGGCCTCGTCGGCCTCGCAGGCCTGCCCCCGATCTCGACCACCGTCCCGCCCTCCGCCGGGCTCCACTCCGCCATCTTCGACGCGGGCCCCGTCTCGGCCGTGACGCCCGCGCCCCCGCGCAAGCCCGCGGGGCTCGAGGCCCTCCTCTCGCCGACGGACCCCGACCGGAAGTTCTCGACCGTGCGCGGGTCGCTCGCGAGCGTGGCCGAGACGGAGTCGGACGCGGCGGAGGACGACGCGCGGTTCTCGACCGTGCTCCTCTCGAGCGCGCGCGAGAGCCTCGCGGTGGATGGAGACGACGACGAGGGGCCGAGGGTAGGAGCGGGTGCGGGGAGGCTGGCGACGGTCGAGGAGGGCACCGGGTCGGACGAGAACACGCTGGTGGCGGACGACTGGCGGGCGAAGCACAAGAAGTCGGCGTCGACGTCGACGATCCTGTCGACCAACAACGTCCCGTACGTCATGGCCAAGCTGGAGGAGAGCGCGGAGGCGGCGGCGGTGCGGGAGATCAAGCCGGAGGTCGGCGAGGGCGAGCCGTTGGCGGTGGTTGAGGACACTCCGCGGCGGAAGGGCTCGCGGCCGGCGAGCATGTACAGCGAGGCGGACCAGATCAAGGAGGAGTTCTACCTCAAACAGAACGAGGAGGAGACGGTTGACTGGGGTGCGTCGCGCTGCGTTTCTCTTGCGCATATGCTTGTCGTCTGACCTCAAGTCCAGACTTCTGGGGGCTCGTCATGAATGGTACAGCCGTTCGTATGCTGGATGGTGCATCCCCGCTGAGCGCGTGTATGGGACAGACTATCAGGGTTTTGCCTCGGAGCATCCGGAGCAACTTGCCGCTGCCATTGAGCGCGGCATCCCGAAGACCTTACGCGGTATGATATGGCAACTAATGTAGGTATGCCATTGTGGGACTCCGCCGAAAGCATAAGTTACTGAAATGTGCCTTCAGGTCTGCATCCAAGGACCCAGCATTAGAGCAGACATATCTCCGACTATTGAAGGAACAAAGTCCGCATGAGAAAGCTATCATGCGCGACCTCGGAAGGTAAGCCGCTCACATTGCATCGTAGAGTTAGTCTCATCGGTTACCCGCAGGACATTCCCGAACCATACCTTCTTTACTGAAGGGCATGGGATTGGGCAGGAAAACCTCTTCAACGTGCTCAAAGCCTACTCCATGTGCGCTGGTTTTTCTCATTCTTAAGGACCGCACTTAGCTGAAGATGTGCAGATATGACCCCGAAGTAGGGTACTGCCAGGGCTTGCCGTTCATCGTTGCTATTCTGCTGCTCAACGTACGTCGATTGGTTCTGCTTCACGAAGTTATGCTTACGGGGCTTGCAGATGCCTGACGAAGAGGCATTTTGTCTGCTTGTGCGCCTTATGCACTCATATGATCTGCGTGGCCACTTCTTGCCAGACATGCCGAGGCTTCAGCTAAGACTGGTACGTCCTTCGATATCTCTTGCACAAAACGCATATACTCACTTCTTGTACAGTTCCAGTTCGAACGATTATTGGAGGAAGTCCTCCCGGTGCTCCACCTCCACTTCGTCCGACAAGGTGTCAAAGCGAACATGTACGGCTCACAATGGTTCCTTACGATGTTCAGCTACCGGTACGCCTCTCTCCACCCATTTGACCTTCCGTCCACCGATCCTGTCGCAGCTTCCCGATGGAGATGGTCTTCCGAATATACGACAAGGTGTTTGCGAACGGCATAGAGGCCCTGTTCAACTTCTCGATCTCCCTCCTGAACAAGAACGAACCCACGCTGCTCGCGATGAGCTTCGACAGCACGGTCGCCTTCCTCAACCAGCGCATCTTCGACGTCTACGAGGTCCAGCTCCCCGGCCTCACCCCGAACACCCCGGCGAGCGAGCGCCGGTATCGGGTGGACGAGTTCGTGAACGACGCGATGATGCTCCGCATCACGCCGTTTATGCTCGACACCTATGCGCACGAGTACGAGGAGCTGATCCGGGCGCGGGACGCGCACAAGTTCGAGCTGGAGGGGCTCAAGACGGCGAACCAGCGGCTGTCCGCGCAGGTGAAGACGTTGGAGACCACCCTCTCGCAGGTCAACACGGAGCACTGCGAGGTGCTGGTGAGCGCACATCGCAGACGTGGTTGGGGACGGAAACTGACGGGGTGTGGCGGACAGAACGAACTGGTGAGGTCGCGCTTGCGACACGAGGAGCTCGAGTCGGAGCTCGTCCGGTACAAGCTTCTGTAAGCCCGTCTCCTTGTTGTGTGGCCCGCATCAGCTCATAGTTCACGTAGGTACGCCGAGGCGATGCACCAGAGCGAAGACGCGCTCTCCTCCCACCGCATCTCCATCATGAGCAACCGGGGAAGCAAACGCGGGAGCAATAGCACCAACGGGTGACCGCCCGGCCCCTGAACTCAGCTGCTGCCCTCGCCGAGCCCTATCCTTGCACTCCCGTCGCTTTGCTTTGCACAAGTACTCGCACGATGACCCCGACAGGACCCGACGTACCCGTTCCCGCATCTCGCACTCGCACTTTGTTTCTTCACTTGCACTCTCACCCTCACCCTCACTCTCACTGCACGCACCCCACGCATGTACGACACGTAATTGGCACCCCACGTAGATTAATGACCTGCTTTCGGAAGGGGTTTTGGGGACGGATATGGTATATGTATGTATGCGCGTCTTTCTGCTTGAGGAAGTCCAAAAGCTTGAGCCTCTTACGCAGACACATGGCAGGATGTTGTCGCCGCGGCCCGACCAAGCTCGACGGCACCGGATACGCGGTCAGGTCCTTATCGCGAGGTGCACCCTGACCACGCGCCCACAGTCGCCACCCTCCAAAGCATCATGAATAAGGCGATGCTCGCGATGGGGTCGGCAGAGTCCAGACCGAAGATATAGAATCATCTATGCTACAACAGATACGAGGGGCGGACATCCCGTCCGTACCGGTCCACCCGGGATCGGTGAAGACAGTACAGGTGAGAATGTTATGATCATGAGCAGGTCTGCAACGAGGGGGTCGCGTTATCGTGTTGCCAGATGCGTGACGCCTCCTGCGCGCCTTGCACACATCACGTACCGAGCTCGACGAGGCATGTGCACCCCGAGTGCCCGATGGGTGGAGGCCCGTAAAAGGTGCCAGATAAAGAGTGGGCTCTAGCTAGTCACCTAAGCAGATGACCCAAACACGACATTCAGAATACTCATCCTCGTGCTTTGCACCAAGGTCGTGTGGGCTCTTGGGAATGCGCGCGATGCGGGCCGCAGTGCATAACGTTCCAACAGGCGCGGTCCCGGAGCACGATCGGAAACACCAAAGCGTCGGAGTCAGCGAGATTGTGCCACGGACTTGGGCGGCGGGGAAGATGCTCATTAGTGGCCGCTGCCGACATCGGGACCACCAATGAGGCAGCCTGCCTTGTAGTGCGAGTTTCGCCGTCCCGGAATGATGGTGCGAGGTATTCGGATTGGCGTGAGTTCGAATTCGGAGATGTGGGTTGGAGAAACGGCGCGCTGAACGGCATGGTGATTCGAGGATGGGGGCACCAACGTTTTGTCAATCGTGTGTTGTTGGCGTGGGGTGCACGAGCGAGCGGAGAGGAGTGTCGAAGCAGGAGAGCTGCGCCGTCTCGTCGACCAGAAAGCCGAGTTCCGAAACCGCAGCATATCGGAAATGTTGCGAAATTCGGAAACATACGGCACCGCAAGCAACCCGGGTCACGGTTCCGGGTTCGTAATACGGCGGCGTCGGTAGGTGGGGACCTGGACTAGCCTTTATAAGCGCCAGCGAGCACGGGCGGGGGGACAGCTGTCACGGTCACTTGATCAGCGAGCTCGCCGTCCGTTGCGGCGGAGGGAAGGCGCTGCTGGCGTCCCCATCGCGCCCACCGCCCATTCCGAATTCTGCCGTCCTTAGTGGCCACTCGCGTCCTGCCGCGCCGCTCCTTGCTCTTGCCCACGACCTTCCCGCCCTCCGTTCCGCCTCGGCCGCCGTTTGCTTATAACCGGGCCTCGTCTCAGTCGCTACGTGTTCTCCAGATCCGCTCGGCCCTCGACTCCTCCTAGATTACGTGCCTAGTATCGCTCACTCCGCCATGCAGGCAACCACCAAAGCCGCACCGAAGACGCTCACCGTCGCGCCGATCGAGGAGAAGGTCGCGGTCGTCCAGCAAAAGGTCCACGAGTCCGCGTACGCCCTCAAGTTCGCCGGCGCCGCCTTCAGCAGTCCGTAGCCCGCAACTCTGATCACAGACCCCTCCGCTCACGCAATCCTCTCCAGACATGGCGTCATCCGCCTTCTGCAACCCGACAGACATGTTCGTACGCCCACCTCGCGCCCTCTCTCACGACGCGGGCACCAGACGCGCTAACCGTGCGCGCGAAACACAGCATCAAAGTCCGCCAGCAGCTCCGGACACAAGGTTCGTCGCCGTCGCGCCCCCGTCCGCGCATTCTCACACCCGCCTCCGCTGCCCGCAGCCCCCGGCGCGCGCGCGAACGCGTTTTGGGCCGTCGGCGTCGAGATGGCGCGCACCGAGGGCGTCCGGAGCCTCATGGGCGGCGTCTCCGCGAGCGCCCTGCGCGAGATCGTGTACTCGGGTCTCCGGATGGGCACGTACGAGTACTTCAAGGACACGTGCGTCCGCCCGCTTCCGCGCCAGCCAGACACAGGCTGACCGTCCGCGATCGCAGGCTGTTCGAGCAGACCAAGGGCGCGCTGACGCGCGACGGGCTCGCGCTCAAGATCTCGGCGGCGACGATCGCGGCGACGCTCGGGAGTTCGCTCGCGACGCCCGCGGACCTCGTCAAAGGTGCGCGCGCGCGCTCGCACGCGTCCCCACATCGCGCTGACGTCGATCTTCGCGCGCGCGCGTCCGCGTCCGCGCACAGTGCGCCTGCAGGCGTACTACCCCGACGGCTCCCCGTACCGCTCCATGCGGCACGCGTTCGCGTCGATCTGGCGGGAGGGCGCCGCGCGCGCGGTCGCCGCGGGGGCCGCGCCGCTCGCGGGCGGCGTGCGCGCGCTCTACCGCGGCGCGGTGCCGACGACGGTGCGCGGGATCGTGCTGAGCGCGACGCAGATCTGCTCGTACGACCAGATCAAGCAGTCGCTCAAGGCGCGCGGGGTGATGCAGGAGGGCGTCCCGCTCCACCTCGTCGCGAGCTCGCTCGCCGGCTTCTTCTGCTCCGTCACCTCGAATCCCGTCGGTGAGTGCCGTGCGCGGGGGTTGCAGGGGATCTGCGAGGGCTGACGACCGCGCGTGCGCGCAGACGTGATCAAGGTGCGGCTGATGAACGACAAGACGCACCAGTACAGGGGCGCGCTCGACTGCGTGCGGCAGATCATGGCGAACGAGGGCGCGTTCGGGTTCTTCAAGGGCTTCGGCATGTGCTGGGCACGGGTGAGTGGCCCCAACTTGCTTACGTCGCGCGCCGATCTGCGGCTGACCACCCCGACGCAGCTGGGGACGCACACCGTCCTCACGTTCCTGATCTTCGAGCGCGTGCGATCGATGCTCGGTATAGAGGCTATGTGATACCCTAGAGAGCGCACTAGATCTTGCGCACGACCGCACGACCGTCCACTAGACGCATCTGACGCATGTTTGTTCATCTATTCGTACACGTTAATGTACTGTAATTTTCCCTTGGACGGTTCTCTGACGATCAGTTTCTTCTCAAGGCGACGCAAACTCAAGGTTGCGGAACACGCAGGTGTGCATGTGAGTCCTCGTCCGATGCACAGCCACTAACGATATGTGCCACGCAGATCGCTTCCTGTCAGGCCCCCGCACAACACCCACAGCCTGGTCGTGCTCCACTCTTTCGCCGCCTATGTTCTTCCTTGATGGCATACTTCCAGGCCGTCAATTCTTGACCGGCGGAACGGCGGTGCGCCTCCCTGTCGATCGAAGCGAACGAGTCGGGCGGACGACGAGGGAGCCCGGTCCATCCTGGTGCGTTCACCGTCTTGACTGCTTGTCGCCTCAGTGGTTTCGACAGCACCGACGTGCTCTCCTAGTCTAGACCCATCGTCAAGTTACGGGCCTGTCGTTGCAAAAATCGCGTGCCCTAGGCCTGCCGGCACATGAGGCTTCAGAAACCTTCTCTTCCGCCTGTCCATGCTAGCACTGGCTTCAGAACGCCTCATGTCGCCCCGTGCTCCCCGGACAGACGCTCGCTCTTCCCTCCGTTCTCTCCAGAGCTCTTGAAATGCCCGCCGATCTCCCCAATCGCGACGAGCCTGGGCTAGGACGCGCGCGTGACGCCCTGGAAATCGGAATGTGAGCGCGCGACGAGCAGAACCGATTCCGGTTGCTCGCACCAGGACGGCGGCCGCACGCACATGCAAGCCGCGAGGCCAGCTGTGGACAGATTGGCGCCCGGACGCAGGGCCAACGGCGTCGTGCACGTACGCACCCACGGCGCCGTGCAAACGGTAGGGACATTGGTACATACGACCGGCCTCTCGAGCCACCAACGACGAGACACGGCTCGGATGTCCACTCCATTACAACCCACTTTCTAACCCTAGGCCGCCGACACGATACCAATCATGATCAGCAGCTGCAGGTGCGCCGTCGGTCAGAGCGGGACGTCGCACCTCGTGGGCCGGACGCGCTCGAGCCTTGAAGCTTCAAGTTCTAGTGCGGGGTCGCGGCCGGGAGCGTGACCTTGGCGCAGGCGGCCTGGCAGGTGCCCAGCGCGGCGTTGCAGTTTAGGACGGCGGCGGGGACGTGCGGGTCGTCGGCCTTGACGGTGCCAAAGGTGAAGCCTGCGGCGGAGTAGCAGGCGACGGCGACCTTGTTGCAGCCTAGGAGTGTTCGCGGACGTCAGCACTCGTCCACACCAGGACGCAAGAGCTGGCGGGGCACTCGCCGGTCTGGCAGACGCCGTAGGGGGCGACGGGGCCGGCGTGAGCTCCGGTGGCGAGGAGAACAGCGGCAGCGAGGAGGGAGGAGGGCGTGAAGTGCATGATGAGGAATAGTGGGGGTTGCGAACAGAGAGGGTCACCTACGCTACGGAAGATAGCTCCGGCCGTATATATTGCTGAGGCGAGGATGTGACGGCGGTTCCGGGTGCTCCGCCAGTGGAAATTGTCTCGGAGCGCGTTGCCTTACCGCAGAGCTTCCAGGCCACATCATACATGTGCGCCTGGGGCTGCCGAAACACGCGTACGGCATCGAATTAGATCTTGTGCCGTACGGATGCGCGAGTTCGCGATGAGCGTGCGTTTGAACGTTTGAACGGTGCTGTCGCACCCCGGGTGGATCGGACCGGAATCGGACCTCACCCGTTGAACTCGCCAGACCACTTCATGTACCTCCGCCGTCACTGCAGATCTCCAGCAACCTGCAAGCCACAGCACTCTCAATAAAACGATTCTCGGTGCAGTCCGCCTTGGATTCAAGGAATTACTTTCTACTTGAGTGTGGTGCCGGGAGCTCGCGACACAGTCGAGGACCTTCAAGCTTCAACTCGCATACGGAGAACGATCGAGACATTAATGATACATGTGATGGGCCCTTCGAGCCACCGATTGCGAGACGCGATGTCGACTCCATCCAACTGACTTCAGATTGAACCCTGGGATACTACGCGATGCTCAGCAGCTGAAGGTACGCCGGCGATAAGAGCGGGACGAACCTGGTGGCCGCCTACGGAGTCGGGGCGAGGAGCGTGACGGCGGCGCAGGCCGCCGAGCAGGTGCCCAGCGCTGTGTTGCAGCCGACGATGACGGCGGGGATGCCGAGGCCGGCGGTGACGGTTCCGAACGTGAAGCCCGCGCCGGCGTAGCAGGCGAAGGCGAGGGTGTTGCAGCCTGGGGGCATGCGTCGATACGCGTCCGACGCACAGAACAGAGGCGGGGCACTCACCGGTCTGGCAGATGCCGTAGAGGGCGGGGCCTGCTTGAGCCCCGGTAGCAAGGAGGGCGGCGGCGAGGAGGGAGGAAAGCTTGAACTGCATGGTGGTCGAGTGTGGGGAGTAATGTTAATGAGGATCAGAAGGACTCTGAGGGGAGTGTTTATACGGTTCTGTGCCCTCAGCGGGCGACCAATGGAAATCCTTCCGCGCTACTCGAGGATGACATGATGGAAGCACGCCGCCAGCTTCCTTTGCCGCCAGCGGCTTACCGCAGCACATTCATCCAGGCCCTCTGCGCCCGGGGCGAGAACGGCATCGACTCGGATGTTGCACTGCGCGGATGTGCAAGTTACGCATTTGGAGGTTTGAACAGTGCTGTCTCGCCCAGATGGAGCGTACCGGAATCGAACCTCGCCCGAGCTCGCCGGGCGCTGTGCCGCTCTGCAGATCATCGATAGACAAACAAACCACAGCACTCGAACAGCGCTGGGGTCATTCACTCTTGAGAACACGATTCTTAGTACGGCCCGCCTTGGATTGGTTCAAGGAAGCACTTTCTCAATCCCACTTGAGTGCGGTTCAGCATCCTGCGACTAGTCTAAGGACTGTCTAAGCACGCGAACATGCTGATCTGTCGCTACACAAGTCGCATGCCATCCTGCTGGCACACGACACTTCGGAAACCCTCTCTCCCGCCTAGTATCAGCACTGGCTTCAGAACTCATGTCGCTCAGTGCTTCCCAGACAGACACTCACGCTTCTCCGTTGTCTCCAAAGCTCGGCAAACGCCGGCCGTCTTCGCAAGGGCGACGAACAAGTTGACAGCAAGCTAGGTGAAGGCCGCTCGCGGCGGACTCGATCGCTGGGGGCCAGGACGCTCGCGTGACGCCCAGTTAGATGGCAGCCATAGAATGCGTGCGCTTCGGTCTGCATACGTACGTATGTACGCACATGCCCGTTCCGATGGCCGCTGCTCGCACCGCGACGGCGGCCGCACGCACACGCACCAGGGTGCAGAAGCGCCGCATGCGCACGAGGACGGCTATGTGGCCTGTAGAAATATTGGGGGGCGGCAGCGCTAGCAGCGCGAAGCGTACCGTTCGTGCGTCGCGAGTGAGCGCGCGCGCGTTCGGCGACGCGCGCTGAGATTCGGTTTAGTTGACTGAACCGCGTGCACGCGCCGGATCGCAGAGTCCCCTCTCCTAATCCACCGAACCGTTAAATACCCCAGGTCCACCGTTCTGCGCGCGCGGCAGTATCTGGTATATGGGCAGAGGGACATTGGGCCCTACAATACGAGAGACGATGTCAACTCCATATAGCCGACAAGTCTCGAACCCTGGGATACTATCACGATGCTCAGTAGTCGAAGGTACACCGTCGATCACAGCGGGACGAACCTCGGGGCCGCCTACGGCGTCGGGGCCAAGAGCGTGACGGCGGCGCAGGCCGCAGAGCAGGTGCCCAGCGCGCTATTGCAGGCGGCGATGGCGGCGGGGATGCCGACGCCGGCGGTGACGGTGCCGAAAGTGAAGCCCGCGCCGGCGTAGCAGGCGACGGCGAGGGTGTTGCAGCCTGGGGGCATGCGTCGATACGCGTCCGACGCACCAGGACAGAGGTGGGGCACTCACCGGTCTGGCAGATGCCGTAGAAGGCGGGGCCGGCGCTGGCTCCGGTGGCGAGGAGGGCGGCGGCGAGGAGGGAGGAGAGCTTGAACTGCATGGTGGTCGAGTGTGGGGAGTAATGAGGGTCAACAAGGGCTCTGAGGGGAGTGTTTATACGGTTCTGTGCCCTCTGCGGTAGACCAATGGAAATAGTGCCGCGTTACTCGAGATGACATGATCGAAGCACGTCGCCAGCTTCCGGCGCCGCTAGCGGCCTACCGCAGCACGTCCAGACCCTCTGCGCCCGGGGCTACCGAAGCACGAGAACGGCATCGACTCGGCTGTTGCACTGTACGGATGTACGAGTTGCGATGAGCGTGCGTTTGAAGGTTTGAACAGTGCAGTCGCGCCCAGACGGAGCGAACCCAACGTTGCCCGAGCTCGCCGGGCGCTGTGCCGCCCTGTAGATCATCAACAGACAAACAAATAAACAAACAAACCGCGGCCCTCAAACTCTGCTGCCACACGACACTCCGGGAACCCTCTCTCTCGCCTATCAGCACTGGCTTCAGAACCCCTCATGTCGCCCAGTGCTTCCCAGACACTCACTCCCTCCTCTCCATTTCTCCAGAGCTCGACAAACGCCGGCCGTCTCTGCAAGGGTGACGGACTTGACGGCATGGCCGCTCGCGGCGGACTCGATCGCTTGGGCCAGGACGCTCGCGTGACGCCCAGCTGGATGGTGCTTAGCTGCCTGAACCGCGTGCACGCGCCGGACCGCAGAGTAGCCTCTCCTAATCCACCGAACCATTAAATACCCCAGGTCCATCGTTCTGCGCGCGCGGCAGTATCTGGTATGTGGGCAGAGGGACATTGGTACTGCCTACAATACGAGAGACGATGTCAACTCCATCCGACCGACAGGTTTCGTTGAACCCTGGGATACTGACGCAATCCTCAGCACTCCAAAGGTACGCCGTCGAGCAGAGCGGGACGAACCTAGTGGGCTGAACGCGAGCGTTCTACGGGGTCGAAGGGAAGAGCGAGGCGCAGGCCGACGAGCACTTCTCCAGCGTGGTCTGGCAGGCGACGAGAGCGGGGGGGACACCGAGGCCGGCGGTGAAGGTTCCGAAGGCGAAGCTAGCGCCGGCGTAGCAGGCCACGGCGACGGTGTTGCAACCAGCTGGGGACATCCGTCGATACTCGTCCGACGCAGCAGGAGGGTGGGTCGGTCGGGGCACTCACCCGTCTGACAGACGTCATAGGCGACGGAGCTGGCGCGAGCTCCGGTGGCGAGGAGGGCAGCGGCGGCAAGGAGGGAGGGCTTGAGCTGCATGATGATCGTCGAGTGCGGGTGTCAACGCTGGTGAGTATTTGTATGTGTGCGCGCGGTCGGGTACCGATGGAAATCACTGTCCCGGAGCGCGCCGCCTTACCGCAGCACTACCAAGCCCTCTGCACGCGGGCTACCGAAGCATGAAAACGGCACCGGATCGGATGCGCTGTAACGACAGTGTTTTGCGGAAGCGCGAGTTTGCGATGAGCGTGCATTTGAACGTTTCAAGAACCCGGGGCTGTCGCGCCCGGGTGGACCGGACCGGGATCGAACCTCGCCCGTTGAACTCGCCACGGACAACTTCATGTGCCGCCGCCGTCACTGCGAAACTTCAGCAATATAGCGAGCCACAGCACCCGAACAGTGGGGTCATCGACTCTCGGTAAAACGATTCTCAGTGCAGTCCGCCTCGGATTAATTCAAGGAGTCTCGCAACACAGTTGACTCGAGGAACTACACGTAAACTCCGACATAGGGAGAAAAAATCGAACTCTGGGATACAACGCGACGCTCAGCAGCTGAAGGTACGGGCCAGCGACCAGAGAGGGACGAACCTCGTGGGTCGGACACGGGACGCCTACGGGGTTGGGGCGAAGAGCGTGACGGCGGCGCAAGCCGACGAGCACTTGCCCTGCGCAGCGCTGCAGGCGGCGACGGCTTGGGGGGCGCCCGCGCCGACGACGGTGCCGAAAGTGAAGCCCGCGCCGGCATAGCAGGCGACGGTGACGGCGTTGCAGCCTGGGGAGCGGGCGTCACAGTCGATACTCGTCTGACCCACCAGGACGGAGGGGCGGGGCACTCACCGGTCTGGCAGACGCCGTAGAGGGCGGGGCCGGCGTGGACTCCGGTGGTGATGAGGGCGGTGGCGGCGAGGAGAGAGGAGAGCTTGAGCTGCATGATGGTCGAGTGTGGGGAGTAGTGAGGGTCAACAAGGGCTCTGAGGCGAGTGTTTATACGGTTCCGTGCCCTCCGCGGTCGACCAATGGAAATCACCGTCACGACTACCGTAGCGCGCCGCCTTACCGCAGCGAGCACTTCCAGGTCGTCGGCGCCTGGGGCTACCGAAGCACGAGAACGGCGTCGAATCGGATGGGTTGTGCGGACATCGTGCGGACGCGCGAGTTTGCGATGAGCGTGCGTTGAACATTTGAACGTTTGAACGGTGCTGTCGCGCCCGGGTGAAGCGGACCGGAAGCGGACCTCGCCCGAGCTCCCCGGACGTCTTCATGTCGACTGCGTCAGAACGAACGAACGAACGTACCGCAGCACTCACGCCATTCCGCTATTCCGCTCCTGCGTATGAACCACATGCCGGGCCTGTATGACAAGCTCAGGCATCCATAGTCGAAGGTTCAACGTTCAACCCGTGGCAACACGCCGATCCTGAGGCTTCTGAACGTCTCTCATGATGCTATACAAAACGTTCCTACAATCTAGCTGCACAGCACGCGGCGTCTTCGTTTCCCTCCGTTCGCACCCATGCGCTGAGCATCTTCGCCTGTTCCTCGAGAGTCTTCGCGATCGAAGGACGAGCGACCAGCTTCTGGTGCCACCTGTCAAACGGCCGTGTCAGCCGCGTCAAACAGAACAAGCGCAAGCCAGGCGCTCCCGCGAATTCTCACGCAAAGAACGCCGGGTACTCCTTCTCGACGTCGACGTCCTTGAGCGAGATCACCATCGCCGCGTGGTTCCAGGTGATGAAGGACGTGTCCGCGACCGTGCACTTGCCGCCTCGCGACGAGCCACTCCTGCGTCGCGAGCACGCCGTCGAGCACGCCGAAGATGTGCTTCGTCTCGTTCACGTGGCGCTCGATCGCGCTCGGGAGCTTCTCCGCGTGCAGGTGCGAGAACCAGAACGCCTGGCCGAAGTACGGGCTGCGCGCGCGCGGGAGGCGTGGGGGGAGATGTCCTCGGTCAGCTCGGTGTGAGGGCCCGGTGGGAGAACGAGGGACGCACCCCTGGCCGGAGGCCTGGAAGAAGAGCCACTGGATCATCTTGTAGCGGTCGCCATCGTCGGTGACGGTTCGGTGTCGTACCTGTCGACGAGGTAGAGGAGGATCGCGTCCGACTCCCAGAGGGCGAAGTCGCCGTTCTTGTGGTCGACCAGGGTGGGGATGCGGCTGGCCCGTTCGGGTTGAGGGCGGTGTGCTCCGCTCCCTTGTGCTCGCCGTTACCAATGTCGAGGTACTTGGACTCCTAGGTGAGGCCAGGTGAGGCCGAGCTCTTCGAGCACCATGGCCACCTTCCTGTTTGGGGGAGCTCGGATCAGTACCAGAGAAAATTGGGGGAATGTGGATTGAAAGGTGCGCACCAGCCGTCAGTGGGGCCGCGAAAGTGGTGTGGAGAGTGAACTGCTTGTCGTGAGACATTTGAATTGAAGATGGGAGTGAAGTGAAGATGCGAATGGGTCGGAGAGTATGTGAAAGACGACGAGCAGCTCGCAATAGCATCCGTTGCCGTAGCTTATTACTACCGGCAGGGGCAGATATATGTAGCATCCGCGATAGCCGCCAGTGAGCGCTCGGAGACGCGCCCCCAATCTTGCTTGGGTCAAACCAACACAAGATTAATGCCCTCCGCTCTCTTCCTAGACATCAAGTCCGCGTATCCGGCAGCCTCCCCCGAACGCCTCTACCACAACATGCGCATGCGCGGCATCCCTGAGGAGTACGTCGGATGGCTGCAGGTGAAGCTGGCAGGCCGCACCACCACCATGGTCTTCGACGATTTCACCTCGGACCCCTTCCCGATCGAAAGCGGGATCGATCAAGGGTGCTCTGGCTCCGTCATCTTTTACATCTTCTACAACTCTGACCTCGTCGACACTGCAATCATCGACAACCGAGAGCTGTCCCCCGGCTGTATGGACGACGTTTATGTGCTAGCTGAAGGGGACGACTTCGAGAACGAAGAGGGAGATGGCGCGCACGACAAGCTGGACGAGGTGATGACCAGAGCGGGAGGGGGTTTCGAGTGGTCGCGGGACCACAACTCAGAGTTCTCAGTGGACAAGTTCGGCGTCCTCAACTTCACACGTCGTAGTGGAATGGGTGTGGGGCCCCCGCTTCGCCTACGACGTGGCCGCCTCCGACGGGACGACCTCCTCATCCCAGCTGCACCACACCATCGCTTCCTCGGCGTCATTCTCGACTCCCGCCTTTCCTTCTCCTTCCACCTCGCCATGGTCGTTGCGAAAGGCGCTGCGCTCCTGAACCTCTTCCGGCGCCTCGCCAAAGCTCGCTTTGGGTTCACACCGGAGATGATGCGCCGACTCTATCTCTGCGCAGTCCTCCCCGCTCTTCTCTATGCTCTCGACGTCTGGTTTACCCCCATCCGGGCAGTGGGCTGGAAGACAATGCGGCATGGTTCGGTGGGTATGGCGGAGGAGCTGGGGAAGATCCACCGCCGCTTCCTGCTCCTGATGACAGGTGGCATGCGGTCAACCCCGACGGCGGCGATGGAAGCCCACATGGACATTCTCCCCTTCCCACTCCTTGCTGATCTCTTTTGCCACCGCGCTGCAGTGCGCCTACGTACTCTCCCCTCTTCACACCCACTCCACACCCCCGTTAGACTAGCTACAAGCCGAAACATTAAACACCATAGAACCCCCCTCTACGAGCTCCTCAACGCGTACACTGACCACCTCCCAGACAGGGACTCCATGGAGACCATCATCCCCGTCCGTCACCACCCCCGGTGGCGGGCGCACCACAGGATCAGCGTCAAGGCGTCAAAGAAGGAGGCGACAAAGGACGAAGAACGCTGGGCTACGCGCTCGGGCATTCGGGTTTATTCAGACGGGTCTGAGGTCGACGGCGGGGTTGGGGCGGCCGCAGTGCTGATCATCCCAGGCAAACGCCCTCGCACCCTCCGATACTTCCTTGGCCCCTCACACACCCACACGGTTCCGGAAGCGGAGGCGGTAGGCACCATCCTCGCCCTCGCTCTCATCCGCCAAGTCTGCCACCATGAGAAGCGTGCGTCGATCGCACTCGACGCCAAGGGGACGGTCGAGTCCTCTCTCAAGTCCGACTCCGGCGCAGGGAAGTACCTGCACGATATCTTTCATGCGGATTGGAAAGCACTCCGAGCGCGACACCCGTCGCTCCGCCTCACGCTACGTTGGGTTCCCGGCCACATCGATATTCGGGGGAACGAGCTCGCTGACGAGGCAGCAAAAGAAGCGGCCAGGGGCCGCGCATCGCCCACAAAACACCTTCCCCCCTCCCTCCACGAGCCCTTACCCATCAGTTCGTCGAAGACGAAGCAAGTGTTCCGCGATCACCTCAAGGAGAAGGCGAGAAAAGCGTGGAAGGCGACAAAGCGTGGGGCGGCGATGCAAACCGTGGACAAGTCCTTGCCGTCTCGGTCCTTTCTCAAACTCGTCAAACACCTCCCGTGCCGCCACGCGGTCGCACTCTTCCAGCTCCGCACTGGCCACGTCGCGCTCCGAAAGCACCTTACCACCACCACCCGGAAGGGCGGTGCGGCTTGCCCCGTTTGCACAGAGGCGGACGAATCCGTCCGGCACTTCCTCCTGGAGTGCCGTGCCTTCGAGCCGTGCCGCGCCATCCACTTCGCTCCGCTCGGCCGTAACGGGCGCACTCTCAAGAAGCTGCTCGGGACGCCGGAGGGCCTCATCCCCCTCTTCGGTTACCTGGAGGAGACGGAGCGTCTCCGCGCGGTGTTCGGATCCCTTGCACCGCCAGAATCACTAGCCGAGGCTCTCGAGGCGGAGAAGAAGAAATCGGAGGAGGCCGCCGAGCGACGCTGATCCCAATGGTCTCACAAGGTAGGAGTACCCTGTCTACTGGCTTCGGCCTCCGCTCTTAGTGCTGGTGTCCGCGTCGTCGAGCTCCCCCTTCCACCTCTCTCTCTCTCTCTGTCTCGCGCGCGCTCTCTCTCTCTCGCGCGCGCGCTCTCTCTCTCTCTCGCGCGCGCTCTCTCTCTCTATAAATATATGCTCCTCTTGTCCCCGTTCTCAGCACTCTCTCTCCACATCTTCCTATGCACTATGCCCCAGGTCCCTTCGTCTCTGCCCCGGTATCATGGTCTCAGTCTCTTACTGTACATACGATATATACCTTACCCACACTCCAACCGGCCGCCCTCCGTACTGGGCCCACTCTAGGCCAGCGCGGGTACCGCCCCTGCATCTCTCCCGCCCTCCGGGGCACTTGTGTAGTTGACGCCTGCTCTCCCCCGAGTCGAGAACTCAGCCTGATCGCGTAGATTTAGCTTTTGTACGGTACGCCTACCATAGGGCTCTGCCCTCGAGGGCGTTAAACGAGGACGACAAAAAAAAAAAAAAAAAAAAAAAAGATTAATGCCCGTGGCGGTCCCGAACGCGGACGCGCTCGTCCTCTATGGCGGTCATAGAATGCTCGCGGGCGACGAGCAGAACAGGAGCCTATTTCGCTGGTGAGACAGCACCTCGTCCCACGGCCACACGGCACGTCGGAGGATCGCGACTAAGAGGCTTGTGGACAGGTTGGTGAGCTGCAAGGCCAGCAGCACGAAGCATACTGTTCGCATATGAATGTGACTTTGCCAACAGAGATTCGGTTTGGCTCGCTGAACACGCGCCTCGCCTCGAGCCGGCCGAACCTTTACCTCAAGACCATCGTTCAATCACTCGCGCGTGCGACACAGTCAAAACTACAACTTTTATACGGGAAAACGATGGGGATATTGGTACAAACGAAGGGCCTCCCGAGTCACCGATTGCGAGACACGATGTCAACTTCAGCCAACTGACTTCCAAACCATGGGATACTGGCACAATAGTACTCAGCAGTCGAAGGTACGTACGCCGTTGATCAGAGCGGGACGAACCTCGTGGGCCGGGCGCGAGCCGCCTACGGAGTCGGGGCGAAGAGCCCGATAGTGGCGCAGGCCGCGGAGCAGGTGCCCAGCGCGGCGTTGCAGGCGACGATGGCGGCGGGGACGCCGAGGCCGGCGGTGACGGTTCCGAAGGTGAAGCCCGCGCCAGCGTAGCAGGCGACGGCGACGGTGTTGCAGCCTGGGAGCGTGTGTCGATACTCGTCCGACGCACTGGCAGGAGGGAGGGGCAGGAGGGGCACTCACCAGTCTGGCAGATGCCGTAGGCGATGGGGCCGGCGCGAGCTCCGGTGGCGAGGATAGCAGCGGCTGCGACGAGAGAGGAGAGCTTGAAGAGCATGGTGATTGAGTATCGAGTGCGGGGGTACACGATGGGGCGGGGACTGGTGGGGGTCGACGGAGCTCTGAGGCGAGTACTTATACGGTGCCGTGCCCTCGCGTTCGACCAATGGAAGCCACCCCAACGACGACAACGTCATTCGAGCTCGAGGATGACATGGAGGAGGTTGGGATAGAAGCGCGCCGCCTTACCGCAGCACTTCCAGGCCCTCTGCCCCCATCGCGGCCGAATTGGATGCGCGCGTTTGAGATGAGCGTATTTTTCGACGTTTGAACAGGGCTGTCGAGCCCGGGTGGAGCGGACCAGAATCGAACCTCGCCCGAGCTCGCCGGGCGCCTTCTTGTCCCGCCCGCGCCGACGTCACTACAGATTTTATCCGGCTATCTCTCCCGTAGAATGTCGCTTTACGTTGGCATTTTAGTGAGTTGTATGTTCCTGGATTTGTTTTCACCAATTAGCACCTCCGTCATCTGTGCTTCAAGGGATACAGTATTCCCGAAGGCACCGTGTTCGGCGTTGCACTAGGGGGCCGATCTGCGTGCGATTGGATTCTGCGTCCCTAGAAACGCAGGCAGTTGTATCTCGAGGTCACAAATTTTTGTATACATTAAGAATGATATATGGATACAGCGCCATGATACAAGTGTCGATGTAATGAGTGTGGACATGATGTTAGAAGCGAGCGATACAATCTGAACACAGAACGACAGAGCGTAGCTTCTCAGTGAAATGAGCGAGAGCGAGTCTTCAATGAATTATGGGTGGGATAAACGAGCGTGAGTGTTGAGTTGCGCAAACGAGTGGTTATGGTTGCGAATGATCGTCATGTCGACGTGAGCGAGATTGCAGAGCTCGAAAAGCCTGGTGTGCACGATGAGCTCGAGGTGAAGACGCGCGGATCAGGCCTTCTCGAAGGCTAGCCGAAGGCCGCCTCGCCCAAGTCCGCCCTGAGTGCGCGAGGTTCTAGAGACACGCACCATGGATAGCCGTTTAAGCCCGCACCGCGCTCTTCCAGTACTGCTTGCTAAGATCCACGAAGTGCTGAAGGATGAAGTCGCTGTCAAGCGGATACCAACCGCCGTGCTTATCCAGGTCATGACCGTCATCGAAGAGCTGGACGGCCTGAGGGGCGCCGTCCTCGTCTATACCGTGACGCCAGATCATCGCTTCAATACCTTGTCCCCCACGCGTCTCGGGGGTGATGCGACATCCAAGTCCGTACACGTTGAGCTCCCCCTTGAAGGCCTCGAAGTACTTCTGGAGCTGTAGGCGGAGATTGTCGCGCAGCTTGTCCTCCACGAAGAGGATGACCCTGCTCGGCTTACCATCGATGTCAACTGCACAGACCAGGAACTCGGGAATAACAAAAGTAGCACGACCCTGGGAGCGAGCGGCGACGAAACGGTTCAGCGAGTCGGTGGAGATCCTCTCCGCGAGGGCGGCCATATGCTCGTTGTCGGCGACGATTCTGTCTTTCATGCCGTCGACCATCGACCGGAGACATGCCAGTTCCTCGCCGGTCAGTTCTACCTCTTCACGAACTTTGTACTGGGGTAGGATCTTGAAGGAGCCCCAGCCAGAGAACGCGTAGAAGAGTAGCATAGACACGATCCCGTCCACACTGCACTCGTACCTGATCGAGAGGAGTTTGATGATGCGGATTGCGGCCCAGATCCAGGGTGGAGCGCGCTCTCTGAGCTCTTCGATAGTTTGCTAGGTGTGACGGCTCAGATACCCGTGATTTCCAGGAGTAGTACAGGATGCATGCCGTGTTTAGATCTGGCGGCATCGGGATGGTTGAAGCTAAAGAGTGGCAGTGTCAGTCACGAGCATTCTTTTGACATAGCTGAAAGCGGGCCGGTCACCGAAGTCAAACCATGGCTGAAGACCTGGCGCCCAGTTCACTCTTGCCCCACCACCACCACCACCACCTCACTCCGGTCTGCTCAGTCACCCCCATATTTCTCTACGATGTCGCCCCACGTCGGCGGTATGTTGATATACGTAGCCGGGTTCCTCCTCTCCCCAGAACAGATCGGTCACCTGTGCATCAAGGGATACGGTTTGTCGGAAGGTCTGGTCAACAACCGCGACTCTCCCGTCGACGCCGCATGGCACCAATTCTACGTCTACAAGACGCAAAATCCTACCGGACTGATTCCGATGTTCCGCAAGAACAGTCACCTTCTAGACGAGGATCTAGAGGGCTTCATTCTTACTTGCCGTGTCGCCTTCATCAGACCAGGTCTCAAGGAACCAGACTTGTCACTAGACAAAGCGTCCACGGCCTGTGCCGATTTCTGGTTCCCGCCCTTTCTCCGTGGAATGGACGAGTTCAAGGGTGTCCGATACGTCCAGTATCGAGTCCCGATGCGGCTGGGATGTCGTACGTTCTTCTTCTCATGGACCGCGTCGTCCCTCCAGATTCGATCACACCACGTCAGCACCCAGCTTCATAACTGACATTGACGATGCCCGCACGCGCAATAAAAACTCCCAACAACCTGTTCGGAGACGTCAACGATGGATGGAGAAGGCGAATGGGGGGCTGTTCATACTGGTACGTCTCTTGCATCATTGGTTTCTCGAATACACTTCTAAGGAGAGCAGCCCCCACCACTCCCCGCGCAGTTCGTCTGCAGCGATCCCAGTGGCCCGTCGAACGCATCTGTTGTACGTATTCCTCCCGCCTTCATACACTGCACATTTTGACGTCACACTGTGTTACCAGCCTACCGCAATGCCGCGTAATCGACTGCTTGAATCCAACCGGGCCATCTTGTGTTGCTAGCCATGACCATCTCCTGTTAAGTTGTCACGTATTATATCGCACTGCATTTGTTCCTCCATTGTCGCCTCCTCCATCGAAAACCCGCTTCGCGGGGACGTTGAAGCGAGGGAATTCGAGATTGAACGCTTGAACTCTGAAGATCTGATAGAGCGTCTTCACCAGCACCCACTGTCCCCCCGATATCCTCAGATTGTGGAACTGCGGCGTCTGCGATATCCAACACGCCCTCGACCGAGCCCAAGTCGCTCGTCGTTTGCCACCTGCGCGACGACGATCGCACGCGAGCCGGGTTGGGACACGTTCGCGGTCTTCTGTTTTTCACGCTCTCTTGCACCTAGGAGAGATGCTGACACCGTGCGCGAAAACCTCCGGATGGGCACGTACGAGTACTCTAAGGGCACGTGCGTCCGCTCGCTGGCTCGCCAGACTGACTGACGTTGTGCACACACGCGGTTCAAGCACACGAAGGGCGGGCTGACGCGCGCTGAGCTCGCGCTCAATATCTCCGCCCATCGATCGTGGCGGCGCTCTGGAGTTCGCTCGCAAAAGGTGCGTGCACTCGCCTTCGTCCGGATTCTGTTTGCTCGCGTACTAACATCGGCACGCGCACAGTGCGCCTACAGGCGTGCCACCCCGATGGGACCCCGTATCACTCTAGGCGGCACGCGTTCGCGCCGCGCGCGCGGTCACCCACACACCTCCCACTCGCGAGTGCACGTTGTTGTAGTCTGTTTCCTACTTTATAGCGGCGATTAGCCCGCTACAGCACCAGCAAATGCTGATCCGCGGCCAAGCTTGCCACGACCAGAACTGTCCGTACAAAAACGCGAATCGCCTTCTCGCGCTAGTCCTGGCACTCCTGCCCTCATCAGACCTCGTTGAGACTGCGCTTGAGCTCACTCGGCCCAACGTCACCCCTTCCATTCGTCCTGCGGTGTTCACCGTGGGACGGCACCTCACCCCCACGGCCACAGAGATGCGGGAGCGGAGGACGAATGGGAGGCCAGTGGAGAAGTTGGCGGACTGCAAGGTCGGTAGCACAACGCGTGCCGTTCGTATGTGAACGTGCTGTTGGCGATGCGGCGCTGAGATTCGGTTTGGCTTGCTGAACACGTGTACCACAGGCACACATACGCGCCTCGCCTCGCCCCTTGACGATTCTCGACTGGGCCTCACTGCCGAATATTGACCTCAAGACCATCGTTCCGTCACTCCTGTGCGCGATGCAGCAACCATGTATACGGGGAAAGGGATATTGGCACAGACGACGAGCCACCGACCTCGAAACACGATGTCAACTCCATCCAACAGACTTTCGAATTTTGGGATCTAGCACGATGCTCAGCAGCTAAAGGTACGCCGTCGACCAGAGCGGGACAGACCTCGTGGGCTGGATGCGAGCTATCTACGTCGAGGGAAAGAACGTGACGGCGGCGCAGGCCGCCAAGCAGACGCCCAGCGTGGCGTTGCAGGTGGTGATGGCGGCGGGGACATCGACGCCGGCGGTGGAGATTGAGCCGAATGTGAAGCCCGCGCCGGCGTAGCAGGCGACGACGCCCTTGTTGCAGCCTGGGAGAGCGCGTCGAGACTCGAGACTCGTTCGCACCAGGACGGAGGCGCAGCCGGGCCACTCACCGGTCTGGCAAATACCGTAGGCCATGGGGCCGGCCTGAGATCCGCAGGTGGCGCGGAGGGCAGCGGCAGCGAGGAAGGAGGACAGCTTGAAGTGCATGATGGTCAAGTGCGGGGAGTTTAGTGAGGGTCGACAGGGCTCTGAGACGAGTGTTTATGTGGTCCTGTGCCCTCTGCGGTAGACCAATGGAAATCATCCCGCGTCACTCGAGGATGACACGAAGGAGGTTGAGATCGAAGCACGTTGGGTCCCGGTGCCAGCGCTGCCACCTAACCAGAGTACCTCCACGACCTCTGCCAGCCCATGACGCGCTGACTCCCGAGGCACGAGAAAGTCCTTGAGTTATTACATATTATATCCATCTACTCCTACAATCATCGCCTGCAGTACCAGCTGCGAAGGCTGAGTGGGCGTGCTAAGCGGTTTCTATTGATAGTGATACGCCTCAGCTTGAGCTTGACTGGCTTGACCGTTGTGTGCACTTTTGTCCTCAGCTCTTGTCAGTGAAGTTGGCGCTTTGAGGACTTCAACGTTCAAACATTCCGCTGGCCTTGATCTGGGATTGTACATACATGTACTACTACGCCCCATCAAAAATTCCACATATACAGTGTCCCACGGGTCCTTGAGACACCACGGGTCCTTGAGACAGACCGCGATGACTCCTCTTGTACATGCTTACAATTGTTGAAAAAATGGTCTTTCAGTGCACAATAATGCACCTTGTAGTTAGAGTAATGATCCCAGCTGATTCCAGAGCCGGTTGAAATCATGAGAATATGTTTTCGCATTTCCGAGTGTGTGAGCAAACTTAAATGGCATATCATCAAGAGTATGGAAACATCCCGAACTCCGGAAATGCGAGGCATGACTTCCATTAACTCTAGCTCTCTCTCTGCGAGATTTCAAGCGATTATACCACAGGGCTCGTGATGCCGGGCATGTCCCGGGATTCCGGGGTCAACGGCGTCTGTTGGGCCGACATACACCTAGTACCATGTGACACTCTCACACGGTGTCGCGTTGTCAACTTGTGCTGCGTCGACTGGCCTCTCCGTGTCCTGCATAGAAACCTCACCTTGAATGAGCGAGCTACATCACAGACTCGAACTCCGGTGTGATGGGGACGAGGAGGAGGACGGCATCGAGCACCACGACCGCGACTCGGATGGATCAAGTGACTAGGCGCCAAAGCGCTCCGTGGGAGATCTATGATCTATTGCCCGAAATGGGCCGTCTCAAGGAGGGGTGGGTGCGGACTTCGGGACCATATGTCATATCTTGTCGAACTCGTCTCTCGCACATCGTGTCCGCCCGAAAATATTCATCGAGGTAGCCACTATGTAGAGCTATGTAAATGCCAAAACGTGGTGGCCACCGACCCGAAAACGCAGAAATATCGGCCGGAATGTTTTTCGCGTCTCAAGGACCCGTGGGACACTGTAATCCCATGCAACGATTCTCAGCGGATTCTGAATCCACGTTGCGACGCGTCCTGTGACATATGCCACGTGATCGCGAATCAACAGTTGTTTGCCTATTATGGGTATTCTCTCTCCCCCGCCACCACCACAGATCCTATCGTATGCCTTCATGCCTTCATGCCTCACCCATCTACATATGCTGTAATACCGCTTCCATTTGGCCGGTCATCAACAGCAACAGTCTCTAGTACCTTTCCTCCCGGTGTTGGTCATCCACCAGGGCCTTAGCGCTTTGTTAAAGATTCGCCATGGCCGATGCTTCATCGTGAGTCTTTGCTTGAGTTTTAGTTATGCATTGTTGTGAGAACTTTGGTGGTGGATTCGCGGTTGCCATGAGAGTGCTCCAGGAGTGTAAAGGCCACTTGGGGCTGGGTGGTATGCGGTCTTTGTTTACAAGCGCACCGCAGGACACGAGCACACATGCTACCATGTGCTGTCCAAGGGGGGATGTGAACATCAGTTGACTTCGGTATTGCAGGGATGACAGCGATACCGAGGTGGTGCGTCGTCCATTTGCGGGGTCGCTGGGTCGCACTTACATGTACATAGTCGTCCCAGGTACGCCACGCGCCGCGTTACGACGGCTCGGACGACGAAGAGGTACAATCAGCTCGTCGAACGAACCTCCACCCGTCACCCTCGGTAGCATCTTCCTCCACCACAAGCACCTCTATTCTTCGTCAGCCTGTGGGTTTCAAGGCTCCTGCAACTCCCCTCGTTATCACTCCCACCCCCGGTATCCTCCCAGCACCAGCTCCACGTCTCCCCACACAGGAGCAAAAGAAGCAGACATCGAAAGGAAAGGGAAAGGGAAAAGAACGAGACAAAGGCACGTCCACTTCTGCTGCCCCCAAGCCCCCGGATGCTGCGACGACGCCGTACCATAGTCTTCCTGGCGTGCGGACGGCGTTTCGAGTACAGAACTACAAGAAGGGCGGGTCTGTCGTCGGAGGAAACATCGCCGCACCTGCGGGGCCGTATGGATCTGCATTTCGAGCAGAGTTGCATCCTCCTGTCGTTGCTGCCACATCTACTCCCAGCCCTCGACCACCCCACAATTTGGAGACTATCGGGCAACCTGCAGCATCCACCGGGCCGAAACCATCTTACTATCGCTATGATTACGACCGGCAACGCGTACCGTCGTTCTCAGCGGCCGCCACCCTCGCAGCAGCGCCGACGTCTTCTCTCGCACCCTCATCCGCGCAACCACCCACTGCGCAGAACTCCCGTCCATCGCCCGCCTCCAACTCCCGCACGAAAACCCCGGCGCCAGGAGCCGTTTCTACCTCCAGTACCCCATCCCAACAGAATGCTGCCAACCCCATCCCAGCAGGTCGCCCCGCTTCCACCACTCCTGCATCTCCGCCTCACACCTCCGACACCGACCCCAATTTTGACATTGGCGACCATCCACAGTCATGTCCAGCCCCCGACTCGGCGCCCAACCCGGATCCCTACGCTATCCCCTCGACGTTCTCGCACGACCCTAACCGTGAAGAGCGCCGCAAGGAGAAAGAGAAAGACCGTCGGGATCGCCGCGCACACTCGCCCGGCCCTCGATCACGTTCCCACCGGCGCGAGCGCGCGCAACAGTCACCACCACCCCGAGTGTGCCGCGTACTCACACTGCTCATCGAGGACAAGCGCGTGCCAAATGCGGAGGGGGAGTTGGCGGAGATTCGGGTGCCGCTGAAGCCTGCGGAGGGTCCCGACGGCGGGTTTTGGGCCGACGCGGCGGAGGTGGCGAAAGAGTTGCAGAACAGTCCTTCTCGCATTGATGGTGAGTGGACCTCTTGGTTCTCGCAAGCGTGCGGGAGGTTTATGGGAGTACATTGAAGGTCGGGCGAAGATCTACACGCTACGGGGGAAGTTCAAGCAGTACTTCCTCCGGCTGCCGACGGAGGGGGAGAAGGACTTGAAGACTGCCAATCTGAAGGTGACGGCGGACCGCACACTTGAGGTTTATGTTGAGGATGTGAGTGTATGCGCCTACCAGTTCATCGTTCCCCACTCACGAAGTGTCCAGAACCCACCTCCTGCCACTGCTGCAGCTCCTCCCCCGGTATCTGTTGCTGCCCTTCCTACACTTGTTCATCCCCATGCCTCGACTCCTCAGCTTTCTTATGTCCTGCCACATGCTGTCATCCCCCCAAATGCTGTCGCCCCTCCACATGCTGTCGTCCTTCCACAAGCCACCGTCGCCCCACCTGTAACTGTGCCCTCAACTGCAACTATTCCTCCGCCTATCTCTGTCGCTCCACCAGCGACTGCTCCCGCGACGACTACCCACACACCTATGTCTCCATGGAGAACAGAGCGCTCTTTGCTCACTCCCGATACCGACTCGTTCCCTTCCCCTAAGAACCCTTACGCTCAAGTCCAGCATAGGAAACGGGAGAGCCTGTCTAGTCTTTTCAGCATCGACGATCCTTCCTCTCCTTCAGCACAACGTTCCGGCTTCGACACTACTTCCCTTGGCACTTCGCTCTCGAAGAGAGCGCGCTCCGCCAGTATGCAGTCCATGATGTCGTCCACATCAGCTGTGCAACAGGACCCACCGCAACGACAAGACACAGCCTCGCCCACTTCTATGCGTTCTCCATCCGTTCGGCCTTCGCAGTCCCATACTCCTTCGCAAGACTTCTCATCTCCGCCCCCGCCTCAATCGGAGTTCGGAGACGATGTTGCCTCGCCAGCGTCGTCATCTCCTGCGCTGTCCCATGCTGTACCTATGGAGATCGTTCAGCCTTCACCCCGCATTCAGGTGCAGCGAGAACTCCCTGCTTCCTTCGCTCAGAGTGCCGTCACAGCCGATCAATCCGCTACCTGGGCAGCATATGGTGGGGCGCCTTCCCCGCCAAAGCGGCAGAGGGTGGCGGCAGTCGTTCCCCACCGCCCTGGACCCATTGTGGTCCCGCGACAGAAAACACCCCCTCAGCCACGACCGAAGTCTCCACCGCAGGCCTCGTCGAGCAATGCGAATTTCTTCCAAAGTCATTACAGAACGTCGTCGGCGTCGTCACGCACGGCTTCCGGTTCTTCAGGACCCTCGTCTGGCACCTCGATGACGGGTTTTGCTGCGTATGCCGGGGCAGGTGCCTCGTCTACGACGTCGAGGACTGCGTCGTCTTCGAGTCAGGCGCCACTCAGCGGGTTTGCTGCGTACGCCGATACGTCGAAGACACCGACGAGCTCCTTCTCGAAGGCAAGCACCAGCACGACATCGTCTTCCTCGTCCGGCTTCTCAAGATTTACAACCTCAACTGGCTTCGGTCAGTCGTCATTTGACGCCTCCCGGAGCCTCTCGGGAACCGGACCCCGACCAGCTCCCACCAGCCAGCCATCCGCCCCATCCCAAGCGCCCCAGCCGGCGCAGATGCCAACCAGCATCGCGCCGTCCGCGATGTTCAACAAGCCGACGCTCTCCGGCACACCCTCGACCGAGCTCGACTCGATCGTCGTCCGGCACGTGCGCGAGGTGATGGCGCGCGAGCCGGGCTGGGACGCGTTCGTCGCCGCGCGCGCGCGCGAGGTCACGATGCGCTCGCAGCTCGCGCAGTTCGCGTACATCCGCCGCGCGCTCGACCGCTTCGTCGGCACCCCGACCCCGCCGGACCTGCAGGGCGCGGGGGGCGTCGCGGTGTCGCGCCAGCAGGTGCTCACCGCGCTCGGCCAGAAGCCGGCGCAGGCCGAGGTCGCGCACGAGATCTGGGAGCTCGCGCGGCTGTACGGGGAGCGCGGCGTGCGCGGGGAGGACGCGCGGGTGGTGCGGATGCTGGACGAGGTCGCGCCGGTCACGCCGCAGATGCACGCTCAGCAGTTCCTGAAGCTGCTGAGGGACGTCCACCGGCAGTGGGAAGAGGCGCACCCGGCGTAGGAACGGGTGCTGGAAAGCTGGGCGGCTTGTCGAGGTTATCTGCTATCGTGCTTGTTGTTTGCTCTCTGATAAGTATTCCGACATGTTGTACGTCCCATCATGCTGCACATTTCATCCCGCAGAGTCGTTTTAGGTGGCCCACAAGCCTGAGGTATATGCATTCCCACGTTCTCTCGAGTGTAAGCTCCGCAAGCAGGGGCAGGCCGAATGTGCAATGGGGCTTGATCGATGGAGGTATACTCGTGAGTCATAATGCATAAGGAGGTGGACCCAGGGGCTTCTCCGGGTACATCTATCCCTCTCACTCGCACTCACTCACACATACACACACACTATCTCCTCGACTACCTCTCTCCCAATGTCGCCTACTCTGCCCCCGGAGCTGTATGACCTCGTCATCGACCAGGTTGATCCTCTCGACACTCTCACCTCCTGTGCCCTTGTTTGCCGGCAATGGTGTGGCAGGGCCCAATTCCGCCTGTTCTCCTCCATCAGTATCCCCGTCCCAACCGGGAAGGATAACACGCAAAAGGATCCCAGCGACAATTTGCGCTCCGTGCTCTCCACACACCCAGCCCTCTCACTACCAACTTCGACCCTTGCTCTCAGCCTCGAATCCGACGACCGTTCAACCTATGATAAAGATATTGTAGAGGACTGGACAGTCCGATTCCCCAACCTTCGGCAGATCATATTCGTCGCATCTTCCACAATGCCCTCCTTGCTTCCCCTCCCGCTTCTCGTATCAACCCTTCGGCGTTTGCCTCGGCTATCTTTCAACACCCTGACCCTCCGCGGCGTGGACGTGACATCAACCTGCGGTGCTGCCAGAGCCGTCAACGTCCCTCAAAACGTGGAGGATTGTCAGCTCCCCTGTATCCTCCATCTCGCCGCGGATTTTCACCACACAAGTTACCTCAGAGGCACCCCGAGTGTAGGACGCATGAATGCCTGCGCGCTTCTCGACGAACTCATCCGACACCGCCTCCTCTCGCGCGAGTCCTTGATCACGTTGGACTTGCCTCAGTACTGGACCCTCTCTACGATAAAGTGGGATGCATTCGACGGGAACTTCCCGAGCCTGCAGCACTTCAGCGTGCTGCTCAGCCACTCGCAATCCCTCGACTCCCTCCATGACGACGATGGAACGCGTACGTTCCCGCTGCCTCTCTTCAACCATCCTACCTCTGACCCGCATCCCAACAGACGAGAACACGCGCCGCCTCTTGGACGCGCTCACGGGCTGCCCGAACTTGCGCTCCCTCCACATCATCTACGGCGAGCCCGAGCGCCGCCGCGATTGGCACACCGTGCGCGACAGCGCGCTCGCGTCGCCCGCGCTCGTCGACATCCTCACCGCGCACTTCGCGCGCGCCCGCGCGCCGCACCCGCGCCTCGAAGAGCTCCGGCTCACGCTCGCGTACGACGGCGAGGACGTCGAGGACGTTTGGGGGCACGCGCGCACGCTCCCGCGCCTCGCGGCGACGCTCGCGGACGGCGCGCGGTACCCCGCGTTCCGCCGTGTGCGCGTGCGGAGCCTGGTCCCCGCCTCGTTGGAGTACCGGGCTTTTGCACGCGCGTTGGAAACGCCGCGAGAAGCGTGCGCGCGCCTCTTCGAGGTGTTCGCGGAGCACGGAGTGGAGGTGGAGGTGGAGGCAGGGTACATGTGGGGCGACGACGGAATCCCCGACGAAGTCTACGAGGACATGTGTGATATCTGGTATTAGTGGGGAGGGATCGTCCCTCTGAGAACACGGGACTTCGACATGGTTGACCAGGGAGAATGCTGTAGTAGCGCATACTTCGGCGCGCCTGAACGCTAAAGAGACATTATATGGCACGTTGAATTCACTGCGTCTTTTGGGATTGAATACGGTCGCAGCGCGCGTAGGAGTCCATCCACTGCCTCACGGAAACGCCCTACCGCAGGGTGCCCGCTCACAACGTGTTCGCTCCTACCGACCCCCAGCAGGAGAGTAGAAGGCGAAGGCCGAGCCGCAGCTGTGGATCGCTCAGTTTGCGAGCAGTCCTGATCCTTGGGTTATCCTGGACGCGCGCGCAGGTCATCGTGAGGCGCGGCCCTATCCTGCATGCATCACGTACTACATCTAGTCTACACGAGGATCGCCTCATAGACGGCCCCGATGTTTATCCTAACCCGAACTTCGAAGACGTTACACAACCGCCCACGGGACGCGCGATCATAAATACTGTTGTACCCGCTTCCATGCGCGCGCCCCTCGGACCGCCGTTCGAGCGCGCGGCTCACTGCGCACGCCTGATGGGCCGAATGAGCAGCGGCATCTGCACGCCTTTTTCCATCTCGCTCCGGAGCGCGGGGCGCTGGATGAAGATTCCGACCATCGCGATGTCGTCCGCGGGCACGGGCAGGCTGAACTCGAACGCGCGGACGAGCGCGAAGATGAGCGCCTTCATCCTGCGGCGCGGGCGGTGAGCTTCGCGGTGAATACGGGGCGCGAAGCCTGGGACGAGGAAGGGACGTACTCGGTGAGCGCGAAGCGGTACCCGATGCACGCGTGCGGGCCGCCGAGGAAGGTCATCAGGTTGCCGTACACCCCAGGCATGTGTGCCATCGCCTCCGGCGGCGGGTTCAGCCACCGGTCGGGGCTGTGAGCGGGTGTCAGGGGTTAGCGACGGGGACGAGAACCCTGGGGTAGAGAGAAAGAGGAGATGCACACCTGAACTCGAGCGCGTCGGGCCCCCAGAGGTCCTTGAGCGTGTGAAGGGTGAGGATGGGGATGAAAATGCGCTGGCCGGCCTTGACGGGGATCTCCTGCAGCGTTTTGCCGTCGGCGTCGACGATGGGCGTGGAGAGCGGCAGGACGTCGTCGTGCACCGCGATCCGGCTCGAGAAGGTGACGACGGCGTGGAGGCGGAGCGTCTCGCGGACGACGCGGTCGAGCAGGGGCAGCGCGTTGAGGTCTTCCATTGTCGGGGATTCGGTGTCGAGAGAGAAGAGCTCTTCGCGGAGCCGGGACTGGATCTCGGGGTGAGTGCTGAGGGAGCTAAGACACCAGGAGGTCGACGTGTTCGTAGTCTCGTGGCCGGCGATGAGGAAGGTGGGGATCTCTGTGGGTTCGTGAGGGTCTGTCCCTAGTCCTGGATTATGGAAGCACTTACGGGCCAAAACCTCGTCGTCGGTTAGTTTCTGGTCGTCGGGGACATCGGCCGCGAGGTTGGATTTGAGCAGGAGGGTGAGTAAATCACGTCCTTGGACGTCTCTCTTCTCGACGGCACCGCGACTCCTGAGCTCCGCTTTCTTCTCGAGAAGAAGCTTTTTGGCGATCTCAACCATGACTCCCTGTGCTTTATCCGCAGCCTGCGTGCGCTTGTCGGGCTACAGGTGGGGAGAGCGCGTGAGCGGTGAAGAGCGACGAGATGCTGTGAGATGCTTACGAAGACCTTCGAAAACAGGAGAGCGCACAACACACTCAACGGCGTAAACACGGGAGGAGTCTTCACTATGTGGGCGAAAGCCTTGCCAAGAGGGTTTTGAGAGTCCGGATTGAGGGCGTCGAAATTGTAGTCGAACCCTTCATACAGTCTGAGTTTCAGCGGAGGATACATATCTGAGCAATGGCTATACCTGCAATGCCGATGACGTCTAGAGTCATCCGGCCCAGGCCTTCCACAGCATTGACGCGGCCAACACCGCTTGCCGACTCAACCATGCTGCCCCAGTATTCAACCAACTGTAGGGGTAAGCTCAATACTAGCTGTGGTGTATGCTATACAGGACGCACGTTCATGGATTTCTCGACAAATATCTGGGTCAGTTCGCGGATTTGTGCCGGACCAAACGCCGGGTTCTGGAGCGAAAAGTGAACTTCATAATATCTACTTGGAAGCTAGCACGGGAAGATGTACCATTACTCTCCGCTGATGACAGGGCGTCAGCTATCATGTCTTTCATATCAATAAGGCCCCATATCCCTGACCTGCTGTCTGTGCTTCTCGCCTATGGTTCGAAAGTGTCAGCTCGAAACCCCTGGAATCATAAAAGACCATATATGGTTACCTTCCGCGACCAAGACGCCTGGGCCATACGAAGTTAGCCATTTGAAGCGAAATCCAATTGAAACACGTAATGGCTAACCCTGCCCCAACAGTCTCGCCAGATTCCGGCGGCTCTCCGGCGGCTTGTAGTAGCTCATTGAGTGGTTCAGCGCGTGGCCGAGCAGCTTCGGGTCTATCGAAAATATCGCTTGTTGCTGGAGCCAACCCAGTCAGTCCTACGCCCGGTACGGTTCAAACGTTCAATAGCGACACACTCACCCCGAACATGGACGGTACGCGGAACGTGGGGCCAAACTTGGCGACCCACTCGTGCGGCAGGTCCGCGGAGCTCGCAAACATGCCTCCCAGCTGGCCGGTGATCCAGTTTTCTGCGTCCGGACCTGGCAGTCGGCGAACGACATCCGAGTGGCGGCTCACGAGGGTCTTGAGGACCTTGAGTAGGACTGCCATCGCGGCCCCGGCAAGCAAGAGGCGCATTGCGGCATTGATGTTGTCTGGCAGTAAGATCGCTGGCACCGGCATGAGAAGAGGCGGTTGGAGGTTAGGAAGATGGTGGGAGTGGAAGGACGTGGGCCCATCGGCTCGGCGGGGTCTATATACAGGCCCGACTGCAAGGATGACCCGTAGCAGCTCCTGGGGCGGAGGTACCGGTCGAGAAATTGTGGCAAAGCCCACCGTCAAGGGCCGGGTCCGGGTATGTGGGCCCGGCAACCGCCCGGACCGGCCACACGAACGGTCGGCGTCCGCATCGCTTCGCAGTCTGAAAACATACCCGAGCAAGTGCGCCCGAGCTGGTGTCTTTGCGAGTCCGACTAGCATGGCGGCTACTCATCCGTCAAACGAGATAGGGGCCCGGGTGCGCAAACGTCCGATCTACACCCGGTGTCCATACAAACGACAGTCCCCCGCTGTAAACAGCTCAACCTCGAACGACACCCGACCCGGCCAGGCTCAGGAGCGCTACACGGGGGCCCGGGCGTATGAGCAGCAGAAGCTGCGCGCCCTTCGCGCGACCGCTCTTCGAGCCTGGAAGCTGGATGAGGTCGCCAATTGCCATAATGCCCTTGGCGGGCACCCCAAACTCGAACTCGAAGCCGCGTTTAAGCGTGAAGACGAGAGGCTTCATCCTATGTATATATGCACGCTGGCGATCAGCTGACGCAGGATGCCCCGAACCAAACGGAAAGACATACTCGGTAGGGAAGAAGGGGCACCCGATATAAGCGTGCGGGCCGCCGAGGAAGGTGGGAAGGTGCCCCCACACGCCCGGAATGCTTGCGATGGCCGTGGATGGGGGCCGCCGCTGCAGCGCGCGGCGCCCGACGTCAGCCGACCGTCCACACACGATCAGAGAGCAGGAAAATCGAAGGGACTCACTTGAACTCGACCGCGTCCGCGCCCGCACCCCAGATGATGGGGAGCGGCGTGGAGCGCGAGGACGGACATGAGGAGGGCCTGCCCATCTCTATTCAGGATCTCACGTAGCGTGTGTCCGCGGGCGTCGATGACGGGTGTCGCGAGCGGCAGAACGTCGTCCGCCTGCGCGACGCGCGGCACGGTCGACGGTCGTTACGGGCGCGGAGACACGTCTCCCGCACGACGCAGTCGAGGAACGGAAGCATTGATGTTGAGCGCGTCTATCGTCGACGTGTCGGTTGATACCGCGACGCGCTCTTCGCAGAGGCGGGTCTGAAAGTGCGGGGTTTTGCAGAGGATGGATGTTGAGGTGGTCGAAATAGCAAGTACGAGGTGATAGATGCACGAGCGAGGACCTTGATGTCGGTCAGACGCTGTTCTCCAGGAATGCCGGGTGGGATTTTCGCGCGGAATAAGTGGCAGGGAGAGCACTTCATGGCCTTGAATGTTGTTCTTCTCGAGTAAATCATGGCCCAGTTGCAGCACTCCGTGGGTCCTTCTGAAACGAACTAGCGATGTGAGCCGGGCCACGCAGAATGGCGCATATTGATACGCACAACGAAGCTCTTCGGAAGGAACCTTCTGAGGATAGCCCTCTTCCTCCCGGGAAGTTGCGTCTTAAATATCTACAAAAATACTTTGTTGGTTGGATGGGTTCATCGATATATCCCGTCAAAGCTGTAGTCGAAGCCTGGTCCAAACAGGGTCTCTGTGAAATGAGAAAAAAGAAGGCCACGGTCTTAGTCCTAACTTCCAGGCAGAACTTCCATCCTGTCCCGACACTGCCTTGGCGTTCCAGTATTCGACGAGCTATAGCCTGCTATAGCGAGGTGGATTTGGACCTTCTCGATGAAAATCTCAGTTAATTATCGGATCCGAGCCTTGAGAGCAGGATTCGAGGGAGATGATCAGGAAAAAGTGCTCAAACTAAAATTCAGCATTTCATAAAAGGAGGATGTTGCGGTTCATAGTTCAAAGGATCATCGCGCCTCGGAGGGCAGCACTGTGAGATGTATGCGCTGACTTTCTATCAGGTACCGCGCCATGTTCAAGCACTTGACAGGGACTCACCTCTGCATTTGAAGCGGAACTGCTTCTGCTCTGCATGAGACGCCTCCGAAAAATAGTGCCTGATTGGGAGACACCCGATGATGGATTTGAGATAAGACGCTTACGGACAGACGTAACAAATGGACCGAGCGGCGGAAAGAGACGACCCAGACGCGACATCCTAGTTTGTGAACAAGGCAGGTGGCTGGAGTTGTGTGAGCAGACGAGATGGTGATGGCCCGGGCGGAGGTGGCCCGAGGGGCCGAGGAGGGCAAGTGCTCCGGAACGGAGCCGTGGCGGTGGCGGGGCTCCCTTCCTCGACTCGAACTCTCATGTAAACGCATACACCCTCGCATTCTTCATCTTTCCATTCACTCGACAGACACATCTTCGCGCCCGTGGACCGTCTGGACGACGCCCAGCCCTCATGGAACCGTCAACGAACGGACGGCTCAGCCGAAGATTGACGAAGAGCATATTCGGCGCGCGAAGCGTGCTGCTCTCAAGGAGCTCAACGTGCTCCATACCGGAGAAGGTGGGCAGCATCTAAGGTTCATGCTGTTTTGTTAGTGACCACATGCGCGCTGCAGAACCGTCCAAGACACTGGATTCATCTCTGAAACGACACACCGCGTTGATCAAGCGCATGCGACAATCCCTCGGCGCAGAGCACCGTGATCAAGTACTCAAGGACATCGACACCCTGTCGCTGGAGAAGTACGTCGACGAGATTGTCGGAGCGGCAGCTGAGGGTGTGCTCAAGTGCAAGACAGAGAAGGATGTTTGGAGCGCGGTCGAGGTATGTGCACTTCCATCTCTCATATCTACGCGAGCCCGACCGTGACCATGTATGCGCGTACTTCAGGTCATTTCTGCGCTTCACCGCCGGTTCCCCAAGGCCTTTACCTCCTCCATCGTATCCTCCTTGTCGGTGTCCCTTGCGCCACCTTCCAAAGCTGCGCTCGCGACTCTATCCCTGGAGCAACGTGAAAAGGAAGACTCTTCGCGTATCACACGCCAACGACCTATTCTACGGGTATGCGGCCGAGCTCGCCCTCGTAGGCATCATCAGGGACAGCCCAAGAGAAGAGCGGCGGAGAATGGGTCATGAAGACTATCCGCGACTTGGTGCGTCGAGGTTCACTTGCCCTTGTATTTTACTTAACTCTCCCGCCACAGCTTTCCAATGATCCCTCGTTGTCCTCACTTCCCCTATTGCTCGTGTTCCTCAAGTCCTACTCCAGTCCTTTCCTTGGCATTGTCCCCCCGTCCGCCTCCAAGCAAGTATCCCCAATTCCGAACCAGGTACCCTCAGCGAAGAAGTCGCTCACTCGAACGGAACACCTTCTGTCCCGTTCAACGAAGCGGAGGAACTGGTGGAGAAGGAGATCAGAGACAGGTTCAAGAAGATGTGCGAGGGGTACTTCGACAACGTTGCGAAGAAGCTGGTCATGGAGCACAATGTGAGTCGCTTGCAATCCATGTATTATGCATACTTCCAACTTACGCCGGCGTAGCGTCTGCAAGACCAAGATCGGAGGAACCATGAAGCATACATTCGTTCGGGGGAGATTTTCGAGGACAGGCAGCAGGCGTATGAGAAGATGACGAAGAACTACGAAAAGTTGCTGGCAAGCTGCCAGAGTACGCCGCTTTGGCGTTTCCTCTCAGTTGGATGCTGACTTGTCATGCACAGTCTGTCAGAGCAACTCTACCTTCCTATGCCGACCCTGAAGACTGCGTCGCAGAAGTCGGAGTCGATACAAATCGGCGTAAGCACTGGTTCGAGTATACTTGGAGGGGATGGAGATGAGGGCGTTGGTGGCGGAGGGAAGTGGGAGGACGAAGAAGAGCGAAGGTTCTTCGAGGAAATCCCGGACATCAAGGACTATGTCCCGCGGAGTGTTCTCGGTCTAGATGGCGAAGGCGACGACGATTCCGAAGACGGGAAGGAGAAGGAGCGGCAGGACAAGGAAAGGGTCGAGGAAGAGGTGCGAAAGTTGGAGGAAGAGCTTGCGGGTATGAAGGTCGATGGAGAAGGCAAAGCCCTTTTGAATGGGAATAACAAAGTTGCTGAAGATGAAGACCTTGAAGTCGACAAGTGTGTACCATATCATGCTTTCGCTGTTGTGTGCTGGCTGACGTTCCGGCACTTTTAGCGCGCCAACTCCTACACCTGGAACACCCAAAGAGTCCCCCGCCACTACACCCCAGCTGGCACCTCAAGGTCCCTCCCAGCTCCTTACTGCCCTACTCGCCCGCCTTCCGGACGCGACTAACCGATCGCTGGTCGATCAAGCCGCGGTCGACTTCGCCTTTTTGAACTCGAAAGCAGCGAGGAAGCGGTTGGTGAAGTTCATGACGCAGATTCCGAAGAGCCGGTCAGACCTCCTTCCTCACTACTCGCGATTCATCGCTATCTTGAACAGGTATATGCCAGATTTGGGAACGGATATCGTCGCGGCGGTGCGTGCATTTGTCAGTTCGACATCGTGAGCTTTCTCTAACGGTCAGCTACGACTACAGCTGGACGAGGAGTTTCACTACCTGCAGCGCAAGAAGAAGGTCGTGAAGGAGCTTTCCGAAGTTCGCATGCGTAACATCACTTTCCTCTCCAACCTCACCAAGTTCCGCGTTGTCCCGGCCCACAAGATCCTCCACGCATTCAAGGTCTGCCTCGACGACTTCTCTGGGACAAACGTCGAAAATATTGCGATGCTTTTGGAGGGCTGCGGGCGCTTCCTGCTGAGGAGCGAAGAGACTCACGAACCGTTCAGCAAGATGATCGAACTCATGAGACGGAAGCAGAGCATGCAACATTTCGATCAACGACAGCTTCTCCTCCTTGAGAACGCCTATTATCAATGTAACCCCCCAGAGCGGGCCGCCCGCCAAGTTAAGGAACGCACGCCCGTGGAACTTTTCATACGCCACCTCGTCTACGACGTTCTCGCCAAGAAGACCATCGACAAGGTTTTCAAGCTCCTCCGGAAGCTCGATTGGAACAACTCCATCGTCGTACGGACTCTATACAAGGTGTTCACAAAGCCCTGGAAGCTCAAGTACAGCCACATCCCACTCCTCGCGATGCTCACCTACGACTTGCAACGTACCACCCGGCGTTCTCTGTCGGAGTTGTCGATCAGGTTCTGGAAGACATTCGCCGGGGGTTGGAGACCAACTTGTACAGCATGAACCAGCGCAGGATCGCATCTATCAAGTTCCTCGGGGAGTTGTACATCTACCGACTGGTCAGCAGCGGGATCATCTTCCATACCTTCTGGTCCCTGGTGACCTTCGGACATCGTAGGTCGTTCCCGCTTTTTATGCTCGTTTTTCTGATCATCTCGACACAGCGGAAGGCCGACCCCTTCCTGGACAGCTATGCAACGTCGACATGCCGGACGATTACTTCCGCATCAGGCTTGTCTGCGTGCTGCTGGACACCTGTGGCATGTGCTTCGACCGCGGCTCCCAGCAGAGGAAGCTCGACAACTTTCCTCACGTTCTTCCAGCTCTACGTCCACTCCAAAGATCCGTTGCCCATGGATGTGGAGTTCATGCTTACAGATTCTCTTGAGGTCAGCGCGCTACGCTCGCTCACAATGTCCGGTGTATACTGAAACACGTTAATATAGGCGGTGAGACCCAAGCTCTCAATGTTCATGACATTTGAAGAAGCGGCGGTGGCCGTGGATGAGATGTTCAACACTGCCTTCCAGAACGCTGGAGGTACGCGAGTAGTGACTCAAGCCGAGGTCGCGCTTACGTTCTATAGTTGCTATGCCCGACGAAGTCGATGGTGGAGATGACAGCGGCGAAGATAGTGGAGGTGATGACGATGACGATGACAAGAGACGGGGAGAAGACGAAGACGAAGAAGACGACAGGCTGCAGCCCGACTCCCCGGTGCGCTCTTTCTCCTATACGCCGGGCTCGCTCTAACTTGTAAGTAGATCGACGAACGCGCACCTTCGCCCGAAGCCGTGCTGCTCAAGTCTTCCACCACCAACGAGAACCTCGGACCTACCGAAGATGACGACGCCGAGTTCGCGAAGGAGCTCGCCAAGCTTGTCACCGATACCTCCGCCGACTCGCGCAAGGTTGACAAGAAGACCGCTCTGGCCTTGTGGGACACGACGCTCCCGCCTGTCATGCGCAGGAAGCAGAAGGTTGAAGATGACGACGACGAATCAGCCGCTGAAGGCGCTGACGGTCCGAACGTCATGAACTTCACGCTGTTCACGAAGCGGGGCAACAAGCAGCAGACACGGCAGATCGCGATTCCGGCGGAGTCCATGCTGGCAGTACAGACTCGCACAGCCCAGATGCAGGACAAGGTCGAGCAACAGCAACTTAAGCGGCTTGTGCTCAACTACGAGCAGCGCGAGGGGGCCGAGGAGGTCAAAGGTACGCGGACACCGACAGACGCATTGAATCCAGTGTTCAATAAAAGCTTGTTCACAGCACTCGAAGCTCGCAATCGCCAGGGTCCGATCAAGATCCGCCTCGCAGGATAACACGTTGCCCTCACGCCCGAGCCCAAACTCCAACCGCGAAACCCACAGAAGATACCTTCTGGCTTGTGCTCGTCCTCGATGAGGCCGGCGTCGCCGCCTCTCCCCTTCCTCCCTTCGCGTGCGCAACCTGCCCCAGGCCGGCTCCTCAACGTCAACCCACAGCCGGTACAGACTAGTGTCCAGCAGGCACTCAGCACGCGACCGGGTGCAGTCCGTACTCGCTGCGCTCTGCGCTCGGTGTTCTGCCGCCATGCTGCCGACGCCCCCGGGATGTGGGCACTTCGTCCCTTCCTTGGGTGGCCATCGGCGTGATTCGTGTCGCGGGCGCAGCCGCCGCGCGAGAGGGCTGTCCGCATTTGCGCCGATGTACTGTAGATCGCCTGTTGTGCACTGCTGTCCGTGCTGTCCGTTTGCAATTGATACATGTTTTCTTGTGGATACGCGCATGGCCTGTGATGGTTGAGACATATGAATGTTGTTAACCAGGCTCTAAGCAGCCTATCGGTTTTTGTTAGGAGCCTGGATACAACAAGTACTACACTACGGTATATATCCATCAGCAGCCGGAGATCAAAATACGAGAAGGAACAACAAAGTCCACAACGCCGATTCCTCGAGCAAACATCTTACACCTATACAATGTCCGTCTAGACAGTCACAACCCCATCCCCGCACCATGTTGCGGCTGCTCAAACCCTTGCGGTTGTTGCACCCCACCCATCGTGTCGAGGTACGCACCCCAGTCGTCCCACCTGAACACAACGTCAGAGCTGGGAACAACCGTCCTCGAAGACGAAGCAAGCGCAGCACTCACTCGAACGACGTCGGCGCCGCGTTCCACGCGTCCATCGTCGCGTCCGGGAACGCGAACCCCTCCACGCTCATCATCGCCACGTCCGCGTCCAGGCCCGGCGGCGTGTCCGCGCTCGCGGGCCCCGCGACGCCCGCCATCCCCGCGTGCATGCCGAGTCCGCCGCCGAGCCCGCCCATCCCAAAGTCCCCGTCGAAGCCCGCACCCCCGAAGCCTCCACCGCCGAACGCCGCGCCACCACAAAAGCGCTCTCCACCGAACCCCGAGCCGTCCATCGGGAACCCCGCGGCGGCGGCCATGGCCGCCCTGTTCGCGTGGCCCGCGAACGCGGCGGGCGCGGCGCCGCTCCCGGGGGTGGCCGGCGCGGCGCTGAGCGCGGCGAGCAGCTCGCTGTACTGAGTGAGCTGCTGCGGCATCGGGATGTTGTCGTCCGGCACGGTATACCCGCGCGGGCGCGCGAAGCCGAGCTCGGGGATCCCTTGGTCCGGCTGCGACAGGGATGGGCCCGGGGACATGTGGGTGCGGGCGCGGGTTTGCTCCATTTGCTGGGGGCTGAGCTGGAACGACTCGGCCTCCATCTGTGGAGCTCGGGGGGTGGTAGCAAAGGTGGAATAGACACCGACGCGCCCGAGGTCAGCAGTGTGCATAGGGAGCGAGAACACGTTGGGAGATGGGGTCGGGTTCGTGGCCTTGCTGGTGGATGGTGATGATTGGTCCGAGGGCGTGTTCGGGTCATGTGTAACCGTGTTGCGGAAGAAGGGTGACTGCAGTACACCATCCGACAGGTTGCTTGGCCCAGGGGGAGGTGCCGGCTGAGGCGACTTGGGCATATTGAAATCACCGATCGATACCAGAGTATTCAAAATTTCCCTTTGGTCAATGGAGCATTAGTTGGAGGAAATTGAGAGACCGCGAATCAGTGCACTCACAAAAATGTACTGGTAGCTTTCGCGCTGTTTGGAGGCTCAAGTCAGCCTGACGTGGCAAATGAGATAGGGCGTACATACCGCCCCTGAAGCGACTTCAGCATGGTCACACACTTCTGCACATCGTCCATGTTGGGACTGAAAGGGAGCCCCGCTTTCTTGCTGCCCCACATGTTGAGGAGAAGCACTAGTCCAGCGGTGAACAACGGGAGCTACCAGCACGTCAACAACACATTACCAAACTTGTTCCTTCAGCGGAAGGAACTCACCCGCTGCATTGTTAGCGCGCGTCCTGTGCGCTGGAAATATATATCCAGCACGTGGGTGCAGGAACGTGCGGCATTCGTGCAGATGGTGAGTGAAGGGAACGGCAGACGGGACGGCTTATTCGGTGATGGGATGAACGGTCGGTGGACGCAAATCTGAGCGAAGTAGTAGTGGGAGTACAGTGTCGACGATTGACCCATGAAGAAATCGTCTGCCGAAGACTGGTTCTCCCATTTCACTGCCGATGATTGCGCATGTCAGGTTATGGCGGGATGCAATTAAGAGAGAACACCCACGATGTTCTGGGATTGTATCTATCCATCTGTTTAAGGCGGAGTCTAGATCGGCGACGATTCGCTGTTCCCAATTTGCCCCTACATAACCAAGACTGAGCTTCGACTTGTTGATAGAGTACTGCGCGTAAAGAGGCCGTTAATTGACGCACAAAAACAGCCTCATCAAGACGTACGACAGTCCGAGACGCAAACGTGAGAATCTTCTGCAGTCTCGCGAAGCAGTTCGTGAATGCAACTCTGGACGGTTTCCCCTCTGGTTGCTTGAAACACAAGCCCGGGTCGTCGTTGAGCCAATACTCGTCGTCCACTTCGAGCAGAGGTTCAGTGTCGAAGCTGATATGACGCAATGTCAACCCTGAGTATGAGCAGGAGCGTAAACTTGACGCACTCCTCGTCATGAATGGCCGCAGGGCGACCCAGCCCGAAGCTTCCCATGCGATCAAATGCGAGCAAACACCTATTAAAAGACAATGAGTCAAGCTCAGAAGAAGAGATAGGCGCATATACACACCAAAACGCGCGCTTCCACAACTCGTCTTCGACGCTCGGGTTCGGCTTGTACATCTTCTTACGGTGACAACCCACGTCCTGCGCCAGCCGTATCCCGAGCCCAATAATGTTCCAGCCGCTCTGAGGTGAGTGCGTGCCGACGAGATATGAAGCGGTGAGCTGCGCAGCAGCAAGGGCGATTAGTCAGGATTTCAATTTGCTGACCATCGCCGGGGAAGGAAGCAGAGGAACACAGACACGCACCACGCACACCTGCAAGTCTTCGAGTTTCGGCCGGTCGAGGACCGACCACCGAGCCTGGTCCACGCGCTCAAACCAGTGCCAGCCTGACTGAAGAGGTCCGACGACCGTCCGGGGGTCGTCTACCCACCGGGCCCGATAGCACAGACAAGAAGGACGACGGAGCCAAAGCCACGGTCCGTGAGGTGTTTTCCCTCGTCGAGGTATCCGTCGAATGTGGGGCGATGCAGGAGGGGTGTGTACATTTCGAGGTTGTCCCAATAAGCATCGGCAAGTTGGTTGATCAGGTCGCGCGGTGGAAAGTCCGAGTGTGGTGGATTGTCTTTCGACACTTCCTTCCTTTGGGACCAGTTCTACCAAGACATTAGCCCCACCACGATCGAATGGACGAACGGACGTACGTTTGGCATGGTCTGGAAAGAGGTAGCTCCCGACTCTGAAAAACTCAGCTGGTCCCTCATCTGCTTGTCCCCATCCGACGGCGTGTCTTCGAGTCTCATTCCCGTCACTTTGTCCTTCAGCTCCATCACGGTTTGGAGGAACATGAGGTTGCTCGATTTGCCATGGTACCGAAGGGCACCTCCAGGTGTTATTGCGAGTCCATGTCTGAACTGGCGAAGTATGTTGACCTTCGCTTGCCGCTCATCGTCACTTGGATCGAGTTCGTCGGAATCGACAGAGGCGTCCGGCTCGGGTGGCCGCGGAGTCAAGCCGCTGGGACTCGAGTAGGCAGACGGACGGGAAGGGGAGCTGGCCGAAGTGGCCGACGGTGTCTCCGCCTGCGCTCTGAGGCGATTAGCCTCGAGTACGCTGTCGAAGTCTTTGGGGATGGACAGGTTGGGATGAAGCTTGAAGGCGTGTGGACGTATGAGGGGAGGAAGTATGCGTGCAGCACGGACGCGACGCACCTGGCCAAACAGCTTCTCCATGTTCTGCAACCGGTTCTCCAGTATTTGCACATAGCTCTTGCTGGGGGGCCGTGTCTATGGGAGAATAAGGAGACCGGCACGAGAGAACAGGGAAACACGCACGTTGACAGGCTCGTATGTGCACTCAATCCCCTGCGAGATGCACCTCGAACACTGGTGCTCGGGCATCTCTGCGCCGTCGCCTACCCCGCATGATCACGGAATGCTGAGCAACGAGCATGACACTAGCCGAGGCAGACTTACAGCGAACTGCGGAGCACGCGCGTGAGACTTTGCGGACCACAGCAGCAGGAGCGGGCGGACTCACTTTTCTTCCGCCTGCAGTAATCACAGGCCCTCTGCTTCTTCTTCCGTCTCGCCTGCTCAGCGACGGACAACGGCGACGGCGACTCATGGTCATCGTCTGGTGACGACATTGTGGCTGCGGGGTGGTGGCTGCTGATCCGCGCGAGGGAGGTGGACGGGGCGAAGGAGAGGATGCACAGCCGTCCTGAGGCCTGACGGCGTCCTGAGGGAGGAGAGAGGGTCGAGGGCGTGGGGGGCACTGTAAGGACACATTGGATCTGCGGCGAAGTTCTTGCGTCGGCGCTCGGCGGCTGCGCAATCCGCATCCATACGTCATCGTCGTCTCAACGCCGGACCAAAACGGCCGACCCAGCGACTCGTACTATCGGGGTTCGGACCGAGTTAGGGCCCAACATCGTGCTATCCCGGATGTTCACTTCACCTCATGTTTTCATATGTGCGAAAGCTGTTCATCTTTTTTCCTCACGTTTTTCTCCTCCAGACCGTGCATTTTCGAGCTCGAAGCTCAGCCGATGCCGGAACACTTGTGGTTCTCTGTCGCACATGCTTTTGTACGTGTTCATCGCGGCCTAAGTGCATTGCAGATCGGCCGATGCACGTAGCCACTCGATCTCCGAAACTTGAGGTCTTGGGGTGCCTTACAATTGAGCACAGAACTCGGCATCTCGCTCGCTGGTCCTCGAGGGGACGACTGCACGAACTGAATGCGTCTTCGATTCCGATATCTAGTCGAGTAGACCAATCAAGGAGCAGGGCCTGTACTTCTTGAAAATGGGCCTCGGAGAACTGTGGAGAGTTTCTTTTAAACGCCTCCAGATCGTTCCGGCACGAGCAGTCCGCGGTCTACCAGGGCTAGACGCACCACTATCCGCCTGTTAAATTTCGACAATCCCAAGTGCGGATCTTTGAATATGTAGCGGGAGCATACTAGGCCGAATGTCGACCCCCGATGTCAACGTTTCAACCCGGACGTGGGAGCCGTCCCGCCAAGTCCGAACGGGGGTCTCGAGAACACGGACGAACCCAAAGATGGCAAAGGGATTCACATGTCGTACATCGCAAGTTCGGAATAGAGTACATACAGAGTGCGTTGTTCTGCCCACAGCCCGCGCTACCGTGGCTCAGTTAGAAGCCGGCGACGATGCCGTCAAAGCCGGGCTTCCGGACGAGGTTCTGCCAAAGGACGTCACGTTAGCAACCGCCCGACCTGCGAACACGGGGACAGCATCCGAGCCCGGAGCTACAAGGGCTGGGAGAGAACAGGCACTCACGGCATCCCACGGGCACGCGGCGCCCATGTTCGGGAACGTGCCCGGGACCCACGAGAACTCGTCCGTGAAGTCCCAGAGGGTGATCCCGACGCAGCCCGGTACGGCCTGGCACGCGGCAACGACCGTCTGGTAGTCCTTCTGCTGCTGCTCGAGGAGCGCGGCGGTCTCGGGCAGCGTCATACGGATGTCGAGTTCCGTGATCGCGACCTCGATCCCGAGCGCGGTGAACTCGCGCATGTTCTCCACCAGCGTCGTCGGCACTTCGCCGACGATGAAGTGGGACTGCAGGCCGACGCCGTCGATCGGGACGCCTTGCGCTTTGAGCGACTTGACGAGGTTCTTCATCGCGGTCGCTTTGGCACCTGAGAGAGTCGACTTGGTGTGAGGTGAGAGTGGACGGGTGGAAACGTTGACTGACCAGTTCCCTCGATGTTAAACTCATTGATGTAGAGTTTTGCATTCGGGTCCGCGGCTCTAGCAGCCTTGAGCGCAATGGGGATGAAGTTTTGGCCGAGGGTATTGAAGAAAACGTTGCTCTGGAAGGTGCCATCGTCGTTGAATGGCTCTGTGTTCGTTGGGTCAGCATTGAATGACACAAGTCACAGGTGATCGCTGACCATTCACGACATCCCACGCATCTACAGTGCAAGGCATCAAAGATCAGCTCAAAATACCTACAATGTGGCACACGCCAAGACTACATACATCTACGACGGAGAATGTCAGCAAGGGTCCGAAAAAAGAAATTCTGTACTCACGTTTTCCCCTTGTAGTGTCCTACGAGCGTACCGCAGTGGTTCTGGATCACTGACGTCAATTGCGCTGCATTGAAGTTGCTCGATGTGACCCAGCTAGGAAGCTGCGAGTGCCAGACACAATTATGCCCTAGAACGAACTGATCAGCGCCCGGGAGCTCAGATTAGCAGAATCTCCTCACCTCGAAGTAGGCGCCCCATGGGTTGCGCGAGCGCGGCGATCTGGTCACCCTGAGTGAAGGTGAAAACGCCCTGTTCTGGCTCGGTCGCGTCCTGTCCGAGACAGCTTAGCCAAGGGTTCTAAAGGCGGGGCGCGCCGAATTTCTCACCCATTTCATGGAGTTCGCCGCCGTGATCTGGCCGAACATCTGGCCGTTGTTCAGGACGGCGACGTACGGTTGGTTCGTCAGCTCGCCGTTGTCCGTCGCAGTGCCGAAGTAGAGCTTCCCGGCTTGCTTCGCGAGCGCGTGCAACCCAGAGACCTTCGCGGTCGACGTCGGGAGCGCCGCCGCTGCAGTGGGGGCCGAGGGTGCCGCCACCGCCGACAGGGCGCATCCGAGGAGGGCGAAGAATGGCGAAAGACGCATCATGGCGGAGTGCTGTAGTATCTGAAGGGGCCGTTGTCGTGCTAAAAGCCGGCGGCCCCCTGCGACTCTTATACATGTTCCATTTATGCCAACAGGTTGCCCGACGACAAGAAATATTTCGAGCTGCGGCTCGGAGGCCAAACGGAAAGGCGTGTATGACGTGCCGCTCGGTCTTGTGGGGCGGCGGGTGACATCAGTGGGGGAAACAAAGACTCGTTATGTTCACGGTGTGAGGGAATCAGGGTCATTTGTCGGAGGTAAATCCTCGTGATCACTGCGCAGATCATGAGTACCGGCGGATAGGAACGGGATGTACCACCGCTCACCATGACAATGTAGCTCCAGAGCATTGCGTAATGTCCCATCAGAGTATCCAAGGGGCTTTGTCAAGTAATGAGACCGTATTAGAAAAATTCCCGCACCATATATGCCCACCTATCTTGTCGATTTCTAGCGGTCATGGTACAGACGTGCCTTTCATCGGTCTTCCGCCAAGTAGCGCACTGACAGCCCCATGACCACCGGTCTGATCCAACAGAGGGACAGGCATAGGACACCTGTGAACACCGGATGCGGACGTGTGAATGAGGCAACTGTTTAGGTTCACGAGGTGGACATACCGCCGGGAGCGGTCCGTTTTGCAGGTCTCAAGCCCTCGTGTCGGGTGCCTCTGCAGCCATGTCACAGGCGCACGGGATTGGGTAGCTATATCGCGTCTAAGGAAGGCTTCCAGCGCGTCCACGACATGGAATTTTTCGTGGAGATGAACGGCAGACGTACCTGAGTTCACCCACAAGCGCTCCACAACCCCACTGTCATATGCACATTGCGCTGAATTGGTACCCGCATTTTCACAGGACGTATTCTTGATTGGGTAGACACCGTCAGAGGAGTTCGTGTGACATGTAGGGGAGAGCATACATATATGTTGTTCAAGAGTGGGATGATGTGGTTTCACTTGTGCTTCTTGCAGATTCCGGAATGGAATTTGCATAGTAAGATGTTCGCGGTACGGGGAACGCGCAAGAAGGCCACAGAGTATGAGGATGGAGAGGTTGGCCGGTGGCAAAAGACGACAACGCGCATCCGACATCTCCGCCTGCGTTGAACCAGATGGGAAGCGGCCACGTAGCACTGAAGTATATCCGTTTGGGGTTGCCCTCTAGCGTGCGTACCTGTCCGAGCATACAACTGTCGGTAATCAGGGAGAAACCACGCCTTGCTCATGACGGAGTGGCGAGGACGGAGCGCACCAAATATGTCGTGGTTTAAACAATATGGTTTACTTACTAGTACACGAGTTGAGTCGCCCGGGTAGCGGCCCGGCACCAGTCTGAAACCAATTGGACGAGCGCTAAGAGGTGGCGACCTAATTCACCAACCTCCACCTCCTCCTCACCGTACTGGCACCAACCACCACCAACCACGCATGGTCGCGACAGCGCCCAGTTTACAGCGCGGACACGCTAAGCTCTGCACACACGTCGGCCGCCGTGCGCCTTCCATGCATTATGAACTTCTCAACTGCAATACGACGTTTTACCGCCGGATAGCCGTGGGTAGCCGCCAACTTCTCGAAGAGAAGCGACCCAGAGGTACCTAGGTAGGTGTATGCGCAGCCACCGAGTGTACGATTCGACGAAACGCGATCAAGACGGAGGCAGCGCTCAGCACTCACGCGGCGATATGTATGCGCACTGCGCAGTCGCTGAGCGCCGACACAAGTGCTTCATTCGCAGTTCCAATGCGTCCTGACAACGTGCCCCACCCTCGCTCGACTCTCCCCCCACCCTCAGCACGCCCCCAGGCCTCAGGACGGCTTTGCATCCCCTTCTTGCCCCCCATCTCTACTCACCGCGACCGCACCCGATACCGTCCACCGGCCTCGCGCCGATCAGCAGGCAGCCATCCCCTAGCCGTAATGTCATCACCAGAGGACGACCATGAGTTGCTGTCGCAGTTGTTCGCCGCCGAGCAGGCGAGGCTGAAGAAGAAGCAGAGGGCCTGTGACTACTGTAGACGGAAGAAAAGTGAGTCCGCCGCCCGCTCCTGCTGCTGTGGCCCGCAAAGTCTAACGCGCGTGCTCCGCAGTTCGCTGTAAGTCTGCCTCGGCTATTGTCATGCTCGCTGCTCAGCATTCCGTTATCATACGGACCAGGTAATGGCGCAGAGATGCCCGAGCACCGGTGTTCGAGGTGCATCTCGCAAGGGATTGACTGCACATACGAGCCTATTAACGTGTGTGCCTTCCTACTCTCTCATGGCAGTCTCCTTATGCTCCTGTAGACACGGCCTCCAAGCAAGAGCCATGTGCAAATACTGGAGAACCGATTGCAGAACATGGAGAAGCTGTTTACCCGGGTGCGTCGCGTCCGTGCTGCACGCATACTTTCCCTCCGTCTCATACATCCATACGCCCTCAAGCTTCATCCCAACCTGTCCATCCCCAAAGACTTCGACAGTGTGCTCGAGGCTAATCGCCTCGGGGCACAGGCGGAGGCACCGTCAGTCAATTCAGTCATCTTGTCTTCCTGTTCGTCTACCCACTCGACTCGCAGCGGCTTGACTCCGCGGCCACCCGAGCCGGACGCCTCTGTCGACCCCGACGAACTCGATCCAAGTGATGACGAGCAGCAAGCCAAGGCCAATATACTTCGCGAGTTCAGACATGGACTCGCACTAGCACCCGGAGGAGCCCTTCAGTACCACGGCAAATCGAGCAACCTTATGTTTCTCCAGGCTGTGATGGAGCTGAAGGACAAAGTGACGAGCATGAGCTTCGAAGACGCGCCGTCGGATGCCGGGGGCAAGCAAATGAGGGAGCGGCTGAGATTTTCAGAGTCAGTAGATAGCTCGTTCCAGATCACGCCAAACGTACGTCCGTTCCTGGATCCCGGCATGAACGAGCTGCGGGAAAGCTGTCCTTGTGATGCTGACGTCGTCGTAGAACTGGTCCAAAACGAAGAAAGTGGTGAAAGATCCACCACACTCGGACTTTCCACCGCGCGACCTGATCAACCAACTTGCTGATGCTTACTGGGACAACCTCGAAATGTACACACCCCTCCTGCATCGCCCCACATTCGACGCATACCTCGACGAGGGGAAACACCTCACGGACCGCGGCTTTGGCTCCGTCGTCCTTCTTGTCTGTGCTATCGGGGCCCGTTGGGTAGACGACCCCCGGACGGTCGTCGGACCTCTTCAGTCAGGCTGGCACTGGTTTGAGCGCGTAGACCAGGCTCGGTGGTCGGTCCTCGACCAGACTAAACTCGAGGACCTGCAAGTGTGCGTGGTGCGTGTCTGCGCTTCCCTGCCCTCACGCTGGTCAGTGAATTGATATACTGACCAATCACCCTTGCCGCTGCGCAGCTCACCGTGACATACCTCAGCGGCTCGCACTCACCTCAGAGCGGCTGGAACATTATTGGGCTCGGGATACGGCTGGCGCAGGACGTAGGTTGTCACCGTAGGAAGATGTACGAGTCGGGGCCAAGCGTTGATAGCGAGTTGTGGAAGCGTGCGTTTTGGTACGTATATGCGCTTATGTCTTCTTCTAAACTTGACTCATTGTCTCTTCATAGGGCTTTGCTCGCATTTGATCGCATGGGAAGCTTCGGGCTAGGTCGTCCTGCGGCCATTCACGACGAGGAGTGCGTCAAGTTTACGCTGGTGCTCATGCTTATAGCTGATATTGCGTCATCTCAGCTTCGACACAGAACCTCTACTTGAAGTGGACGACGAGTACTGGCTCAACGACGACCCGGACTTGTGTTTCAAGCAACCCGAGGGGAAACCGTCCAGAGTTGCATTCACGAACTGCTTCGCGAGACTGCAGAAGATTCTCACGTTTGCGTCTCGGACTGTCGTACGTCTTTGTGAGGGTGTTTTTGTGTGTCAATTAACGATCTCTTGACGCGCAGTACTCCATCAACCAGTCGAAGCTCAATCTTGGTTATGTAGGGGCAAATTGGGAACAGCGAATCGTCGCCGATCTAGACTCCGCCTTGAACAGATGGATAGATACAATCCCAGAACATCGTGGGTGTTCTCTCTTCATTACATCCGATCATAACATGACGTGGGTTTTCATCGGCAGTGAAATGGGAGAACCAGTCTTCGGCAGACGATTTCTTCATGGGTCAATCGTCGACACTGTACTCCCACTACTACTTTGCTCAGATTTGCGTCCACCGACCATTCATCCCATCAGCGAATAAGCCGTCCCGTCTGCCGTTCCCTTCACTCACCATCTGCACGAATGCCGCACGTTCCTGCACCCACGTGCTGGATATATATTTCCAGCGTGCAGGACGCGCACTAGCAATGCAGCGGGTGAGTTCCTTCCGCTGAAGGAACAAGTTGGTTTGTTGTTGATATGTTGTTGACATGCCGATAGGTACCGTTGTTCACCGCTGGACTTGTGCTTCTTCTCAACATGTGGGGCAGCAAGAAAGCGGGGCTCCCGTTCAGTTCCAACATGGACGATGTGCAGAAGTGTGTGACCATGCTGAAGTCGCTTCAGGGGCGGTACGTATGCCTTATTTAATTTGCTACGCCAGTCTAACTTGAGCCTCTACAAAGCGCTAGACTTACTAGTATATTTTTGTGCGTGCACTAATTCGCGGTCTCTCGGATCTCTCCAACTAATAGATGCTCCTTTGACGAAAGGAATGTTTTGAATACTCTGGTATCGATCAGTGGTTTCACCAAGCGCGATTCGCCTCAACCGGCTCCTACCTCTGGATCAAGCAACCTGTCCGACGGTGGGCTGCAGCCACCCTTCTTCCACGACACGGTTCAACATGACCAGAGCACACCCTCGACGTCAGACCAATCATCATCATCCATCAGCAAGGCCGCGAACCCGCCTCCATCTCCCAACACGTTCTCGCTCCCGATACACACTGCTGATCTCGGGCGCGTGGGTGTCTGTTCTACCTTTGCTTTCGCACCCCGACATCCGGAGATGGACGACTTCTTCCAGCACCAGATGGAGCAAGCCTGCGCCTGGGGCCCGACGTTCCAGGGTCCGCCCCAGTCGCCGTCGGACCAAGGGATCCCCCAGCTTGGCCTCACGCGCCCGCGCGGTTACACCGTGCCGGACGACAACACGCCGATGGCCCAGCAGCTCGCGCAGTACAGCGAGCTGCTCGCCGCGCTCGGCGCCGCGCCGGTCGCGCTCGGGAGCGGCGTCGCGCCCGCCGCGTTCGTGGGTCACACGAACAATGGGCCCGCGATGGCGGCCATGCCCGCCGTCATGGGGTTCCCGATGGGCGGCATGGACGGCTGGGGCTTCGGTGGGGCGGGCTTCGGGGGCGGGGGCTTCGAGGAGGCCTTCGGAATGGGCGGGCTCGGCGGCGGAGACATACACGCAGGGATGGCGGGCGTCGCGGGAGCCACGGACGCGGACGCGCCGTCGAGTCTGGACGCGGACGTGGCGATGATGAGCGTGGAGGGGTTCGCGTTCCCGGACGCGACGATGGATGCGTGGAACGCGGCGCCGGCGTCGTTCGAGTGAGTACTGCACTTGCGTCGTGCTCTCGGACGTGTTGTTCACAGGTCTGACATTGTGTGCAGGTGGGATGACTGGGGTGCGTACCTCGGCACGATGGGCGGGGCGCAGCAACCGCAACCGCAAGGGTTTGGGCAGCCACAGCATGGCGCGGGGATGGGATTGTAAGCTGTACACGATCGATTGATCTGCGACTATCTGGACGGACATTGCAGAGGTACAGGATGTTTGCTCAAGGAGTCCGCATTGTGGACTATGTTGTAATTCCTTTGATTTCCACCTGCCGACGCACATGTACCACGTAGTGTACTACTTGTTATAGATCTACTTCTCGAATCTAGACTTGCCTTCGCGTCGCTCCTTGCTCCAGCACTGATCCCGAATAATCCTGGCGATGTTCCACTGGCTTCCTCAGCTTGGCGTGCAAGCATGAACGCAGCAAGCTGCGGAGCCCATCCAAGCTGGTGGATCGCGACAAGTGCCGAATGAGCACCTCACGCCTTTCCCTTTCCCAAATCCGGGCAAACCCAACAGCTCAGGATTCCTGTAAGGGATTCACTGCATGCGGAACAAGCGGTCATGTTCCTCGGGAGTACAAGTATTTTACAGCTCGAGAGCGTAGACTCGACTGAAGCCTGCGTACCGCTGTTGGAGGTGTCGGGGGAAGCCTGTCTACAGAGTCTGCCGCGGTATTCTGACCATCCACATCGACGTCGGTAGTGGTCAACCCGAGCGCACAGCGTCCGAGAGCGGGTTCGTGGGCCACCTATGCCGTTCGCAAGCGACTGAGTGGGGAGCGCAAGGGGAGCGTGGGCGGCAGACACTCACGATGGCGGAGAATGGTAAGGCAGTATGCGCGTGCGCCGATGCTACACTTGTTCCGTCGCCGATGGGTGCTGCGGACCTCAAGTCAGGCATTTGACCGACTATCACCATCTCGTGCGAGAAGTTGCCGTCGGTGGTCCCGCGCTCGACGTCGGCCAGAGTCGCGGTCTCCGATGGCGAAATAGGACCACTTTGCGTCCCTGAGACCTCGTAACTCCGTGAAAGGGAGCGGGAGAGGCTGTGGAGCTTTTGGCCCAGGGAGAAGCAAGGGATAGACAGTCCGTCTGAAGCGAGAAAGTATGAGTGCTCAGAATCTAGTCAGAGTCGAAGTGGAAACACGCACGAATGATGATGGAGCCCAGTACAACGAAGGCCACGATCGGTTGCAGTGTCACGGCGAGGAGCTGAGCCTGGTTCGCCGGAGGGGATTCCGGCTCAGGCAGCTCGCTGACCGCCAGGGTCGAGATAAAGATCGCACCAACACCCATCGGGCCTGGAAGCGGCGTCAGAAGTCGACGGCGATGCAAGAAGAGCGAACTTACCGAAATGGCCCGCAAACAGAGCTTCCTTCCATGTGGCGATTTCCGGCACCCATCGGTACAACAGGAGGATCGACGGGATGCGGCGAAGGAACATGACCGCGAGCAGAATGACCACCAGGCGCCACGGAGTGATGCCGACGTTGGCTGCATCGAACATATTGAAGGGTATCCACGCGCCAATGTACGCGAAACAGGCGCAGTTCAATATGAGGTCCAAGACTGTCGAGAAGACCTGTCCCTCGACTTGCGAGTTGAACTGTCCGTCCCAGCTGATCGCAGAGCCTGGGGGGGCGTCAAAGGTGTCTTGGCAAAGAAGCAACCCCCACTACATACCAGCAGCAAACGCAGCGAGCAGATCGTCGAGACCCAACGTGCGGGCCACTCCGATTGTGAAGATGGCGAGGGAGATGTGTTGCGCGACATATGACTCGCGGTCGATCAAGCCCTTCCTGTAAGTGAGCTTCATCAACAGAGAGAAGGCGATACCTGAAGGACCTCGTGTCAATATGTCATGCGCAGGGTGGCTGGGCGTACTGACCAAAGACGGCGCCAAGCAATGTACCCAAGAAGACCTGGTCTAAGACACTGTCGTTAGTCACTGGTAGATAATGGACACTAGACCGACGCATCCACTCACATAGCCAGCCGATAAGGATTCCCTTCTCAATCGCCACGCCTCGGACAGCCTCCACGGAGAGGTAAAGAGAGATGCTTAGGAAGGGGTACGCCAGTCCATCGTTAGCAGCAGACTCGGCGGCGAGGATCTGGCGGAGGGGAAGGGGAACATGCTTCGTCGCGAAATTTCCTCCTGTGGGCGGGATGAGCGCATATAGTGAAAGCAGGGAACCAGTGAACGTACCGAGGACAGCGGCAGAGACGATGGGGTCAGTCGGCGTGAGGCATGCAGAGATCACGAGCGACGAGATGAAGTTTATAGGAGGAAACACCGCGTAGATGATTGCTGGCCGCGGGGTCAAAACACGCACGAAAGAAGCTCAAGTGAAAGCACTCACCCGCCACAACTAACCAACCGAACGCCATGGTAGGCACAACCATGACCAGAAGACCCACAGCGTGGTCAGCGAGGTAAGACCGAGGCAACTCGACTCCAATCGTGAACAGGCCGATGGCCAGACTTATGCGCATGACCTCGAGCGCAATCTCATTGATGTTGCCGCCCCACGCCCGAGGATTGAAGATGCTGGCACAGTAAGGACCGAGGATCACACCCACGGCAGTACCAAGAACAACCTCATTGATGTATAGCTGTCCGAATCGCACATGAATGGAAGGGCACGCGCACGGAGGACAAGCGAAGAAATGCACCTTCTCTTTTATGAACAGCGAGAGCATAGTGAACTGTTGGATACAATCAGCTTCGTGCAAATCAAGTGATGCGTGAGGGGTGAAAGTTGAAGGGGATGGTGATGCAGAGGCGGAGAATGGAGAGCGAAAGTAACAAGTGGGGAACCAGAACAACTTGAGGGCAGCTAATGAAAACATACCGCGACGATAAACCTCCCAGTGCAGCGTAAGCTAAGCCAAGGTCCGTGACCTAAGTAGACGTTCGCAAGTTTGTGAGCACACAAAAGGGGAATTAAAGTGCACATACATCAAGCAACTGCACACCCATAGTGATGGCTTGAGGTAGGTCGTCGCAACACTGAGACTCACGAACTGGAGTCGACTAGTTCGGAAACGAATTAGTACTTGAGCTGGACTTCGTGTTCGTGTTGAGAGTGGAACAGGGGGCAGGGTACAAGGTGCAGTTAAGAGCAAGGGAGAGATGCTCATTAAGTCCGCGATCAATCGCGTCTTATCGCGAGGGATAACCTTTTGAGGAGCAGCGCGCGTGCCGCAGAGCGTCCTCGTCCTCCCGCGACCATCCCCCTCATGGTGAGTCCTCGCCCACCGCCCGGGACCATCTCAGCCTGACCGATCCTCGCACAGCTCATATTCTCGGTGTTCAAGACCCTCACGGACCAGCAGGTCACCGTCGAGCTCAAAAACGATCTCTCCATCACCGGCACCCTCAAGTCCGTCGACCAGTAAGCACCCATCCGTCCGCCTCCTCGCCCGTGCCCCGCGTCCTCACCGCGCCCCTCTCCAGGTTCCTGAACATCCGCCTGGACAACATCAAAGTCCTCGACCCGGCGAGACACCCACACATGGTCCGTCCCGCCCTCCCTCTCGCGTCCTCCGCGCGCCGCTCACTTCCGCGGCGCAGATGGCGGTGAAGAACTGCTTCATCCGGGGCTCCGTCGTCCGGTACGTCCAACTTCCCGCTGAGAGCGTTGACACGCAGCTCCTGGAGGATGCCACGCGACGAGGTGAGCCTCCTTCGTTCCTTTCGCTCTGCTGCGCCCCCCACTGACGATCCGCTGCAGAGGGAGCGGCGCAGAACAAGCACTAACCGCGACCAAAGCGCGATTGTCGCCTTTTGCCATCTCCTCCGCCTTCCCCTGGCCTCCTCCGACGCGCTGTGGCTGGCAGGGGATGGCAGGGGAAGATTGGAGTTCTCGGTCGGCGTTCGATCCGTTGTGGGGGATGGTCCGCCGTACGTTGGTTCCAGGTGCGCTTGTGTCCCCGTGTATCATACTTTTTTGCACGCATTGTATCTTCTACTGTCAAAGACTTTGTGACACCCACCCCTTCTCCGGCCCTTTGTGGATGAGAAACTGATAACAAGTGGGCAGATACTTGCGCATTTCCAGAGTACGTGCAAAAGGAAGACACGGCGAGATACATTGAATAGAGCAACTAAGAGCACTATTGCCACGAATACAAACTACGGACCAGAATGAGAACAGCGCTACAACGCTAGATTACAACAAGCACTATGTATATGCACAGTTAAAGTACAACTAGAGAAACAAACACGAGAATAGAGAGAGATAAACATCGTAGATGCAGCATCGCGGTCGTCACCGCGGGGCGGCTGGGGTATGTGTACTGGTCATAATAAGATCGTCGCCCGAGCACAGCTCAAGCTTTGCGCGTGCTCCGCCGAGTGGAGGTACGCGTCCCAACGGAAGCTGCCTTCTTCGTGGTCTTGCCCTTGCGCGACCCCTTCGTCTTGGGCGCGGGCTTGGGCGCGGTGGAGACGGGGGCGGCGTCGCTAGCGGTCGTGATGTCCACAACGATTTCATCCTCGTCGATGAGCTCCAACTTCGCCTCCTTCGTGACCACGTCGGAAGCGGGCGTATTGACACGAGTGACGCCTGCAGAGGGGATCTCGACTGCGGTGGTCGTGGGCGAGACGGAGTGGGAAATGCCAGCTTCGGGCGTGAGGGGCGCGGTCAAAGTGAACCTGAACTCGGGGGCGCGGGGCGCGGGGATGCGGATCGTGCCCGGGCTCGTGCGCGAGACTTCTGGAGCGGGGGGGATAGCAAGGGTGGAGGCGGCAGCGGCTTTCTTGTTGGTCCCACGGCGCTGCTGGCCCTTGGCCGGTGCCTTTGCACGAGCGGTCTTCGTGCGCGAGGCCTTTGCCCCCTTCTTCCCGGGCGCCTTGTTGGTCGAGGCGAGGCGAGGGGCAGAGTCGGTGACTGGGGTCGCGGGGCCGACGGGCTCGTCGCCCACGTCCATCTTGTTCTCGGCCTCGATCGACAGAATCCCGGCTTCACCGTCTGTCTTCTCCTCCGCTCGCGACGTGTCTGCAACTGCCTTCACAGACAGCCGCGTCGACTTGGGACGCTTCGCGACGGTTCCTGCTTCGCTCCTAGCAGCGCTGGGCCTCTTGTGAGGCGTCGCCTGAGGGCACTGTTCCTTCGGGATATATGGCGCCTGCGCATCGCGCAATTCCCTGAGGGCCCGTTCGGTGTCGTGGATACCGAAGGGGAGGAGTGAGTGTCGGATGATCGCCGGCCCGATTTTGGCGTCTAGATGAGCGCGCGTCATGGGCGCCTGATCAGCCATTGTTGCTTGAGGGACGTGAGGGAAGGGGGGTGGGGGACGTGGGGGAAACTGTGGGCTCGAGCCCGCCGCACAACGGGGGAAAAGATAGGGACGGAGAGCAGAGGGTGGATTAATACGAAGACTCACCAGCCGTCTGTTGGCACCACTTCAAGGTGCTCTCGCGACGATCCTCAGCCCAGAAGGCGAAGTGGGCCGGGTGGTCAGGCCTGTGCAGCAGCTCAATGGCGGCGGTGGCAAAGAGCGCGTTCTCCTCGCGGCGAGATATCTCCATTGCCGTCTTTCCGAGAGTCCTGGCCACTGTGCGAGGGTGAGCGATCCCACCCTGCTTGACCAACCACCACGAAGTCTGCGTGGTGCCGACGACGTGGATCTTGTGCCAGTTATGATGAGTGTAGAGCCCATCCACCAGCTTAGAGGCTTCTTCGGCACCCCGTCGTAACTTTTCCGACAGGACCAAGAGATATTGGTCCAACGTGTCCCTGTTGCCGTCTGGTAGCTTGCCGTGGAACGGTGCGTAGAGCGGGTTCAGGGATGCGGATACGGATGGTCGGAATCCCATTGCAGCAGCTTGAAGGGGATATAGAAGTCGGAGGGGAACGGCGGATGAGGTATGGGAGAGACGGTGGATAAATGGCGTCCTGGACGAAGGGGGGGATGAGGGAGGAGGGAAGAGGAGGAGGTTGGAGATGAGATATGGCTGCAGCTTGGATTTACACGCACGACAAAGAGGCGAGTGCTTTAGATTAGATTGTGACACTTCCGGGTAGATATATCGGGAAGGCCGCCCAGCAGCGTGTTGATGGAAGAAGAAAGGAGCGTCAGCGTCGGTCACGACGGGCAACGGCCTAGCTTCGGAGCTCGAAAACGCGTAGAAAAAGACTGTGAGAGATGACATTTCCAAGGGGACAAAAACGGAGGCTTAGGTGACCTTTTCTTGATGTAACTAAGAACAAAGACAATAGAACGTGCATAGTATGCGAGTAACAAAGAAGTAATTACAAGTGATAACCTGTGTTATTGTCGAACAAGGTGGAGAAAAGGTCACCTTAGCTCCTGTTTTTGTGCCCTTGGAAATGTCATCTCTCACAGTCTTTTTCTACGCATTTTCGAGCTCCGAAGCTAGGCTGTTGCCCGTCGTGGGTGGGGGTCGTGAGGGGCGGGCCGTCGAGGTCGCGAGGAGTTCGGGGTACGCTGTACGCGTCTTCTTATGCCGTCCACGTCGAGCATGGTCCCGGGAGTATGGGAGAGACAATAGAGGACGCATGGGCCAGAGAGGGTGTGGCACGGGACAGGTCAGAGAGGGGAGGGCGTGGTCAAAGGCGAGGAACAAGACGAGTGCGACGACTCCGCGCTGGACGAGCGCGTCGAGGACGGGCCGGGGCTCGTCGCCGACGTGGCGTCGGTCATTAGCGCCTGTGCCACACCGACGCGCGGTGACGTCATAGCCCAGCGCCATGTTCCGGGCGATGTCGTCTCCTTGAAAGAGCGGCTTTAGGATCGTATCTGGCTTGGCTTAATGGCATACGGCAAGGAGGCAAACTACTAGTACCTTGCCAGTCAAGCGCCCATGGACATTCTCCGTGACGTCATCGCTCGAGTTCCACATGAACAATTTGGACGAACAACCCTCAATTGATCCCAGCAATAGCTACTCGTCTTTGTCGGTCTGCCGAATTCAATATTCAATAACGGGTCACTGGCGGGCATTCCGAGCCGAATTGAATCGTTACTGTCTGCCAATAACGCAAAAAAGCGCATTTGTCTACCTCGCTCGGCGCTGGTCCGAGTAACTGGCTTGGCACGGATACTCGGCACGTTCAACGTGCTGCCTGGCATGCAAACGGAGCATCGTCCGAGCTGCTCTCACGCATCCTTCGCTAACCTTGGTCGATGGTTGTATCGCCTCCAGACTTGTACCACTTCCCTACCAGATGCATGTGCCCGCCGAGAGTGCCCGATATGGAAGCAGACATCGGAGGGCGCTCCGGGTCGCATATCAAATTCTTCCCGCGCGGCCACGCCGAGCTGCCGCGCACCGTCGGCAGCTGCTCGACAAACGCCTTCTCGACGACGACCATCGTGGGAGGAGAAGGACTGCGTTCCCCGCCGTCCCTCCCGCGCTATGCAGTTCCACGCACGGTACCAGCAAGGAACGCACCGTGACTCAAGACGATTTCTAGTAATCGATGCCCCAATGGGAACTAATCCCCGTCGCCGCAGTCTTCACTGCGTACCCAGGATCTATATAATCCCTCGCAGACGTGCAGCCATCCTTCCGTGCTCTCCCCTCTCCTCGAGCCCTCATCAAGCCCCACTTGTCTCTGAAAAATCAGCACTCAAAAATGTCTTTCTTTAAACTCCCGCCACCCGCGAAGAACGAGCTCGGCCGCTACCGCGTAAGTCCCCAATGGCATGTATGAATGTCAGGTCCTCACTCTGCCTCCCGACAGCTGCTCTCTCCGTCTGCCGGCGGTATGTCGCCCAGGAGCTGAACGTTGAACCTTTGCAAGCATTCACACCTGACGTAACCCTTGTTACGTGCCACAGTGCGCGTGTCTCCTATCTGCCTGGGCACGATGTCCCTGGGCCAGGCGTGGTCCGCGGGATTCGCCGGCGGTGAGCAGAGCGGCATTATCAAGCTCAAAATCACGGCGGCCGCAGGACTGATATTTTGGTTTATGCCCAGGCGCCACCCAGGACGAAGCTTTCAAGGTGAGCTTCTAAAGTAGCTCTATAACATTGACCCGACGGGGTTCGTTGACACAGTCTCACAGTTCCTTGACCTTTTCTACGACCAAGGTGGCAACTTCCTTGACACCGCGAACAACTACCAGGACCAGGAGGCAGGTCATCACCTTGAAAGCAAAGGCTCGCGTCTTACTTTCTACCGAACAGAGTGAGAAGATCCTCGGCGAGTGGATGAAGGCCCGCGGCAACCGCGATGAGCTCGTCATCGCGACCAAGTTCACGATTGCTTACAAGAACACCGACGCGAGCGCCAAGCTCAAGGTCGCTTCTTTCCGCACCGCAGGGGCGCGCAGGCTGACCCCCTTGTTTGCGACGTAGGTGAACTTCCAGGGCAACCACAAAAAGAGCCTCGCGCTCTCCGTCGAGGATAGCCTCAAGAAGCTGCAGACCTCCTACATCGACCTCCTCTATCTGCACATGTGCGTCCCACGTCGCCCCTGCCTCGACTCCGCTCACCGGGAAGCAGGTGGGACTACTCCACGTCCGTCCCCGAGATCATGCAGTCCCTCGACGCGCTCGTCAAGCAGGGCAAGGTGCTCTACCTCGGCATCTCCGACACCCCGGGTACGCCGCGTCGTCCCCGCCCGCCCGCCTCCCGCTCACTCCCCCCTCCCCGTGCAGCATGGCTCGTCGTGAAGTGCAACGAGTACGCGCGCCAGCACGGCCTCGCCCAGTTCGTCGTCTGTGCGTGTCCTCCTCCTCCCCTCCCCCTCTCTCCATCCACTGACCCGCGCGCCCGCGCACGCACGCGCAGACCAGGGCCAGTGGAACCTCGCGACGCGCGACATGGAGCGCGAGATCATCCCGATGTGCCGCGCCGAGGGCATGGCCCTCGCGCCCTGGGGCGTCGTCGGCGGCGGCCGCTTCCTCACCGAGGCGCAGCTCGCCGCGCGCGGCGGCGCGATCCGCATGGGCTTCCCGCAGACGGAGAAGGAGAAGGCGATCTCCGCCGCGCTCGACAAGGTCGCGCGCGAGCTCGGGGGCGGCGCGAGCCTCGCGGGGGTCGCGATGGCCTGGGCGCTGTCCAAGGTGCCGTACGTGTTCCCGATCACCGGCGGGCGCAAGCCGGAGCAGCTCCAGGAGCTCATCGAGGTGCGTGGTGCGCTCGCTTCGCGAGGATGGGATGGGGACTGACGGAGAGGACGCGCGGGACAGGCGCTGAGCATCACGCTCAGCCCGGCGCAGATCGAGGAGCTCGAGAAGGCGGTGCCGTTCGAGTACGGCTTCCCGTACGACTTCTTCGGCCGCGACCCCGCGCTCACCGACGGCACCGGCGGCATGTTCGTCCAGATGGCCGGCCACACTAAGTTCGTGCTGGCGGAGAAGCCGGTCGCGCTGGGCCCGGTCAAGTCGGAGCTGCAGAAGACGCAGTAAGGTTGCCCGTCGGATGTCGAAGTTACTCTGTAGGATAGGACGTGATGCGCGATAGTGCGTCTTTGCTGTGCAATGTATTTGGGATTTGGGCTTCTGATTCAGGCCTGCTAAGTTGGTCTATGGTACAGTGACTATCTCCGAGTTCAGGTATTTACTCAGCATGGCTCCCTATCCCATAGATATAGCCCATAATCGTCATGGAGGTGAAATAAAAATACAGTAAAAGTACATGTACACCAGTGTGTATGTGAACAGCGCGTAGCGCCTCACTCCAGCTCAAGGTCGAGCCCGCCCTGGGCGCTCAGAGGAGTTGGCCAAGTGCCGCATACTTATAGCGAAGGGGTCCTCCAAGGTTCCCTCGAACCATCCTGCACGCTACAGCTGTGTCTCCGTGTTGCAGAGAGCGATGAGGTCCTCCAAGGTTCCTTCGAACAATTCCGCGCGCTGCAGATCCGCCTCCTGGAAATCGTTGGGCGTGGACGGCCCAGCGCTGCTCGGCGACGACATCCCGCTGCCAGTAGACCACTCCGCGTCCGGAACGCTCATCGGCGAGAGCTCGTAGATCGAGGTACCGAGGTCGAGAGGCGAGAGAGAGGGCGTCCGAGCGGTCGGGGTGGCCCCGGAGGCAGTCGAAGGGGTTGGCCGAGTGTTGCAGACGGCGAAGAGGTCCTCCAACGTTCCTTCGAACAACTCTGCGCGCTGAAGGTCCGGCTCCGTGTTGCAGATAGCGAAGAGGTCCTCCAAAGTTCCTTCGAACAACTCCGCGCGCTGCAAATGCACCTCCAGGGAATCCCCAGGCGTGGACGGCCCTGCGCTGCTCGGCGACGACAGCCCGCTGGCGGACCACTCCGCGTCCGGAACACCCATCGGCGAGAGCTCGTAGATCGGGGCACCGAGGTCGAGAAGCGAGAGCACGGGCTTCACAGCGGCCGGGGCGGCCCCGGAGGTGGTCGTGGTCGTGGGCGTGGTCGTGGTCGAAGAAGAAGAAGAAGAAGAAGAGGTGGACGACGACTCCCCCTCCGTGTTCTCGACGCGAGAAGACGCGGTCACGTGTGCCTTGGGTCCAACCGTCCTCCTCTTCAGGACGATAGCGCGCGCCGACGCGGCCGCGACTTGCTGGGCGATGCGCGAAGGCTTGATCGTGCGGGTAGACTTGCGAGTCGCTACGGCGCGCTCGAAGGCTCCACCCTCTGTGAGCTTGCGGCGCTTTTGAAGCTGAGGGGTCATGGTGACGGCGCCCGGGCTTGGAGAGCGCTTCAGGATGGATGCAAAGGGCGGCGCGGGGGCAACGGTGGGGACGGAGGGAATGTTCGTCTGCAACACCATGCCCGCAGGAGCCGAGCAACGACCGGTGTGCATTACAAGTACAGCGTGGACCAGGGATTCGACGGTGGGGTGAGCGGGAATCATGGGCGGGCGGAGGTTCGGATATACGCCTGGAGGGAAGGTGGTCAGTCTCTAATAGTACTGCCGTTGGGTTGCCACAAGGAGTGACTGGTTGGATCCTCCCCACAACCCCACAATCGCGGTAAGATGAGGGTGTGAATGCAGAAAGTACTCACCGAGAACTCGAATACATCTGCGAGCGGTTTTCTCAATCACCACCTCGTTCCAGAACCCCCAGTGAGCGGGATGGCCCGCTAAGGCGAATACGTAGAGAGCGGCAATAACGAAGACCCATTCGTCGCGGTGAATGGTGGCCCGGTTGAAGCCGAAGTGAATTTCGACCCGGTCGAGGGAAACGTCGACGTGCCCGCCATAAGCCTTGATCCAGGGAGTGACCACGGATGGGATAGAAGACGGGGGACGATGGAGGTATTCTTTGTCAGTGTGGACGTCCTCATTGAAGGCGCGGGTCGCGTTTGTGTGCTGAAGTGTCAAGAGACGTTGGAAGTATTCGGTCGTCTTGTGCTTGTCCTCCTCACTGATGCCATGGCGAGGGATGTCGACATCCACATGGGCAATCAGAGTGGGAAAGATTCCGTACGGGGATGTGGCCATGGCCAGGTGCGTGGCGTATATAGGCGGAAGTTCACTAAGAGGGTTGGGTGTGGTCGGGTGGAGGGATGGAGGGGGGAGCAAGGCGGTGGCTGCTGGTTGCGCTTGGTTCAAGTGGTGGGCCGTAAGATAAGATTAGATTGACTCATATATCACGCGAAACTACCCCCTTCGCCTCGGCGTATTTTCGGGTTTACTTCTGGAGAACACAGGCGCAACTAGCCAAATGCATGTCAATAGATCACGTACACCGAAAAAGTTTTCTTGTACATCTCTGGCGAAGTTCTCGTACTGGTTGTATCATGATGAACCACTGCCTGAGGTCGTCGCATCAGGTTCAGACTCCAGAGCACATTGGCAGGAGACCGACAAACTCACACAACCTCAACTAACCCGCGATTCCCCAGGCAATTGGCCCGACAAAGACCGGCGTCGCCCTCGAACGCGGACACTGCCACGCCGTACCCTTCTGTGGCTTGCATCAATGCCCACGCGGGTGTGCGCGCCCGTCGCGCCGTTGACTTGCGCGGCGAAGGCAGTCGGCTGCGCGGGGGTCATGAAGGGACCATCGCGACGTCCGAGGCTGCGTTCGGATCGGTCTGGGGGCCTTGGGCGCACGCTTCTGGGCGCGCGTCTTCGCTTTCACTGTGAGGCGCGCGTCAGCCAAGGGAATGAGGGGATGAGAGGGGCGATGGACAACTTACTGACGGACGCGCCTACTGTGGGGACGAGCTTCGTGTACTCCGCGTCACTGCACAAGACTTGCACGGAGCCGTCGAGCGCGGAACGCGACGGCAGCCCGCCCGTTTGCGGCTGCCCGCCATCCCTGACCCACATGTCTTTGCCGGCTGGAGATCCCGCTGGCATAGTGTAGTAGTTCAACGTGCGGGTCGTCTCGGACATGAAGTCGAGCTGCAGCGGGTGGGTGGTGGGCGGGTGTAGCGCACGGAAAGAACTCATATGACGTACTTCGATGGACGTGCTCGAGGCGTGCCGTATCATCCGAAGTCATTCCTGAGGGAGAACGTGCCCCTATCGTCGGTGACTCCAGCAGCTGGGTGCATGATGCCATGGCGGTCGAGGTTCTCATATGCTTCCCCGAGGGTCCCTTATGCCTGTAATCCCTTCCCTCCATCGTCTTTCCTTGCTCTGGTGGCGGATGCATTGTCGATTTGCAGTGGCTCGGATGCCAATAAGACCGGCATTCGGGTGAACGCCAGACACGCACTGAGGGACCGACCACTGAGTGTGGTGGGGTAAGAGAAGAAGGAGAATGCGTACCTAGTGGGTCTACATAGTCTGTCTTGACAGGCTGAGGCATCTCGTCAGTGACAAAGCGGATGGAAAGACACGGGCCGTCCGGCGTTGGAGTCGGCGATTTGGCGCATGCAGAAATTCATACACGTTCGTCGTCCGCAATATGAACGACATGAATATGGCGGGAGAGTCAGTGGGGAGAGTTTCTGCATGCAGCTGCAACGTAGAGCAATTTACGGCTGTTCTCAAAATCGTTGCCCGGCCAACTCCGACCGCGAGCGCGCGCGCACCAGAAATCCGAAAATCCGCTGTGCTCCTTCCTGCCTCTAAGCTACCATCCACACGACGTCGCGGTCTTTCAGAAAGCCTTTAAACAGGCCAAGAAGTCCTGATTGTGAATGGCTCTATTGGTGTTGGCCCTCCTCGGCCGGGATCTGGGGCCTCAGTTTGAGACGCGCGCGCGAGGCGGCGGCGCTCTGTCCTGTACTTCCTTGCCCTCCCTCTTCTTCCCTCGTCCCCATTCATGCTGCACTCCTTAGAGACCACCGGAATCCTCTCCCTTGTCCGGTTGGGCGCATTTCAGGTAAATTGAGTGTCCCGGGCTGTTTCTGCATGTAAATTTGGCGCGATCGAGGAAGTTCTGCCATGGACCTGCGTACTGCCATCACGCGTTCGAAAGGGCCTGGCTTCAAGGATTTTTCGAAGACGGAATGGCCGTTGTCGTTTCGATGCTCGGTCTGATATCACTCAAGTACCTCGCCATTGGGTGGTCGATAATGACATGTTCAGAAGCTGTATCCGTGTTCCACTGCAATATACCCCTTTGCCCCCGCCAACTCTAGCCCGAGATCCTTTCGGGTGAGTACATTATCCCTATCCTCTCGAGAGCACGACTCATACCCAAGCTCAGGCGAACCTGTCACCCTCGGCGGCGGGTCGCGGCGGGCGGAACGTGCCCGCGACGGAGAGCATAGTGGAGGTTCGGAAGACCACGCCAGCGGGCGGACGACGCGGCGGGCGACGCGGCGGCGGTGAGGGCGATGCGCTCTTGAAGGTCCTGGCTCGTATGCGTACCAGGGCGGGCTTTACAAAGGGCTGTCGTTCGAGGTCGTGAATGGTGGGCGGCTTGGGCTCTTCCGTGCGGACGCTGATCTCGAGGCTCTCAATCTGCAGTTTGATCCACGGCTGTTCCGGGGTTGGCCACAGCGTGTGTCCCCGATTGTGATCCTGTCCTCGTGCGCACCCCTTGGTCCGGATCGTCGAAATCGAGTGGTATCATACACAGCCCCTATAAAGAACCTTCAAACAGGGTAACGTACCAAGTGCAGATCAGGAGCCCTCCTTGCGCGTCTGCCCTCGCTCGACCAAGTCCTCGTTCTTCATCACCCGCCCAGCGAGCATCTCAAAGTTACCTTTCCCGACGTCAGTTCGCAGGAGAAACCCATCATTAAAGGAGAGACAGGACGCACCCCTGACTTTGTCACCCAAGCTCGCACGACGACCATGGTGCATCGGGGCGAACTCGGTGTCCCCGACGTGCCTCGACGCCGTGCGCCCGAGCGGCACCCTGCCCCCCGACCGCGCTGTTCAGCACAATAGAATTCAGCACGGGTCCACGTACGCGCTCGCCGGAAGGTCGCGCGTACATTCGTGCTCGACCGCCGCCGTCGAGGCGTTCGTGCTCGCCGTGGCAGGCTCGGGCTGCGGCGGCCAGTTCGCGCCCGTCGGCGCGACGTTCGAGTCCGCGTCCCTGCCAGTGTGGAACTGCGCAGGCTTATACTCGGCGTCGATCATCGTTGTGGGCGGAGGTGGGCGTGAGGGTGTGTTCAGAGAAGGAAGAGGCCGTGGGGTCTGAAGCCGCTTGCAGTTCGCACCTACTACGCCCCCACCCTTATATCCCCTCGCGCCCTCGCCGCCGCCGTCCAGGCCTGCAGGACCCCGCCCGCGCGCGACACCGACGCGGAGCACATGGGGCCGATGTCCGCCCCCTGACTGACCCCCGCCGATCGCGCGAGAACCCGGCTACGGGCGGGTCTTGGTGTATGCTTAGGCGATCGACGTTTCGTGTGCAAAAAGGAAGAGGGAGGGGCGTAGTGGCGGCTGGTATGACGGGCTGATTGGCGCAAAGGCTCCACAACTTCGGTCTTGATGGCGGCTTTGGGGACTTTGTTTCCTGTGTTGCCAGTCTTCTCGCGTCCCGCTCGACTCGCATGACCCCAGTGCACCAGCCCAGGACGCGCGGTGTGTATAGAGCGGGCATAAAGGAGGCGAGCAGACTCGCGTGATCGCGCCACGCCACGGCGGTATTCCACGCACCCTATGTGGGCGGAGGGGGACTGTATAGTTGTAAATGGCGCGCGAGCCGCATCCAGATCGCAACGAGATCGAATTATGAAAGTACTACGATTACTGCGAGGTATGAGTATAAGTAGCAGACCACGATCCAGGCGGAAGCGGCGAGATTAGATTAACGTATCGTACTGGATCCTGATAACGAAACGGGTCTTGCGATTATGTACCTATTGCGATTAGTTGACGACACCGAGAAACTGAAGCTACGAACTGAAACCACACCAAGACATTCACACCCTCCTCCACAGGTCCCTGTCGTACGAGCACCGCTCAACCCGCACCCCCCCGTCCGCATCACTGCGCGTGAACGCGACGTACGGCGCGGCCCTGTCGGTGAACGGAAACTCGATGTCCTCGAGGCGCGCGCGTTCCACGCGGGCTAGCGTCGGCCACGCGGCGAAGAGCGCGTCCGTGAACGCCGGAAGCGCGTCGCAGAAGCGGCCGCCCTGCGCGGACTTTGCGAGTCGCGCGTGGAGCGCCGACGGGCGCCAGACGAAGGTGCGGATCGCGGGGCACGACATGCGCCAGACGTGGGCGGCGAAGTCGACGAACCGGTGCTGGACGTTGTCCGTCTGGGGGAAGATGCGGTGTCAGCGAGGGTCATAGGCCTGTGATGGGGAGGAGATGAGATGTCCGGAACAAGCGCAGCCACCTCGAGACACAGGAAACGATGGGGTGAGCCGACGTACCGGAGTGTAGGTATATGCGCTCTCGCACACCTCCAAGTGCTTGAGCTTGGGAAGGATGGTGTCTCCGAGCACCGCCGTAGGCCATAGGTGCACTTCTGATCTGAAACGCACGGTCCATCGCTGAAACGGGCTGAGCTCACTTGTAAGCGGAGCGAGGACAATCTTGAACGACACCAGTTGGTCGTTGAGAAGACGAAGTACGTCGTACGCTATCGAGCGGCACGGTGCGAGGTCGAGGGACAGGTGGGTGATGTTGTACTGGTGGAAACTGGCGCAAAGGGTTTGTGCGTGGTACTCAACCCCACGCATGTTGAGGGTGAGCGCGTGCAGGGATTGTAAGGAGTGGAGCGGGGTGCTGATCTCTTGCCCGTATATGGTCTGGTTCTCCTCTCTATGCAAGAGCTCAAGGGCGGTATGTGTCGTACGGAGAGCATGCAATTGGAGGCTCGTGCCGTAGAAAACGCATGGGAAGTCGTCGAAAGCGGTGAAGTCTAGCTCTATGAGGTTCGTGGTGTGTCGAAAAAGCTGGCCCAGAGAACCGGCGAGGTCTTTGGGAGAAGAAGGCTGGGCGAGCCGAATATGTGCGCACCTAGGGAGCGGCGTACAAAGGCGGAACCTGCTATCCTGCGGCTGACGGCTGGGCGGCTCAAGGTCCGGGATGTCTATGCAAAGGGATCTGATGATACCTGCGCGGTGTGGTCGTTGCGTGATGGAGCGGAGGAACGTTTGAATCTGGGGGACTGCGGGGCCAAGAACGACGCGCGAGTAAAGAACGGCCTCAGCTTCGGAATGGAGAGCCCTGCAGAGCGCCGCGGCCGATGCGAGCCCTCTGGTTGCCGCCGGGTCCGTCTCGCTGTCCTCCAACAGGATATCAAAGATGATGCGCCACAGCTCAAGAGGCAGATGTATGCTCTGAAAAGGAGGTAAGCCGGATAACAACTGCCAGCACAACAACCGCGTACCCTCTTGACCTCCCTCCTCCGCCAGGATACGATGACCCGGGCACGGCTCAACACCTGATGCTTCAATCTTGGCCATAGAGAGGGCATATCTCAGGGATGACGCATAGGCAATCTGGCAGAGCAAGCCGACGGGGGACGGGCGGCGGAGGGAGGACGTAGGAGAAGCATGATGCATGAGGATTCCGCGGTGCCGGCCACATCGCAAGCACTCTCGCGGTCACATGACCCAGACGAGATACTACATCAACGACTACGTCACACGAATCCCTGTTGGCTTAGGCTATTGACGACGACTACTTCAGAAGTTCCTTGAACTCATCTGGCACCGTGTACTCGATGTGAATGTCCACCACGTCCTCCGTAATCAGCTCTTTCCATCCAACCGGCATCAACCGGACCCGCTTCGACTGCACACTCTCCTCTGCGCCATCCGCAGCGAAAGAGGCCATAAGTCGTGCGTATTCGGTAAAGTGTTTCAGGAACGCAGCACACTTCGCCTTCCATGCGTTGTACCCCTTGCGTGCCGCTGTGAAGGCCCGACCGCGCGGGGGTGCTCTCTCCTCGAGGTGCAGCCCGACGAGATAGCAAACGAAAATGTATCGCATGAGGTCCTGAGCGACGGCCAGGTCAACGGTGGTTTCGATCATGGGCCGTACACTGACACGGGATGAGGTTCGCGTCAAGTCTACTCACTTCGTACACCATGTCTCCGAGTCCAGTGCGCCCCCACGCAAGCGGTCCTTGATAGCCTTTGTAATGGACCAGAACTCGAGAGAGCAGACGCGGCTTTAACGCGCTAGGCGTTTGGAGGGAAGTTGCTGCCGTTGTTGTCACTGAACCAGGACCCGCCGAGGGAGGAGGTGCCGGATATGCGGGAAGTTTTTCGACGAGCTCGGTGATTGTGAGGTCCGAGCCTCTATCATGCCCCCCGTTCTCTGGTACCCAGTCGCATAGCCTTGTAAGCTGTCATTTTCGGCAGATGCCTCATCGATGTCCTTACCTATAGAAACCCCTGCAACTTGCAAGCCTGGAGTTGTGGTTGGCTCGGGAGCACGCGAACCGAACGAGTCCATAATGTGGATCTGAGTCGAGGGATAGGGACAAGGGGGCTGATTGGCAACACGACTGAAGGTGGTATATATGTGAGCAGCAGGGTTCCAGGCCAGATTTCCATGACTTCATGACCTGCTCATGGAGAATTCTGACCCCACCGAGGCTGTCAACTGTCGCGCGCGGCGCGCATGACATGCCCCTGAGTTGCATAGGTGCGACGCGCACCAGCGTCGAATTTGGCATCGTCGGGACCCCCGCGCGCCACGTGCAGCGGTGAACAAAGGGCACTACAGCGCCTCATCATCGCCGTGCACAACCGCGAGTTGGACGTAGAGACCTATCTTCCATATTGATTTGAACCAGGTAGTCAAAGTTTAAGTGTTACAAGAACAATTTGAGCAAAGTCATGTAGGATGACTTTATCCCAAACCGCATCTATCGGAGTCACCTTGAAGAGCAGATCTACAAGAAAGCCTTCGCTTGCAAGTTCCATATCTTCGCATACTCACCCTCTCGCTTGAGCAGTTCTTCGTGCGAGCCGGCCTCCACGACCACGGAGTCGTTCATATACCTATCAGCTCAGTAAGACATAGTCACGAGCCCACGGCAGCAGCATGAAAAACGTACAAAATGAGGTCCGCATAGCGCGTGAGATTCCCAAAGCGGTGCGATGAGAAGACCATGGTCTTGTTCCCGCGCAGCTCGCGGAGCCGCTCGAAGAGGTCTGACAGTGCCATGAGGGCGCGAAGGCGTGACGGCAGAACGGCGGGAACGCACCGTGTTCAGCAACAGGATCGAGCGCCGCGCTAGGCTCGTCAAACAACAATAGCCCAACCTTGCTGTCCTCGGACACGATTGAACGCATGAACGTCCTCGCGCTGCGCATGATGACGTCAGTACCCGCCACATACACTGAAGCGATCCAGCACTCACACCGCGAGTCTCTGCATCTGCCCCCCGCTCAGGTGTGACGTCCCGCCGCCCTTCATGCCGCCCGCATCGCGGACGGCGGTGTAGCTGATCTCGCGCCCGAAGAGCGTCTTTGTGCCCTCGGGCAGATCAGAGTATTGGTCCCGAACAGGCCGGTCGAGGTACGTGTCGAAGCCCTCGGGGAGCGCCTTGATAAACTCCTCCGCACCGCCGAGGCGGGCCGCGAGCCGAATGTGCGCCTCGTTCTGCGCTGCGTCGGGGTCGCCGATCCCGATGTTGTCTCTGATCTACATGGGTGTCAGCCAAGCGAAGACGGAGGGGACAGGCGGCTACATACAGACAACGGGAAGTGGGTGTAGTCCTGGAAGAGGACTGAGACCGCTTGGCGGAGGTCGAAGAGCTTGAGCGTGCGGATGTCGTGCCCGCCGAAGAGTATCTGGCCCTGTTCCGGCTCGTAGAGGCGAGTGACGAGCTTCAAGATGGTGCTCTTGCCGGAGCCGTTAACGCCAACGATCACCTGTTACCGATTGTGAGTTTGTATATCGGATCACGCGTGCTGTGTGACGCATACACAAAGTTGTCCTGGTAGGAGCTTGAAGGAGATGTTTCGCAGTGCGTATTTGTCCGCGTCGGGGTATTTGAACGACACGTTCCTAAGAAGCAGGATCAGCTTGACGTAGCGCGGGTGATACATCGCGACGGCCTACTTGAACTCGAGAGCAATCCCATACCGTATACTCAATGAGTCCTCAGGGAACGGAATAGTACCATCTGCTACCTTGTTGATAATGTTATCTGCCTCGTACATCTTGCGCACGGAGGAGAACTGTTCGCCCATCGACTTCGAATTTATGAGCACTTCGTATAACCGGTGACCGAACGAACTCGTGGCGTTGTTGATCAAATGCAGGCTCGCAAGAGAGACTGGCATGCTGGCGGGATACTGCATGACCCTGAGCGTAAACACAATCTGAAAGATTCAACATCAGTCGCAGGCATGGTCATAATCGAAAGATTTCACCTGAGGGGCCTGCGTCAGAAACACGCGCACAAAATGCCAGCTAGGTGATGTATTGTGCCACATCGCGCGTTCCCGCCTCCAGGTTGAAAGGTCGCCTTGGTCATCACCAACACGATCGGACGCTTTGACGTGTTCTGTACTCCGATGAAGTGAGCCGACAGAACACAGTTGTAGAATTCTTGGCTGAGTCTGACCGTTGGACGCATACTCTCCCAAGTTGCCTGTGACAATTTCCTTTCGATATGAGATGTCATTTATCACGCGCCTCCAGCCTTCCATTTTGACGTAGTCTTCATTGGACGTGGTCGCCGCCCAGACTGAAGGTGAGCTGAGTCAGCGTAGCAACAAAGTGCATTTGAGTGAGCACATACCTCGGCCAGGGAAGTATGCGGTCACCCCTGGCAACCATCCGATCAACTCCAACGAGAGGGAGAGGGCGGCGAGCAGTATCCCGTCCCGATGATGGCGCAGGAGCTGCAGCAGGACAATGACTTGCGCAACCAGTTGAAAGACAGATATGGCAACCCCCACGCCCATCGCAAGGGTGCTGTGTGCGACTGAATGACCAAACACGGTAGAAGACGCGTCGTCCAGCTGTCGCTGAATTCTTGTAGTTTCAATGGTGGGTAGGTCCAGTCGGGCGCGGGCGCGAAAAAGGCGGACGTCGTAGTAGCGACGAATGCGAGTCGTCAAAGGCCACCGGATGCGACCCTCTAAGGCTGAGCAGAGGAGGTTCCCGACGCCGCAGGCGATGCGCCCCACGCAAATATGAAGCAGGTCGTCTGTGTTGACTGTGCGGGTATCGATGGCTTGTTGCATCTACGACGCGTGAGTAGACTGAACCCCAAGCATATGTGCGCCACTTACAACTTGCAATAGGCGTCCTTCGTACCTACGCAGTATGAGAAACGATGGCGGAGCATGATCCAGTGTAAGTGACGCACCATGTTCCCAGAGTAGCCATCATCGCCCTTGCGAACTGGCACGCAACATGCACAGCGAACAAGAACGCGCACGAGGGGATACCGAGCACGTCCTTCACCATCCTCCACACGTACGGCATACATTCGATGAGGTCCATGTACTGCTCGAATCTGGACGTGCCTGGAACCTTGGCCAGCTTCGGCTCCTGCTCCTCGTACAAGTCCCATACTCCCAGACGAGTGTGCTTGACGCGGCTGGTGTCATAGGGATTGAAGGTGCCCTTCTTGTCTGAGAACTGTTTGCCGCGTGAGAACATGGGGGAGTGACAGAGAGACCGTGGGCCGGATGTCCTTTTATGAGACTAATGCGGGCGGGACCGACAGTGTCCAGAGAAAATGAGTCGGCCGTAGGGTCTTAATTTGTGAGTTCATCATCTTCCTCTTGATCTCGATGATGCGTCCCACGCCGCGTACTTGATAGTTCTTCTCCACTTTCATCCAGGCGTCGTGGCTCGTATCCGCGTCCGATACAAGCGCCGCGGCCGCCGTCCCGAGCTTGAGTTGCATACCGACAAGCGCCGCGAGGTCTTTATCTTCCCAGGCTTCGAAGTCGGCTCGGTTGCTCCTGTCGTCGGCTAGCTTCGGGCGCGTCTCGTGACCGAGGACGATGTCCGAGATCTTCGTGAGTTTGAGAAGCCCTGAGAATTGCCGACGCCACCGGGGATAGTCGCTCGATCCCGAGAGTGGCTCAATCTTCGCCCGGAGCAACGAGTTGATCTTGTCGGTGTTGGAAGTCATAGTGAGTGGAGATGTCAAGCTAAGGTGTGTACAAGAGGCTGAGTGGATACTGCTTTAGAACGAAGCAGGGCTCATAACCTGTAGAAGTTCGCGCAGGTTCGGGGAAGGGGAAAACGAAGCTTAATTAGCGCTGTATGCGCGCGTGCTGTAAATAGTACATGACGAGAACAAAGGGCTAAGTGTATCGTAAGGCGTGTGAGGCGAGACCAAGAGATAAGGGACTACAAAGATAACATGCGTATGCGTAGCGTAATCTAATCTAATCGTAACTGGCGCTTCCGCGCGTATCTTCAACAGTAACATTTCGTACTGGACAAGCGGTTTGATTTGAACCTGTGGTCGCCTAAATAGGACTCGGTCACCAACAGTCACCTGCGCCAGTGCACCAATATAGCAAACTGTTGAGTGATTCTTTCCCACAAGCTTCTCATGTGCTCAGAGCTCGATCTTTGTACATTAAAATGGAATAATCGGCTCTTCGGAGCACACACCCCCTGTCAAGCCTCGGCTGAGCACGTCAAGACCCAAAAGCACATCTGGATAATTTTTGTCCAGCCAGGAAGCATGATGAACCAACATCACTGGCGGTTTCGGTCTACTTTACTCACGCTGCCATGCTCAAACCATGTCGGCCTGCGCAAATATAGCCAACTCTCCTGCAGAACATCTTGGGCGATATTGGCGCTGCGGATGCTCTCGCATCGCCGTGGTATCGATGTATGCTACCTTGCGCTTACGACGTGACTCATATCAACATCAATGGTCAGTACTGAGTCGTCCTCAATGACGCCCACTTCACGCGGGCAGCTGCGTAGAGAGCGTCCTTTTCTTTCCCAGTCCCATGTCAGGGTCAAGTCGGAACATGCAGGTAGCCGAACGATACTTTTAGTTCCGCGCCACGTACTGATCATGCATTCACGGCACTGTACGGCGTCGTTCCTGGTCACAGGTTCTCATGCTTGCTAGTGATTTAATTTCGACGTCGTCGGTGTCTGGAGATGATGCGAACCCACGACCCGCGCCCATAAAGTATTGCCACACAGTGTCTCCAACAACAGCGATCCCGCGAAACCTCGCAAAGCTGTGGCTGTTCACAGACCGGGGTCATGGGAACGTGGCATCGCATCAGGTGACTGGGCGTTTTCGCAAGCCGTATGCCGAATTGGGACGTGAGTGGATTGTGTTGAGCCGCAGCTCCTCTTGCCGTGACTTATCACCTCCCTTAGCATGACCCAGGAATCTTCGCAGGTCCCCTCGGCGGCACATATACCGGGTACCGCTGAACAACGGAAGTGGGCGCCCACTTAGCCATTATCCCCGGCCACGTCTGGATTTCCTTGTGGTCCACCAATCATTGCTGCCGCGGGAACACAAGACTTGTGGAGCTGTGGAGGTCAAAGTTGGAGCCATCGAAGTCCGGGTCTTGATCCGCCGAACCGGGCGGAACGCTCCTGCCGACCGCATAGAGTCGCACAGCGTCTGCGCCTCGCCCCGAGGAGATGCGGTCTTTAATGAAGATTGTACAAGAGGGGACCATCGGCACAAAGTTCCATGGTCGCAGACGCACCTCATTGGACAAACTCTCCTCGCACACACACCGACTACTGGGATCACGAACCGCCCAGTGGCCTCGGCTACACGTCCAGTGCCTCCTCTCTTCCATACCTGCAGCTGAACTCTTCGCTGTGCACCACTGAACACATAAATATTCGAGGGCAGCGAGCTTGACCCCCATCCTCACCCTCGACCCTATTTGCCTCCGACATGTCTGGCTTTTACACCTGGCGGCTCAACGACCCAAACGACGTCCAGCAGAGCGACACCTCCACCCTTGGATCTCGCGGCCCGCGGAATGTGGCGGGATTAGGTCCCCAAACTGTATGTACCACCCACCCACCCGCCTATGTGACTCGGCATGCATTGACATACTCGATTTTCAGCCCCAGCCCTTCAACATTCAGCCCGGCTGGTCTGCGTCCTCCCCGTCGTTCGGACCCAACTTCGAGGTCTCGGGCACGCTCCCCGACATCACCATCGTCTCCGGCGACCGCATCTGCTATTACGCACACTCCCGCTTCCTCCTCCACTCCTCCACGAACGCCTTCGGCGGCCTCCTCCGCGGCACCCCGCCCCCGAGCTCGCTCGAGGTGGCCGAGCCAGGCGCGGCGCTCCAGATCGCGCTGCACGCCATCTACCGCATGCCCTGCGCGCACCTCGCGCCCTCGCTCGAGAGCACCGAGGGCGCGATCGACGCGCTGCTCGCCTGGGGCGTCGACGCGCGCGCGCTCGCGACCCCACACTCGCCCCTCTTCTCGCTCGTGCTCGCCGCCGCGCCGCGCGCGCCGATCGAGGCCTACGCGCTCGCCGCGCACTTCCGCATGGACGCGCTCGCCGTCGCCGTCTCCGCGCACCTGCTCGGGTTCGACACCACCGCGCTCTCGGACGCGCTCGCGCTCCAGATGGGCCCCGGGTACCTGCGGCGGCTCGTCGAGTGGCACCAGATGCGGCTCGCGCGGCTCAAGGAGATCTGTTTGAAGCCCCCGGCGGCGCACGCGCCGACGCCGGGCTGTGGGCGGGACGACAAGGGGGCGTTGATGAAGGCCTGGGCCTATGCGTCGGCCGGGATAGTTTGGGAGGCGAGGCCAGGTGCGTCCGTTTGTTCGTGATGGTTTACCGGGTTGAACGCGGTGATTAATCTATCTGGGCCGCACAGGGACGTCGGCGTACCAGCTGAGGACGTCGTTTGAGAAGGCGGCCGCGGGAGTCGTGTGCAGCGAGTGCTTGACGATGTTGCATGCGAGAATCGAAGAAGTGGTGCAGGAGTGGTCGTTGGTTCCGGTGGGTAACTCCACACGTGTATGTCTCTTACGCTTCTGACGATCTCTCTTTCTGCAGAGAACTATATGACGAATCTCCTTGAGGATTCGATCCGTAGACCATGATTGGCGACCTTACAATTAATGCCCTAGAATAGAGACTCGCGATGATTCCTTCCCCTCACATGTATTCATTGCTGTTCTTGAGTCTTTTGAGTCACACACAGAAGTACTAGTCAGTTCCTGAGCATGGGCGTAATCAGAGCACCCACAGTATGTGCGCGCGGTGACGGAGATGGTTAGATGCATGTCGGATACACAGCATCAATGAGATGTTAATCGCAACCGGCAAGCGTGCACAGCGGTGATGTCATTCGCGAGTAAGGCTGCCTGTTATGGGCAGCGGAGTATAGACGCCGATCAACACCGCCCACGCTCGCCCACGGTGCACCTCGGGTGCGCCCGGCGTGTCCTGCTCTGCACCATCTCGACCAATATACCTGGCCACTTTTCGATCGACACTGCTCTCGAGCGCGATGATCCCGATATCACTGCATGATCACTGATTTCTGGAGGGTCCTGGGCCTGGCTGGCAGGTAAGCGATGTCCGATGTCCATCTCCTCTAAGGCACAGCTCAGACTACCTCCTTCTCAGTCGCTCCAATTCGTGCGGGCCACTGCCAGATAGCCCTTTGTTCCTGGCCTGCGCAAGGACGTTGAGGGTACGAAGCTCATGCGCCTCCACCTTCTGCGCTCCACAACCAGAATACCCCATCGCCGTGTCGCTGGCATATCACGGGGCTGCGGAGGCGCATAGAGCCGAAGCTTTCGCTAGGACATGTGCCCGCCTCGTGTGGCCACCGGAGCATACGCCCAAGTCCTCTCCGCTAAGGACGCCCTGATTCTTCCGCGGCTCCGCACCGAAATTCAAGTTCATGTGATCACAGAAAAACATATCCTCAAAAGCCATAAAGACCACTAGCTGGGTGCCTCATGAGTTTCAACCAGACCATTCTGACTCAACGCGTACATGGGCGAGCGACAGGCTTTCGCGGCGGGCGGTTTCTCTCCAACGGTACGCTTGTCATTTCGATCAACGCTTCTGTCCTTTTTTCATGACAAACATACAGGCACCACCAGATGAAGACATTCCGTTCGGCTTTGGTTCATTGTCGCAAGTGTTCGGGCCCACTTTCGAGTTCGCCGGGCTGTTGCCCGATGCTGTGCTCGTCGTCGAGGATCAGGCCAGTTTCTACGTTCACAGCGACCGACTCTCCCAAGTCTCTCTCAACGCCTTCGGAGGCCTTTTAGACGGCACTACCGGCATCGCCGGTCCTACTTTCGTCGTTCCCGAGTCGCCCGACACACTCAACATCACGCTCCGGGTCGTTTACGAACTATCCTGCGCCCACCTGTCCCCCTCGCTAGACGACATCGAATCCGTCGTGAACGCCCTCATCAAGTACGGAATCCCTCTCGACTCGGTCACCGGATCCCCCGACCTGCCCCTCCACGCCCTCATCCTTCGCCACGCCCCAGAACGCCCGATCGAAGCGTATGCCTTGGCCGGGCATCACGGCCTCGAGAGCGTCGCGGTCGCGGTCTCCGCGCACCTGCTCGCGTACGACACCGCGGCGCTCACGAACGAGCTCGCGCTCAAGATGGGCGCGGTCTACTGCCGCCGCCTGTTCATGCTGCACCAAGACCGGCTGCTCGCGCTCCGCCGGATTGTGCTGCGTCCGCCGGGCACGCACCGCCCGACGCTCGTGTGCGGCACGGGCGCGGACGGGATGGGGCGGCTGATGCGCGCGTGGGCGCTCGTCGCCGCCGAGGTCGTGTGGGTCGCGTCCCCAGGTGAGTGTCGCGCACGACGGAGATGATCAGCGTCGAGCGGGCGCGCTGACCTCCACCCCCGCACGCTCCCCCTCCCCCGGATCCACACCGGCGCTCCGCGCATCCGACGTCCGAACCCGCACTCCGCACTCCGAACGCGGCCGGGGGCGGATCACAAGGCATGTCCGCGCAGTCGCTGCAGACGGCGTTTGCGCGCCCCGGGCGGGACATCGAGTGCATCGAGTGCCTCGCGATGCTGCGCGCGCATGTGCAGGAGGTCGCGCGGGAGTGGTCCGCGGTCAAGGTGAGCATTCCCGCGGTGTTTGACGTCCGAAGGCCTCTGTCCTAACCTGTCCACCCGTCCTCCCAGCGGACCATCTAGCGCCAGAGAAAAGGGGAGTCTCCACCTAAAAGCGCCGAGGACGAGACGTCTCGGATCTTCGCTCCGACGCGGAGGCCGGGGTGCCAGGAACGTGTGTCGATTGAACCCGACTCTTGATATACACCGTTGTGCCAGATTTGGGGAAAGGGGATGTCATGTACAGCCGTGCGTCGGGCCTCCCAAGAGCCGACCGGGACTTGTGGGCGGATATGGACGCAAGTTGGCCATATTCCTTTCGGGAGGCGGATCACGCACCGGCTGCGTACCAGTTCAACCACATCCGGTATCACGAAACCCGAGCTCCACCCTGCTCCACCACACCTGTCCCCACCCAGAACCCATGACCGTCCCGGCTGAGGCGCACCAATCGTCGCCGGATTTCGTACGTATGCGGGAGTGCCTGTGTACAAACAGGGAACGCCTGCAGAAGAAGGAAAACCACCACAACGCCCCGGTGTCCGAGATGAACGCGCCACGTTTCCGAACACATGATCATACATCATACATATACAAGCCATCGTCTTTCCCTCGATCCTCGCGTCCCAGCTCAGATCTCGCTCTCTCCGTCCTTGAACGGATGGTCGAGGATGTCGCTGTAGATCGCCCGCACCGCCGCGCGCGCCTCGTCCGAGTCGGCGTCGATCCCCTGCAGGCCCTTGAACTGCTCGACGACGCGCGCGTCGCGTGCCCGGCACGCCTCCACGCCAGAAACGACGCGCGACTCGCCCTGCGCGCGCGCACGCGCGACGAGCGCCGAGGTGCGCGGGATCCGCAGCGCCTCGAGCGCGGAGAACACGTCGTCGAGCGTCGCCGTCGACGGCGGCGCGGTGGGGTCGGGGTGGTGCTTCTGGAGGAGCCGGACGAGGTGGTAGACGTCCTCGCACGCCTGGTTCGCGCCTTGGCCGAGGTGCTGCGACGGAGAGGCGGGTCAGACGACGGGGCGAACGAGGGAGAGAGAGCGGGGAAGAGTGGCGCGCACGGGGCTGGTGGGGTGCGCGGCGTCGCCGATGAGGACAACGCGGCCCTTGTGCCAAGAAGTGAGTGCGGGCCGGTCGTAGATACCGTACTGCAGGAGCGGATCAGCGCGGCGCATGGTCAGAGTGCGCGATGGGGGGCGAACCTTGACGAGGGTGTCTGCGGTCCGGACGGCTTCGCCCACGCCGGAGGGGAGCTGGCTGAAGCGGCCTTGCTTGACAGCCTGCTTCTGTTCATCGCCCATGTGCCGCCAGGTCTCTTTGGCTTCCTCCTCCCTTTCTGTGATGCTGTTTGGAAGAGAGATGGTGAGTTCGCGATCTGAATGCGACATTGCATGTGACTCACGCCCACGACATCTGGGTCTCGTTTACCGTGTACGCGATAAAGTGCATGTTGTCCCCGTAGGTGTTGACCATCGGACGCAGGTCTCGGTCCTTGAAGTACTGCGGGATCGGCGAAATCCCCCCAGTCTGCCAGCGCGTCAGCGTCGACTGCCCGTGTCCCCAGCGACAAAGTTCCGCCGCACCTGAACGAGGCCGGTGAACGTCGCCTCCTCCTTCCCGAACAGCCCGACGCGCGTGTTGCTGTGCAGCCCGTCGCACCCGACCAAGAAGCTGCCCTCGTCCGTCGCGCCGTTCGCAAAGTGAACGACCACGGAGCCCTCCTTCTCTTCGAACCGCACGAGGTGGTGCCCGTAACGGACCGGCACGCCGCGCGCCTCGGCGCCCTTTGCGAGGGCGGAGGTCAGGACGGACCGGCGGACGCCCTCGGCGGTAAAGCCGCTGCCCGTGGCCTGGAGCTTGCTGACGTCGGCGCGCGCGAGCTCTCGCTCGTCCCCGGGGAGGATGGAGTTGCTGATCAGCTGCGCGACGCGCCCGCGCGGGAACTCGTCGAGGAGGCCCGGGATGAGCTGGAGCACGCGCAGCCCGTTCGGCTGCAGCCTGGGGAGACACCCAGTCAGCGTGAGGAAATTTAAGCGGACAGTCGGCGCACTGACGCGAGGCTGAGGCCAAGTCCGGACGGGGCATCGTTGCGCTCGTAGATGACGGGCTCGTAACCCTTCATCTTGAGGAACATACCGAGGATGGGCCAGCGACGCCGCAGCCAGCGATGATGACCTTGTTCGGTGTTCTGGTTGTAGCCATGGCTTGCAGAGGAGCTGTTGGCGACCAGGGTGGTGTGTGGGGCGATCTCTGTGGATTGTCAGACTGCGTTCGCCGCTCTTATACACTTTCCCCACTTCCAACCCACCGCTGGTCATGATGACCGCATCGGCCGGGCTTATACGTTTCACTGGTGAACTTCTCGATCGCGAAGCCCGGTCTACTGCAAACACCGCCGCCGACCGGGCTCTCGGGCGCTTCGTCGCAGCTATCTCGGGTGCTTTCGTTTGAGTATCTGCGGCCCTGGCTGCTGCTGGATACTGGTTCAGGAGCATAGATCGAATGCTATGGGGGTATGGATACATGAGCGAGATACAGCAGCGTGCGGGAAGTGTGCAGTGAGGAATGCGAGAGATTAGGAATGTGTGGAGAAGCAGGCGCGCAGCTAGTGTGATATGGATGGTCTTCGAAAGCAATGCGGGAAACCGGTCTGCGCAGAGCGACACCGCTCCATGGAGTCAGCACGGGAATAAGGGAGCAGGGAGGTCTGGTCATGAGTCCGCATCCGCGTCTGCCATCTCCTCGTCTTCGTCTTCATCGACTTCGGCGGCGGCGGCGTCGGCGAGGGGACCGTCGTCGATATGAAAAGCGCTCCACGTCGACTCCACCTCTGGCCCGTCGACGAGGTGCTCGAGGATGTCCTTCGCCAGATCTTCAGCGCATCCCAGGCGTTGAGTCCAAAAATAGGTACCGAAATGAAATCCGGAGCGAAGAGTCATCAGTATGCCAAACGGAGCCGAACGACCAGAGACGCACCGGACATCTGGTCGAGCTGCCGGCGGGTCTCCGAAGACAGAGTGACTGGCGGGTCCGCATACGAGATGCGACCGAAGGTGACGTAGAACGTATGTCGCACGCCATTGAACCGCCGGCGGTTGGGTTTGAAAAGGCGCTCGTGGACGTTGATCATTGCGGGGTCTACTCGCATGATCAGATAGTGGAAGAGTATCACTGTGCGGTGCATGGTATCGAGCGTCCTACAGGAATGATCGCCCATGAGTAAAGTGCCTTATGTTAATACGTCGTCGTAGTACACACCATGCGACGAGTTCAGGTGACTCGAAAAGCTCCTCACTTTCTTCGAACAGCGGGTCCGAGATGTCTCGGAGGTAGGACATGATCGAGTGTAGTAAGGTCTGCGATTGGAATAACATATGCAGCGCGTCTTTGTGGGCCACCGCGAGAGTGGTCACGAAGTGCAAGATGCCGTGCTGAAGCAGACGTGCCTACGCTGTGACGTAAGTTCGCGCACTTTTACAGCACATATCGGATGACACTGACCTCGGCGTCGTCACGTTTCCTGTCGACAAGGATTGCAGCCATAGCCTCAATGTGCGGAATCTTGGCCAAGTTCCTTCCGCCACTCTTCTCTGCTCCATCCTCTGGCAGTGGGAAAGACAGCAGTTGCTTGTGGAGGGAGTGATCTGAAAACAAGCTCGGCTCGGCGCTTCCGGCCCGCATACGATTTGCAATACGCACAAGAAGCTATCACGATGAGGACACGCATGGTGCGCCGAAGCAACCAAGTGGGCTGCGACGGGTTCACCAGGGTGGATAGAACCCCCTCCTTACGCAGGAATGCCGACAATCTAATTTTAAATGGTCAGGATTCGTCATGGCTGGTCAACGTGGCGCGTACCTTATGGCGAGTTCTGGTGGGATGTACCAACAAATCGCCTCTAGAAGACTTAATACCTCCTTCGCGAGATTACCCTGGCTCCCACTCAACCCGTCTTCCCCCGGTATGAGGGAGAAGCGGACGGCGTCACACAGCAGCAGCAAGATGTCAGGAGGTGCGTCACCACTGCCGGGTGCGCCAGATGGTGCGATGGCGAGAGGAACGAACGAAGATATCCCAAGCGAGATGACTTTGAGGAGGTCCACCAACGCAGCAAGCTGAGCGACCTGTAGGAGCTGTCAGCGACATGCATCTCTCTCATGAGTTCAGACACTTACCGAGCCCACGACGCTTAGAATTTGGCCCATCGAAGAAAGTGAGTGCGCGACGGTACGGAGGACTTCTTCGTTTGGCAGAGGAGTCCCAGTAGCGCCTCCCAAGCATTGTAGAAACTTCTTGCTTTGCACGCTGTATTCGTGGACTTGCTCGGGAGCGGCTGAAGCCAGCATGTTGTCGTGCATGAGCACTTGAAGCGTGAGCTCGGTCGCTGCGTGATGTCTGTGAGTCAGAATATGCTTGTGAAGCTAAACATAGTTGGTCAGTCGCGAAACATGGCCGTCGTGTGCCAACGTACCTCGTGGATCAAGTCAACCACTATGAGGGGTTCAAGAGTTTCTTCCTCCTTGGTCTGCACATCGTCCGTTGTGGGCATTGTGACAGTGTCCTCTTGACTGCTAGATCCTGGCGCCGAAGACGAGGGAAGTTCCTGCATGTGCTCAGGTGGACCATCGTCGTCATCGTCGTCCTGGATGTGGAACCGAGGCTTCGGCAACGGTGGCTGGAATTCCTGAGTAGTTGGACCGAAGAACACGTCTTCTTGCTCAGGCTCGTGCACATGCGCTCTTGAGCCAAAGGGATCGGCTTTCCAGCCCCCGCCTTGCGACTTCCGAACTGGGGACGATTGACTAGCCTGATTGCGGGCTGATCGAGGCAACGAGGCAAAGAACGTGGTATTCCGCAGCGGATACTGAGATTGAGCCGGCTGCTGAGAAGCAACGCTTGGAAGAAAAGCGTTCTCGAACTTCGGGTGCTTCGTTATGGGCAGCGCATTCTCGGGACCGTGAGCCTTTCTGCCTTGGTCGCGCATGAGTATACCTGGGTTCCCTTTACGCGCTCCCGGGCGAGACGGCGTTGTGAGTTCAGCTCCTGAGTGGCCGCCAGCTTGGGACTGATGGCGCTGCAGAGCTGCAAATTGAGGCGTAGGAGGTTCCGTCCCTGGCCCCGTCACCGTTCGTTTGACCCGCACTGACCAAGGCGTCTTTCGTCCAGATTCCAGCTCATGCTGCTGTAGGACGGCACAAAGATGTGAGTATTTCGCAACCGCACAGCAGTACGTATACATACCTTGAACTGGAACTGCGTCTTTATGCGTTCGATCTCCGCATGCATCTCCTTCCTCGCCTCCGTCTGCCCTTTTTCTGCCTGCTCCTTAGCCTGCTTGATACGAACAACCTCCGCAGCATGATCTTTCGCGGCCTGCGGCCGTCGGTATGAGGGGGGCACACCAGTGTTCACAAAAGACGCACCTTTTCCATATTCTTACGCAGAACACTCACTTCGCCCTCCTTGGCCCATCGTGCGCTCTGTGCATCCTCCAGTTGTTTCGTGGTCGTCTGCTGGGCTTTCATAAGCTATAATGTGGTCTCCGTCAGTACGATCTACCGTGGAAGCGCATATATTTACATCTTCAAACTGTGCCTTGAGAGCCTCAAGCTCGATCTTCAGCGCGCGGTCGCTTGTGCTCTCAGCTTGCTGGGGAACCACCTCCGGGGTCTGCGCGCGAACGCGCTGCGGCAGCTCCGAGTGTGGACTCGCAAGCCTTCTCTGCTGCGTGATAACGGGCGTGCTCTGTCTCCGGGTAGGCTGCTGCTGTCCTCGATCACCATGCTTCCCGGCCGCCGGAGACTGTGCTCCCCTCTGCATGACGGCTGGAGAGCCCGCTCTCGCTGCCGAGCCCGACGCTGGTACCGGCGAGGCACGGGTCGCTGTTGGGGTGCCCCGTCTGAGGTTCGACCGCGTCTGCGCGCCGCCGCCCGAGGCAGAGGGCCCCGGCGTCCGCTCGCGCTGTGACTTGACCTCTTCTATCGCGGACGCGATCTGCGCAAACGCCTTCGGGTCGAGCTTCCTCGACGGCAGCCGCCCGAGCACTTGGGTGGATGTCGAAGGCGGTGGCCCGCCCCGCACGCCCGACGTCGTGGACGCTCTTGCGCGCGAGGACCGAGTGTTGCTCGTCGCCATCTGGAACGCGGGGACCGTCGGCTCCCGGGTCGGCGCGCGAGGTGTGGGGGCCACACGGGGCGGTGGGGCGGCGGGGGCTCGAGAGGGAGGAACAAAGGGTCGCCGATGGTCGTACCTGCTTCCCGTCCCTCCAACGTCCACGTCCTTCTGCGGCCCCGCGCCCGCGCCCGCGCTCGTGCTGGTCCCGGCACCCGATGAGGTGCGCGTAGGTGGGGGCGGAGGTTGCGCGCCCGAGATCCCGTACGTCCCGTCCGCCACAACAGCAATGTCGGGCAGGTCGTCGTCGTAGTCATCTCCGGCGGCATGTCGTGGTGGCCGCACAACAGAGGTCCCGTGCGAGACTTTCTGCTTCTTCGGAGGGGGGAGGGGCGCCCCACGTTCGATGGGTCGTCGTTGAGCTGTGGTCGCATACGACGTCGAGCCTCCCACCGACAAAGTGCTGGATGACGCCGGCGATGCTGCTATGTGACGTTGTATGACCTGGGGCCGCTGCTGCTGCTGTGGACCCCTTGTATCCTTGGTGGCCGCGAACTTTGCCTCTTCTTGCTGGAGGGTGGCGAGAGAGTTTTCATCGAGGACGAAATCATCGTCGAAATAGCTGTCAAATTCGTCCATAGACCGAAGAAACGTGAGGGACACTACGCGGAGTGAAAGTAGGTCGAATCAGCGCATGGGATGAGGGGGGAGAGGAGGAACCGCCCAGTGGGAGAGACGCGTAGACGCGCGTGCCACCACCGGCGTGACCGCGACAGCCATGGAGCGTGCAGGACTGAGTCAGTGGTTGCGACGCGGAGGCGGACGCACATATGTGACACATAGGGATAGAATGAGAATAATAATAATAATAATAAAGCGACGCGGAGGCGGCGCTTGCCAATACATATGTATGCGCAGCTCTGCGGCGCAGCTGCTGAGCTCTGATACAAGTACTTCCAATGGGTCCTTTTACAGACTCAGTGCCCCACCCGCCCCCGACCCTCTCTCCTCCGCCGTTAACGGCTTTGCATCCTCTCCTCGTCATTGCGGGTTCACCGCGACCACGACCGATACCATCCGGCCTCGCGCCGAGCAGCAGGCAGTCACCCCGCAGCCGCAATGTCGTCACCAGAGGACGACCAGGAATCACCGTCGCAGTTGTCCGTCGCCGACCGGGCGAAACGGAAAAAGAAGCAGAGGGCCTGCGATTACTGCAGGCGGAAGAAAAGTGAGTCCGCCACTCGCTCCTGCTGCCGTGGTCCGCGAAGTCTAACGCGCATCCTCCGCAGTTCGTTGTAAGTCTGCCTTGGCTAGTGTCATCTCGTTGCTCAGAATTGCGTTATTATGCGTGCTAGGCGATGGAGCAGAGATGCCCGAGCATCGGTGTTCAAGGTGCATCTTGCAGGGGATTGAGTGCGCGTACGAGCCTATCAACGTGTGTGTTTTCCTGTTCTCTCGTGCCAGTCTCCTTATTTTCGCATAGACACGGCCTATCAGCAAGGGTTATGTGCAATTACTGGAGAACCGATTGCAGAACATGGAGAAGCTGTTTGCACAGGTGTGTCGCGTCTGTGCTACATGCATGCATCCTCCCCTCATACGTCCATACGCCCCCAAGCTTCATCCCAACCTGTCCATCCCCAAAGACTTCGACAGCGTGCTAGAGGCCAATCGCCTCGGGGCGCAGGCGGAGGCACCGCCAGCCACTTCGGCCATCTCCCCTTCCCGTCCATCTGCCTACTCGAGTCCCAGCGACTTGATTACACGGCCACCCGAGCCAGATGCCTCTGTCGACTCCGACGAACTTGATCCAAGTGACGATGAGCGGCAAGTCAAGGTCAAAATACTTCGCCAGTTCAGTCATGAACTCGAAATGCCACCCGGAGGTGTCGTCAATCGGTACCACGGCAAATCGAGCAACCTCATGTTCCTCCAGGCTGTGATGGAGCTGAAGGACAAAGTGACGGGAATGAGCCTCGAAGATGCGCCGTCAGAGGGGCATAATCGGTTAACGGAACAGCTGGATTTTCCCGAGTCGGAAAATCCTCCCTTCCATAACATATCAAATGTACGTCCGGCCCTCTATTAGAGCATGGCGGGGCTGTGGGCTCACTGCCCTCGTGACGTCGCGTGTGCTGACGCCTCCGTAGATCCCACCCGAATTGTCCAGGCAGGAAGCGTCGAAAACAAATGCACCGCATTCGGACTTTCCACCACGCGACCTGATCAACCAGCTTGCTGATGCTTACTGGGATAAGGTCGACATGTACCTACCCCTCCTGCATCGCCCCACATTCCACAGACACCTTGACGAGGGCAAGCACCTCACGGACCATGGCTTTGGCTCCGTCGTCCTTCTTGTCTGCGCTATCGGTGCCAATTGGGTAGACGACCCCCGGATGGTGGTCGGACCCAAGGACCCTGGCCGGCACTGGTTTGAGTACGTGGACCACGCTTGGCGGTCGGTGTTCGATCAGCCGAAGCTCGAAGACCTGCAGGTGTGCGTGGTACGTGTCTGTGCTGCTCTGCTTCCTGCCCCGGCGATGGTCAGCGAATTGAAATACTGACCAATTGTCCTTGCTACTGCGCAGCTCACCGCTTCATACCTCTTCCGCTCGAACGCGGCTCAGGCCGCCTGGAACACTGTTGGGTTCGGGATAAGGATGGCACAGGACGTAGGTTGTCATCGTAAGAAGATGTACGAGTCGGGGCCGAGGGTCGATAACGAGTTGTGGAAGCGCGCGTTCTGGTGTGTATATGCGCTTATTCCTTCTGAACTTGACTCATTGTCCCTTCATAGGGCTTTGCTCGCACTGGATAGCATGGGAAGTCTCGGGCTGGGTCGCCCTGCGGCCATTCACGACGAGGAGTGCGTGAATTTTGCGCTGTTGCTCATACTTAGGGCTGAGATTGCGTCATATCAGCTTCGACACTGAACCTCTGCTCGAAGTGGACGACGAGTACTGGCTCAACGACGACCCGGATTTGTGTTTCAAGCAACCAGAGGGGAAACCGTCCAGGGTTACATTTATGAACTGCTTAGCGAGACTGCAGAAGATTCTTGCGTTTGCATCTCGGACTATCGTGCGTCTTTATGAGACTGTTTTCTTGTGTCAATTAACGGGCCTTTACGCGCAGTACTCTATCAACAAGTCGAAGCTCAGTCTTGGTTATGTCGGGCCAAATTGGGAACATCGAATCGTGGCAGGTCTGGACTCCGCCTTAAATAAATGGATCGATACAATCCCAGAGCATCGTGAGTATTTTCCTTCATTGCATCCGACCATAACTTGACGTGTGGAATCATCGGCAGTCAAATGGGAGAACCAGTCCTCGGCAGACGATCTCTTCATGGGTCAATCGTCGACACTGTACTCTCACTACTACTTCGCTCAGATTTGCGTCCACCGACCGTTCATCCCATCACCGAATAAGCCATCCCGTCTCCCGTTCCCTTCACTCACCATCTGCACGAATGCCGCACGTTCCTGCATCCACGTACTCGATATGTATTATCAGCGCACAGGACGCGCACTAACAATGCAGCGGGTGAGTTCCTTGGGCCCCTGAAGGAAGTTGACGTGTTTTTGATGTGTTGTTGACGTGCCGATAGCTGCCGCTGTTCACCGTTGGACTAGTTCTTCTTCTCAATATGTGGGGCAGCAAGAAAGCAGGAATTCCATTCGATTCCAACATGGACGATGTGCATAAGTGTGTGGCCATGCTAAAGTCGCTTCAGGGGCGGTATGTACGCCTCATCTAAACTTCCACGCCAGTCTAACTTGAGCCTCCACACAGCTCCAAAGTTACCAGTGCGTTCGTGTGCGTGCACTGATTCGCGGTCTCTCGACTTCCGTCAACTAATCGATGGCTCCTTTTACCAAAGGAATATTCTGGACACTATGTTATCAATCGGTGGTTTCACCATGCCTGAGTCGTCTCAACCGGCTCCAACCTCTGGATCGAGCAACCTGTCCAACGATGTACTACAGTCATCCTTTTTCCACAACACAGGTCAACACGGCCCGAACACGCCCTCAACTTCGGACCAATCGTCACCATCTGCCAGCGAGGTCGCGAACCCGACCCCATCTCCCAACACGTTCTCGCTCCCTATACATACCGCCGATCTCGGGTGCCCAAGCGTCTGTCCCACCTACGCTACAGCACCCCAACATCCAGAGATGGAGGCCGACTTCATCCAGCCACTGATGGAGGAAGCCAGTACCCGCGACTTCGCCCCCGCGACCCCATCACAGGGGCATTCGAACCATGGGATACCCCCGCTCGGCTCTGCGCCCCCGCGCAGGCGCGTCGCGCCGTATGATCCCACGTGGCCGACGCCCGAGCAAGTCTCGCTGTACCGCGATCTGCTCGCCGCGCTCAACGCCATGCCGGCCACCATCGGCGGGAATCTCGGTGGCGACGGGATCGGTACCGGCAGCGCGTTCGGCGGCACAGGGTTCGGGGGTGAAGCCTTCGGTGGGGACTTTGGGATGGGAGGCATGCACGAAGGCATGGCGGGCGTCGCGTGGCCCGCGCACGAGGGCACGCCGCCGAGCCTGGACGCGGACGTGGCGATGATGAGCGCGGAGGGGTTCGCGTTCCCGGACGCGACAATGGACGCGTGGAACGCCGCGCCGGCGTCGTTCGTGTGAGTGCTGCGCTTGCGTCGTCTCTCGGACGTGTTGTGCTAAAGCCGTGATCTGACGTTCTGTGCAGGTGGAACGACTGGGGCACGTACCTCGGGACGTTGGCTGGGGCGCAGCAGTTGCAACAGCAACAGCAACAGCAGCAGCAACAGCAGCAACAGCAGCAACAGCAGCAACAGCAACAGCAGCAGCAACAGCAGCAACAACAACAACTGCAAATGCTACAGCAACAGCAACAGCAACAGCAACAGCAACAGCAACAGCAAGGGTTCGTGCAGCCGCCATTCAGCGCGAGGATGTGGTTTTAAGCTGGACACGATCTGTGACTATCCGGGCGGACGTTGTATAGGTATGCGAAGCCCGCATGCAGGGTCTCCGCGTTGTGTTATTCCCTCTCACATTTTTATCTCGAGCTGCCGTTGCACATATACTGTGGTCAACCCGTAATGTACTATCGCAAATCTATTTGTCGGATCTAGACTTGCTTTCACGTCGAGTATGGAGACCCAGGAACATGGGAGGCGCAGAGCTCGGAGACACTGGAGGGTTTTTACGGGCTGCGAGTTGAGGCCTTCGGGCCGTCGAGCTCCGGAAATACGATACCTTCTGCAATCCGACGAGGTTATCGCGCAAACAAAATCAAGTATCATACAACAGCGTCTATAGCACGTTCTCGACATCGTCGACGCCGAAAGGCGGTCATGTAAAGAAGGGACAGAAGGTCCCGAGAGTTTTGGGGTGATGGCAAAGCAGGTTGGTGCTACGAAAACAGGCAGAATACAATCGGATGCCGACGATGATGGAGATGCGCTATACGCCTGACAACTCCCTCCCACGGCGAAAAGACGTCTAGTACGCCTTCTTGCCCTGCGCGTGCTGTAGATGTGCGCTGTGCTCGTCGTAGGGGAACTTCGAGAGCGGAATCTCGCGCCAGAGATCGGGCGTGAGGAAGGAGTAGGTGTGTGTGATCTGCGCGGGCACTCGTCAGACCTTCAGACATGGGACAAGTAACAAGGCTAGACACTCACAGCGACGAAGGTCGCCTTCAAGAAGTTGCCCATTGTCGCGGTCGAACCCTTCGACTGCGTGTAGCAATCCTCGACACCAGCAAGCTGGAGCATACGCTTAGACGCGGGGGCGGCGACAAGACCAGTTCCTCGGGGCGCGGGGATGAGACGGCACATGACAGAGCCAACCTTGCCGGAGACCTTCGAGGGCACGGTGTGGGGTTCACCGAGGTTGGCACCCCAGTAGCCACGACGAACAGGAATGACGGAGAGCTTCGCGAGGATGATGGCACCGCGGATGGCAGTTGCGACTTCCTTCGCGCACTTGACACCGAGACCAACGTGGCCGTCGAAGTCGCCAATGGCTACGAAGGCCTTGAAGCGCGTGCGCTGACCGGCACGGGTCTGCTTCTGTACGGGCATGATCTTCATAACTTCGTCCTTGAGCTTGGGGAGGAAGAAGTCGATGATCTGGTACTCCTTGACGGGGAGCGAGAAGAGGTAGATTTCCTCCATGGACTTGATCTTGCCGTCCTTCACGAGACGACCGAGCTTGGTAACGGGAACCCTGGTGGATGGGCGGATGTCGAAACGAGTATGAATGCCATTGCAAAACAAGCACTCACCACTCCTTCTCCTCGTCCTTACGACCACCGCGGCGGGGGCCCCGTCGGCCCCGTCCACGGTCACGCCCGCCACGCCCGAAACCACCGCGTCCACGCGCAGAATCAGCCATTGTGTGCTTGAGGAGAGAAACTGCAAGAGTAGAAGAGTAAGCTTCCAAATTTGCCGCTGGGTGCCGGGTACGAGGGGAGCAAACGAGTTGGACCGAGGGCAAACAGAATGGATGAGGAATGACTCCATCCAGATGCCCGAGGAGCCATCCAACTCGACCCTGGCCTCTGTTTCGTCCCAAGAATTTCCCAGACACAAATAATGAGGTCTAGAGTGTATCTGGGAGGCAGCGAGAGGAGTACGGAGAGGACTTACGTCTTGAGGATGCGACAAGTGTCGAGCTCGACGGGCGATGTGCTGATGATAACTTCGATGGGCGTCTCTATGTCTCGATTGAGATGCGCCCGGCCCTGAATTGGGCGTGAGCGCCTTATGATCAAACAAGCGCCCGTTTCCCCCTCCGTCGTCCCTCGTCAAATTACAACACTTGTCTCGCGAACGCCTCACAAGCCTCCCCGGGAGATCTTAATACTCCAACGGTGTGAACAATACCCACACTAGATCACCAACGTTGGTAGGCAACCTCCGAGTGACGTTGTATGGCAAATTCGTATTTGCACATGCCAACATGCTAAGGACTCTCCCTACCAGCGGGCTAGAGCTGGTCCCGTGCTGAATTAACTGCGGGCGCCGGGAGCCAACGATGGCCTGCTACACCTGCTCGATACGCCAGAGCTCCGACTGTTCACCAGCAAGCTTCACGAATCATGAACGCTTAAACACACCCTCAAACAATATTGATCATCCCGCTGCTCTCTGCTCCTACCCTCATATGCATGCACTTGTACCTGAGCATACCTCTGAGCCGGGTATGCATCCTCCCTCGGTTCGCCGTTTGCACTTTGCGCCGTGCGGTGATCAGTTGTCGTTGAGTTGTCGCGGGAAAGGACGAGAGATGGCGATCTGAGTAACTAGTCGGGCCGGTGCAGACGCCCGTGCCTACTCGTTGCTCCACCCAAGGGCCGTGTAGTCGCTCTTCCCTCCCACCATGACCTAGGCTGCCCCGCTCACTGCCAATGCAGTCCATCCATCGGCTTCCTATCCTACATCATGCATAGGCAACAGGACTCCGTCCATACCGCCTCCCAGGACTCGTCTCTCAACCCTGAGGCTGGGCAGCACACACGAGTAACAGTCCACGATCCTCATGCCCACCCTCTGCACTCCCACAGACACGCAGCAGTTATGCCTCCCGTAAGTTTTAAATCGGAGTCTACGTCGTCGTCAGGCAAGGTACGTTCTCTACCGACTCCACCCCATCTATGCATTCGACCGTATTACCCAGCTCCCCCAACTTGCTTCTGGAGATAACACGACCCCTTCCTGTCAATCTACACTACAAACTCCAAGCTCTGTCCTCTCCTCTCCCAATGCCGTCGGTTCCGGCGCGCCAGAGTTGAAACACGTTACACTCGCCGCTGCCTTTTGCGACCGTCGTCAGTCGCCGTCCGCGACCCCTTCCCACTCACAATCATTAACGTCCGATGTCGATAACAAAACCGTTTCTACTTCATCGTCCGGCAGTTCCGAGAGTCTCCTTGTTCCCACTCGCGCCAGCATTCGCGCTTGGGCGAAAGCCACGCCTTCTGGGCCACCTCGGGACACCCCCTCCCCTTCCAAGTCCGGAGTTCTTCGAACCAAGTCGAGCTCCGATGACAATCTCGACCGTCAGAGCTTGACCGGGTCCTTTGGTCATGTCTCTGCTAGCAGCACAAGCGCGTCGCCTGGGTCAGGCTCTGAAGACACAGACTCCCCGGACAACAGTTCCGGCAATGTGGCGGATATTGACAGCACAGGTTCAGGAAGCGACGAAAAGCTTTCCTCGTCGCGCCGCGATCGAGATGGCGCGGCCCTAGGTCCGCCCTCTATCGAAGTCCAAGCTCCCATGGCCCCGGCCCCGGCCCCACCCCATGGACCAGACGACCACCCACCACGCCCAGGCCCACGCCCGCACCAAGGTGCGAGGCCACACAGGTCCTCCCCGTCTTCCACGTCCGGGGGCTCGTCCCCCGCCCTCGCCCTGGTCGTCTCGCATGCGCAGCAGCAGGACCGCCAGGAGCGTCTCGATCGGCGCGAGCACCGGTACCCCGTACATCACGGCTCTCGCCGCCGCCGCGACCGTGACCGCGAACGCGAACGCGAACGCGAACGTGAGCGGCGTCCGCGCACCTCGCCGCCAGCTCCGGTTGTGCTGTCGACCCCACCATCCCTTCCACCTCCACCTCCGCCTCCGATGACGGCGACGACGACGGCGACGCGGTCTACGGCGGGCCTCACCAGGGTCCCCGAGCTTCGGCTCCCGGTGCCCCCGCGCCCCCTCCGGCCGCTGACCCTCATGTCGAGCGGCGTGGACGTGGTGGACGAGATGGGGCGGATGCTGTCGAACCAGCCGCGCCGGCCGCTCATTCTCGTGCGCGACAACGCACCGGGCCACACGGCGGAGCCCCGCCGCCGCGGGAACGACGTGCTCGACGACATCTACCACATGATTACCTCGGCGCCCCCGCGCAGTGGGGGTCTCCCGTCCCCCCACCGGCGGTGATCACTTGTCGAGACTCGCGAGAGGCTGGACCAACGGTTGCGCCCTACATATATGCACTCCTTACGACGACCCCTCGAGTGCGGACATTCAGCACTCGATGGTTCCACACAGGCCATGCGTCGGTCTCTGTCCGGTTCGCTTCTTAATACCATCGTGTGCCAGTGGCGCGCGTGGTTCTGCACTTCCCCTGTACTAGATATGCGCATATATGTATACTAGATACCATGCAATCAATCTGGTCTGTGTAGCGTATCCAAGAACGGACCTGTGGACGTCCTCTTGCTCTCTTGGAGCGGCCCACCTGCGTCTCCGCTCTGGTTGTCTGGGGTCCCCGTCCCGTTCCCAGTGTCCCCGCCCGTGCTTCACCTTTGCACTATGTTCTGATCCTTGAAGCTTGACCACCGGCGATACGTGACCGTAGCGAATGACTGTATGCGCGACGAGGGTGGTCGACGCCGGTATCGTGATAGAGTGAATTGTATGGACGGTGTCGCCAAAGTCCGGAAACACCGGGTCCCTGCCAGTTTCGTCCGGCTAGTCCTGGTCGATGACACAGCGGGCTCTGGGCATTCCGTTGGAGCGCCAATGTAGATGAGTTTCGTGTATGTTCCGAGGACAGGGTGTCGTGTGATTCGGAATGAAGCGATCACGGTGTTGAATATAGTAGGTCGCCAGGGTCGCCGTTGTCTTCGCCAGAGCGTTCTCTATCCTGTCGGGGCGATGCAGGTTGTGTGTTTGTCCCCTCGAAAACCTCAGATTGGGATCTCTTCGGCAACCGTGGCCAGTCAATAGTCACTGGTCCTGAGTGAGATTCGTCAGTACATGTTGATGGAACGCTCTCCAAGTTCGCACTCACTGCCGGAAGACAGACAGTCTATGCCGTTCGGCCGGGGGCCGTTCAGTTTCGGCATGCTCTTGCTGGTCCCTCGATGGAAGTCTGCAGCGACAGTGTCAGGGGGTAGCGGGTCGTGTTCTGGATGATACGTCATCTCTTCGCGCTGACTGCCCGCACCTGCAGTGCGCCCGGGATCTGCTAACAGAGAATAAGTATAGCTGCCGCAAGCAAGCACGTTCGGAACGACGAGCGGACGATGGGACCTACCTCGTCCGTTCGGCTCGAGATGATCCATCCAAAGGGTGAGGATCTCGGAGACGTCGTCGCGCGGGAGCTCCGGGGGGCTGCCCCCCTCTACGACTTGATACGCATCGGCAATGTCTTCATCCTGCAATCCGAATGTCGCCATCAGGGCTTCCTCGACTTCTATTCGATCGGAGGCATGTGCGCGTGGAGACAATGGAGAGCGGGGCGTAGTTTGGGGAGTGGAAGGGTCTTCTAGCAGCGAGTTCAACAGCTTGGACGCGCGAAAAACGGGAAGATACTGACCTGCCTCAGCGACAGCATGGACCCCAGCTTGACGGGCTTCCCGAGGCGAACCCGGACGCGGTGGCAGAGGGATGTTCGGCGGCGGCAGCGGCGCAGGGGACCGCTCGCGCTGCCTCACGCGCCTCTCCAAAGCCTCAGTAATCCCCCGCACCGAGTGCAGCGCAGTGACCAAAGCGACCTCGTCGTCCGCGTTCGGTCTCGCGCCCCCGCCGACGCCGCCGACCCGCGCCGACGCGGCGCCCACACCCCGCATGCAGCCCTCCTCGAACGTGCCCAGGGCGCCGCGGAACGCGCCGACGACGTGGTCGCTGACGAGGTCGCGGGTGCTCCGCGCCGCGTGCAGCTCGCGGACGAGCTCGGGGAGGCGCGAGAAGTCGAGCGCGCGGAGGACGGCGCGCTGGCGGGCGACGCGCGAGCGCCACGGGGGCGCGAGGAGGAAGGAGCCGAAGCGGGACAGGAGGGCGCGGACGCGGGCGCGGACGGGCGCGGCGTGGATGCTGCGCGCGAGGCGCGCGCGGTGCAGGAGCAGGTACCTGACCGTCTCGGCCAGCGCGGTGAAGTAGCATGCGATGGCGTCGGCGTCGTCGAGGTCGAGGAGGGCCTCGATGTCTTCTTCGTCGGAGGGGAATGTGGCCTCGACTGGGAGGGAGTCAGCGCCTCTGACACGAACGACAAAACGAGCTGTGGCTGACCGTCCTCGAGGACGTCGACTTCGAAGACGAGCTGCTTGTCCGATCCGATCTGGCTGGACTCCAAGTACGTGACGAGCCGCTGGAACGCCTCGCGCGCTGCGAGTCGTCGCCCCACCAGCTGCGCCAGCGCGCGGAGGTACAGCATGCTGAGCTTCGACTGCACCCCGGCTCGCTCGTCATCATCGAGAGCACGACAAGCACGAACGGGAGCACGGGCCGCCACGAACTCCACTCGCCGCTCGGGAGCTTCTCCGTGAGCTCACGCACGAGCGCACCGTAGCGCGCGCTCATCGTGTCCGAGAGCGCGGGACCCATGTCCATCAGACACGGGAGCAGCGTCGTGTTGAGCAGCGCCGGGTTCGCGGTGACGTAGTAGGATGTGAGGGCGAGGGCTTGCTCCAACTCGACCTGCTGCGAAGCCGCGGCGGGACGCTCTCGAGCTTGCCAGGTGCGGAAGCGTCCGGCGGGGCCGAGCCAGGCGAGAACTGATGTTGCTGCGTTCTGGGCGGAGGCGAGGAGGGTGTAGTGGAGCGAAGACCAGGAAGCGGTCTCTGCAAACATGGCGGCGTTACGGGTCCACTGCTCTACGGCTTGGGCGAGCTTCCATGCAAGATGGGCGACAGTCTGAGTGAAGATGAAGAGCGACAGCGCCTGTGGTGACTGGAAGCAACAGTCCGTGTAGATGATCGGAAGGAGGGTCGTCGCGACGGTGAAAGACAATAAGATGGAGACGAGGACAGTGGCCACGATGGCAACAGAACGGTGGAGGTTCCAGAGGAGAATGAGCAGACCCCCCAGAAATAGAGCCAACGCAGTTTGAAGGAGGATGGGAAGGACGGCGATGATGCTAGACACGTGCCATCTCAACATACTCTCGTGGCGATACTGGCGGAGAAGTGAGGCCTCTTGCGTCGTGCCAGAGAGACTCTGGCCGTACTGGTGAAGCCATTGTTTGACTAGGACAGCAATGGAGGATGCTGAGAGCGTACAGATGAGGGAGGAGAACCATAGACCGTTGACCCAAATGGCGTATAACGGGGCCTTGAATCCGGTATCGCCGTCTGTTGCACGGAATAGAGTGCGTACGGTGGAGTTCACGAACGACGCGGAGACGGTGTAGCTGTCAAGTTGGCTCGACATCTGAGCGAGGGCGAAGATGATCGTGTCTGTGTCTGCTGGTTGCAGGAGGGGATATGACTGCACGATGAATGCGGTAAGAGCGGTCGAGAATAGACCCGCCTGTGAGAATCAATCAACACACTAACAGTAACCGGTATGTGGGGAGACGCACAAACACCAGGAGCATATCTAGCTCGGCATTCCAACGTTTGATCTTCTCCTCATAATGCCGTTCCAGTGTAGTTGTGCAAAGCTGTCAAGCGTGTTCGCGCTGTTGGGATGTCGAGATCCACGACACCACCGGCGGTTTGGGTCCTGGCTGGACGAAATCCGATTGAGATAATCAGAACACGGTACGAGAGGCTGAACCCACAATGCTAGTGTTCTCTAAGGGGACCATCTCGTCTGTTGGGTGGTGGGTGGAGGGACGGAGCCCTCATGCTCGAAAGCAAGTCGCCGGTAAGTAAAGGCGGTGCAGTGGCCGTGAGGACCATCACAGAATCCGACAAGTACAGCACTGCTTGAGCGCTCTCTCTATTCCCGTTATGATATTACGTGATTGCCTCACAACACATGGGAAGTTTGAACAATGAACGATTGAACGATTGAACTTTGCCTACCGCCCGAGTGACGTTGCGTGCCACTTGCGAGCTGGTGTTGAGGAAAACGAAAACTTGCGTGAACCATGTTGCGGATCCGTGACGACGGGAACGAGCCGGGGCTTGACCCAGCTGGTCAGAGACGCTTGAAGTCAGTCGCTCGCGTAGAGCCAATCACATCTGCAGCGTTGATAAGTAGTGCATTGCAGCGCACAAAGGACATGTCGACTACTGACCGGCTCCTCCAACAACCTCGAAGGCAAGTGGCAAGTTTCTTGCGCGGCGCGCCCGTATATCCGCACGTACACGCGCCCAAGAACATGTCCTGTGCTGCCACTCACGGCGTCCTGCCATGGAAAGGCCAGAGAACCAGGGGCCCTAATTCACCACTGGTAGATGGTGCTATTGTGTACGCAAGATGGCCGAAATTGGCTTGCTTAGGAGCTGCGCGTGACGCGCTGACAAGGAGATGAGGGGAGGACGCAAGGCGCGAATCCCGACTAGCGCCCGCCCTGCGTCGTTGGCCGCGATAAGATTGGCGCTGTAAACTGAGGCTACTACTAGCAAGAGTTCCTCCAAACTTGTTCCTCCGCACCCTACCCTCCACATTTGTCCACTTCGAACACTCTCCCTGGCGGCCATACCATCCCGATGATATGTCTCAACGCACACCAAACCTGCAGGGACGTCAACGCACCGAGGGCTCGGAGTACTAGCAACATCTAAGACAGGTACCGGTGGGACTCATCCGGGGAGGTGTCATGGACCGTCGAGCACTGGATGTGTATTCCGGCTCAGTCATGGAGTTGGAAAGCCAGGATGTCGGGATTTGATTACGGCGAAGAGCATGCAGTCTGTCCGCGGCTCGCAGAGGTCGCTGGTGGGGACATGTAGGGTTCTCGTCGTTGCCAAGTACCCCTCCCCACACAAATATGAACTACCGTCTCTCATGGGTTCATCACTGTCGATTGTAGTCAAGGCCAGCGGTTGAAAGCCTTGCATTCCCAGAAGGGCAAACGACTCCTATACCGCCGTTTGACAAGGGGGCTCGTATGTTACCACATTTTGGCTATATCGCCATTTCAGAGATTGATCCTCGTTGCAGCGTTTTTTTTTTTTTCAGAAACGACTTCCAATGTGCTTCGGCATTCAGGGTGTACGGGGCCATCCCATCTGAGTCAGGGGTGCCCGTGCGTGCTGTGACCACCGAGAAGCAGAACACCCAGTCCGGTAAGACAGTTTTTCGTTGCGATCAGACGTTCGAATGTTGGGCGGCGACCAATGACCATTTTAAGCTCAACCGTGTTTCCTTCTCGAGTTTCTGACCATCCTTCGCAGTCCAATTCGCACACTGGGATCACAATGGAATGATGAACCCATCCCATCCGCGGGCTCGGTGGATACCACCAACCAGCTCTACGTCTAGAACGATTACACCGCCTTGTGTTCCAACATGGGTATCGATGCGAAAGTGAATGGAGCGAGGGCGCCCATCTACGTGTCGGAATTCCCGGTCGTGAGCGGAAAACAAGCCTGCTCCCTGTCCGGAAGGTGCTCATCTGGTTCAACACACGGGTTCCTTCATGTTAGAGGCAGCGTCTTCCGCGATCGAGGTGGGTCCGACTCCTCAGCGCAACTGGATGGAATCTGCTGACCACTCATGTGGGCACGTCGTCACAGCTCGACTTCACTGGCATCCCAAAGCACACCCTGACTTACGCTGCTCTGCGACACGCACGATCGATCCGCCCTCGCCCACGGTGCTCAAGCTGATGACCTCAACGACCACAAGAAGCTGTGCGCGCCTCCTCCCCTGGTACGCCCCAGGTGAATCGAACACTGCCAGGAGCCATAGAAGTCGATGCGCGCGTCCTTGCGACACCTCGCAAGCCGCACAAGACTTGGGCGAGTGGAAACCGCAGTGTCCTGCTGACTTCGCCACATGGGACATCCACGCGCACAACAACGCGCACAAGACGCGATCTCGGCCGCGCAAGACATGTTTCTCGGTGCGCTGCACTGAGGCCTGAGACTTACTCGTTCGGGG